GTCTTCTTGGTATACTGTATTGGGAACCTGGTTTACTGTAATGGCATACTGTAATTGGCAACTAGTGTACTATGAAACTAGGTATTACTGCAGTGAATACTATTAGTACTAATGGTATGCTTTTTTTATCAAAACATAAATTCTGGCATCATTTTTCCTTGTGAGTTAATGAATAAATGATAAAGTGGTCGTTAAATTTGAGCAAATGCTTCTTGATTGTCCGGTACTGCCATTTGGATAGAGCAACAACAGCAATAGGGAAGTGAAGGTTTCAAGCTGGCCCACCTTTGGAAATATCGAACAGTTTAATCACAAGCGAGGAGTAATGTTCATTTCATTTATAATTTCAAATCCCGATTCAGCCGATTATCGAAGAATAATTTAAAACAATGATAATAAATAATATAAAATCAATAAATCAGGTAAGAGTAAACAATAAAAACATTTTTAAAAGTCTTGGTTTCAATTTGAATAACCTACGAGAATGCGAGTAACTTGAACGATTTGAGCGATGCGAGATGCGCCAAGCCTTTCGTACAAAAACTATTTCAATAGAACAGCCTAACACCAAGAATTTTGAGCATAAAGTTAGATTGCCAATGGCAAAGGAGCGTGGCGTGTATAAAACGTCCAGCCCCATTTCCTATTGGCGATCTAACTTTGAGCTCAAACATCTTGGTGTTGGATTGTTGAATTTAAATATTCATGATATCATTAGATGCGCCAAATCTTTCTCTATCTATTGGTACAAAAGCCATTTCAATTGGACAGCCCAACACCATGAAATTTGAGCTCAAAGTTAGATTATTATTAAGAAAAACTATTAGAAAGAAATTTCAAAGGAAATGAAACTCATTGGAGAGAATGCCGGAACACTCAAAACCGAGAGATTTTTACTACAAAAACCTTCCGTTTTTACGGGGTTACAACGAGGGATCGATTAAAGAGACGGGGATCATTTTTGAAGGTTTGAAAAGTTCGCGTTCAAATTCGATAGTTCTTGTGTATTCATTTCTTCCTTTTCCTTCTGAAACCAGTTGCTGCTGTGAGAACAATTGAGGGACTGAGTGTGCTAGAAAGGGTGTGTTTACAGTTTTTAAGCACAAAGTAGACCAAAAACAAAACAATGTCCAGATATCGAACATTTAGACGAGACAGCTGGCTAGTGTACAAGTCAAAAATAATTCCGTGGTGATATACCTTGGAAAAACTTTAATAGACTTTGGATACCCGCAAACACCACGACTGACTTTGGATATCCGGCGTTAACAGTGGCGCGTAACAAAAGCATTTGGCTTGGCAGGGACTTGGAATAAATCCTGTTGTTCTGTTTGTTCACAAACTGCTCAATCGTAAACACTTTTTCATCGGTAAACAAAATGTTTCGCTGGTCGATCCCATTGAATCGAAGAAAAAACTGGTTCGCGCGATCTTCTCGCTTCTTCTTTCCCACAGCGGAAAGAAACTGAAATTTTGAGTACTTATAAGCTTTCATTTTCAGATGTTTCTTAACAATTGTCCCCATCGATCTCTTTGAAATCCCATTGAATTTGCCATTTTTCGCTAGGAAGTTGCATTTGAATGCTATAGTTTGTTTGATTTGAATAGTTAAAGAATAATTGATTTTGGGCTAATATTTAAGATAGGACAATCACAACTTGAAAAGCGCAAAAAAAATGCAACGGGTCAGGCCCGAACTCCCGACCCTCAGCTTGCTGTACCACCACACACCCATCGACCACCAATGAACGGTTTCTGTTGAAAGAAATCGGCTTAAAAGGCGAGACAAAATCTGCTCAAAACTTTTATGCGAGCTTGCCAGTGGTTGGTCGCCATTGGGCAGCTAATTTTTACACCATTGGAATCAGCGTAAAATTCTGCATCGAATGGTCTCATTGGAAAAGGTCACGGTACCCAATCATCCTTCCCTTGTTAGAAGTATGAAAAACCAGAGTTTTAATCCGCTATTCGTTATCTGTTTCATCGTTACCTGTCAAATCATCTAAATATTTCTATCAAACTCAAATTCAGTTGAAAGAAGAGTGCCGAAGCGATTCCACTTTCGCCGTTTTCTTTGTCACCGATCCCCGTTTCGCCGAGTATGAGAAATTTCATTTACTGGACGCTTGGTAAACTTGAAAGTAGAGGAAAGTGATTCAGAAATTTCAGGAAAGGATTGCCGCTGACAACAAGGACCACATCAAACACCGTTTTCACAAAGAACGACTGTGATTTTGCTTTGACTATCCAGAGCTTTGACTATTCCATTGCCACCGTCGCTTGACGGATCTCGAGAAACAAACAAAATCTAAAATCAGCGTAAAATCAAAAACAAAAAAAATAAACAAAACAAAACAGCGTAAAATTCTGCGTCGAATGGTCTATATCTCATTGGAAAAGGTCACGGGACCCAATCATCCATCTCTTGCGAATGCCGTAATCCAGCTAATCTAGACTGAATACCGTAATCACCATTTATTTCCGTTCTGTGTTGTGTAAGCATCTAAAACATCGAGTTAAACTAAAAACTCTCTTCCCTATACTGGGAATGTACCCACAGCTTTTCTATAAACTCACAACTTGCAAAATCGACCACACAATTTTGTACGTCCATCGGGTATCAAACGAGCGACAATGAACAGAAAAGATGAAGGGTTAAACGGCGATCATAGAATAGACGACCATCGAAGCGAACCTTCACGAAATGGTTCTCCTGAAAGAGAGTTTCTCTTGAGTTGGATCTCATTTAGCGATATCGCCAAAGTTTTGAGTCAAATGCTAGTGAATAACTGTTTGATATGGGTAGATACTTCATATCTTTTTACGGTAGCTATTGTATGTGAGACAAAATATAGGGGATTGTGAAGGAATTCATCTCAAACCAAAAAACTTTTTGCACACAGAATTGAAAAAATTATTTAAGTTGCTTCAACAACTGATTCCCTAACAATGAGTTTTTAAACAGCTATTCAGTAAAGTTACTTAATCAAAAAGTAAACCAATGAAACTGAACGCATAAATATATTTTTCTAGTTAGTATTGAGGGATTCCCATTAGTGCACAAAAGCCTTGTTTTTTAAAAAAGGCGCAGTTGGTGTTCTCGAAAGCAATTTCTCTTCAGTGCATTAAAGTTGCTTCAATGCATCAGTTTTGTTAGGTAGTGCAATGAGTTCCCGATGTAGGCGTTTCAATGTAATGTACATCCTGAGTACGTTGTATCATACTTACTGTATCGCGATTTGGTTTTTGATTTTGTTCAGCAAATTTTGAATAGTTGCAATACTTCTTCATTAATGTGCTAACTATGTTTTCACACTCAAATGCCAAGCCTGAAAGGAATACAAATGCCACCTTCTGGAAGTAGCCATGGTCGTCTCTATCAATAATTGTCCGCTTTTTTCATTTTCTTCATTTACCATTGTTTCATTTTTTGCTTTGAGTTTATCTTTCATGGTTTTGCAAACCCTTTTTGCCCGGTATCAAAAATAATTTATTAACAATTAGGACAGACAAAAACGTAAAGAAGAAAAAGATCGATAGACAAGTGATAGGTAGATACAAAAACAAATTAAAATAAACATATTTTATGCTAAAAGCATATCAGAAAACATTAGCCACTTCTGTATCAACAACAGCATCCAAATCCTTGTAACCGACAAAATTCCGTCGGAACGAAGCGTTGTTTTCGCGAAAAGCTTCTCTAAAATGAAATATCAGTTTTTAATTGGACTCCGTAAGGTTTAGATGTAGGCTTTAAGGAAGTTGATTGTGACATTTTGTGGTTTATATTTTTCTTGTGTTTTTGCCTTTATATAAACATTGATTATCAGTGAGACCTTGCTAGAAAACTGACTTTCTAGGCGATCTTTCCTCACGTCGGGGTGGTGCCATGCGACGCCTTTCTAAAATGGCCATAATTATTAGTTTTAAAAAAGTTACAGCTATACGGCATGCCAACTCGTACCTCTCGGATCGTTATTCTTGTGATCATTCTGATCAGTGATTTGATCGGTGGGTTTCTCGTAATCACATAAGTAGTTATTGTAATAGAGCGACTGAAAATCATAATTTCTCATCGCTCAACGTTTGTTTTTACAATTAGTGCAAAAAGCTATGTGAAAATCTCTTACATCAGCTCTCGCCTCGTCGATCGCTTCAGCGTGTTTACTTTGAATGTGTTTTTTGATGAATTCGGGTCCCTGAATGTTTAATTATAAATAAGTATTTTAGAACTAATAAATTTACAAACTTAGGTAAGTAGTTTTTTTAGTCACCTTGAATTTCTTTCCTGAAAGGGGACACAGCCATTTCTCATCACTCAACTTCACCGTATTCGCTACGATCATCTCTTCCACCGCTCTAAATTTCCTCAAAGATAATATTTATCGAATCACAAAAATTTTAAGATGCTAATTTATTGCACAAGACAAAAACTTTATAATACTTTTTATTGTATAGTTTGTATTTGTTTGTGTAAAGGCAAAAATTTCTTATACTACTCACACTTCTGGGTCTAGTAGTCCATACGCAATCAAACGAGTCTCAGAAATACAACGAGCAGTGAAGAAAGCTTCAAGATGCTTTTGTGCTTCTTGTTCAAAAATCTATCAATGTATTATACAAATGCATGAAATTTTGAAAAATTGTTAACCTTTCGAGCCCCTCGTTTCATCGTTTTCATCTCTCCTTCATTATTCGGTGGGTCTCGATTTCGAATATGGAAGAGTTCCATGCTAAATTAGAAATCGTTTTATTAACTCTTTTACCCTTTTGCAGGTATCTTTTACTGACTCTCTTTTATTTACCTGCTACTGTTGCACTGGAATTTTTCTATATTCACTCACTTATTTGGCAGAGAATCCTCGTCATCATAATAGATGCGATCAAAGAGATCAAATGAATAGACGACGCGCAAGTAGAAAACAATCTAAAAAAGGTATAATGTGCTTTGCCTAGTAAATTGTCCAATTTGAATTGTTGTGTCATTTATGTTTTCTACTCTGAAGCTTACCTCATCAAGGGACGATAATAGGTTGTCGTCTCGTTCAAAAACAATTTCAGATGAACTTGGCATCTTATCAACAATATCTAAAAAAACAAGCTTTTGCCTTGTATTTATGGCTTTTTGTATTTAAATATTGGTATTCAACATACCGTGCATTGTTTCATCTTTGATTCGACCAGGAATTCTCACTCTTAACTTTTCGATCAACGGATTTGTTGATTTGCCCACGAAGTCGGTTCCCAACTAAATTTTAAACGTGATATTTATTTTGCTATGTATAAAGTTCGATTGCAACCTACAGCTAAATCTTTTCGGAGCTCATTCAGTTGAGAGTCAAAGTCGACATTCTCATCTTCAGTGGAAAAGAAGCCAAATTTCTTATCAAACACAGCAAGTATCTGAAAATTTGATTCCGTTGAGACTTTTAAAGTTCTCTATTGAATATAGATATTATTAATTGCCTACTTTTAGCGCATAATGAAGAAACCGAAGAGCCGTCTCTTTATGATTGATAAATGGATGAGAAACACGAACGCGTTCACCCGATTCTGAGTTCGCATAGGCCACCAATTCACCGCCTTTTACCTCAAATTGATAATTGCATTGGTAAATGTATTAAGTAAGAAGATTTTTGATTATTCAAAATTAGTAATTCTTTATTCTACTCCTGTAAATCTATTCTTAAAACTCATGTAGAATAGTCCAAGATGAATTTTTAAGTACTTAGTTCAATTACTCGAGACACTCATTCATCCAAACCTTGATGTTATTGATTCCCAAACAGACATCTTTCAAATCGACATTTTGCTTAAAAGCAGCAATCGCTTTTCGGGTCCAATTTGTTTCTGATTGAGCTGGATTGAGGTGAAGACGAATAAAACCCGGACATCGTTCACAAACCTGAAAAAGCAATCAGAATGAGTCAGCAAAGTAAAGAATCTATTCATATTACATCAAGCTAGCAAACTTCTTTTAATTCAATGGCTGTCATTGTTGATGGAATACATCGAATAATGATTGATGCATATCTTTCAATCAATTGCGACTCATCGTTTTTGCCCTCTTCGTCGGGTAACTCCTGAACTCACTTTTAAACTAAATTTCATACACTTTTCTATCTAGTTTTTACAATGCACCACAAATTCTTGAGCACAGATTTTGCGTTAGCTTGACGTACAATTCCCTCGAGTTTTACATCGGTGACAGTTGATTCGGAGACTTTAGCTGACAAAACTTTTGATAACATCTCGTCATCAGCGCCTCCGAGAAGAACGATTACTAAGTTGAAGAATTAGAAACCTATCTTTAACTTTTGTTGAAAATAACCTTACTACTTCTTGCTAGAGTTTTTATCCTTAAAAGTTTCTAACTTTTTATCCGTGAAACTATTAAATAAAATTAAAAATTGCCCAACAAAATATTTTGATTGCACTAGGTTTGATGCCATAATCAAAAGTAATGTACACCTACAGTAACTCTTACCTACCTGCATTCATGAGTCGCACGATATTTCTCGCATTTTCCGGTTCAAGTGAGAATTCATTCAAATGCCCTTCATTTTTTAGACGATTGTAGACGGCAAGGCGACGTTTAATCTCTTCTTTTTGGTGGGTGAATTTTGTTTTCAATTCGGTTGGATGATATTTTTGCTTGAACCTGAAAGAATCGTTTGAAATTTTATAGTTAATCAAAAACTCATCAAGAAAATTTACTCCAAAACTGAGCAACAAGTTTTGGTCAAATTTATGCTTACGTAGATGGAATAGTGTTTGATAAATTTTATTTAATCACTAACCATTCCTCATTTTTATGTGCCTCGAAAAACATTTTATATTGTCTTTTGTGGTACTCGTCCTTGTATTGCTCGTATTTGTCATGTAATTCTGGCGCATCGTCGGTCAAACCATTTTCCAAGGCATATTTTTGAAGCGAAAGCATTGGCTCCATACCATCCGGTCTGAAAATATTTTTTGGTCATAAAATTCTAGCTTGAGACACCACAATTTTACATTACATAAATACAAGCACAACAGGACTCGTTTTTTACCGTTTTCCAGTCTCATTTTTGACAAATTTTGGACCCAAATCGGGCTGAGTTCTGTTAAAGTTAGATTATTTTATTTTTCATTCTTGAGACCACAGATAATTGTGTTTGAAAACCTACTCATTTCTAGTTCGTTTTGGAGCGGGATCGTCATCTTTTCGAAACGAGGCACCATAACTACGCTTGAATGGGGGACGCCTGAAAACTGCCGTTTGCTTTAAAACTAGTGCCAATATGTACGTGTTTTATTGATTGGTTTGTTTTTTTAACTGTTTAAGTCTTTGGTTTATGAAACACTTCGGGAACTGATTTGTGCCACATACCCTATAGAGTCGTGACTTTTTTGCGGTACTAATTGTAAGGCTTAAAATTAGGTGGTAAGCAAGCTATGTGAATTCTAACCTGTCTGACGGGTCGGGTGGTGGGTGTGTTCCCCCACCACCATTTCTATCATAAGACGATGTGAATGATCGATCGCCACCACCTCTTTCACGCGGGAACCGTCCTCCTGCCCCGTCTCGTCGACGATCCTCCTCATCACTATCATACATGGCCATATCGATTAATCGACCTAAAACCAAAATGAAATCATTTCCTCGACATTTGAGATCGCTTGCTTTAATTTTGGTAAGAACATAATTTATAACGCAAAACGAAATTTTAAATGCGATTATGAGTTAAGCTGTGAGAAAAGGTGTTACCAATTTTTAAAAATGTAAACCTAAAGTGGATGTAAACAAAAAGGTGATATTTGCATAAAATGATAGAATTTTCAGAGGCACAGGGGCAATTTTTGCGGGGCAACGACGCGGTACTCCATATTGGATAGTTGACTCCGCAAATCGTTCGCCGTTTGTTCAGTGGTGTTGTTCCAATATGGGACCCATTACGTTGCATAAGAGGCAAACTTTGACCTGAAGATGGAAAAATTATATTTGTCATTTGCAAAGTTAATTTTGACTACATAGATGTCTCATTCTATGTTGTTAAACGCTTAGAGCTTAAGATAGTATTAGATTATTAAAGTAATGATCATTTCTCAATGCACAAGTCTTTTTTCCTCAAGTTAATCGGCGTAACTAACAATCCAAAAACTTTCCAAATATTTTTCATGTGCCTTCAAATTTCCATGTTTTGTTTTACAATTTTTTTTATCGGTTCATCATTACTGTAAGCAGAAAAACGGCAAAACAAAGCTCTTTCATCACTCAAGATTCCCGACTGGCACTGTTTCATTTTTAGGATGAGTTTCTTGACGATCACAATGAACGGTTTATTGAGTGTTTTGGGTGGTTTCGTCTCATTAAAGTTGATACGTGAATACATTCCAATCTTCATTCAACGTGGTCACTATGGAAATGATCAATGCAAGGTTTGAAATTCTAAAGCTATCAAAGAAATTATTGCTAATTATCGAATTCATTCAGGTGAGCGATGCGCCTGTTCCCGAGCCAATGGGTGTTATCACTGCGGCTGTTTATCTCATTGTTATGTTTATCTTCATTCCATTTCCTTTCATCGAATGGGCATACACAGAGTTGATTTTTCAAGTTTCAATGATTGCAAGAGGGAACTTAGTGATAAACCTTTTTTAAGCTTAATCTATCCCTTTTAGAAGTTAGAGTACCTTTTTTCGAAAACAAAAGCAAAAAAGTCTTTAGAGTTTCTTTTCCACATGATAAATTCTTGGCTTTCCTTTCTGCTATCATCTCGATTTGTACGGCAATTTTACTGGGCTTTGCTGACGATATGCTTGATTTAAGGTAAACAACAAAGACATAAAGCTTATGTATGTAACAAAATTGTGATAAAATTAATTCCTTTCAGATGGCGTCACAAATTACTTTTTCCAACGCTTTCTTCATTACCGGTTTTGATGGTTTACTATGTGCAAGGCGAGTTGACTAACTTGAATAAAAACTTGAATATGTGTTTAGGCAGCTCGACAACGATTGTTGTTCCGAAAATTGTTCGTTACTTTGTGTCATTGATGGGATTTGAGGTAAAGCTTGATATTACTGACAGCGAGTACAACGACGCAAATTCCTGGAGTTTAAGATATTTGAATTACTTTCAGATGACAACTTTTCTTAATATCAGTTTGTTCTACTATCTTTTCATGGGGATGGTAATCGTTTTTTGCACAAATGCAATTAACATTTATGCGGGTGTCAATGGTTTAGAGGTGGATTTCGTCTATCGCATAAAATTATTCCATAAATCATTACCATTCCTTTCAGGTTGGGCAGAGTCTTGTCATTGCTTCATCAATTACTTTGTACAATTTCATACAGGTTTTTCGACAATAGCTTTTCCCATGTTCAAAACCTTTCAGTTATATCGTCTCGATGATCCAGTGACCAGTTGGCAAAACTGGTTATCAATCTACTTTTTGGTGCCATTTATCGCAACATCGCTAATTCTTTATAACTTCAATAAGGCACTTCATTCAAGTTTAGCTCCACCTCAACGTCAATTTATAGTGTCCAGCTCGGGTATTTGTCGGTGATACATACTGTTATTGGGCGGGTATGACATTGGCTGTAGTGGCAATTCTGGGCCATTTTTCAAAAACTGCAATGCTTTTCTTTATTCCACAGGTTGTTTCAAAATGTTTCTTATGTAAAAAAATTCCTTTCAGGCACTCAACTTTATCTATTCGATTCCTCAGTTGTTTCATTTTGTTCCCTGTCCAAGACATCGACTTCCTAAATTTGATGCAAAAACAAATACTGTTGGGATGAGTTTTGCCGAGTTTAAAGTAAGTGCTTTTATATACAAAAGAGTATTACTACGGTAGTATACTCAACAAACCATTACCATAAAAAAGGTAGTTTGACTATATCGTGTGTTTATAAATTATTAAAGTGGAAAAATAGTTTGCGTTGGATGAACTTTTCTATTTAAATCATCAGGAATCTGACCTGGGCCGGATCGGACAATTGATTGTCTCTATTTTGTCCACGATCGGCCTTCTTTTTAGGGAGAATTTCGAAAAAGGTGGAGAAAAGTGAGCTTCTTTCAACTTTTACGATGCAGTTATTGGCCCAATCTCACCAAATTTTTAATTTTAGATGGACTCGAGTTAACAACTTCACAGTGATTAACTTGCTGTTAAAATTTGTTGGTCCGGTGAATGAGCGTGAGTGATCATGAGATAGAATTAAAAACAGCAAATAATCTATATACTTTTCTGTTGTTATCATTGAAACAAAATTTCAGATACCCTCACCAATTTGTTGATGTTGCTCCAAATGTTTTCGTCAATTCTCGCTTTCTTTATTCGTTTTTATTTGGCTCGAATGTTGTATGATGTTGTTTTGTAGGTATAGGTATCTTGATGGTTTCGCCTTTAAACTTTTAACTAATGTTTTTGCTTTTTAAATACTAACTGCTAACCTGTATTGTAAGATAATTCTTTTCACTAGAAAAGCTCTGCTAATGTATATAAGACCCGAAGAGGGTCATCGAAAATACGATAGAAGACCCGGGTCTTATTTGTCGGTGTACTTTGTTCAGGATTAAATAATTTGGCAATTATTTTTGTGATACTTTTCGTATTGAACTCCACTTTTACCTACTTTAACTCTACTTTGATTATTGTTGACTTTGCGTAAAGTTTCGCTTGCTTTTTCAAAGTAGACTGGTTCAACGTAAGCTCTAAATTAAAAGACAACAGCACTCAATATATGAATTTACATTTCGTGAAAAATCAAACTCGAAAACTGAATTAGCTATCAGTGGACCCTGGTTTTGAAATGAAACAATGAAAATTTAAGGTACTCTCATGTAAAGAAAAACAGAAAAAAATCACAGGGTGCGATCAAAATATTGCACTGAAAAAATTTTCCGTGGATTACAAGGTTTTGGAAAGTGGTACAAATTGGATCTGCATAGTTTTAAAAAAATGTAAAATTAAAATGGAATTTTTTATGTTTTTCAGGCGAAATCAGAAGCTGTGAAAGTGTCACGTCGTTTCCCGACAAAATATGAAGAGACCGGTTGAACACGGATACGTCGAACTGAAAATTGGTTGCAAGTGACAAAGTTTGTTGAAGAGAACACGAAATGAATGTTTATGTTTCTCAAAATGATTAGTTGATGTCCAATGAATTTCATCCGAGCTTTTGCGAGAGCTATTTTTTAAGTTCGAATATTCAGAACGAAAACAAGTGTTTAGCAAAAAAATCTACCTGCTAATGGTCTATAATAGAGTCGTCGAACGTGTCTTGTCGAACTTTTCAATCGATGATTGTTTGAGGGTGACAGAGTCTAAAGTGAGTGGTTTTGAACGTCGATTTCTTGGTAGACATGCAATGCCCCTTCAGTGATCATTCAAAGAAAAAGTGAGAAATCCGCCAGAAAGGAAAAAAGTTCCAGAAAAATCGAAAGATCTTCATGCAGAATTCGAGGAACCAACGGTCAACGAAGAATCCTCCAAAATCTCGTCACTCGAAGATTTTCTCGTTGTTGAATCTATATCGGCGGATCGAGTTTCGCTCAATTTCTCGGTATTTTCTTTTGATTTCATTTCGCTTGAAGATGTTGCGATCTCTTCGACACTGCCTGGTTTTTTCACTAAACATATACATACACCACCTGAGCATGTTAATTTGAAAAACCATATTTTATTAGCAATATTAGCAAAAAGACTGGTACTTATGGATTTTACCCACCGCATACTGAATCACTTGACTAAACAAAGGCTGTAACTATGTCTTTCCTAGTTTACCTTAACCTTTATATACTATAATTTAATCTAAAAGTATAATTTAAACATAGTATGCCCATAAATTAAACAGACTTGTATTAAGCTTGTCATATTTTTATGATGAAAAAAATGCGGCGGGCATAACCCATAAGTACCAAAAGACTAACTAAAATAGAAAAAATCAAAGGGAATAAGCAAATTTGAATTTCTAAAGGAGAAGGATCCTGTCTAAAGGATCTAAAGAAGATGCCCATTCCCTTCACACATACCATTTAGATTTGTTAGCTATAAGTTTGTTAATAACGAAATTGATTGAACAATTGTGATTCTGATCTTTTTCACTAATCGAAAGCTTGAAGAAATAAAATCTTTATAATATTAATGACAGATTGTAACGTATTTCTCTCTGAAAACCTCTTTATTTCTTTTGACTTACCTCTTGGTGGACTTCTGTATGTTGTTGTCTCTTCACTCTCATCTTTACTATTTTCCATTTTGGCTATTTTTGTCCCTTTTGTATATCTTCTATGTTTTCTTTTTCTTCTCAACTTCATCTTGCGGTGAGATTTTCGAGGGTCGTTCAACTGAAACGTCATAAACTTGTTGAAAAAGTTGTACTGGCTATGAATTGTGTTGTTTAAGACTTATTTTAATAAAAACATTCATTTAAAATTAAAAGAATTTGTTTCCAAACAGTTTTCTCTCAAAAAATATTACCCGATGGACAGCTTGATGTGGCAGTTCTTTCAGGTTTATCTCCTCACTCACTGTCACATCTCCTCCCCATTTTGCTCTTTCTTTTTCAGGTTCCATCGAAGATTTTACACTAAATACAGTGATTGCGTTTGTTTAACTAAAAATTTAACAACGCAGCCGCTATATTCACTCATAGTTAGTTTCCAATTCAACACACCTGTTTTGTCGTTTCTCCAATAAATTCTCGTTTGAATCGACGCGATTAACCGAGATTTCTTTCAAATTTTCTCTTAAAATATATTTGCTTGCAAATCAGGAGATCTTTATCATTTGTGAAACTAACCCTTGTGGCTCAAACGGAAACGAGTCAGGTCCATTTCCCGTGGCAAATTGCCTCTCAACATCACTTTCGGAAAGAATTGGGTAACTAAACGAACTGGATTCTTGTTTTATTTTATTTTGTGTGCTATCAGGCTATGACACAGTGCCTATGGATAATGCTTTATCACTTGTGATTTGGGGAGATACAACCTGATAATATATTTTGCCCTTATCTGTTTTGCGGGTAATGGAGAAAGGAAAAATAGAAAATATTAGATTTAGGAAAAGTTATGGCCTTTAAAGCTCGCCCACTGCTCAAACTACCCTGAAAACTGCAAAATACACCAGAAGCGGACAAGAACCTTCATTTTGTTTGAATCACTCATAAATAGGTGTCAAGTGTCTTGCATACTTCTTTGGTCTTTTTGATCTCATTTACCTTGATGGAGTCGTAGTAGTTGTGCTGTGTTCATCTCTCCGATATTCCCGTTTATTTTCATTTTTATGATACATTCTCTTCTTCTTCCTTGACAGTCGTTTTCTCTTTTTGTGACCGTGTCGCCTCTTTTTCTTGTGCTGAAGATAACAAAGTCGAGATTTTAAATACAAAGTCTAACGTAGAACATTCAGTTTTATAAACCAATAGTAAGTCCCGAACTAAGCTAAGCCATCTTTAGTCGGAGAAAGCTTCACAAAAACTAAAAATGTAGGTTGTCTACTTTTTGGCTTTGCTGACATTTACATTTTGTCCAGACAAGCGCTCAAAATAATTCTGTTTAAAACAGAACGTTTGGAACGCTTCTCTGGGCCGGTTCTATTAAAATCGTTAACTGAAACTGTCGAAATGATGAACACTGCAAAAACTTTCTACAAAAGCTGTTTTTCCAAAACGCCCAAATCATTCAAAAAAACTTCTCTTCGACTCACCAATTTAGGCAAGACCCTTGTCGGTTCTCCCCTTGCGATGTACACAAATTTCTCATCATTTTCCTCGGTTGTCATTTCAGTGTTTTCTCTTGATTTCACTGCGACTGTTTGACGATTTTGGTTGAAATGGTCGATGTAACTAAAACAAAGGCTAAACTTCCAAAAAGTTCACTTATTATTAGTGTTCCCTAGCTATGTCTAGTTAAGTATTTGTCGATGTAAAAAATTTCAACAAACCGATCTAATTCTTGATTGAGGAGAGCTTCAACTGCGTGTAATTTCTTTAATAATTTCGTCTTTCGTTGTCCATCGCTGTGTGCCACCGAATTCCATAATGATTCCGTAGAAGAGTCCCAGGTGGCCTGCAACTTGTTTTGCATGTGTTTATATTTGCTTGATAGACAAATATGTTTTGACTAAAATTTAAAAGTTAAAATAAGTAAATTAAAGTCCTAAACCAATCCAATCAACTAACCGCGCTTGCCATCGTCGAACTACTTGCCGGCTTTCGATGTTTATTCAATTTTCTCATTGCTTTTTTGTAGCCAGGTAATTTGTGCTTTCTTCGATAATATCGCAGCGGAGATCGATGAAAAGTGTTTGCTTTGTTGTCTTCATGTGAATCATTTTCATGAGCAGCAAACAAATTTTCTTCGTTATTTTCCGTGGATGTTGGGAGTTGTGTTGTTGGTGGAGCAGTTGGGGGCTGCATTGTCACCGTTTCTGCTCTGAAAGTGAATTTTTGAAGTGTCCCGTCAAACGAAACAAAAAAGACTTTGAACTTCAGGAAAGCATAGCTCAAGAAATAACTTTCACGAATTACACAAATGACTCAGATGTAACCCTGGATCAAGCATAAACACGAACGACTGTTCTAATAAATCATTTCAATTTTTATTTCCTGTGTATTTTCCTATTGTAATTTTGTGATAATAACCTATTTCTTCGAGTATCCACATCATCTTCGTTGTTTGGAAAAATACCGAACATTGGATTTGGCGTCCAATCCGTTTCCCTTTCGTCTTCTTCTGGCTCCAACTCGAAACGAGCGGGCATAGTTGGCGGTTGCCGAGTTCTGTAAAAAAAAGTTTCATTGCCCATTCCGAAGTTTCGTTTATTGCCCATTGCTGTGTACTAGTTTTTTGAGTTAATTACCTATTCTCAAGTCTATTGTATTTTGGAAAAATAATTAGAACCTTTAAAGCATCTTTCTCACCTGCCCATTGGCCTAGTTGTGGGCTCGGTTTGATCATCAGAAATCAAAGTGGGCATCATTTGAGAGGCAGTCGTTTTCAAAAGATCTCCCTCAATGTCCTGTGCAGGACTGACCATATTTTGGCCGTACCCCTTGAGAATTTCGATATCTAATGGTGGTTCGGGTGGAATCTCTTCCACACTGCCCATAATTCTTGGGTTGCTTTCAAATCGATCTCTTGTATTTGCTCTTTCCATATCCTCGGGTGTCACCGTAATCAATTCTTGTTCTCCTCGTAGTAGTGGGGTTCTTTCAATTGATTTCAGTGTTTCTTGTAGATCTTCCGGAACAATCATATCCATTTGGTCAGTTGTGGAGAAGCCGTCTGGTTCGGTACTCTGAAATCTCAATAACCAAATGGCAAGAGTGTTTTGTTTAGACAAATGGTTCAAGATTAGAAAATCCTTGAAGATTCAAGAAAGCTCAAAGTTCTTTGTTTTCAAGTGTGCAATTTCAGATTTTTTTCCAAACTAATATTCTTTCTTTATTACCTAAAAATAGCATTTTTAGCGTTCAGATAAGAATATTACCGGCCAAGGAGTGGTTTCTTCGGACAGATTGTACAATTCGGATTGTGGTGGTGGAAGTGTTGATGTGGTCGTCTCAAAGCTTGTCTCATCACTCGCAATCTAAATGTGAGTATTTATTCTAATCGAATTACTTCCTCTTGTTTACCATCTGTAGATTATGCTACTCATACATAAGCTATTTAATTTCACTTACTAGTTTTCCGAATTCTCTCGGCTCAATGTCCAGCGAGGTTTCCGGGAGTCGCTCAAAAGCTTTCTATAACTCAGACTTTAATTTCGTAGTTGCTTTCGGAGTTTCTTTATAACCAATACAAAATTACTCTAAAAACTTGCCGGTTCTTCAAATCCCCGGCCAACGACGTCGTGTGACTCCTCTAGTATTGGCTTCTAAAAGGCATGATTTCAAAATACTATTAGGTAGCTAAAAGCTAGTTCTATTTCGAAGCTATTCAAAGCACCTCTTGGTGTTCTTCTGATTCAAGAATGGGCAATTCAATAGGCGAAAAGGAATCGACTTCTTGTTTTGTTGTTGTCATTTCAATTCTCGGCACTTCGGTTGTCGTACGCATCTCGAGTGATTTGAACTCGGAGAACTAATAGTGAGAAATGTTTGACGATATAGAAAGACTCATTCAAATAACAAAGGTTTTTAACTTCTTTCCATTTTTCAAAAAAGAAATCAGAAACCTGATCATCAATGGATCGAGTGATGGATGGTAAAGCTTGCTTGTGATCATCAGGTAAGGCAACCGTTACAGCTGGTTCATCTTCATAGTCTCCCCAATGGTGGAAGTGTTGATTGAGAATTGGATTTGATTGGAAAACTTGGGTTTGGATGAAACATTGCTGCTGGTTGAAGCTAAAAAGGCCTTTGCATTAGTTTTAGTAGTGACTGATCTAGCTTTTTGGCAGATGGTTTGATAGATACCAATAAATTATTGTTATCGCTAACAAAAGACAAGTCTACTTAATGTATAATACTTCGTGAGAAGCTTAGTTGTTGCTTAAAGAATTTAGGCAAGCTCGCTTTTGTTTAGACAATTTGTTCGGAATTCTTTTATTTCTTACCGCATCCATTTCCACATTCGGGTCATCTATCCGAGAACGATACGAGACAAACTAAAATTTAATTCTTGGCACAAAATGTAAATTTTTTCGATAGTTTATTACTAACTTTACCTCTTGATCTTTGTCCCCAAACACTTCGGATGGAGTTGAATGCTAAAAATATTTCATTTAATTCATTGATTCAACGCCGATCAAAGTTACCCACCAAAACTGGCTTTCTTCTCAACTTTTTTCGACGCATTGTCCTAAGCATTCGTTGAATTGAATTTGCATCCAACTAGAAAATTTCGAGTTTGATAAAATTTGTAACAGTCGGGAAACAAAAAAGTTACCTGTCCAAGTAATTTTTCTTCTAATCGATCTCTTTCATTTCTCAATTCTCTTTCTTCATCTTCTAAATGTCGATTTCGATCACTCATCACATTGTTCACATTAACCATTCCACTTTGAGGAAATGATTCGGATGGAAGGGCTCTGAAACAAGGAAAAAGTTAATCCTACCTTGGGAGTTATGTAAAACTTGCGAACTGAGAACTTTTCTATTAGGTTGCTGAACAAGTCTTTTTGTTCCTTTTCGTACTTCCATTTAAAACCAACAAATGCACCAATTGAACTACGGTTTGTTTCATTAGAAAGGCCAATTATTTTTTTGTAAAATAACATTAAAACGGGTTAAGAATGTCTTATGTCTGAATTTTTTTTTTGGGAGCGTGAAGTCAGGTAGTCAAAAAGGGCGACGGCTCGATGATGCGATTTAGACACTTTAGCTAAGGAAACCTATCTTTGTGTCAATAGATAAAAGGTAGAGCACAAAAAATTAGGTATATAGCCAAATTTTCAGAGAAATTCATTCAGCCAATTTCTTCTTAGAGGTTTTTATAGGTTTTTACCGAAACACGTTTTCACTCTCAAATTTGCTTGAAAGTGAACCCAAATTGACTCAAAAAGATGGGAAATTGAACAATAAACACTTTTTATTTAGAGTAAACCATAGGTTAATTGGTGAATTTGTTCTTGTTCAACGGAAATACGAAAAGGAACAAAAAAAATCAACGTAATATTTTGGGATCGTTGGGTGTTTTACTAAAAAGTTAGGCGCGCTCTATCTTTTAGAGTTTTTTGAAAGTTTAAAAGTTCATTCCGTGACTAATGATTTTTTTGCTTTACCCTTGGGAAATTTTTGGTGTACTTTCATCTTTATTTGATCAGTCAATTCAATTTATTCTCGGAAAAAATGTATTTGGTAATTGTCAAGCAAATTTAAACCAGTTAACCAATTTGAAGAGAAAATTTGAAATCCTTCTAAATCATCTAATCGTATCTCTATTTCAAAAAAGAAGTTCATCAGAAACGAGGTCGTCCCGGGTAAACAATTGATTTCTTACTTTAAAGTCGAAAAACTCAAATTTTAAAGAAGTAGAAAATTCAACGTAATTCAACGTAAACTGGATGTTACCTTTTAGATTTCATTCATTTATTTGTTTAGATCTGGCATTTTCAATAAAGATGATCCATCTGTGATTTCTTTTTAGATAAAAGCTTATTTATACATATTTTATCTGACCTTCTCTCTGAATATCCAATTGCATGTAGATAAACGGGTTGATCCTTTGAACGAGAACCTTCAAATTTGTCCGATTCCAGTGAGTTTTGCGTTTGGATCTAAATAAAAATTGTTGTTAATGATTGTAATAATAAAGCATTATCATCCATATCACATATATAATAGTTTTTTAAACATTTTTGTATCAAGACCGGTTTTTGTTATGAGTTACAAGCCGTTGTTCTTTGTTGCCAAGGACTAAAGTTCACAAAATCGTTCTATACTTTCTGTTCATCCCACCTGCAATTTCAATTAATTTTATAAACTGAATTTTAATTTATCAGCGTCTTTTCTGTCTGCAATTCTGAAAAATTTTTGCCTCTAGGATTTTACTTTGAAGTTATTTATTGGAAAAAAATTAGAAAGGCGGTAAAAATTTTTTAACGTGATCTCAAAAGAATTGGGCAGCTTTGCGAACAAAAAACCGTATTGAGTATTCTAGTTCAATGGAGAGTTTTTTTAGTTATAACAACCAATCGAACTTGTTTAGTTGGAAAATTGAATTTTTTCTATGTTCATTCGCTTTCAAAAAGAACTCAAACTATCAAGGTTTACTTATTTATTTTTACTTACATTTTTGGTTTGTACTTTTTTTTGTTAAATTGCGAATCCTTCCAAGCATACATTCTTTTTTCAAGCCAGCTCAGCTGAAAAGTTGCTCCTTTTCTCCTCACAAAACTTGTCAGATGAAAAAAGATTTAGAACTTACTATTAACAAACTTACATTGTTTGTATTTTCAGAAAATTTCTCTTTGCTACAAATCTCCCATTTTCTGGTTCAGAAAAGGGCTTTTGTTTGAAAGTCTTTTCATCTGACGACAATCAGACAATAACTTATAGTTTTTGGGTTTTTGCTCAATCGGAAACAAATTCCGTGAATAAGTTTGATTTTTGTGGATACGTCGACTTAGATGGAACTATCGAAACAAAAGCATGTATTCCAATCTGAGAAATTCATATAAATTCTTGTTTCTTTGCTCACTATCAATAAGTTCAGTCTTTAGTGTTCTCCTGTTCTCTATGTTTCCCTATCACATCGAAAGTGGTTATTTTTGTCTATTATTGGCCATTTTCCTCAATGGTTTATTGATTGCCTTGGTCGTTCACTATACAAGAGCTCCAATAGGAAATTACCGTTATTTTCTGATTGGAATGGCTGTTTACGAGATTATCTATGCTGCATCGCATGCTTTCATCTCACCGGTACAGTTATTTCGATAAGCTTCCAACTTTAAGTGGCTTTAAGTATTAGGTATTAGAAGTCGTAGTACTTATTCTGCATTTTTAGATGCTTTACACACAGCCAGGGATATTATTGGTACTTCCAATCAATCCACTTCTTTTTAATGCTCAAATTTCATTGTCTCAAATACTGATTGTCTATATGGAGAGCACATATGCCGCAACAATGATCATGCTAACATCCCATTTCCTTTATCGCTATATCACCATTTGCAAGTACGATTATTGCTTGGTTAATTCAATTGAGTCTCAAGCCAAACCAAATAAAATGAAAGAAATGTTTTTGTTTCCAGAAAAGAATACTCATTTCTCTTCGAGACTTTATCTGGTTTTTCTTTATCCGGCCTATCGATGCTTTCATTGGCTTTTCTTTGGGGATTTATTTCATGGATTTGTTTTAATCCAAATAAGGATAGATCAAGAAAAGTCTGAGAGCCCTATGAATATATTGGCTAAATGAAAAGCTCTAGATTGATTCTGTGTTGAAAGTTCATTTCAATCTACATTCCAACGAAACAGCTTATACATTAGTGGAGTATTGGGTAAGTTAACGAAAAACAGATAAGCAAAACAAAAAGACAGCATTGCTCTTTCGAATAAACTTGAATTTTTTAAATCTTCGAATTTGAAATCGGTTCACGGAGCGCTGAGCTCCAGACAAAGCGTTACGAACGGACGGAGATCTTTTTTATATATGCGTCCTGTTCCAAACAGGACGTCCGAAACGGAACGAAAAGTTTTGTTCAGTTTCGGACGTCCAAAACTGTTTCGGACGTCAAAGACGAGTGTGCGAATATGCTTTTATAATTTGTCTATGGTATTACATTTTACATTCATACTTTACGATGGCTGTGGTATACATACCATAGGCAAATTATAAAAGAATAGGTTGTGATTAGGAAATAGTATTAGCACATTCGCCTTTGAATACATTTGCATTTATTTGTCTTACTTGTTCTTGTTCAGTTTCGGACGTAACTTATGTACAGTAGAGACCCCATATTTATACGCCGATATATTAAATAGTGAGATTTCACTCGTCTTTAAACTAATACAAAACGCTTTTTGCTGCTGATTGTTGTCGACTACAGTCAATTAACTTTTTGATTAACTGATGCTTTTTTAAGGACATCGAATCGGGTGCATTCAATCCAACAGCATGGATTGGAATGACGGTTATTGGGGCAATCTGTGGGGTAAATTTAGAATAACTACATTCACAAACAATATTATTGGAGTACAAACAGGAAAATCTAGGTATGCTTCATTTGTATCGCTTATTGCGGATATCATACTTATGGCGAGATTTCCTCGAATCAAAAAGTGATGAGCCAAAAATTGAGGACATTGCAGAAGCAACTTTTCTACAGTTTAACTGTTTTGGTAAGTGAAAAAATAATCTTGTTAAAGCAAAAGATCGTATTTTGTTTGCTAATGAAAGTTTAGACGCTCGTCCCCGTGTTCACAATCTATTGTCCAGCTTTATGTGTATTTTGGGGTCCGGCATTGGGAATTGGTGTTGGTGAATTGGCTGTGGTCACTTCATTAGCTGGGTCACTTAATCCACTCATTGATCCAATTGTTATCATCTACTTTATTGGTGAGTTCTGCGGATAGAAGCATGTATGTATAACTAGCATAATAACATTAAAGGAAATAGGCATGACTTTTGCAATTTTTTACAAATTCCTACCGTTTCCCCCAATTTTAGGTGACTACCGCCGGGCTGTTCGTTTTCTGTTATTTAGAGGAAAACCAAGAGGGCAAATCGACACCACGGACTATTTTCAGCAATCCACTGATATTGGTGATCACCGTCGACGCTTACCGCCGATTGCAGCTAGTGTAAATAAATTTTAATTTTAGTATGGCTCTAGCATTAAAAACTAGCCCATATATTTTGATCGGCGTCCTTGAAGCTTTTTGACTTTGTTGCTTGTTACGTTTTTTGACCAAAACCAAAACTAAAAGCCAAAAGTTCACCTTCCGACTTTCATCAATCATTGTTCGATTTGAAGCCAGTGTCACTTTTTGCTCTCCATTCAATGATCTAAACGACATTTTTTTTAAAAAACAATACACACTTTCTAAATTTTGTATTTTTTAGCTTGATAGAAAGTAAAGCAACAAAATTATTAGCAGACAAATTGAAACTAATCTCACCTCGTTTGTCGAATTTTTGTCTCGTTAACGCTCGCGGGATGTTCATTCTGAAAATTCTCCCATACTTTTAAATCTAATATCTCCGCTATTAGGGTTTGCATTATTTCTTGTTTAAATAACCTGAAAGAAATGGCTTTGGTTGCTTGAGATTTCTCGTTGTATCCATGGTGCCAAGAGTAAATATAAGAATATTGATGATAGACCGAAGATAAAAGCCAAAAAAAGAAAACGAAAGATGTAAGTGTGGAAATACTAAAATTGAGATTAAATTAGCTTTACAATTAGGCAATTCATTACCGATTCGACATCATCCTTCTTTGATGGAGTCTTCTCTTTTCTTGATGAGTTTGTGAAAGGACTGGGTGGTAGAGGCTTTGAATAAAAATGATTAGAATTGATAGATGGCACTTGAGGTGATTTTGTTGCTAATGATGAGGATTGATGGGCAGTTGTGGATGTAGAGGCCTCCCATGGAGTACCTCCTTCGTCCATCCTTCAAATGAATAAATAGATGTTTTAGAAAGCACAAAAACTGAAAAAGGAAAACTAAAAGCTCGAATCAACATATGTTATTCAATCCTAGTGGGATTTAATATATAACTTGTTTAAATAGGCACGAATGTAAACACACAAAATAATATTGAGAATAGGATAGGTGATGAACATAAAGTTCCCTGGTTATTTTTGGTTATTCATTAAATATTTTTAAGGATTATGAAAACAGGCAAAAAAAAAAGTTGGTTAAATTCTTTAAATCCATGAAAAGACTAGCTTTATCTTTCTTCTACTAACAAACAAGTTTTTGTAAGGAAATTGAGTGGTTGTTTGACGGTGAACACTTTACAGCTAAAAAAGCCGCGTTTTGACCAAGTTTCTGAAATCCGGCAATCTAGAGCTTTGAGAAAGGGATGGGTGGGAGAATCAGGCCATTGATGATCATGGTTGAATAAAAAATAAAAGTTTAGCAAGAAATCTAAAAGACTTATCAAAATCTAGAGCAATTAGCTCACAAATAAATGCTAAATTCTATTGCCGATTTCAAAATTTACGATTGAAGTCTCAGAAGTTCAAGTAAATGATGCAGAAAAGCAATAAGTGGAAGTGGTTGAAAGTCTAATAAAGAATAAATGAATTGACATCTCTGACCATAAAAATGAATTATACGGTAGTTTTATGGCAAGGAACGGGTTCTTGTGAGCCTTCCTAAATGGGAAGTCACCATTCGAAGTGTTTGTACAAGGACGACCGCCTTTTTCGTCTCCACCAAAAAGTCATCGTTTTTCGAAAAAACCCTGGAGCGAATTGGGCAAGAGAAAATGTGTGGGCATTGCCAAAAACGACAGATTTAATCTTTGGGCAGATCTTCCTTGGTTCCCTTTTTCTCTCTTACGGATAGATGAAGCTCGACTACACGCCACCACCGAATAGGATGACCGGAAAACTTGAACATTGTTTGAAAAATTTGCGGCTTTTCGCAAATTGCGAATTCACACTTTCCAAGCGTGTAAATTTTTCGCTGCCCAAATATTTGGATTGTCTTGGGATAGAAGTGCGCACACTTGGATAGAAGGCAGAAAGGGTAAATTATAAGAGGTGGATGCTAGTCTTCAAAATGAAACAAACAAAAGCCAATTTAATTGCTTAGTTCGTCTTGTTTTGTTGTGATTGTATTTCAGTTTATCCAAGTCAACTAAAAAAGTTACGACTTATATGAACGTTGTTCCAAAGCAGGTCACTACTGAGTTTCAATGCCAAAAACATACTAAACTTAAAAAAGACCATTTCAAAAATAATTAAGCCGACCTCTAATTGAGCTGCGTGGGGTAAGGGGGCTTCAATCCAGTGAAATCGCCAAGAAGTCAAGGTAATCATCTTGGAATCTGTGTCTGGGGGGGAGGGGAGAGTTCTTTTTGAAAAGACACTTTAGCTTTGCACAAACTCGGCGAATATTTGGCGAGAAAAAAACTTGAAAAGGACGAAAGAGATTTTTTTCAAAGAGTTTCTGGGGCAGATCCCCGTTCAAAGATAGGGGCCGAGACACGATTTTTGGGATTTTCCACGCTTTTTTTGAAATAACTTTGAATTGGAATTGATTCAGACTTTCGAAATGCAAAGTTTTCATAAAAAGGAGTTTTGTCGCAGCAAATAAAAATTGGAAAAACTAAAAAGAAGACCCAAACTAACATTTAAACGGTATACTTTTATGATCTTACCCGTAACAAAATTTCCAAAAAGTAACCCCTTTTATCTTCTTTCTACACTCAATTTCGACATCATATACACCGGGTTTTGAGTTTTGAATTACAATTCAAGTGCTGTTTTTTTTGAATTTCTCGAGGTCCGCTGTGAGACGACGATTGCCTGAATCTCAATGAAATTTCAACGCAAAAAGTAGAATATCAAAGAATCAACAAGTTACTGCTGGCACTTGCTTTGGAGCTTTTAACTAGAAATTTCATCGACAGAATGCAGATACTCAATTCGTGGTACTTTGCAAAATTGAACAAATTGTTCTTAAAAATGTAAATAATTGCAATATGCAAACCGTTTAGTGAAAAAAGCTGACTAGTTTTGGCGATGATTTAGAGGTCAATTCGAGGGATGACTAGAGGAAATTGAGAGCTCACCGGCTATGGAAAAGCCGGCTATGAAAGTCGAAGAATGGAAAACGTTTAAGAGGCAAAAAAAGTATTATAGGAAAAGTTGAATGATGAGGAGAACATCAAAAAAACCACCGATTGCTCGCGTATAATTTCGGAGAAATCTAATGGAAAAAGATTTTAAGGTCAGCAAATTAGGGTGCGTTTTGGAGAAGTTTTGGTTGCTTTTCTCATGTGATTCGCTCTTTTGCGCTTTATTTTTGATGTGATTAGGTTCATCCCCCTTCTTCCTTCTTGAGTTTAACAGGAAAAATAATTTTTTTACCGAGCGTTTTGTGGATTTGGGTTTATCTGTGGAGTTCCACGGATTGAATACATAGCAGAGTTTTAATATTGTAGACATGTGAAGCTAAAATTTTAAATAAGTATACAGAAAGTAATCTTGCGAAAGTCATTTAATGAGTTATCAAAGTTAGCGCAAGCTTACACAATTAGAATTTTTTCTCTTGATTACTGCGTTCTGATTTTTCAAAATTACCATAATCTTTCCTTCTATTCTTATCAAATCAATATATAAAAAGTACCCTATTTTGGAATCTTTCGGTATCCCCAGCAGATTCAGACCAAGCGTAGAGATTGGACAAAAACTAATGGTATAGTCACGGTAGTTTTCGAAGGTATATTCATATTAAAAACAATAAAAAAGGTAAAGGAACAAACTCTATGTACGGTGTAGAAATAATCAAAAAAAGTAGCTAGCTATTCAAACCACAACGAGTAAGCATACGCTCAGCAAATGAACCACACACCGCTAAGGAGAAATTTTTTGATGGGAGAAAAGGAGAGCTGGTCGTTTTAGTGCTTTCCAATTAACCCCATCTTCGGTGGATTTTTGTCGAGGGGAAAGTTTCTGTGAAAGGGAAAATTTCTCGATAAACATGCATTGGAGAAAAAGGGTAAGCGACGTAAAATTTGCTTTCCACAAAAAAATACCCTATAATTGAAAGGAAAAACATTAAAGCTCGGGTTCTCTGATTTTAAAAACATTCACTTGGGATACGAGACATAATTTTTAAGGATTTATACATACCAAAATCTGTGAATTTGTTTTAGGCTCTTTATATATGTCGATTTAGTTTGGTGAGTTTGGTTTGAAAAAGTTATCAAGATAAAATTTGATTTGAAACAATTAAATCAAAAAATTTTACATTAACAGCTTCTGTGATCTTTGTTTAAGACTTCACTTTTCTCCTAAATTCTCCACCCACCATTTTCACCACTTTCAATGCATGAGGTTGAATGACTGTTGATCGAGGCCACCGATAGGTCATTCGCGAATAGGTCAAAGAAAGTGGAAAATCCCTCAAAAAAAAAAAGTGGAAAATCGCAACTCGATTAAATTAGTGATCGTCGAAATTCTGACATTTAATCTTTCCACTCAATTTACCTATAAATTTGCAAAACGAGTAACACATAATTAGGGAATCCAGTTAATTGTTTAAATCGATTGTGTAATTAATGAAGCACTGACAATTAACTGAACAATTGACAAATTGATCTGCTTTACTGAAAACTCCGTCTACTAGCTTTTATCGCATCCGAAAAAATTTTTTTCATATTTTGTTTGACTTTGAGAGAACAAAAGATAATATTGCCGCTATAGTTGAATTGCACCCTTTCTACCGTAGGCAATCTTATGGGCAGACAAATTTTCCAAAAGGTCTGCGATAATGTCATTCCTTTCGAAGATTTTTATTCTTTTACTTTTTGACCTGCCTGTGTTTCAATTTTAATTTTCAATTATTAAAAATTTATTTTAGAAGATGTCATCGCGTCATCGCATCGATCTGAACGAAGACCGTCGTCGTCGTGATCGCTCAAGGGATCGTGACAGTCGAGATGATCGAAAAAGACGCTCAAGGAGTCGCTCACCTCGTCGAGGAGACAATTCTCATTCCAATTCCTACAACATCAAATCCGAGATGAAATACGAGCCAACACGCCAGGGGTCAAATCCATTGAACGGGTCAACATTGTCGCGTAAGTATTGGGACATTTACGAAAAACGCATCAAGTTACCTGTTTGGGAGTACAAGGAATCGTTCTTGGAACTACTTCATCAAAATCAGATATTGACACTCGTCGGAGAAACTGGTTCAGGAAAGACAACGCAAATTCCACAATGGTGTTTGGAGTATGCAAGGAAATATGCAATTCCCGGCAAGAAGTCTCTTGTCGCGTGTACTCAGCCAAGGAGGGTGGCTGCGATGTCAGTTGCAACACGTGTAGCTGATGAATTGGATGTACAAATTGGACAAGAAGTCGGATACTCAATTCGTTTCGAGGATTGCATTTCGGAGAGAACAATGTTGAAGTACTGTACCGATGGTATGCTTTTGAGGGAAGCGATGAACTGCCCACTTTTGGACAGCTACTCGGTGATTATTCTTGACGAGGCCCACGAAAGAACACTTGCTACTGATATTCTGATGGGGTTGATCAAGGAGGTGACAAAACAACGAAAGGATATCAAAGTGGTGGTGATGTCAGCTACACTCGATGCGGGGAAGTTTCAAACTTACTTTGACAATTGTCCATTGATGTCTGTGCCCGGGAGAACGTTTCCCGTAGAAATCTTCTTTACACCCGAACCGGAAAAAGATTATTTGGAGGCGGCAATTCGAACGGTTGTTCAAATTCATGTTTGTGAGGAAACTGAGGGCGATATTTTGCTCTTTTTGACAGGACAGGAGGAAATTGAAGAAGCGTGCAAAAGAATCAAAACACAAGTTGACAATTTGGGACCTGATGTTGGAGAGTTGCGTTGCATTCCTTTGTATTCAAGTCTTCCACCCGCTATGCAACAGAAAATCTTCGAGCCGGCACCACCAAATCGTCCTAATGGAGCTATTGGACGGAAATGTGTCATCTCAACAAACATCGCTGAGACATCGCTAACAATCGATGGAGTTGTATTTGTGATTGATCCGGGTTTTTCGAAACAAAAAGTCTACAACCCAAGAATTAGAGTTGAGTCCCTCTTGGTGTGTCCAATCTCGCAAGCTTCTGCTATGCAGCGTGCTGGTCGTGCCGGACGCACAAAGCCTGGGAAATGTTTCCGACTCTACACGGAAAAAGCCTACAAAGAGGAAATGCAAGAGCAAACTTATCCTGAGATTTTGCGATCGAATTTGGGAAGTGTTGTGCTACAGTTAAAAAAGCTCGGAATTGAGGATCTTGTTCATTTCGACTTCATGGATCCACCTGCTCCAGAAACACTGATGAGAGCTTTGGAGCTATTGAATTACTTGGCCGCAATTAACGACGAGGGAGAGTTGACCGAATTGGGATCATTGATGGCCGAATTCCCTTTGGATCCCCAACTTGCCAAAATGTTGATCACAAGCACTGAGCTCTGCTGCAGCAATGAGATTTTGTCAATTGTGGCCATGCTCTCTGTGCCTCAATGCTTTGTCCGTCCAAATGAAGTTAGAAAGGAAGCTGATGAGGCGAAAGCTCGTTTTGCTCACGTGGACGGTGATCATTTGACTCTTCTCAATGTTTATCATGCTTTTAAGCAAAACAGAGACGATACTCAATGGTGCTACGAAAATTTTATCAACTATCGAACAATGAAAAATGCAGACAATGTTCGTTCGCAACTCTCGCGAATCATGGACAAATTCAACTTGCGTCGGATTTCGACCGATTTCAAAAGCAAAGACTACTACGTGAACATCCGAAAGGCATTGGTTGCCGGATTTTTCATGCAGATCGCTCACCTTGAGCGCAGTGGACACTACATTACCGTAAAAGACAATCAAATTGTCAATCTTCATCCATCAACGGTTTTGGATCACAAACCTGAATGGGCACTCTACAACGAATTTGTTTTGACAACAAAGAATTTCATTCGAACCGTCACGGATGTCAAGCCCGAATGGTTGCTGCAAATTGCGCCTCAATACTACGATTTGGCCAACTTCCCCGATTGTGAAGCAAAACGAAAATTGCTTTATTTGAAGAAATCGATTGACGCGAGAGGATATTAATTTGTCGATTGTTTTTGTCACCAAGTTTTAATTATATTTTGTTGTTGTTATTGGTGATCTATGAAGATGGCTGACTAAGTTTATCTACTCAATCAATTTGAAGCTGAAACTTTTAAATAAATGTTACAGCAAACTTTTCATGCCTTTCATGTATCGCCTTTTTTAGATCTCAAAATCAATTACCGTGATGTTTCAAGAATTATTTCGGACTTTTGTTATGTTAGGGAAATTTCCATTGTTATCATTTAAAATTTCGTATATTAATTTCAATTTTTATCGTCAATGAATAAATTTGTTTTCAGGACAAACTGCTCCTTCGCTCGAAACGGAAAGCGCTTCCCAGTGGGACAAGCGATCATTCATTGAAGAGAAAGGATCGGCAAATTGAGAACGGAGACGTGATGGTGGTATGGTAGTTTGTCTTCTATATAAAAGATGAGGCATAAAAGATTTTACAAATTGCACCTCAAAACTTTTTGTTCAACTTCCTCGATTGTGAAGCAAAGCGAAAATTGCTTTATTTGAAGAAATTACTTGACGCGAGGGGGTATTAAGCTATCAAAAATGATAAAGGCGCATCGTAAAACCCTGTCTTAAGCTTTAAGTGTATTTTATAGCCTTTGAGTAAAAACAAAGCAAAAACTTATCTTTAGGAAACCACTTTCAATGAAGAATGGCCAAAAGTGCATGACACGGTGGTAAATTTACTCTATCAACGAGTAAGTTTTAACAATTTTCTGCATTTTTTCTTATTTAGCCCGTTGACAAAAATGACTGGCAGGGGATTTTTCCAACAATATTCAAAATTCACTCATGGGTTGATGATGGTGATAATCAGGTAAGGCATTTTGAAAAAACTAAGTTCAGCTAAAATAAACATTCAACACACTCTTCTTTTTTCCAGATCCGACAAGCTCTTTCACAAGATATTGCTCGATACGTCGATGAAGCCGAAAAGGTGGTTCAAAATGATCGTAATGTTGAATATATTTCTATTTCAGACTGTACTCTCTAAAAAGATCAACATTGATTTACTGCACACATATATTACTGAATGGAATCGCTTCTATCATCAGTCGAGCATTTTGCCACTTCCTTTCAAAGTAACTTATGCACCCAAATTTTGTGACAGTATAAATTTCAGCCGTTAGAGAAACCGCCAAACAACAATACCCTTGAACAGCGAAGAAGTCCTGGGGTCACTTTAAGTATTAGACAGGTAAACTTAAGCAAAAACTTTGTTAGAACATAATGAACTTATACATATATGTAATTATGTGATAACAATGCAGGTAATGTTCGACACGTGGAATCGAATGATTTTTGGCAAAGTGGCGGTTCGACTATTGGACGCAGCTATGGAACTTGTGGAGAAAGAGCGACGAGGAGAACAAGTCGACCCGAAACTTATATCGGGAGTGCGAGAAAGTTTTGGTTAGGTTTTAAAAAATTTGGCAATGAGTGCCTAATACAAAAACAATGTTGAACCTTTCACTATGTACTTACTGTAGATGAATTGGTTAAGCAGTATTAGATCTTTAACATCTGATCGTATATCGAATATATTGTATATAAAATCAGGATCCAACTCTGAGATTAAAAGTAGATACCACCTATTTCAGTTGCCCTTCACGAATCCGAGCTAGAACCCCTTGAAGCCTATCGATCGTCATTTGAACGAGCCTATGTTGATCGGACAATCGCTTTTTATAAACTAGAGAGCGCTCAGGTAAAAAACAACTCAATTTAAAGAACACTTAATAAGCAATTGTTCAGTTCATTGAACTAAATGGCGTACGCGACTACATGGCGTTCGCCGATCAGAAATTAGAAGAAGAGGAACAGAGAGCTGAAAAATATCTTGCCAAATGCGGCGTCAATAGGGTGTGTTTTAAAAAGACTTATTTTGAAGCACACAGTTTTGCTTTCAGCTTATTGATGCCGCTGTGCGGGTACTTGTTGGTGATTTTGAAGATCAACTCCTTTCCGAATGCACTAAATTGATTCAAACAAACGATATTGAAAGTATCTTCTCCTTAAGTTATAAACGAAAAGAATGTTTATTTTCAGGACTTCGAATGCTCTATCGATTGATTAAAAGGACACCAGCGGGTATCGAGACAGTTTTAAAGTATATCGATGAACATATTCGACACGAAGGCACACAAGATATGCTAGCTAATGCGGAGACGGTGACAACGGTAAAATGCTTATAAGATCCTTTCTAAATTGATTCATACTTTTGCAGGATCCTGAAAAATACGTGCAACAGCTGCTGAATAACTTCGAGAAATTTTCGCAGTTAATTCAGTGAGTTTAACTTTTTGCTGCTTATCTACCTTTTATCCCAGTGATGGTTTTTACGATGATCCCCGGGTGTTAACGGCTCGAGATAAGGCTTTCAAAGATGTAGTCAACGACCCTTCAGTGTTTCGACTTGAATTGAATCAAGGAAAGAAAGGGTAAGGGTGAATGTGACTAAATTGACGCAAAAATTGTTTAACTACAAAATGGATAATTTATAATAATTTAGCTCTAACATCTGTAAACTTCTAGGAGAATGGCTGCTGAATCAAAATGCCCCGAATTATTGGCAAATTATTGTGATCTTCTTTTGAGAAAGACTCCGTTGAGTAAAAGGTTAACAAGTGAAGAGATCGAGACAAGACTGGATGATGTGGTAGTTAATTGAATCAGATCATTTGCTATCGATAGAAAATTTAGTTACTAGTGCTGAAATATGTGGCTAACAAAGACGTTTTCATGCGTTTCCATAAGGCCCATCTTTCGCGTCGTTTGGTGTTGGATATGACGGTTGATTTAGATCGAGAAGAGACGCTAATCACAAGGCTTCGGGTGAGTCTTCTGTTTACTCTATTCAGAGTTTGCAATCAAGATTAAAAGAGCGCAAGGCACTAAAAATAACATTTTGAGTTATGTTTTATTTGAATTATCCAGGAACGAGGAATGCCGGCGGAGCACGTAAACAAATGCCTTCGAATGCTTTCCGATATCGAATTAAATCAAGGACTTAATCATGATTTCAAGAAATATTTATGGGATTCGAGCGACTTTTTGGGAGGTCCAATGACTGGTAAGGAAAGTTTAGATAGAATACGGTCTACAGACTCAGAAAAACTCAAACAAGCTATTTATGCTCTAATCCCTGCAATAGACTTTACTATAAAAGGAAAATAAAAGCTCTTTTAGATCTTTTGACAATCAAAATCCTCAATGGAGGTGCTTGGGGACGAAGCGGAGGACAAATTGATTGTGTTCGTATCTCGATCCCACGGCAGTTGGAGGAAATTCTTCCAACGGTTTGTTTTCAGCTCTCAAAACCAAAAAAAATAAACATAGTAAGCAGCTTTCAAACTTAAGCACAATTTTAGGTGGAATCATTTTACAAACATAAGCATTCTGGTCGGAAGTTACAATGGGTTCATCATTGGAGCAATGGAACGGTAAGCATTGAAAGGCGGTTGAAGTGACTAAAAAAGTTTTCGAGACTAATTGATGATATTTTTTGTTGTTTTTAGGTGATTTTCAACTCGGATTTTGGCCGTTATGATATTGAAATGACAACATTTCAGGTAGTTCTAAGTATCCGTTCTCATTTCAATAAAAAAGCACACTCTATTTTTTCAGCTATAACTCGATAAAAGTTTTTAAGCTGATATTCTAATTGTAAGAAACTACAAAATGTCCAAGAGGCTTTGGATCTCTATGGGCTTACTTATAAATAATAATATTTAGTTGGCTGTGCTGTATTGTTGGTCGGAGCGACCTTTGGATGCTTTGTCTTTCGAGACGCTGAGGTTGGCCACAGAATTGCCGGATTCGGAGCTCATTCGGACGTTGTTTGTGAGTTTTGTCAATAATAAAAAAAATCAACAAAAAATTTTTAATTTCAGTCACTTTGCGCTTTCCCAAAGGTTCGCTCTCAGCTATTGGAATGGGACGGCGAGGGGCCACCGAATCCACGAATTTTTCACGATTCAACGACTTTCCGGCTCAACTGTCAATTTAAGATTGAGAAGGTGAGAAAATAACTTGAAACAAGATTATCTATTAAGAAGTACTAGTATTGATTTTATCGTTCAGAACGGGAAAGTACAACCCCGTGGTCGTTTTAATGTTATTGGACGACTGCAGCTTGGACTAGATGCTGCCGCCTCGACAGAACATGAAGAAATTGTTGAGTTGAGAAAATATCGTGTACAGGAGGCAATAGTTAAGGTAAAGCAGCATCCAATTTTTTGATCAAGGATAATAGCCATTTTTGCCTTGTATGAGAATCTACCTTCAATTTCAGGTATTGAAGACCCGTAAGCAGCTTTCGGCATGGCAACTACAAAATGAGTTAGTGGATCAATTAAAGTAAGGATTGATTTCATATAAGCTATCTAGCCAGAAATGTTAAGCCAAGCCACAGGTTGATTAATTGCCAAAAATCGTTTAATCTTTTTAAATAACTGAAAAACTTTCCTTTTTATCATATAGGCATATGTTTGTCCCATCTCGGCAATTAATGAAAGAACAACTTGAATGGTTGATGGAGAATCGATATATCGAGCGATCTTCAAGTGATATAAACACATTCAACTATATTGCATGAACAAAAAAGCAAATAGAATATATGTAAATTGCTGTACTGTGAATAAAATATGTGTATTACTCGAAAATAAAATTGGTCAGCTTTCAGTCTTTCGAATGTGATTTATTGGTTTTTTTTTATAATGTGTGATGGTAATACGGTTTTTCTTGGTGGTTGGATTTTATCATATTTATGCGTTTTCGTACTTTGTAAAGGTACCTTTCATCACTTTTTGTGCTCTTTTTGCTCACAAGTTTACAATTAGTTTTTTTGTTATTTTTTCTGTGTATGGCTAAATTTCTCCTTTAGCATAATTACATGTAAATAGTTACAAAAAACATTTTATATTTCTTCATTTCTGGTTTATTATTGTCTTTGACTAGATAAAGGCTATTCCTGTTTGGGTTTACACATTTTACATATAAAACATATTTTTACATGTATTAGAAAAGTGGTCAAAGTTTAGTTATGTAGGATTAAAGAGTTAGGGTTGTGGAGATTCCGGTTATAGCGGTTACGGAACACATCTCAAATCTTTTATGCTTCATCATTCATCAAATAATTTTCAGATAATTCGAAATGACAGATTGACTTCAAGCACTCCATTCCTTTGATTCAAATCAGCCATTGTCTGCACTAATCATTTATATGAACATTGAAATTTGAGTTTTTCTTCTAATCATGAACAGTTTTAGCCTCATTTTTCTCATTTTTGAATAGATAGATTTAAAAATATCTTTTTAGATAGTTTTACGAGTGCTAAACTAAAATCCAAACTTTTCCTGATTCGATTATTTAAAAGGAAACAAAACCGGCTACATTTGTCTGTTTCTGCCTACATTTGTCTGTTTCTGCATAGATTTGTCTGTTTCTTAAAATGCAAAGCAGATCCTTGTATATTTAGATTTATGGAAAATCTCCATTTTCGTTCCAATTCTTTTGGCTTTTTGCAAAAGTGTTTTGAATATTAATGAGTGCTGACAATGAAACACGCACACTTAGACTACTATTGCTTAGAAGTATTCTTTTGATGTTATTGAGTCAATACTTGAAATTGTTGATTATCTTTTAGTAATCTCAAAGAACCTAAAACGTAAAAAACGTAAACCCTCGCTAAATTGTTTAGAAAAGTTTGGGAAATCAGCGGTGTTCTTTCTTTCAACGGCTGCTCTTTTTTGAAAACGAATGACCACACCTTTTGCTCTTTCGAAGATTTTCTCGCAAAATTGAGCATTTGAGGAGGACAGCTGGATGTCACCCATAGTTGAGGGTGGTAAGAGAGGGGATGGGGTGAAGTACGGGGACGGGTGGAGAGACCCTTGCGTGCATTTCTTTACACACGTCTCGACTGACTATGGACTGGACACTTCTCGGATCACTCGTTTCTCATGTTCTTTATCTTTCTCCTTTTTCTCTTTTCATTCTATGGATAGCACAAGGGATTATCCCCTTTGTGAGCTACAAGTTGTAGCTGAGGCGGCAACCACTTTGATGTATATCGTTTTCTCTTTATTGTTGCTTTTGTCTCAACTCGTTGATTCTTCTCTCATTCTCGTTGTACCCCATTAACTACTTCGTAAATCACCCAAATGTGTGTCAGATCGGCCAATCTTAAATGAGGAATAAACTCTTGTTTAAAGCGCTGTTTACAAGAATTATAGCTTTCAGTTGTGGTTTACGCCTCCTAGCATTTACACTTTAGTGTTATTTCAGCTGTATAATTTAACTTCTTGTTTCACTCTCTAAACATGCAAGTCGTACAGGACAAGGATAGGGCAATGTTTTTGCAAGTTTAGTTTTACATCGCGTCAGTTGATCGATCACCCAAGATTTGAATTTGGACGCTAAGGAGGCAGACTTTTCTGATTTTAAAGTTTGGCGGTCATGCTGGCTTTTTGAGACAAGCCCGGTGATAGCAATCTGCCCCCGCTTCCCTTTGAAAAGAACCATAAAATCTGGCACCTAAAAAGGATCAAAAATTTCCCCTTTCTGAAACTTACTTACAACGACACATGGGTTTCTTTATGAAAGAGTACAGCTGTTTTCTTATGTGGATTTTCTCTAATACTGGTTTTTATTCTTTCGGACTCTTTTGAGAAGCGTTTTCGAAAAAGCGCGGGCGGGAGATTTGAAACGGGCGCCTTTGAAAAAGACGAAAATTCCATCGAAATTTGCACTCACTTTCCACTTTTACTTACCCAATTTACACTCACTTTCCCTTATCATTAATCGCCCGAGTTTATATGATAATATGTGTGGTATTCAGAAAAACTGTTTTCGAATGCTTTGTTTGTTTTTGAGTGAGAACGAATCTCTCGACATACAGAAAAAAAGACAAGAGCAAAGTGCAATTCGTTTTCTCTCTAGTCAGCCTTTTTCATTCACTCTTGATGTTTTCCCCTCCAAAGACAGTTTGCAAATTCCTGACACTTGTCTTTGTTTACTATTCTCTTGGTGAAACATTTTTATAGATTTTTTAGATTTATCATGAAAGGCCAAAATGGTCATTGCTTAAATTTTGGCTTTTCAAGTGAATCTTTTTTCCGTTCTTTTGTTAAACAGTTCGGTATTTTTTAGAGATTATAAGTGAGTTTATTTTCATTAACCTTTCGCCTGTTTTACCAAATACTTTTTTTCAAGTGCAATCCTTAACACCCATATTCGAATCCCCTCAATCGTGCAATCAGCTTACTTACAATCAGCTTGTGTGCAGAGATCTGAGATCTGTCAAATGTTACCACCAGCCGTGTCCCTTGATCATTTCAAGACATGACGGCACCGCATTTCTCCTCTTTTATTCCATCCAGATATCAACCGCGCTTTCTTTCTCGAAATCTCTTCTTTTCCTTTTCATTATCCCTCTCGTATCTTTTCCATGTGTTCCAGCTTGATCCTCGTGTCACCCCTTGTCGACTTTTTCCTTGTCGTGCCCTTCCCCTTCCAATTTGTCGTATTTGAGTGTCCGCTTCGTGTGTGCGAGCAGCTCTATGGTCATCAAAATTTCCCGATTTGCCATTAGATACACAAAAAATCGATTCCGTCTCCAATGAATGTAAAAACTGAGTGGCCTCGCCAAAGAAACGTTGTATTTTTGCGTCATTGGCAAGTTTTTATTTCTAGCAAAAGCTCAAATTTTCTTGATCTTTTGATTCTAGTCCTGTTGAGTGGTGTGGATTGTTTATTTTTCCCATATATCCCTCTCTTTTCTGCAGATTCAATTCCTCTACTTGACCCAATCCACTAATCCTTTACTGCTCATAGAACTCATATTTGTTATTGAGCAGTTGAATAACACTGCTTGTCTCAAGCACAAACATCTCATGCTTTTCTCAAAAAAGTAATACTTCACCATTTTCTCAGACTTGTGAATGATTAATTCTCTAAGTTAATGCCACATCTTGGCGCTTGTTCCATAAACATGTTCTGGTCTAATTCAGTCAATAGCAAATGATAATTCGTTTCATCTTTAGTTTTTTTAATTAAAACGAATTTTTTTCTAATTTTAAAAATCGATTTGATGACGCGCACTCTAAAGGCTATGGACATGTAATATTTTTCCCTGTGATCGGACTCTCATTATTTTTCCGTTTTCCCTTTTTGATTCCCGAACACTGATAACAGCTCAATGAAGACCCAATCAGCAAGTCAATATTTGAAATTAAATACTCTGTCTATTTTTGACTCTTTTCTCATGGTAATTTTCTAAAACAGGAGTGTGAATCTTTATAATCTCAACCATCCAAATAGGAATTGATTACCTAACTGTGTTTCAAGTTTTTGTAGGTACCAAGAAACGTTTAATCATTTATTTTTCTGTTAATAACATTAGAGAAATCTATAAATTTGTGAATAACACTTGAGAGAGTTTGAGATTGTTGGGCGAGTCTTGGGGTGGGGGAAACCTGAGAGGTCACTTTTGATTCCTTTTTCATTCTTTTCTGCCCCATTCACTTGTCGTTCTGGGACACAACTGGGCAATAGGGCCGATGGGGTTGTTGTTTTCACGTGTCACCCTTTTCACTATTCTCGTAAGAGTCTGCTGAATAAGGGAGAAAGGAGGGTTCCTTTGGGTGTCAAATGGTGATAGTCGTTCGGGAGTCAAGGCTTGTCTTGTCCCAACTATTAGATGGATTTTCCATTCGGAAATCTGACACCCATCACACCCTCTCAAAATGCCACGAGTCTCTCTTAATTCACAAAATTCTTCTCTTCCATCTCTTTACAACTAGGGTGTGAAAGGAAAAAGTTGTACAAATCTTGCTAGTTTTTAAAACTTTTGTCAAATAAGATTGATCACTTTATGGTGGTCGATTGATCTTTATGGTGTCAAATAAGATCCTTGACAATCGATTTATCAAAGTTTTCTTGGAACGTTTTGCAATTGCAACTTTTTCGAAAACCATTGCTCTGATTGCCACCGCCGATTAGCAAATCCTACATTTGTCAACTAAATGTTGATCATTGAACAAATCAATAGTTTGAAGGTAATATTGGTTTCCAATTTGTTTTATAAAAACAAACAAGCTCTTAAACTTGATTTTTTTCAATTTTGAAGATTTCTTTTCCCCCTCCCTTTTCGTTCAATCACTTTCCTCCGATCATATCCCGATCACCTTTCCTGCACAAGTTCTTTTTCAAACATTTTTAAAACGGATACTTGGCTCGATTTCTTCAATTTTCTTGTCCTGTTTACTCCCAGAAAATTGATTTTTTGCAATTTTTCTGGCCAAAAACGAAGAACGATGAAAGGGATTCTTTGGTCAGCCTTTTTCGCTTGGAATTTGCCCATTTTCATATTGAAAGTTGATAATCTGTAACTATAATAGTTTTTGAAATATGTCTTCAAACAATAACCAATTAATTTACCAGCTAAATACGTTCATGCAATGCAGATTGCAGCAGATCCGTTGCTTTTGAAAAATGTAGTTAGTGCATCCAGAAAGTGCACAGAAAAAGTTCACTAGCTAACTTCAAGTACAATCGTTTTGGATCCATTTGTGTCTTTTTTGCATTCCCACAAGCACACAGCTGAAATGGAGTTCGTTTCGATTCAAAACGGGAAAAGGGGAAGCTGAGGGGGGATTCTTGTTCGATTCAAGACTATCCCCTTCTTTTCACCCCTCTTTTCCCCTCAATTTCCCCTGTCTACTCGCCTTTTCCGATTGTGGTTTTGCCGTCCCTCACCAAAAGTTTTACCAATGTTTCCAGCTGCCAATCAAACATTTTTTTGTCTATTGCCCATTGTCGACCAACCGCAGTCAACTCGATTTAACTCTAAAAACTTGAAAGTGTAGGTTTTTCAAAACTGATACTTTGCTATTAAAATTAGTTAAATAATATGTAAGTAGGTTATTTATAAGAGTGAGTCTTCAGTGTTCTAAGCAAGTCGTCTTAAAAAATATAAAAGCGAAACTTTAGCCTTCATCAGTTTAAGTCTTAAGCAGTTTTATATCAATTTGATATACTTCCGGTGTTTTCATTTATTTGTTTATTTTCTCCTCCCGATGGCTCTCATGGCTCAGCTTTAGCTTTTCCCATAAATTTCCTTCAATCACTTATTCTCTTCTCTTCAATTCAATGGTCGATCACCTGCTGTTATTCTCGAAATGGTGGCTGAGTTTTTGTGTGTTTTCTTTGATATTGATCGACCGTAAATCATTTGATCTATACCCTGGCTTTTCCTTTACCATGAACGAACGACAAATTGGAGCACGAGTTATAGATAGAAAACACCTGCCATTTTTTTTATTTCTAGATTATTATTTTAATTCTGTGTATCTTCAAATGCAAGATAAGCTATTTGTTTGTGTTGCTGAATCATAATTCATTTTTTTCTTCAATATAATTTGGGTGTTTTAAGAAATATGTTGTAATCCAATCTCCAAAAATGTCTCCTATCAATATCCTGTGTGAAATAGGATTACAAGTTGATTCTCATTTTTTTCTGACCCTTTTGACTCCCGAGATTCTGCAAAAACAACAGGCCCTTTCCGATTGTGCTAGCGCCTCGATTTTTCCCACCTGATTGATTATTTGTGGAATGGAGAAAAGGAAGGAGTGATTCAATCTTTTCCACTCACAATTCTCCCATTTTCCCTCCTTCGATTCGATTAGATCACTTTACTGTTCGCGAACAAATATTGTTGTCAATGAATTTGTTTATTTTACAGATCCTCCTATTCTATTCTTTTACAGGTATATGAAGCTGTTAGTCTTTATTTTTAAGCACTCAACAAAAATAAATGCCCATCAGCTATACTTTTTTTAAACAGCTCGATCTTTCTTTCTTCTTCATATTTTTGAGAACTATTCAATAGCTATTCCATGTTCAATCCACAATTCGGCAATTCAATCTTATATTTTCAAAATCTAAAGAGTTTTTCTTTCTATTTTTTTCCTGTGAAATTAGCTCACATTACCATTTATGGGGTTTGGGGTTTCTTCTCTCATTTTCCTTGTTTTATCTCCCGACTCTCACCAACCGATCCATAATGCATTCTCAGAACGACAATTTTTTTCCTCCCTACTATTTGTTTAAAAAGTGTGATTTTTCTAGAAGTGTAGTGTAAAATTTGTGAATCACTTCTACGCTAGCAAAAATTTTTATTGAATTTTTATTTTTTGGCTCATTTTCCTCACAATACTTTTTTTGGCTCATTTTCCTCACAATACGGACAATGAAATGAACGGGATCGGAAAAGTTTTTCACTTTTTGATCTCTTTTTCACGCAAATTTTGGAAATCTCAGTCTTTTAACCGTACAATTATTCTGGTTTTTAAAAATACATAACATTTATGTTGAAAGATCATAATAACACTATCAAATTAGGCATATATCTCAAAGGCAATGTTCATGTCTTATAAATGAATGCTGAGTGTTGACAGGGTGAACCGTGTTGGGAATGAATTGCTTTTATTAAATATGCATATTTATCATTTCTTTCCAAAATGTTTGATTTATTGTTTTATTGTTAGTTTGAATTTTTACAAATTTAGTTTTTTCAGGTAAACCAGAAGAGGCGGCGGCTCACCCCGTCACAAAGGCCCCAAAGGCCCGCCCATCGGCCGTGAGTTCTCAGCTCGCACCCTCCCTATCAGGGTTATTGTATCCCTAAACGTTGGATACGCAACTTATACAGTGATCCATAGTTGATTACGAAAAGAAAATATTCCTATTCTTCAATTTATTCTCAACAATTCTTTCTGTACACACAAATTATGGATGAACAATCAACAAAACACTCAGTCTCTTTGAGCGAGTTGGCCGAATTGAAAGCAAAAGTTAAGGTAAGTAAAAGATTGTGTGCTTTAACAAAAATTATGAGTTTACGTTTAGAATGCATAAAATAATTGCGGTTTTTAAATTTTGACGCTTGCATATTGTATTTTGCGACGTAGTTTGCCAGCCACTTGGCATTTTGATTGGGAAATTTGCATTTAAAGGATGGAACATGTGGGATAAAGAAAAGGCTAAACCGTACTCACGAGAAAATAGTTATGAGTACTTTATAAAGTTTATGTGTTCCCTTTTCCTTCATTGTTTCCTTTGAGAATTCTCACTTCTAAAAGCTTTCCTTTTTCTTTGATATTGAAAGAAGAGAGGTCAAAAGAAAGCTTCAGTTTCTCGGTTTGCGCGCAAGCTTAGGTTCTTCTGGGTAGACGGTGCTTTAAAAATGGGAAAAGAGATGACAAAATTTCTTCCCTCTTACCAATATTGTGCCACTCCGCTTCCCAATTTGATTTCTCTTCTATTTCTATTAGTCAAAACCTTAAATCCGATTTTTTTTATTGGGTCCATTTCAAACTTTCAATTCCAATTCAACCTCAAATAAAGTATCAGTAACGCAATTTTTCCATACATGTATAATGTCGCGCTTAACCCTTGATGTTCCAATCAAATTTTGAGGAAATTTGGTGTATAAGTGATCTTCTCAACAGGCAGCTCTTTCCCCCATGTCAATCAGTCAAAGTTGCGTAATCTCGCATCCTTCCTTTTAAAATCCTTTGATCAGTTGGTTCTTTTGAATGTCACCGAATCAACTTGAGGGGGGAAACCACACAGAGGATTTCTCTCATTCTTGTCATTTCTTGGTTTCTTGTGTGTCTGTGATGAGGCGAGAAATCAAAACTATCCGCAAAATGGCTATACGAAAGCTGTCATATAGATCATCAAGGAAATGTTTAAATTCGTTTAGATATAATGGAAAACTTTAAGATCGGATGGAAATTTAGAAAAAAGTTTAGTAATTATGCAATCATTATTAGTTCAGAAAGACTTTCAGGAAGATTTTCAGGAAGATTTTCAAGTATCCGTTATGAAGCTGATTTTCGGCCAAGTATTAATGCTTTTGGCCTTGACCCAAACAAAAGGGAAAATGAGAAAAAAGCTCATGGAAATGCGATAAACCCAGCGTTCCTATCAAATTTTCAAGTAATGAAACGAACTGCTAATTAGTTCTAAAAAGTTTTTTTAAGTAGGTAATTCATGGAGATTTCATTCTAGAAGTTTTCATGCGCTTCTGTAAGCTTTGGCTTCTTAATTCCTTTATTTGTATTGAGAATTTTTAAAAAGCTTTTTTTTAAAAACATTGAAAGACTCAATGTTCACAGTACAAATGAAAGATTTATCAAATATATTATAATATCCAAATAAGATCTTTTTATTTGCAATCGAAAAAATCTCGATGAAGGCCATTGTGTAGTAGAAACTTGAAAATCGCCGCCAAACAGCCCCAAATCTGTCATCGCCAATCAATCAGATTAGGGAAATTCTTAACACCCACAAAACAGTTCTACATTCTCAGGAATAATCATTCAAATCTTTCAATGACCGATGCCCTTTTATTTCAAAAGTAACTCTATTTTTTGTCAAGTTGATTCTATGCAGTTGAATCTAGTAGCAAATTTTGATTAACATTTAATAAGTTCAGACACGGATTTTCAGTTTCAATAACTAACATTGTGTCCTTCATAAAACCATAATTGAAGGTTGTTATAAATAAGAAACTTTATCATTTCTATTTAAATTATCTCGAATTTTAGCGTGAAATCACCGAAGTTGAGGTATTTGTTGAGCAGTGTTCAAGTCTCTACAATTTGATCCTTGACGCTCTTCACGATCCGGGCACACATCAGGTAGATATTTACTTTTTTTTAACTGTTAATCACTGGTTTTTATCTTTATTGCTTAAATAACTTTTATGCACTTTTGATCCCTAAATGGATAATGAATGCTTTAAATCTTGAAATGATAAAATGCCAGATAAATGGATTTCTCAGCCTAATTAGCCAAAAATTTGATTTCTTGTCTTAGGAGTTCAAATGGACTGGTTCTCTGGAAAAAGTTTCACAATTTTTTCCAAATTCTTTTCTCCTTCCTTTTTGTGTTAAATTCCATTGAGTTGTCAACGGGGTGGCCGGCGGTTGTAAATTTTCGTTCTTTTTTGCTTGAGGTGATCGACTGAACCTTTCACTCGTATGTGGTTTCCACTTTTTTCCGTTTTTTTTAAAAAACATATCACACAATGTTTTATCTTACTTCAAAGCTTCATGCTTATACTTAATTCATTTTGAGAGCTTTCGTGAATCTCTGAAAAAATTTGATTTGATTGTTCAAATTCCTGAAAGGCACTCGATTTTTCCGATCGTTTTCCGAAATTGAATCTCTTTATTTTGACCCAGAGATCCTTGATTGTCTTAGCTCCAATATTTGACTTCAATCGACCCCATCCAAACAGCCCATTCACTCAAAATTTGAGCTTTTCATAGGGCTATGCAAATTTTTCAAACGAATCTGAGGCCTTCTTTAAAAACATGCAGTTTTATCTCTTACCATTTTGTCTTAAATTTTTAAAGAAGGCCTCAAATTGGTTTGAGAAGTTTGCATAGTCCTATGAAAGGCTCAAATTTTGAGTGAATGGGCTGTTTGGATTGTAAATTTTTATAAACTTTTCCGCAAGAGCCCGGAAACTTTCTATAATAAATGAAGATAATCAACACTCTTTTTCATTGTATTATAGTTTTAAACTTTCAAACTTTGTTCCAAAACCCAGGTATTGGTTACAATTGAGTACGATTTTCTAGCAGATATCTCGTATTCGGAAGCCTATGTATGCAAATCGAGTGGGTGCTTTTCTCCCCCTTGTTCCTTTTGGAGTATAGACTTCTCCTCTTCAACAAATAGTCTTCTTTTCTGGTGTTCCTCAGTTCGAATTGTCGTTCACTTGTCTGCCCTCCCTTTTCTTGCTCTTTTTCTGCGCTTTTTCTTTTAACTTTATCCACCAAACTTCAAAAGTTCACCCAACCCTGACAGCTATATGTGGAGTTCCTTATTCTTGAGACAACTCAATTCCTGCGGGTTTACTGACTTCTTAAAAAAAGGCTACTTTTGCTATTTTAAAGTCAAGCCAAAGCTCAACTCAATTATAAACTTTTGTCTTGCTTTCTAAATATGTCGATCATTCACTAAAATCTATTTTTACATTTCATAGAAAACCCATCACTTTTTGGGTATGATATGCAATGCAAATTTTGCGTATTTGCTCAGTCACTTTTCGGTTTTGAAGAAGGAATTTTTATGATCTCCAATCCGGGAACTTTTTATAAAAGCAAAGAAAAGTTTTGGGCTTCCAAATTTCTCGTTTATGTTTTATCAAAATGATTAAGTTATGAGATGTTAACTGAATACTAGAGACGCTTTTGTATTCGATGGTTTGGATTTCTTGAACTTCACTGTATCTCAAAGGTTGTTTCGGTTGAGTTCCCCCGTTCTGAATTCTTTTCCAAATCCGATCCATTCAACTTCTCATTGTCCATACACAACTGGTTTTCACCACATCAAAAGCCCCTTGACATCCCAAAAAATTGGTATCTGTTTCTTGTTTTTAAAAAGAACACTGTTGATCAAACTGTTAGTGCGAGTTTAAAAAAGTGCTTTTAAAAGTTACTGTACAAAATTAAACACTTCCACAGTTTTCAGTTAACTTTTGGAAATTATACTATTTGCTCGCTACCAAGCAAACTCTGAAATAAAGTAAGTCTCAAGGGATCAATTCTATCAAATAAGCACATCAACGTTTGTTTTTCCTTAATCTGCATAGTTAAAGATCAGTTAAGTCTAGAGTTTAGAGAAAGAAAAGGATAGCTATAAGATCTTCGTTTATGACCAATGCCATCCAGTGATCCTTGTCTTTCCATTCTCTTTTCTTCTCTTTTCTATTCCATTCTCTTTTCTATTCGAATCCTTTTATCTCTTTTCCTTTTCTTTCTATTCAACCCATCTGGGAGAACCCATTTTATTCGTTTCTCTTTTTGCCTCTTATCCTTTCAAAAAGAAAATGCTTCTCGGTAAAATGTAAATTTTTCTATATCTATTGGTTGACCTCTTGTTTTTATCGCTTATTTTGAATATCTTGTTATTCAAAATAAAATTGTCTTATTCTCATTGGTATTCGGTTTTTAACTTAATTAACTTGCCGTTTTTCCTAATTTCTCTTTTCTAACTTTCGATCCAACAAAAGCTTTCTCTGGGGGAAATCGTGGGCGAAATGTCAATTTCTGTCATAAATTGTGGTCCCTATTCACTCTTTGAGGGCAAACAATTTCATTTTCCTGGAAATGAATCAGTGAAAATTTTTCCAAACGCGAAAATATCAATTTTTCTCTCAATCAGCCTCAGGTATTCAGGGATTCTTGTTGAGAAATTTTTTTTCGAAAATTTACGAGTCCACCCAGAAGTCGGGTGTTCGAAAGCAAGAAGGAAAAGAACAGAAAGTCATTAAAATTGTCCCGAAAATCCACTAGGAAATTTGTCAGTTAGCTCCTAAAGAACTGAAAAACGACAAAGAAATGGGAGGATTTCATGAGTTAGGATTTCATTTCGCTTCATTCAAAATTGCTTTTGTATATTTTTGAAACAAGCAAAAAACGCAAGACTTTTTTCACTCTTTAGTATCTCGGAAAAGTCCGTTTCATGTGTCTTGGTGGCTATTTCCAAATCCCAACAACCGCAATTTTTCTTCCGTTTTCCACTCACCCCTCTTCTCTCTAAATAGATTAATTTGGGTGTTAAATGGGCCACAGTTGACTCTTTAGAATGGGAATCTTTGAGAAACGAAAAGATAAAGGCGAAAAGGGTGTTACAATTGAGGCAATAATTCTTTCGAGATTCGACTCCCCACGACTCAGTCATATCATTGACTACGATTCTTTTAGATGAGGTCATAAATTTGTTTAAATAAGTCCCAAAATGGGTTTAGGTGTATTCTAACAGATAATAGAATGTTTAGGAAATATCACTAGCAAAATGCTGATCTTGTTAAATGGCAAAAGCATAAAACCATTTCAAAAGCAGGGACAATTCTCTCGAAGCTTACTTTTACTTTATTGGAACGTTCAAATATCTTTATAACGTCGCAAACTTTCTTTAAAGCTTCTAAACTTTTCCAAATTCTTTGTTTGTACTTGGCATCAAGAATGGGATCCATCCAACTGGATGTAAAGTGAAAAGAAAAAGAAAAGAGATAAGATGAAGTGAATGGTTGATCCCCGTTAAGCCATTTCAAGACAGGAACCCCATCTCAAGTGACATTCAATTAATGAAAGCTGTGCTTCATCTTCGTGAGAATCCTTCTCCCATAATTGGGAATCTTTTCAGAGAGGAATGACCACCGGGGGTTCTTTGATCATAATCATTCTGTGCCGGGCTCGTTCTGCTAAATTAGTCCCTTCTGGACCTGCCAAAAGTCTTTATTAGCTGAAGTTGGTCATCCAATTTTTGCTAATAGACTGTAAAAAGTTTGCTTATTGAGAACTTAGCTTTTTCCTAAAAATGATTATAAACCATTGTACTCTAGTGGTCTTTCTTGGGGGAACGCCGTAAAATTACGCAAGGGACCCCTCTCACCATCAAATGCCCCAAAAACACCCTTTCCCCAAACATTTGGCACCATTTTGACCCCTCAACAAACAATTTATTGATTTTTGAAAGAACTGGAGGAATTTGTTGCCATTTTTTGTTGTATAATAGTTGTCTTCTGGCATTTTTTGAATTGAATCTTTAAAATCGTGCATCAACAAGGTAATTGTAAGCAGGGTTTAAACTGGCTGCAGCCGCAGCCGGGTTTTGAAAAAGCCTGCAGCCATAGCCGAGATTTTTCGGATTTCAAACCCTGATTGTATTGTTGCCCCCTATTTTGCTAAAGGCATCTAGCAAGTGGCTCTTGACCTAGTTAGCTGAAACTTTATCGATCTATTCTTGAAAGCGTTTTGTAATTGCATTCATGTTTTTTTCCTCTATTTACTATATATTATTTAAGTTGTGCATTCATCGTTAGGGATCTTTTCTCTTTTCATCTCGAATCATTTTTTGATGAAGAGAGCCATCCTTTTCACTGATCATTCCCCGTAAGGGATACCCCTTCACTCTCTTTTCCCTTTTCTTCTTTTCACTATTCAGTGTTGTATTCGTGATAAATGAACCGTGCATACCAATCGAAAAAAGAAAAAAAAGAGAGAATAGTGTCTTTCTTCTTTTCTTTCAGTTATTTTTTCCTTTTTTTCAGGACTCTATCCGAGTTGACCCCTATTTGTTCTCTCTTTCTTTAAGAGTTTGTATTGTTGATTATCTTTTCTTGTGTATAGCCGAGTTTTGGCCAATATATTGCCGAATTATTAACAAGCAGCATGAGCCTCATGACCATTCGCGGCCCTACTTACTTTTGTTTTCAAGATGATCTTTAATTATTGTGGTTTTTAAAATTTGTATCCTCCAAAGCAATTTTAATTTGCTCGATCACTCTTCTTGTTACCCTTAGAATACGTAATTTATTCGCAAAAACCCCAAAAAGTCCCCTTTGTTTCCAATTTGTTTCGAAAAAACATTACTCTCTCCTTTTTTTCGACCATTTTTACGATTTGTCTTGAAATTTCGCAGCCACCATATGTCAATTGGAAGTTTTTTCTACTGGGCATCGAAAAAAACTTTCCTGTGACCCAGTTAGCACTTTTCGAGCTCAAAATAGAAAATTTTACGATGACTAAAATCGGTCGGTTTTTTCCTACTCGATATTCTTTTTTAGTCTTCTAGGAATTCTTGTTGAAAAGAAATTTATTTTTTATTTCTTATCGGATTGTTCGATCTAGTGAGGTTCCAAAGAAAACACATCCTCTTTTCTTTATTCAGAAAAGCGCAAAATCAAATTGCCAGCGCTGATTTTTTTCCAAATCGTTGCTGTGAATGTCAGGAAATGATTCTGCAATAAAATTCCAAATTCTTGGTAAATTAATTTTAATCAAAAAGTAATCAAGATTTACTCAAAATTCTTTGTCTCTTTACCATTGAGATTTTTGTTAAGGTCGATCGTTATTTTTTTGTCCCTTTGGGCCATCTGGTGCATCTTTTTTCAGTCCAAAACCCTTGTATCCAATTGGTTAGTTGATTGATTTCATTTCTTGGAGTTGGTTGATTTACCCAATCTGTTCTTATTTTTTGCTCCTAAGATCTACATAGGTCTAAAGGTCTCATGATGCTTTAGATCGAATGCAATCAATTTTTGAAAGTTTGCTTTGTCTTTTCAAATTCAACTAATCTTTTGTACACTAAAGCATCAATTCTCTAGGTAGCAGTTCGAAAAGTGATTTCTTTGAAACATGTTTACCAGGATTTTGATAAAATTGGGTTGAATGTGACTTTAACCTTCACACTCTGTGAGGACTTTAGAAGAAAAGGCATAAAATTTGTAAGAATCCCTCTCTCGCGCAATCCTTCTTTTACTCGATAAAGACTGCCGACACTAATAAAAACCCGGTTGATCGGTTGGATGAAATGAGTGACCAACGAGGAGAAAAGGGAAAGGACATTTGGATGGCATTTTGGAGAATCGGATAGTTTTGAAGGGTTCTATAGTCAACTGAGTTTTACTTATTTGTCAAAATTTTTCTTTCGCTTTCTGACTCCCATCATAAACCCCATTAAACCAAAGCCAAATTCTTGGGCACCTAGATGGCATCCATAACCGTATGATGAGATCACATCTGGAACTAGCTATGAGAGTACCGGAGAATACCCAAGATGTCACTCAGCGAGTGGAATCGCCCAAATGACTTATGGCTTCCAGATTTTCTCCTTGGTCACCCTGGGGGAAAATTTCTTTGAGTTATCTTAAAAAATTTAATACTTTCTTGACAATTCTATTCGAAAAAGCTTCTGAGCATCTTTGTTTTCGCAAAGCCGCTAAAATTTACAATATGCACATTTTTCTTGGCCGGAATCAAGGTTGTTAGCTTAAGACCTGCTAAATATGAAAAGCTTTCAATGGAACAAAGCGTCCAAGGCAAAGAAGATAATTCGATTATGTTGTGACACTGATGAGACACTAATAAATGCAAATCTCATCGGGTATACATGTGGGAATAAAACGAGAGATGAGGTTGATTGTTTACCCCCTGGATGGTGTAGAGTAGTGAAGCACCCCAAACCATAGTAAGGATCTATCTCCTAAAAGGGACCTTCTGTTCCTCTGGAGATCGATGATCCATTCCCCAAAATGGGGCCATTTTTCTTCTTTCTTTTGTTCGGAAAAACCTAATTGTCCATATTGGCCAGCATTGTCCCCTGCTAATTGTAAGGAAAACAAAATATAAAACGGAAACTTCAAGTGTGATATCTATGTGGTTTTTCCGACTCACAAAAAGATTTTTCCATTCCATCAACAATTCTTTTCTTGCTGTTATTTTAATTAAATGCTCATTAAATGCAAATAAATCGATATGACTTTGTGTAATAAACTTGCTCGATTTTTCCCCATTTGCCTGTTCGCACTCAAATAAATCTCCTGGGTGCCCATTTCCAAATCTCCTCCGAAAACCCATTTACGATCATCGATGAAGTAGAGAGATCCCCACAAAAAATTTCGACCAATTGAGCAAACAGTAAAAAGGCAGTTGGAAAAAGGAAAAAAACGAGTAGACCCACTTTTTATGGTCAGCTTTATGACTGTAACAAAACGATGTTTCTAAATTTTGATGATTTAGTTCTTCAAATAGAACCAAAAGCAACAGGCTACTTAGTTTGTTCGGGGAAAAAGAGTTCTCAAGATTTATCTGTTGTTAATCAAGCATAAATTAACTCAAATTCCAGGCCAGAAATATCGATTATTGATTAATGGAAAACATATTTTTAAATATCCATATGAAAATTTAAAGATTGATCTTAGAACAAAGCAACTTTCAATTTGTGCGACTATTTGGAATGTTTCCCGTTCTTAGCTGAACACCAAATACTATAATTTTTTGCTAACTTTCACCCGAGACTTCCCAATCATTTTCCCATCAAATCCCTAGGTGAGATCCATCATTTCTTGAAGATAAACATTTTGGCTAAAATCGAGGAGTTTTTATGAAAAGAACAGGTGTCATTTTCTTCTCTTTTTCGATTCTTTATTCTTTTGATTCCTTTTTGATGATCACTTTTTATTTCAAAATTATTCAATAGTAGGTGTACTATAATTCCTTCATTTTGTAATGTTCCTAGCTTTTAAAATCTTTTTGAATATTTACATCCATTTACTATTAAATCTTATGGTGAATGAAAAATTATCTATGGCTCGTTGCACGTTTATGCACCAAAGGCTATTTGACCAAAAGCTGTAAAACAATTAGTCATAAAGTTCCTCATTTTAGCAGCTTGATTCGGTATAGAAAAAGCTTTTCCATTCATTGTGGCTTATCATTTCTCGCCTTTACCAAAATAAATTATCAATCCTCTCTAGCCTAGCTCAAAACAGAAAAAAAACCCCCAAAACATTGTCCCACTGATTCGAGACTTCATCTTGTTTCTATTTACTATAATCCATGACAAATTTTTTAACAGATTTTTAAAATGAAAAAGACCTAAACTAATCTCACACTATTCAGGAGCTCTCTCTACAATGCAGCTTACTTGAGGAAATGGCAACAAGAGTTGAAAGAGCTGGAGATAGATTGTCTGAACAACAACCAAATACTGAGGTTTGACTGCAAAAAAGAATAAAAAGTAAATTAAGAATCATTTAGGGAACGGTCCAGCTGAGGATGAACACAATTAGCAGTGCTCTTGAACAATTGCGATTGAGAAGGGGTGGATACAATGGACATAGCACTGATTCGGAGAGTACAAGTGAGAATTTGTTGAATGTTTTTGAATCTTGAATATCGTAATGTTTTTATGCATCTTTATAAGATTTCACAATCAAAATAGCAAAAGTTTCTTCAGCTATATTAACAAGAAATGAATCGCATCACAGTTGATATCCTCAAAACCTCTAAAACGAAATGATATTTTCATCCCCGAGTAATTTTTGTATAAGTGTCTAATTTCCTTTATATAAACTTTATGCATATTTGAACCAAGTAAACTATTGAATCAACCTAGCTAGAGCTAGAACCTAAATAGCTAGAATCCTAGCTAGAATCTAAATCTCTTGACCTTTCAGCTTCTCGTGGATCGGGAGTCGGTTCCGAAATGAGAAATTGGTTACAATCGGTGGAGAAGAGATTGGGAGAAAATGAGGAAAAATTACATCATGGATCACTTCTAATAAAACTTTTGGCTGATCAACAAGTTGGTTTAAATTATTGTTTATGTATTTAAAGCTTAAATCTACGATTTTAAAATACAAACCCGATTACCTACCTAAGAACCACCCAAAAAAATCGGGGATTAGTGAAGGCTAATAGTAAGATCTAATTGCAAATGATTTCCCGATCCTTGATCTTATCTTTCTCTTATTCCATGTCATTTCTTATCCCATTTCTCTCAAGAAAGATCGTCAAGAAATGCAAATTCGGGAAAAGAAAATGAATGGAAAAGGGGAGATGACAACGTTTTTGCGCACAAATTACGAAAAACGCCAATCATTTTAGCACCAATTCTTTTATTGATTTTTAAAACCTTTCTTTGATTTTGCAAACATTGATTTCACTGGAGTGCTTAAAATTATCCCGAAAACTGTTCAGATTTCTGAACTAATCGAATTCGATCCAGCAAATTTGTCCAATTAAACAACAAATGGGTTTTTTTTCTACCTCTTACTATTTACTCACAAAAAATGGGTAAACATCCGAAATACAAAGAGGAAAAAGAGATTATTTGCCGGTTGTGGAAGACAAAAGAGTTTCCTCGTGTCTCATTCATTCATTCTCTTCTTTCGGATTAGATTTTTGGTAAACAACAAAGGTCTCTTCTGGCAAAACGAAAAAAGAATGACAATACTGACAACAAGTTTCCCTTCTAGAGATAGTTTCTTTGTTAATTTTATTTAGATTTTTTTCTAATCTTATGGACTACGTACCATTTTTGTGGTCCAAAATAACACAGTCTTTATCATAATCAAGAAAAAGATTTGAATCTAGAATTCTTCGAGCATTTGAAAATTTTTTCAGATGTATTTTGCCCGTTTTGTTCTCGGTTTGCTCTTTTTTAAAACCTTATCTTTCTTCGAGACTCCCACGGATTTTACCGTTTAGCATTAGACCTTTTTCTTGGTGAAATTGACACCAGAACTGATAAATTATGGCCTTAAAGCTTCTATAAAAATCATTTTTATGGATTTTTAACCCAAGCCATTGTTGAAATAATAAACTAAGTCCCTAAAAAGGCTCATTTAAAATCTGGTTATAAGGATCCCCTATTTCTTTTATCATGGATTGATCTGTGCATGTCAGCAGTAAGCTTCAAACAAAAGCACACATAACAATTTGTTCTATTATATTAATATTTCAATATGTTTTATCTTGCGTCAATCTTTAAATAGCTCTGAATGAAATTGAATGAGTTTTCATCATATCCTGCATTCATTTGAATCCGTATCATAATCCCGATATCTTCTCAGCTCATATTATAGATGAAAATAAAAAGAAAGAGAAGACGAGAAGGCGGAAGGATAAGGATAAAAGAGATATCTGTTTGGCCTTGATGACCGTATTATTCCACTTTCATTTCCAGATACACTAACATCCAAAGAAAAGAGAAAGAGAATTGGGAAAGGAAAAAGGAAAACAATACGCATACAATTATCCTTTCCACTTCATTTTCTCATGCTCGTTGTTAGTTTTTGAATTGGATTTAGAACTAGGTTCGCGAGTTTAAGATAAGACTTTTATTTTACCAAAACCCCAGTAGTTAATTGATCAAATTTAACTCTTTTCTTGAATATTTCTTTAATTTCTCCCTCTTTTTATGTGTTTGATGTAGCCGATTGTTCTGAGTAAACTTTCTTGAGGTTGAGTACCTCAGCAATCATTGGTCTATCAATAGAACAAATAGTGCAACTAGTAACCTTTTCGATATAGTTTTAATATACAATAAAACATTGTTGCAAACTATGACTTAACTTTTAAAGTCAAATTTGTTTACCTGATCGCTGTTGAACCACCTGTTCTCCATTTCCGCTAACTTTCACTAGATTCTGACCTGCCAATTAAGCCAAAGTCCTAAAACCAAAATAGCCTAATAGCACTTACTATTGGGCAAGTGCTTTGTAAAATTTCTTTCTTCCACAAAAAATAAAGAAGATTACTTCTATTTACCTGGTTATTTTAGGTACTTCAACTCGAGATCCAAAGTGACGGACAGGCTTACATCTGTCGATTAGAACAACATTTGAAGTGAGTCTTTCAGATGATATGAAAGTTCATTATAGACATCTATGTTTTTAAACGTTTCATCAGATTCAGATTCATTAGATTACTTACATAATTCGTTTCTAGAGGTGATCCTCTCCTCTCTCCACAATCAATCGATTCTTGTGGAAATCTTCAATCGGATCGTCGTCGTCTTTTTGCCGATTCTCTTCGGAAACGTTGGCACGCTGCTTATCTAAACTCGCTGTCATTGCAAATTCGTATTGAAGAAGCTCTTGCAAGCTATTCGGTTAGTCTAACAAGATTTTTGCTAATTAAGCCAAACGTTCAAATGTATGCACTCTAATTTAAGTAAAGGTTCCAATCCAAAATCCGAACCAATGTAACTTTTGGAAACATAAGACTAGAGACTTTTTATGTGTAATGCTTTTGAAAAACCACTAGTGAAGTAATCTTTTTTAGAAAGCCAGTCTAGACTTGAGAAATTGTAACTAGTAAAAATGTTCAATCAAAATTCGGGATGCCTCGAGGTCATGCTAGCTGTCACAAGAACATGAAGGAGCGATTGTTGGGCAATTCCCTCGGTTGTTGGTACAAGGCCGTGCCGCTTCGAGAGTCAGATGGGACACCGATCACCCTTCTTCTCTTCTTCAATGGAAACCCTCTAGATGACATCCAAAGATAGATTATAGCTGACATAAAAGTCAAAAAGGAAATGAACACGAGAAAGAAAATGAAAAAGAGTAGAAGTTTTTTTTGACTCAAAACACCAATTCGCACTCCTGTCCGTTTCTCATACAATTCCCCGGGGAACTTTTTGAGTGAAGGAGATCTTTTCCTTGAAGTTCACACTTTGTTCTCCTGTCCAGCTAAATCTTGAGATCCAATCAACTTGTTGGGTGACCAGATGGAGGAAGATTTACAGCCAACTCTCTCAAAGTTTCCTCCAATTAGCCGTTTCACTATAATATCCCGCTAATCCTTTAGTGTGCTGACTTCAAAACTTTTCGGTTCCTTTTTCCAAAACGGAATTTGACCCTTTAATTTTTTTGATTTCTCTCATCGTTTTCACTCGTATACACTAGAAGATTTTCATTTTATGGCCATTTTCAAAGAGGTTTCCTTCGAAAAGGACACCCCTTTCACTCCCATGAATAAGGGGTGGAAAATGGGGAAAGATGGCTTTGTGTTTTTTGTCCTTTTCTTGACCACAAAAGATTCACATTTTGTCTCTTTCATATGCTTTCACATGTTCGCATTTTGCTTCTTACTGGAGATTTTTGTACACTTTATGAAAGCCAGACTACAAGATTATATTGATTTTTTTAAAAATTTATCAATTATTAGATTCTATAATACAATTATTAGTCTTTATACTCTTTTAGTGAAGGGAAAATGTAGATACAGAGAATGAGAAAGAAAGCAGTAATGCCTTTTGATCATATGCATTTGTAGTTATCTTCTTATTTTCCAAAAAAATATTTCGAATGCGTAAAAACCCAATCATTTTGGCTAATGTTTGGCCGGTTTCATTTAATCAAAAAACTTTATAAATCATCATAATGTATTTTCCGTGTGCAAAGGCAGGTGGTTATTTTGAGAGTAAAACGTTTTTACCCGACCGATTTAAATGCGGGGAAGAGAGTCCTTGACAATTTCAGCGCACCCAGAAATTATTCACCACCCTTCCCCTTTTATTTCTCATCTTTTCTTTGACTGCTCTCGAATCGTTTCCCTCTCAACAATGCCCGTTTGGGTAATCCATTTATGGCATGCTTTTTGGGGATGCTTTTTTGTAAGTAAACGAAAGTTTTTCCATTTTATTGTTCGTTAGCTATGAACTTGTCCTGAATTGAGAATGATACAGAAATAAGAAACTTCACTTTACTATTCATGAGTTGATTTCTTTTTCATAAAATATCTTAGCTTGTATGCTTCAATTATTCCAAGTTATTTTTAATCTCAACTTTTTGGTTGAACAGATTAGAGGTTTCTGTTAAATGTCAAATATTGAAGTCAACCTTTTCCGCTCCAAGAAGATGGCTAGTATCTGATAATTTAATTTCAAAATGGGTCACCAAATTTTTTTTCAAGGGGCGAATGTATCATTTGACAATGAAGTACTCAATAGGGAAATGGGCGAGGCTCAATAGGGAAAGCCTTTTGGATGGAGAAGAGCGGTTGGGTTCGAATTTCGCAAATTGCCGGTCGGAACACACTGCGAATGAACTGGATTCATGGAGTAGAATGGCTCACATACGATTTATTGTAATGAATCCAACTTGTTTCATAAAAATTGTATAGTTGCCAGCTTTATTTTAATAACCAAAACTTTTCGTATACTTACTTTTACTTACATTAAGCACTGGCAATTTAGTAAGTACTCAATCCATCCTATTATTCTCAAAATCTGCTTTCAGGACTAGTTAAAACTCATGACTACATGTGCATGTGATGGTTGCCATATTACAGTCGTAGTCGACCCCCTGCTGGATATCAGCGACTCTTTTAAAGAAAAGAGAAATTTGAAAGGAGAATGAGTGACATGCGCAGCGGTGCCTCGAATCTTTTCTTTTTCAAGGGGTCCACCTTGAGCCATCTCTATGGACAGAAACTAACGAGAGTTTAATTTCCCTTCTTCTCTTTTCTTTCTTTCTTTCTTTTTCCTTGATCGCTTTGCTGTGGGATGTATATCATGTCTTCGAGAGATTTATACACCCACCACATTATCCCTCGAAAACCGGTAATAAAACGTTTTTTCTAATATCGCATTAATACCCATTTTAGCCAATAAGAATGCACCTAAGAACTCATGCTTTTTTAATAATAAATATATGTTATACTTTGAACTCTAAATAGATTTAGTTCTGAAATTGTTTTGATGAGCTTCTAAATTTGATCAAAGGTGTCTGGGTGATCTCTAAAATTCCGATGACTAAACATTGAAATTCGATTCACTATCGATTTTCGATCTCACAATTTGATTGCTGTTTTGCATTATTTCACAGCTCTCGTTTTGTGTTTCAACATTTTCCAGAATCGACTATTTTGCATGGATTTAAGAGCCTCGTTGGGATTTCTTTTCATTGTAACTTATCTATGTATCTTATTGTTAGTTAGGCAATTTTTTCTAATCCACTTAGTTCGTTGAAATACGGAACAGGAAGAACGTGACACTCGAGGGTACTCGAAGCAACGAAAACCCAAATAATATGCAAGACGGGTGAGAGTAGCTAGGCAAAAAATGGTGGAGTCGTCTTTTCTCGGGATGAAAAGGGGAGGTGGTGAGTGTTCTCTCTGAATGTCATAGAAGACACACAATGAGATCGAGGTTCCTCTGGTTCCACCCCATCTACCCCATCCACCCAATCCACACCCATCCTACCCCATCCATCCATTTCTCTTCACCCTTTTCCAGATCGCATGTCTATTGAGTGTGTGGTGTGTGAGTTGAGAGGGGTGCCAGGTGTGGAGCTCTCTTCTTTCCCATCTATGACTTTTCCAGTGTGCCACTTTTTGCAAAATCCCTGGTTACTAAAAGCTTTTTAAACATGTAAACCTTTTTGGAGCTAAGTAGTGTTCGATGGATGACCAATGAAAGTGCAACTTGCAGCACTTTAAAAATTACATTTACATAAGACTACATAAATTGATTAGGGTTGAAGTGGAAAGCTTTTTGAGTTTTTGAGCTTTTCCTTGGGCTGTGGTTCCTTTTGATTTTGGAATTTAAAGATGCTCAAAACATGAAAAATTGCAAGCCGCTTGATGTTATCTCTCTTGATGCACTTAAAGTTTGAGTGTGGATTTGTGGTGTGTCCAGGTTGCGCAAATTTGCTTACCTGACAGCCGTTCGATTTTGGGGAGAAAAGGGAAAAAAGAAAGAGGGTAACTCTAAACAAAGGTGAGAGGGGGAAATGAGAAGTGAAGAGGGAAAAAGAGAACACCGTTTGCCCACCGAATCCATTTTTCCTTTCTCTTATCTATTTCCCCTTTCAAACTTGAAACCATATGAGCTTCTCATTTGCTAGGATGCTTTATTTACTTATATGCAAATTGATGTATTTGTAACGGCAGGACTCACCAAATTGATTAGACTTAAATGGCTATAACATCTCGAAAGATACCTTTTTTATCTATCCAGAATTTGATTTTGATTAATCAGCTTTACCCGAGTCACAAGCAGAGCATATTTAACTTGCCCTTTTTCTTTTATCAATTCCATTTTGTCAATTAATGCCCTAATCAGAAAAGGCGTAAACACAATTTGTCACTATGTGGACCCAGTAGCAATCCTCAAGTCGGGGGATCGGGCGACATTTGATCTTCTTTTCTTTCCAGAAACAGTTGTCCCCTTGTCTTCTTCAATTCTTTTGTCCTTTGTTCTCAATCAGTCGATCATTTCCAGCCAAATCCTCCAAGAACAATTAGTTTTCCCTGTCACCAAGCAATCTGAGAATCAAAGCAATCCCATACAGCCATAGTCAAACCCATTTTGCGTTTGGCAGCTAGCGATCGCAGTAGTAGGTTGTTTAAAGAAAACGAAATATCTTTCTATTCATGTCCCTTTATAGTTAATGTTTCTATCTTAAGCTACCTTTTTGCGCTTATTTAAGTTTAAGTATTTCTTGGAATTTGTTTTTATAAACGCAAAAGCTAGCTGGAACACCCACTTTTCAATGCAAAAGATACACCTGGTTTGCCATGACTTTAGTTTACGAGAGCCATCTTTTTTCATAGCCTTTCCCTTTCTTTTCCCTTTTTTTCATGGCAGTGTGGGTGAATGGGGTGTTTGGGTGCATAAAACACTCGTAAACTCACACTTCGACTCAAGAAAATGAGAGATTCACACAACACGTAACCAACGATATAGATTGTATATATTCTGCTCTTGTCGGTCTCACCTAGTGGGAACCGAGAATTTTCCTTAATGCTTTTATTAATTACATTTATATAATTTTGCAAACAGTTCTTTCTGCTAAATTGCATTTACTTAACTTGCAGATTATTTATTTACAATTAGCATACACTGATAAGAAGGCTGAAACGTTACAACTTTTCTTTTTTATTTATTCGCTCAATCCTAAGGTCATTGTCCCATCATTGTCATTTAATTGAATTAAAAACTCGAATCGTTTTGGGTAAGTGCAAAAAGGGAAAACTCAGTTGGGAAAATGTGTCGAATGGGGTCTCGAATTTCGGAAAAGCAAACAAAAATATGCAAATGCCGATGGAAAGAGAGACTGCAAAGGTTTCAGGATTCTATTCTTCTTTTCAAATAGGTGAAAATGGTCGAACAATTCAATGAGTGAGTTGAATAGAAAAACGGGGATGAGAAGAGAATGAGAATTTAGGGTGTTTTTCCTCTCTTTGGGTGTTTCTCTCTTGTTTGCTTGTTTTTCTACAAATCATCATTGCATCGCCGAGATTTCCCCAAATTTTCTATTTTTCATCCCTTCAGCTTGAAAAGTTTTTATTATTCCCACCTTATTTTGCTCTCGCTTCTTGCAGGTGCTAAAAGTATGCTAAAAGTTTGCTTTCACCGATTGTTTCAGGGAAAATATTTTCGGCTTATGTAAATTTTCCGCAAAATTTCGAAACCGTTTTTCAACATAACATATGCTCAAGTCTGCTGCCAAAATTTGAGTGCATAATTTTAAAAAAATCGCTCAAAATATTTTTGATCCTTTCGTCGAGGAAAAATTTCGGAAGCTGTATTCTTTGAGAATGTTCATTGGTGACAACAAACCGCGAAAAATCGATTATTGCAAATCAGTAGGGGAGAATTTTGACGCCGAACTGATAATGAAGAAACACCCAATCTGTCAATATTTTGCTTTTCACTCTTTTTGGTCGACAAAGCTAGTAGGAAATTTATGGACTCTAGTGGGAGGGCTGACTTTTTTGGATTTTTTGGAGAGGGCACTCGAAAATATACCCTTTCTTCTGTCCGTCTATTGACACCCCAAAGGAATATGAAAATGGATGATGGGTATCTTTGTAAATTCGTATTCTTTTTCAATAAGTAAACTTTTGTTTTCAAATTTTTATTCGAACCTAGGAGACTTTAGGGATTTTTTACTCAAATTTCCAAATTTAATTGTTTATTGGCTTCTTATGTGGATCCGTTCGGGTGTCACTAACTCCTTTTTGCGGATCATTGAATGGAGGTAAGGGGACTTCCCGCATAGGACAGTCATTAGGTGAGTCTCTCTCTAATTGTGCACCTGGATGTGGATTCACCTCTAAATGATCTCTCTTTTGGTGTTCTCTTTACATTTCTCTTCTTCATTGCACCACCATTTGCATTTCCGATGCTTCTTTGCATTTTCTACCGTATGTCACCTCTAAATGATCGCCCTTTTATTTATGACCTTAGAATCTTTGAGTAATTCTTTTTTCTGCAAAGCTTGTACTTTGATTTTTTGTTGTTCATACATCTCGTCAGTATTGAAAAGTTTCAATTTTAAAAAAGCAATATTCCATTTACTCACTTTGTGTTTCTCTTTATGTAATAGTTTAACGTTTTAGTCGAGTGCATACATTTGAAGTGGTGAAAAACTCTCAATTTTCTTAATCATTAAATTTTACAGGACGAGTGGGAATCGGATTGTGATCCTGACGTTGCCGCGCCTCCACTCAAAAGAGCAAGGTAAGTTATTACGAGTGAAATAAGAACTTCTTTGATTATGCTATACCTATTGTGCATACTTTTATCTAATAATGGCTAATATGTGCAAAAACTAAAAGCCAAAGAAATAAGCATGAAGCTTTTAGGCGTTGGTCCCTCGATCAGCTAAAATCCGGGTCAGAATCAGAAGAAGAGGAGGATACATTCCCATTTGCCCCATCTGAATACGAGAGTATCATGGATGCACCGTAAGTTTTAGTTTTTTGGATAAAAGATTTGAATGTGCGAATTGAAAAAGTTAAATTTTTAGAGGCACAACGACCGCAGCTCAATCGGACAGTGCATCGGATGTCGAGAATGGAAATGGTAAATCTTTGGAAATAGCAAAGATTGAGCCGAGTTCTTGATATTAGGACATTAATAAATATGAAAGTCATTTAGAAACAAGAAACTGGGGAAGCACTCAGAAAGATGTTGGTTATTCAAGTGGGGAAAACAGTATTCCAGAAGCACTCAATCACGTCGCCGATCAAGAACCCGAGTAAGTCAAAATATGCAGACACAAACTTTGTGGTTTATATATCTGACTATGAGAAGAAATACTCTTAAACATAACATTTTCTTTTCTATTCACAACAGCTGCTATCTTTTTCGTTTGATATATCTGTTTGTGCTCCAAAAAGGAATGAATCGAATCAAAACGATTCACAGAGATTCCCCTAGAAAAGGAATCAAAAGAGAGATTGTTTATCGTCTTTTTTCCCCTTTTTATCGAGATTCATGGAGTGTCCGCTGTCCCAAAAAGGCCCACAAACACATCGAAAGTTTGTGAAAAGCGGAGAAGAAGGGAGTATCCACGAAGGAGTGAAGGGGAGAAAATCGAGTGGTTCCTTTGATTTCAACCGTTTCCAGATTTTATAGATTTTTCCACAAGTTATTTTTCTAACTAATATATTTGTAAAGCTTTGGGATAAAACTCTTGACATTTTCAGAGAAGAGCTACCAAGACGAAAAATCGATTGTTCTCCTTGCAAAAGTTTCTATCGAACAGTTCCTCTAGATACGGATGCGAGTGACTGTGAATTGTTGAAAAGTAAAAATGAGCAGGTAAGAAAATCAACAATGGCTTGGCAAAATGAATAACTCTAGTTACTGTTACCCGAAGAAGCTCTCCTTTCCGACAGTATGATTGTCAACTATGACACAATGAATTCAACAGTTCATGAAAATGATTTTGGTATGGATATTCATTTGAAATCAAATTTTACAAGAAAAAGTTCAGATGAGGTTTTGAAATTGATGGATGATGATTGTAAAATGAGTGACTCATTTCACACGGAATGGAGGGAAATTCGAGCCGATGCACAAAGGAGAAGAAGTCGATCGGATAGACATTCAATATTGAATTCGATTATGTTGGGGAAGGTGAGAATGTGATGAAAGGGAAAAAGAAAGGCTAGATTTCGATAAAAATTAAAAGTGTGAGATGTAATTTTTAAGAAAGATAGAGAAGAAAGTGAGTTATTTTAATTTCAAATTCTTTGTCAAAATTCTAATTTCTAATAACTGGTTTACCTGGATAATTATGCATCGATATAATGAGCTTTCGTTGGCTTATTTTTCAAAATCCAACACACAAACATATCAAACACAGAGGAAAATCTGATCCTTTCGAGGGTATTTCGGGGTCGGTTAGAGGTAAAAGAAAAAGGGGAAAGACTTTTGGACTATAGACAAACAATCTCTCTTTCCTCGACTGAGTGACGCGAGTTTTTCTTGCATTTCTTGCAACTGCCTAGCGCTCTCAATCAAAGATTTCTGCGGCATTGAGGACAAATCACATTTAACCCAATCAATCAATTTATAATAGATGCTAATTATCTTTTGTGTGCGAAATGTTAGATTTTTGTGTTATTTCAATGTTACTCATTGTAGGCCTCTTGTGACGCTTCATCAGAGGACTCGTCTGATTTCGATGGAATGATGAATCGAGATGAAGATAATGATGAAAATTTCCTCGAAAATAGTCCCATGAATAGGTATGCAATCTATGGAAAAAGCAGTTATGACAGTTATTGACAATAGTTGCTTGGTTGGAAGTATTCCTAGTTCAGTGTCCAAAGGTAGTCATTAGGACTCTTGTTGTTTTAAAAATTCCTTTTCAGATCAATGATATCAAATGTGACAATCGAATCAACTCCCACTCAATTCGGGTCATTAAAAAGGGGAAGAAGTCAAAGGGGACTTCTTCTTCCAAAAAATGCCTCTACTCTTTTATTGGAAGTGACCGAAATGGATGCTTCATTTACATCAACTCGATCTGAATTCGTGCCTGGAAAACAACACAATAATATGAGATTGAGGAAGAGACTCAAGGTACTAACTTATATATAAATACGTCAACATTTTATCAGGTTCGTCGTCTTCCCCGCAGTATGTCAGATGGTGAACATCTCGGTCTTCCCAATTCAGCGCATCCAACAGTTCGTGTCTCTCCCCCAAAAACACCATTGGCTCGATCAACCCGTCTGCTACAAAGGCAAGACTTTTGAAAAAGTAATTCAAATCAAATGAATCACTTTCAGATTAGATCAAGCGCTGCACAATCAAGACAGCGACACAACAGCACAAGAACAAAGTGATCATGCCGCCTATGAATGGGATGATTATCGGGTAAGTGAGGGCAGTTTACAAAGAAATATATAAGTTTTTCTTTTAAAAACTGACTCATCAAGACTTTTTTAACAACTTTTTCTTTCTTTTATTTCCCCTCCCACCCCTCCGCGTAGAAGTTTTTATTTTGTCGCGTCGACTCATCGTTGTTACAAAAAGTCCGGAAAAAATTAAAGAATGTTTCATTTAGAAATCACTGCTTATTTGTGAATTGTAAAATGGATCCTCAGAATTCTCTTGAAGTTACTCCTGATTTACCTTCCTCAAAACCAGCAAGAACCCTTAATATTCAAATTCGTTCATGGGCTGTTTACGAATACAAAAACAAACAATTGAAAACGGACTTTTTGGTAAGGATAATAGATAGACATTATCAACTTTCTCAACCCTAAAAGTTGAAAAAACATATTCTTTTATAAAGCAAAATGACAAAGTAAGAGTTGATGAGGGAAATGCCAACTTCCCCCTTTCTCGCCAACAGCGTAAACAGATTAAATTTCGGGTGTGCTTTGAAGGTTTTTTTCGATTGTCTTTCCCTCATTCCCTCTACTTCATCAAACCAACAAGAGAACAAGCTTTGTTAATTTGAAGCGGTTTGACAGTGTTCCTGCTGTGGATTTTGACAAAATTCTAACAATTGTAAGCTCTAAATGACCACTGTGAATATACCTATCTCTCTTCATTCATCTCACTCCTTTCGTTCGTTGCCTGGGGCCCCTAGCGGCTCTTTTTCCCTTGTCTTCTTTGTCTTTTTCTTTTTCACTCTTTCATCATCTTCTCTTTTTCTTCAAAAGCTTCCACTTCTCTATTGATTTGCCTCGTCGGCTTCTTACTCTTCTCTCTCTTTCTTTCTTTAAAAGCACTCCGCACAAATCCCACCTTGACATCTTGTTACATTACAATTTATATTTTTGTTTTGTTATTCTTTCAAACAGTTAAATATCTATGAATAAGAATCTCAGTTAGGAAAATCTCTTTTTAACCAAGTAGAGTTTTGAACTAGGTAAGTTAGATTTTTACTGAACTTTATGAAAACTTTCAGCCGCCAAACAAGGACGATTCGGGATTGGCGGAAACAGGTGAATTAAGTGTGATGACAATGGGTGGAGTTGATGATCTCATTCATCAAGATGATGATTACAATAAACATTTTGGTGGAAGTCATCAAATGTTAACAAGGTAAGTAATACGGCGTCGAATTTCATTATGATCCCAATCCAGATTGATCACTGAATCCCGTGCCAATTTGCTGATTGTAGCAAAAAGTCTCGAAGCTGTCGATGATCCCCAAGTTTTGGTAAGTTTTGCTCACTTTTATATGAATATGAATAGCTAGTGTGTGCAATTCTAATTCTAATTTCAGCGTGACATCGAATTAATCGCTAAGACAAATATCCGCCAGTTGGAGACCGCTGTGAAAATCAACGGAGCCGGACATCTTGTAAGTTTTGTTTGTGAGACTTAATATCACAAAATGAATAAAAGAAAATCCTAAAACGTGATCCAACTACGAAAAACACCTTCTATGGATAAAAACTTATTGCACCGTTTTCAGGAAGAAGTTCGAGAATTGGAAGAAATGAGAAGAGAATGGTCAAGATTACTCTCTCGTGTTCATTCAGCTCATTCATCTCCATCAACTGCACTTCCCGCTATTCTCGCAAAGTTCGAGAAGTTCACACAAACGCTTCGATCACTTGATCAAGTGAGTTTTTCATCTTCAGCTAGATCCAATATTATAATAGTATTTTACATTTCCTTTCTTTTCTAGACATCATCGATGCATTCATTGAATGGAATGTCGTCAATTCATACACGGGAAGATGCGACAAAAGCACTCTCATCGATGCTTCTCATTCAAGAAAATCTCGCGCATGATCGCGATGAATTGAGGCAAGTTTTGCTTTGGAATTGTGTTGATTAAGTTTACTCCAAATTCATAACATTTGTTTAGATCTCTTCTCATTTCCCCATCCTTCAAAACCCTTCTCTCCGAACACACATCCGAATTTGAGGCGATTTCAGAAGATTTTGATGAGGCTGTGGCGAAAATCTCTGGTGAGTTGAAAGGAATAAATTTGATTAAAAATGTATTCCAGGATTGGTGAACTCTCTTCGGAAGCTCAATTCGGAATGGTTTCAATGGAATTCACAACAAGAGCAATTGAGAGAAATAATGAGACGAATAGATGAACATCTAGCAACAGCTGATCCAATGATGGTTATTGAAGAAATACAAATTTGTCAAGAAAGAATGGACAGGTTAGTAAATGAAAAAGTTGTGATGATAACAAAAACTAAAATAAGTAGATAAAGAACTGTACGGATAATGGCGTTAGTTGAACTAATTTTTAGTAACTGTGAAGTAAAATAAAGTGCTTGCTCAACTTTACTCTTTACATTAGATTGATTTTAGTTTGGAGACGATGTGCAATTATCTAAGTTCTTCATTGATGGATCTTCAAGATGAAGCAGATAATGGAATCGAGCATCGATCATCCACTCCAATTCCATTGAGGCCCGATTTCTCAGCTGAACTCCGATTATATGCAAATGCACTTGAACAATTGAAGTCTAGGTAATTGTGCAAAAGTTTTCTTCCAAAACAAAAATTCACAGATTCACCGAAGCGACTCGTATTCCAACTCCGCCATCTCCATTCAATCAAGATGGATTAAGAGAAAGAAAATCATTGAAAGAAATGTCAACACAGGCCGATTCTCCTTCAATCCCTCAACCACCACCAAAAAGGAAATCAACAAGAATACAGGTGAAAACAAAAATATGCAAAAAAAATTGAAGATATTACTAGACTCCATTCTTGCAGCCTTGAGTTCTTACATTTAGACGCTGTGGCATTTATCGAATAGTAAATAATATCGAAAAACTATTTTTTTGTAAATGAACATGACCATTATTTTCAGATAGCTTGTTTGTTGGGCGCTCTCGTTCTCTCAGTTGCCGCTTTCTTCTTTTCATATGTTTATGGAGTTCCATTCGGCCCTCATCTCACATATGTTCGCGGACCGCCACCCGTTTAAAAATCAAACTTTGTTTTGTTAGCTTCTTTGTCAAAACTCATATAATCTTGTTTCCACTTTCTCCTTAATTTTCATGCCAATCGGGTCTCGCGCGCCGTATTTCTGTATTATTTTTGTGCTCTCATTATTTTTGCCCTCCTTCACCGTATCTCTCAATTTTGGTTTTATCGTTTTCGTTAAACATTTACCTGATTCAAATTTTGGAGATGGCTAAATTTGAGTTGCAAACCATTTTCTAAGATTTTCAATCAATCAACCTAATCTTTTTTTTATTTTGATAAGAGTGCTATATTGTGGACAATCTCCGGAAATCTCATACTCAATCGATTACCGCAGTCCTTCAGGAAATACTTATTCATTTCTTATGCTTAACTTGTATTCACTCGTAACCCTAAATATGGTAGTTCTCAGAGGCCTTAGCAAAGATTTTTTGGTTGAAAAGTTCTTTCTAACAATTTCACTTTGACTTTTTTGTGACCTGCACGGTATTGCCTTGTTCTTGGCAAAAAATTTGTTTGAATTTAAAAATGCAAACATCCTCTTTAAAAACCCCTCAAAAATATTTTGTAAAAAGATTGCTTGTTGCTAATAATGTTTATTGTATAAAGATTTTGAAAAAGAATAAAAATCATTTTATCTTTATTCGTAAGGAAGCACCGCACCACACAGCAATTAATGTCAGATTGTGAGCTAATTTATTGCATACTGATTTCTAAACTCATAAACAAGATTGACACAATAATATAGTAATGATAATGATACGTAATATTCCCATTTACATTAGTATCCTCGGGGTAAGTTGGGGAAATTCTTGGGGGAATAGTGGTTATGGGTAGAGATGGGGGAATTGAACGATTAAATGAGATCAATAATAGGCAGCCAATCATTTCAACGTGAGATGATGGGTTGAGTCGCCAACGAGCCTGAAATTCAAAATATTAGAAGAGCACAGTTTTGTCAAAAGGCATTATCAATCTCTTTTCTCATTCTCAATTCAAACACAAATTACCTATTCAAATACTCAATACAAACTACCGTAAATGCTGTATTAGAATGACACCCCCGTAACCCCTCGAAATCTTGACTTTAGATCCCCTTGTGGGGGTTCTATGGATAGACCTAGGCCTTAAACCTACTAATATGTTATCGGCAGTAAAATTTAAAAAGCTATTTTTGAAAAAATAGAAAAATAATTTTTTGAAAAAAATCATAAGGGTCCTCCACATGAATTTTTTTGGAGATTTAAAGGGGGTCGCGGGTAAGAAAATAATTTCACTTTTAAACGTGTCTCTTGTACGTCTTGGACAAAGGCCAATGTTTAAAATAGTTTTTAACAAATTCTAAATTTTTGATTCATGTGGTCCTCCCTTACCTACTTTTTGGATCAATCGATTTTGAGCGGTTGAAAAATAGAATGACATGTCATTCTAATACAGCATTTACGGTATTCGACTTCAAAACCTACCACTAATCCAGTCATATTAGATTTGTTCACATTAAAAGGAACCGTTTGAGTTGATGATATTAAACTCTCATTTTTCGAATCTAGATCATTGTTTGATTCAAGAAAATCGAGTTCAAGATGTCCATTCCCAATCGAGATCACCTCGACACTGATATTGACACGATAAGAATCTAAAATGCTAGTGTTTTATATGATTTTGATATCGGATATCGGAAAGAAGTTTGAAAAACATACTGCATGTAATCCGGTACTCAATTGAACTGAAGTTTGCAACGATGGGAAATTCAAATGGATTCTGATATCCGAGAGATTCCATTATAATAGTCCCATCACACAAATTTATCGACCGAATAAAACCCGAGTAAGCTGGAAATAAAAATTGATTGAAAGATTATTTGACGAGATGAAGACAGCCAAAATATGTAGGTATACATTCTGGATAGTTCTTATCGATAACCAACCAACAGCTTGAACAAATGAGAGACTCGGCGTACATCCAGCAGGCACCAATACACTCACTAATATCGTCTCAATGAATTGTGGTATGAAAGGATCGGGATCTCTAAAAGCATCGAAAAAATTAAATCATGCATTCACTTGAAGTTCATTCACTTGAATGTCATTAATTCTCGTTCGGGGTGAAAATCTTTAACTAATGGAGGGCCGGACACCAATTTGTACTCACAAGCCGATTCGGTGTGATCCTAAAGAATTGCGTTTTGTTTATGTTTTCTTTTTGTTTTACCGATCTTAATTTCTGTAATCTTTTGCCGGAAGTATCAGCCCGAGGAAATATGAATGAAATCCATAAGGGGAGATCAGATGCTTCTAACTGTAATCGAGGTAGATTTCTGTTTTACCATGATGCAAGCATTTAGACTATGAACTGTTCACCCACCTTCATAGATAAAAGCACCGTATCGGGAGTATGTTTGCCGATAAGGAAATCACTTGGGATTACAACTGAGTCTACTGAATCTGAAGGAGATTAGAACTTTTGATACTGTGATTGGTAAATGCGTACCATCCATCGCTTTTATTGCTCGAACCGATACAGCACTTGGGAAGGCTATTGTGTCATGAACTCTCAATGCGACAAAACTTTCCTCAATGATTGTCTGACATGTGATGAAGACTTTCTCATCGTTTGGAGAGTGTCTATAATCTGCTAATCTTATTACCGTTACACTAGTTTCTATCTTTATCCAACCTTATTGTGCAATTTTCCAACTCTGGATATCCTCCATTGATTTGAACGGGTGAAATTTTTGAACGTTTCTTTGCCTAGGAAATTATGATTTGCAAAAAAGCAACACAAAATTTCCAATAGATTAAAATAATGTAATGGTCTCAAAAAAGAAACCTCTTCCGGAGTGCATGTTAGTGGAATGTCAACAAGGAAACGACAATCCTCACCCATGTCACATTGCTTATGACGAACACAAACTGATCTTGCGTACTCGGCTAGAACGAAAAACATTTGGGAAATTCGGATGTCAAAAAATCCAAAAATACCTCTCGCATATTGGATATTTAGTGAATGGCTGATAAATTGTGGTTCATCATCGGTCAGATAAAACGTTTTTACACAATCGATATCATCAGGAGTGATATCGGGGTCTTGTTGTGCGCGTAGCACAAAGCCGAAACTGTCACTAGACAAGGGCCGATCGGGACACCAAGTTAACTAAAATCCAGATTCAAGATGAAAAATGATACGGTGAGATAAAGCCTAGCAGACTTCTAAGGATTTAGCGGTTAACCATTGCCTTACACCTTAATTTGGCTCAAACTCAAAAACTAGTCATCAAATCAAAATCTCAAAACTCATTCAATTCAAATTCAAGTATTTACCGCTATACAATTGACCTTCCAGTGAATCTGGTCCTTCGGCGGCTCGGTGAAGCTGAAAAGATTGTACACAAAAGCATTGTTATAACAGTTTTCGATTTTTCAACAAAATGTTGCTTTTCACCTAATCTGTTCGGTTGGTTTTTCTCGATGACAACTTCCATCATCATTATAGCTTCCTTGAATTCGCAGTGTCCCACCCTCCAAGAAATCAATCCTCATCAATACACGCCTTAGGCTTTGCGGCTAAAGGATTTGATTCTTGTGATGAATCTAAATTCCCACAACGACAGTGCTGAAATTGGCAAGGAATTGTTGACACAAGGGATATTCCGATGGATCATCGAGTTCCCATGGATAATTAAAAGATGTGAAAACGGTTGGGTAATCCAGTTGCTCTTCGTATTTGCCTAGAAATTGAAATTAAATTAAAGTTACGTTGCTCTATTCATACCTGATTGTAATTTGCAAAAGATTAGGTAGGTAATTCCTTTCTTTTAACTACAGGGTGTCTCAAAATTATTGCAACAAAATTTTGAGGCAACAATTTTGTACATTAAAATTAAGTAAATAAATATCAAGCAATATATTAATAAAGCTTATATTTAAAAATCGCCTCAACTAAACTTCACACATTTATCTGATCTTTTCAGAAAGTCATCAACAGCTTTTTTGTATAGTACCAAGTTAAATCTCGTTCCAAACCTAATCACATAGTTTCAACGAACCAATGGTAGTGTCTTTTAGAGCAATTCTTTGTCTCTAATAGTAAGATCGACTAAATAGAATAATCCAAGGAGTTTTATTTAGGCGGGTTTCAGAGGTTACTGACATTTGGTTTCAGCGCGCTTTTTGCTTCCTTGACAATATAACTTTAAACTCAAATATCTTGGCGCTCAGTTGCCCGATTGAAATAGTTTTGGTATCATTAGGCTTGTCATGTCTTCTTTTGTGGATTGATACAAAAATTATTTCAATCGGGGCAACGAGGGAGAAATAACAAGCAATAATAGTTGTTGCAATAATTTTGGGACCCTTTAAAAAGGTCTCAAAATTCACCAGGCATTCCGGAGACAAAAACGAGGCAAAAAGAGCAGAGTTGATTTGCAAAAATTGACGTAGAAGTCGTGCGAGAATAGATATTTTTCTCCGGTCTAAACTATTGGGCGTAAAACCAATAAATCAAAATAACAAGTATTGCATTGGAGGTTAAAAAAGCACCAGAGTTTTATTTCATTACAGTAGTCGGAAGAAAGTATTGAGGAAAGTAAAAGACTGATCGAATTCATTGTGGTCAATTGAGTTCATACTTTAAAAATGTGACTGTAATGAGACAAGGAATCGGGGCTGTTCGGTATCTCACCCGATATCCATCAAATTATCTTTCTCATCTTTCGTCAATCCTGGGTCCGATCCATAATAAGCGGAATAGCGCGTATTGTCCGTGCAAGTGATATCAGGCTAAATATTTGGTTTAGCTTATTTACACTTCGCAATGAAAGAATGAAATAAGATTATTTTTTCTTAGATTTAACCAACCTCAAAATTTTTACAATCAACTACATTTCGCGATCCACCCGACGTGTACAGGGCAACGAGAGAACCGAAGTAACCAGGACTAAATGAAATATGCAAAGGTTTAGGATTACGGTATCACTCAATTACGATATAAAAACTCACGATGAAAGATCAGGATTGGCCACAAGAGTGGGTAGATAACCACGTGGAATGAAGACCACTTCGGGTGTGTAAATGTGAAGGCTTGCCGGAATGACAAAAGCCTTTTGAGAGTCTGAAATTAAGGGATGTGTATTGTGACGGTCACGGTCAATTTGTGGTTGTAACAAAGGCGGTTTATGCATGCTTGAAAAATGCACGGTTCTCAATCGTGAATGAAAATAGATCACTTAAACCAGTACTCATTCATCTTCTAGTGTATACTAGTTCATTAGACACATTTTTGAAATAAACACTAGACTTGTTTTTCTGTGACAAGACCGGTCGGTCGCCTTTTTCAAAGCCCCGGTCGGTAGCAGATTTTGAAATCCGAAATTTTAGCCCAATAAATAGCAACAAGTTTTGCTTAAAAAGTACAGAAAATTTCCCAAAGACTTTCAATTAACTGAATCGGCTGATGAATAAAAAGAAAACTGCGCTTAGCACAGAAAAATTTTTCGAATTTGAGCAACAGAGACCACCGAAAGACTATCGGTCGATCGGTACCGCTTTTTCGACCTTCAGTCGGTATCGGTCGGTTGATACCGTTTTTTAGACCCCGGTTACATGTCTAATAAACCACTAACCATTAACCCATTTTGTGACACGAAAAGAGAGTGCAAATTGTAGCCCCAGAAGTGTCACATTTTCTTTAGCCTCAACTTTTATCATTCCCTCTTTTTCAACCCTCATCGAACACAAATAGAGTTGTTGATCGAGCTTTGGTGTGTATGACCTAAAAACTTGTAATTATTAAGTTTCTTGATCAGTTGAATATTTTACATTGGATTATCACAAAGCATACGCGGTTCTTGTCCATCAACAAAAAATGGCCATGGATCGAGACAATAATCGGTGAAATTTCGAGCAATCGTATTTATTATCTAAACAAAGCTGAACAGAATACAAGCTGATAATTTTTTGACAACTCGACTTTATTTTGTTGCTCGGAGAGATTCTGGCAATCACGTTGTGTGAAATCGACGAGAAAATCGCATCCCTCACAGCCAATTATATGAATTTGCTAAATTTTTGGTTCTTGGGCATTTTGGTTAACCTAATTGAACTATTTTTATTTAAAATAGCATGATAATTTTTATTTGTATTCTTAGAATTCATACTTTCAACCGAGCTAATCGAGCTCCATGAATGGCAAATGAGGGATTTTGTCGACTTAACGTGAAAATCGTTTTTTCTAATGCGTAAATATTCGAATAAAAAGTCACTATGATCATCAGAATGAAATATTTATAAAACATCAAGAGAAACGGAGATTTTCGGGAGGGAATGAATTTGTTTCAAAAAAGTGTTTTCTCGCTCATCACTCAATGAGTCGTTTTCTTTAATCTTCATATCAGTTCGGGAATGATTTTAAATTGGGTTTCCGGGAGGTTTTTCTTCTTTTCCCATTAGAATTATTCCCGATCATCACCTTTCAAAGACACTATTTCTAGCATCATTTTTAAGAAATAAGAGAACAAAAGCCGACCACTAAATTGCTTAAAACTTTTTCTTATAAAAGTAGAGAATATCCGTGTTTATGCAAGCCCTTTGTGATTAAAAAGCATTCCGTCTCAATTTACATGCCTTAAATATGCCAATGGATCACTATCAGAAAGCAACGAGAAATTGCTTATTTTTAATAAAATATCCGTTTGTAGGCCAGGCTCTCATTTTTAAACCTCTTTGGCACCTTTCTTGCATGCTTGTTAAAATTTAAACTGAAAAGTTAAATTCTTTTATTTATTTGACAATATATTTTTGTTTTAAGCATTCGTACAACGATTATATAGATCACAAAAAAAAACATTTAAAAAATTGAGAAATGAGATCAGAAAGAGATACGAATTTCGATAAAACCGTCTTGTTATAGTGGGACCGTTTCGGGAAGGGTTTCATTGAATGAAGAATCGGCAACAGCGATGTGGCTCGACTCATCATTGTCCTCATCTCGGCTGATCATGCTCACGTCTTCGATCTAAAACAAAAAAAATATAATTTGCTTTAATTAATGAAGTCGACTCAAACTTAATAGGTAGAATTTGTCATTACAAAACACTTACTGCGGAGTGTTTTTGTTTTGCATCAGTAGTTTCAATCATCGATTCGTCTTCAGTCGGTGTTTCTTGAGGAGCCATTGAAACTAAAAAGATTTATAGGTATGTCCGTTGTTGACAAAAACAGCTCTAAAAGCTAATGTTAACCTATTAGTGATTGAAACAGCGTTATTTTAGAACTTTTTGAATAGTAAACCACTTGTATCGTATCGTTTCAAATTCGCACATATTCGTGTATAAAACCGTATATCTTTAATTTCAGAACAAAACAAGAGTAGAAGTTTCAAAAAGCAACTTACTTTCCGTTGTAGCAGCAGAATCTTTGGCGGCTGCTCGTTTATCGGCGCGTTTCTTGGCTGCATCGGCGGTCTTTTCAGCTCTCTTCTGTTTCCATGCCTCGACCATGTGAGAAATCTAAAAAACAAAAGATGTAACTGAATAAAAAAGCTATCTAGGCCTTAGAAACGGGATAATTAGTTGACAAACTAATTACACATCACACCTTTTGGTCGAGTCGTTCACATTCGAGTCCTTTCAGTGCTGCTAGCACGTCCTCAGCTTGAACCATCTTGCGTTTCTTGCCCTAAAAGCATAAAATTTTGCTTCATAATGTTTCAGTAAATTGACGTAATTAGGGTAATTAGTCGAACCAAATTTCTATCAAGCATAATCATTAAATAAAATATTAAAATTTAAAATAGGCAGATTCTGAAACCAATAAATCAGAAAATTTTAGTTTTAGAAATATTAATAGTTCGATCGTATTTGGAAATTTTCTTGCTACCTAATGGTAGCAAGAATGGTATGGTAGATATAAATATAGGTATGGTAGATATAAACTATTATTACTTGGGCATGGTCGGTTGCAAAAGTGGCCATGTTGAGAACGAAGACTGAGGCCGCACGCGAAACGACACATTTTGCTTCTAAATAAAAAAAACATTGATAAACATTAATGTAACAACATTTAATGTTGCTGGCAACCAAAAAAACTATTAATGCCCAACAATAAAAGAATGCTGACGCGTGTAAATGTTTCCGGGATGGTTTTACTCCCTCATCTTTCATATTTTCACTAAAATCAAAGTCGCGAACAACACATAACTAGAGCATATTAGCTATAAAAATCAAAAATAAATACCTAGAGTGTTTTTGCTGCTTAAAAATAAAAGACCAAATGTTTTCGATTATATTGACAGGTATGATGCAAAAAAGATTACAATCCAGTTTCTCTTTCAGACTAACCAAAAACATCAAAATAAACCCAAATTAAAAACAAACCTATCGATATTTTTGCGTTTTCTGGAAGCGAATTCTTGACGATCCTCGCCACCACAGACGTCGGTAATTTCAGTCGTTGAGCTCGCTCTTTGTTCTCATTGTGACTCATTGTGCCTACAAATTATTGAAATAATATAATAATTTAAACTAAAATGGAAAGGATTAAGGATTTGAAAAAATAAAACAGCCCAACTTCAAAAGGTTTGAAAAATTTGGCCCGCAAAAAATAAAGACTACAAACTACACACCATTAGCTAGGACAAGTTGCGTGTTAAAAAAGAAGTGTTTCACGAGGGTTTTTCAACTTTTTAAACATACGGCACCTAAAGGCACACGCTTTTGAGAGAAAAAATAAAAATTACGACGGTAATACATAGGATGTGTTATAGAGCCCATGAGGATGAACATATTTGATTCAAATAAACCTGTTTTTCTTCAAACGATCATATAATATGTAATAGCGGGTACTCATCGTTAGAGGTTAAACAACCGGTTTAGATTTCAGAAGGGTTTTTCCGAAGAATAACAGAGGAATACGGTAGCTTTGTGCTGTTTAATGTAGATATGTAGTCCTAATTCAAATCTACAGTTTCACCTGATGTCAAAGAAAGATTTTCTCCATTTTTTCAGTTTTACTTTCCTTCACTTTTTTCACATATTGAGACTTGCCCACTTTCTAGGCCTATTCTAGCTCATAAAAGGGTTTTTGGCCCTTGGTGGAATGTAGATCATCTCACCCATAACACTTCCCTATAGACATTTTTTGAAGGTTTGAAAAGGGAGCCAAGGTCCCCAATGGGTACTCAAGAAACCCTTTATGGGCGTGAAAATTGGCCCCGTTTCTTTTGTGCTGCTTCAATAGGCATTCAGATGAAGAAAAACTTTAGTCTCTTCAGCTTTAAGAAACCCAATGCTCAAATTTCTTCTGAATTTTCACTTCCGTCCATTTGATTTTGGGCCTCACACTGGATTTGATGGCTCGTTTTATCTAAAACTACCGTATATTTGTAAACCAACTATACGATCAGAGCCTCTAGGCTAAAGAAAGCCGCTGGAATGCGGTCACATCTTTCTAGTACACCGTTTAGAAAACGCTCACCCAGTCAAGAAGATAGTCTATCTACTTTAGATCGTTTTTAAATTGGTATTTTTCGTGTATAAGGCGATTTTTAGAGCTTGAATGACTCTCGTTGTTCCTCATGTGGGAAATTTTTCTTTTTAAAAGACATTTCTTTCGACTCTCAAATTGCTTTGGCTCAAGCCTATAATTTAAGATTTTCGGACGAAGAAATCGGGATTTGACGAATTTTCTAGGAAATTTTTGACTCGAAATATTGTCAATGCATTTATAGCGTGCATTGAAAATTTAAATCTTTTAAATATCCGGCTTAAGTTGACAAAAAAACGAAAGGACGAAACTTTTTCGAATAAGCATCGTTTTGCAAAAAGTTTTCCCATATTTTGAGTGCTTGGTGTGTTTCCCGGAAACGCGTTTCTTTCTTCATTTTCCTCAGATTGCATGCTTCCACATGATCGCATATGGTGCAAGGTTCTTGGTAATAAAAAACAATTATTCATTTTATTCTACTACTATATCTACTGTATATCTTTACTTAGCAATTTTGGTTTCCTTACTCTTTAAGTTTTTCAGTATGAATACTTACCTAAAAAATAATTTTAAAAATATGAGTTTAAGAATAACTCGAAAATGATTGTGAGATTACAAAATTTTCCTTTAAAACTTTCAGAGAACGAGTTCAGCACATAACTAATGAGGGTATGTTTTTTAAAATCGCCTCAGAAAGAAGATGAAAAACCCACCGATGGAAGTTCTTCTTCTCCTCAAAAATGTTCGCTCATCCACTCTTCTTTCCCCCTTTTTCCTTCTCGTTTCTTAGGGTAATCCGTGTGAATTGACGCTTTTCGCTTCAGTTTTTTGAAACTTTTCCAACTCTTTTGCTGCTTTTTGATTCGCACATGTCAATAACAAGTCATGAATTTTGATTGAACTTTGCCTTACATACATGGCTTGGGCTTGGTTAACATTGAGTGAACCAGACAGCATGGGCTTGTTTGCTGGAGCACAAGCAGACAAAGACTTAATCAATTATGTTTACCAATGACCATTCGCTTTCATACGTCATCTAGTGCACTAGCTTATCTAGTTTAGCTGCAAGTCAAGCTTTTTTGCATGTCAACTCTATTTTTAAATCCTTGGCATTTTCGTCAAATTCTTTGATCCTCCGGCTGACCTCAAGGAGGCGAAAAAGGCGAATTTTCTCCCTCTTTTCTCCTTTTCCTTTTAGAAACTTTTGAGTCTTTCTCGCGTTTTTCTCCTTTTGATCAAAGAAATTCTCAAGAAAAGAAAAGCTTTCTAAGACCCAAAAATTTACTTTCTTTGCTTTTTTTTATCAAATCAGGAGGAGAGACTAGTTCACACTTAGACAAAATTCCGGGTCTTTTTGAGAAGTTCAAGTGAATTTTAAGTATTTTCCGTTCCTTTACTTGCTGAGAGTTTAAAAAAAATAGATTTTGTTCTTCATTGTTTTTTGAAAACCAAACCAATTGTTTGAATCTTTCAATCATTGGTTGCTGAAAGCTTTCTCTTTTTTTTCTATTTCAAACAACTTGTTTACCTATTCACAACGAATCATTCTTTTAAGCTCGGTTGAGCAATTTACTTGGTTTTTGAGTGTTCTAGAAAACCCACATTCTTTTGTGTATAATTAAAATATGAACTGCTTACCACCACAACTTTACAACTAGAAATTCGTCTTGACTTTGAATGTAATTTTTGGAAAGAGAAAATCACTTCCGTTTTTCTCGACAATCTCCATATTTTTCTTTTCTTTATGGCTTTTTTTCCTAATCCGCCCCAAATCCATGAATATTCCACTCAAAGAACTGAAATTCATTTAGGCTTATTCCAATCGATTTCACAATTTCTCGATGACTTTTTCATTTCTTGAGATTATCGGGGCTCGATCAAGAAATTTTGCCGAGCATCAGTGAGTCGATCACTTTTAATTACACTCTACAAGCCGTTTAATTGGTGGAAAACTAAAATAGGAATTTTCTTTCCAATACTCCAAAAATTTTATGAGGATCAAATTTCCTCATTAAATTGAGCTTAAAAGAGGGCGGCCTCAAGAAATGGATGCAGTTTCGAGAAGAGAGACCACAGAATGTTTAGTGTGCTTGCTGTGGGTGGAGGTCAGCCAACGGATCGATCTCTTCCTGGTCCAACTACTTCATTTTCATTATCCGATCCCCGACCTGCACCCCAACTCGGTTTTGCCCAATTCTCACAAATCAAGGTGACAAACGTTTGCTGTTATTTGAAGCTGTTCATTCTTTTGTCTTGCAATTAACATGGAGGTGGTGATCTTTTCTTGGAAATCAATGCTTCATTACTTACATTATAAATAAAAGTGTCTTTATACTTTTGAGTTAAAGCTAATATTAAGTAAATAGATACTTGTAGTTAAAGAATTTATGAACTCGTAAGCATCATGCACTTGAAGTTTGCAGCTTGAGGTTCGTTCTTCGACACTAAGTCCATGGAATGTTCTCGGATTGGTTATTATTGCTTTTCTGCTCGCATTTGTCTGTCTGGTTTGTTTTGTCACATTGTTTCAGGTTTTCAATCAAAGTATTTTAAAAACTATGAAATAGCAGCTCTTAACACATTCTAATTTCATGTTTCAGGTTCTAATCGGAGCCTTTGTGAGAACCCGGTGGAAGCGTCGTCAATTCGAAGAGATCAGTCATTCAGCTACAAGAGAAACTTTGATTCTCGAGACAGATCTCATATCAATCAATAATGATCAAACAAATCATGGAATACGATCGCAATCTTATCAATCTTTAACATGAGAAACAAGTAATTTTTAAAACATGTTGCTTCTCAAGCTTCGCCATTAAAAAGTGGCATTAGTTGAAGTTTGATAAGTTGACTTTGAGGTTCACTTTAGTTTAAAAGATCGTTGGTCTCTGGAAATCTTTTTTTGCCTTACAGCCATTTTATCGTGTATCTTTTCACGTGTAAATTTCGGGTATTTTCTATGTGTACAATTCAATAAAGTTTTCACGAAATAATCCAAAAATGCACGTCAATGGGGGAAATCTCAAAATAAACAGTTAATAAAGATTGCAAAAAGAGTTTTTTCTTTGAAGGGATTTCTCGGATCAAGAAGCGGACAATTTTTACAAATCCCTTTCTTTTTATGGGAAGAGTGAAAAAGAAGAACCCCCTTCTCTCGAAGAAGGCTTCAGGAATCAATTTTCTTTTAAAAAGTGACCACTTTTTTGTCATTTTAATCGATCTTCTTGCAGTTAACTTTTCACAGTCAATTTTTGTGATGTTTATTCAACCGAATACCCCAAAAGTCTACCCACAAACGACAATCGCTGCCTATCAGGCTTTCCTGGTGGATACTACCTTTGATCTGGTTTGTTCAACTTTAATTTCAATAATACTCAAGCCATTCAGCTTGACTAGCCTGCTATGGAGGTATTCAAAAGAATAATCGAAATTCAGCGCCGTGTCTCACCCCCATCCACTTCTTTTCCTTTATTGCGAAATTCACTATCAAGAGATGGTTGGGAGGAATGGGCATTTGGTGGATGGTGGATTTTCACCCTTTTTGCCCTCCTTCTTTTTGCGTTTACGTCGATTTGTCTATGTGTATTGGCTATTTCGTTCCATCGGGTGAGTGCAAATGTCAGGGAATATTTGAACAATTTTTTTCTAATACGCTTGATGCCTTTAGTTTGTATTTGTCCGATGACAAAGCTGAATAGCTTTTCAGACCTTACCATAAAATGGCAGATTAAGTTAAAACTATTGTTAATCTGTTAAATGTAAACCATCATTTACAGAGGATCAACTTTCCCGATGAGATGCTTTCTCAATTGTTGACAAATCCACGAAATGAACAACCAAACGAGCGTCAACCTCTTTATTCATCAAATCATATGCGAGAATTGGATCGAAGACGAAAGATTTTCTCTCAACGATTAAGATATTGCACTTTTTGAATAAACGAGAAGAAAACTTTGATCAAAAGCAAAACGTTAATGAAATTTACACACATGCCAGTTTAGGATGCATTTGTATTTTTACTGTGAAAGCAAAATAGAATTTTGTTTTGCTCACTCAAACATTTTGGCTTTGTTTTGAATGATTAAACTAATTATAGGCTACATATTTTGGTAGAATCACAAAATTTTTGGACATATTAAACCATTAACAACTGGGAAAATGGCCATAAATTGGTGATGATTACTCGAGGAACACATGTGAGAGGTTTTGCGATTCAATTTGCTCGATTTTTTTTGTTGCTGATTGTGAGGAAACATGATCATTGGCTTTCCAAGTAGAAATCAAAAATAATTAACTTGTTAAAATGGTAATTTACTTTGCAAAGCTTTCCTTATCGTTTGGAATTCTAGAGTTCCAACTGATTTTTGGTCTAGGACAAAAGTTAGTGGAATATCTTGAGAAAAGACTCAATAACTCAATCAATTTTTGACTTTTAAATGTGAGACGGAAAAACATTGTTTGTCTTTTTTCTTCTGGTTTCTTTTCTTTATTTCTCATTCTCTTTTTTACTCAATCGAAAACCTCTCCCGAATGAGTTCTCCGTCCTAATGAGGTTGAGAACCCTATCGGGCTATGAGAAAAAGTCTTCAACTGGGGCACTCACCTGGACACAATTTTCGATTGAAAGTAACTTTGTTTTTAATTCACTGACTTCAAGTTTCTTTTATTAAAAATTATTATTTTCGAATCATTCTGCAAATTTAACTGACTTTGGCATAAGGTTCACACACCTATCTTTGGAATCAAAAATGTCCTCCCGCTTGTTTGTTAATTTAATCTCTTGAAAAGTGATTCTATTTGTACAGGTGAGAAAAGACATGAAACTAGCAAAAGTTGGGATTAAAAGTTGTGGTAATACACTCTCTAAAGTCCCATTAGATAATTCGTTAATTTTTTAGAATTGCAAACTTCTTGTATTTGAAAAGAATCTTCTTTTCATTTCACCATCACTTGAAAATTCTTTGTTGAGGGCCTTTTTAAAGGAAAGAAGAAATTTGGCGAACAATGAAAATGTGCGAAAACACGAGAAGAATAAAGAAGTAAAGCATTTAGTTGTTTGGTATGTTTTATGAGGATTTGAGTAGCATCTATGCAATCATATTTTTGGACTTACTAGTAGGTATCTGCTATAACTTAAACTGTCCAATCTTAAGCCAGAAATGGGATAAACAAATAGAATAAAGCTAGTTAAGCAAGATATGTGACTTCTTTAAGCTTTTGCCTAACCTTAATATCTTTAGCTGCAAAAGACCCGGTTTGTCTCTCAGTGTGGTTCACCTCTTTCCAATGGCCCATTTTTTCTCTTCTCCACATTTTATTGACTTATTTGCGATTCAATTTGTTGAATTAAAAACGATTCGTCGAGGGGTTTCTCCTTTTTTCGAAAACCCTTTCTTTAGGTCAATCTCATCCGAGAAGGATTTGAAAATATCTGATTCTTGCTTTTTGCTTTGGTAAGAAAGGAGTCTATTTTGAATCTGGATCTTAATTTTTAATTGGTTTGCTCTTTTGATCGATGAGTTTCACCAACAATTGCAGTAGACTTTTTGACGGAATCTCCTTTATTTCGGTTATATACTCTCAAGAAATACATCCATTTAACTCATATCTTTCTTGTATTATTATTGTCTTCAAAAAACTTTTTCACTATATTGATTCTCTCTTTCTCACTTCGACCCGTTTTCACAATGTAATTTTTTGGCTATAAATTTTCTTATCTCGTGTACAATAATTTGTTTGGAAGGCAATCTGTAAAAGTTCAAAGAAACTTATTTCATCTATTTCAGTGAATTTCTTTTTATTTACTTCTTTTTATTTATTTACAGAAATATTTCATAACTTATGTAAAACCCATTTTAAAATATGCGTCTATAGTGTGGTCTCTCGCATTTTGCGCAGGGCAAAGCATCGAACTAGGGGTAATCGGGTGAGGAAGACGGGGAAGTGGTCGAATTTTTAAAATTCATCTTCTTAATATCAAATATACAGATTTCTGAAAATGGAGTTTTGGCAGGAATGGGGGACAGAAGAGCTTTTGAATGCAAATGGTAATTTTCAAGGTTAATGTAAATATTAGCAATGCAGCCGCGTAGCGGATGCCCAGCGCAGCTGATACCCGTATGCTTTCCTTGGTGCCATATTTATATATGTGAATCATCGATGAACCGTCGATATGCATTGAATTTAAATACCACGCCATGTACTGAATAAAGTATCTTTATATTTGCACATTTGTTGCATTTAAGAAAAAAAGGCTAATTTTACTTCATACATTCCCAATTTCCGCGAAGGATCATGTAGGGATTATATGTGGATTATCTAAACACAAAATTAACACTCTAGCTTCAAAAAGCTCCATTACTTTTACAACACAACTCATTACTTAAGATGAGTGGATTAAAAGTAAAAGAGAGAATTTTAATGAAAATTTTTGTGTACTGTTGTGCGGTTTTTGGACGAACCAAAATTTGCGGGCTATTATGATGTCAATTTTGTGTTGCCATGAACAATCCTCAGGTTGTGAGTTTTATTTCTAGAACCGTTAGCTTTTAATCTTATAGTTAATTCAAAAATCAATAAGCATCTTTGAGCTCAGTACATTTTGGTTCTTCACCTTGTCTCAAATCCACCGGAAATCTCACATTTTCTCCATTTCGCCGTTGTTGATTTTGAAAAATGAAAAATGAAAATGATTTTGAAAACGTCACTACACTTCAAAAACTTTTAGCAATACATACTAAGGAAAAATTTTCATTTTTCATTCTCCAAAATGACAGAAATTTCAAATTTCCGGGTCGCAAATTTGTCAAAAATTTCCCGAATTCTGAATGAATACCTGGTGAGTTCAGTTCAATTTTCTCCCAAAAAAGATATGAACGGCGCTCAGAGAGATACTTGAAAATGTATTTTTCAATTTTCGGCTTCACCTCCCCATCTATTTCCTTTTTTGTGCTTTTTGTTGAATTCCATGAGTTTCGCCATTTTTGCGAAAGGATGCGGTGTTTTTATCTTAAATTGTAACAGTTTAAATTATCAAAATTTGTTCGAAAAGTTTGTTGTCTCAAAAATGAGCCGTTTCTGGGTTTTAAATTTCCAAATTCTCATCTTATCTTTAAATTCTAGCCAATATAAAATGATATCTCTAAATGTATTTTTTTGGAGTTTTTTTTATTTCTTTTTAGGATTTTCCTATCTCGTGTGTTCTCCTTCCTTATCTGTAAGAAAAAGAGAGAAGTGTGTGAAAATGTGCCTGATTTTTCCCGATGTGGAAAGACGATCCACCATGAAGACGGCACTCTCCTCATCCATTCCTTCCCTTTTTTCATCTTGAATCTCCCGCTTTCCTTTTAGCAACAACTTTCAAAAATCCAATTGTAAAATTAGATTTTAAATCAAATTTTGCACGATTTTAAAAGTGCACACTTTTGCAGAATCAATAATTGCTTGCCTAATTGTTTAATCTTACTTGTTCTTTATCTTTTTATTTCACCTTCTTCACCACTTCATCCAATATTCTCAAATCCTCTTCCTCTTCTTTCCTCTTTTCTAAACACGTAACCTTTTCTATTTTCTCTTTTGTCGATTTATTGAGCCATTCATCTTGCCAAAGCAGGTAGCTTTCCGGCCAGAAGCGAAAAAATTCCTTTTCCATAACCCACAAAGTCATCTGCTCTTTCATGCTCTCATATTCGCTTGTCTTAACGTTTTCGTCACAAATTTTCCGCTAAACCACAATTTTTTAGGTTAAAAATTGAGAAAAAATCAAAATGGCGGCCCGTGCAGTTGGTGCGGGTGCGGTGCATCTTGAGAGGACACGCTTCACGATGTACCATTCAAATATGCATTGTAAGTTCAATTTTTCATTTACAAAATACATAGGTGCATCGTCGAGTTTTGCACTTTGCAAAAGCGCCAAAATACAAAAATTTTGTGACCCCTGAAATTAAAGTTTTGTCCATCTCATATTAGCTTTTGCCTTTTGAATTTTGTACTCGGGGTAAATTCCCACGGATTTTGATGGCAAAATTTTGGTTCGCAGCTCGTTTAAAAGAGGGAATCGCTGCAAAACACTTAATTATTCCGTCCAAATTGAAAAAAATCGAATTTCCAAGATTTTCGAGTTTCACGGCGAAACAGAGCTAAAATAAAACAAAAACTAGCTCTTTAGCGGAAATCGCTAAATTTCCGGGGGTTTTGGTCAATGTAACTTTGCATTTTTCGGATACGCTGAAAGTTTCTTCCAAAAAATCCCGGTATTTCTTAACATGACGTCATATCTCCTGTGAACAACTCTACCATTTCAAGGGAAAATCGCGGGAAATATTGGTTCTTTTTTGATAAAAAAAACGGGGCCCTTTTCACTCTTTTCAACTCGATTCTCCCACTCTACTTGCTTATAAGTGAAAGGCATCTCTTTGACCCTTTCCCTGTCTGCTTTTTCTTTTCTACTCTTCTTTCTACCCCAAGAACGGAAATGGGAATCCTCCTCCTTTTCTTCTATGGTAAAACAAAGAATGCAGCTCTTTCTATTCTTTTTATTCCTTGAGGGCACTTGTTTTCCTTTTTTCATTTCTTACTTTTCTCTCACGAGCATTGTTTGACATCTTCTCCTTTCTACGTCCCTTAATGGCAAGCTTCGGTGAATCCATTCAAGTTCTGTTTTTTCTTCCTTTTCTTCTTTATGCACATCCAAGATAAAACTAGACATTTTTGGGGGTGTTTGTTTTGGGGTTAATGGAATTTTAGGAAGACCCTATGTTTTGCTGCAAAAATCTTCTTTGAATCAAAGTTTGATTTAAATCATTTTTTCAATTTTCACACAAAACCTGGAACTTATTGGGTTGAGTTGTTGAGTAAGCAAACACTTCTCAATAAAGGTCAAAAAGATGAGATTTTCCCTTGGGACATTCTCTTGTTCATCATTCATTGATCCTCTTTTGACTAAAGTGAGCAAAAACTTTGATTCTAGAAAAGAACCGATACTTGCATGGCTTCATTTTGCAACTGATTTGAAGTTTACTCTTATTGCTCATAAACAGAAATATGAATATGAATATGAACTCATATGAATCCCTTGAAGACGTGTTCTAGTCAGTATATTTTGTTGATCCCATCTATTCCATCAAATCTATCTCACTCCCAATTTTCTTGAAGTGGTGGCCTCCGAAAATTTGATCGATAGGCGGCCCACAGAGCCAAAAAAAAGACTGGCTGACTGTTTTCCACTCCTTTTCTTTTCTTCGTTCTTTTCTTCGTTCTCCGGGAAAAAAGATTAATCGCCGAATTATTAATTCGTGAGACTCAAATCGTTCCTTTTCTTTTTTCACCTTTTCATTTTCTAATATTTTATTTCCTGTGCTGATCTCGATTTCCGCCTCATTTTCCCCCTATTCCCTTTCAATAATGGGTCGCTTCAGCAGCGCCGCCTTCAGTTTAAACAGTTTTGCGAGTTTACCAATTTCAGTTCAAGGTGATTTTTATCCCTTCTTTTAAGCTCGAATCAAAGAATTAATTTTTTGAAAGGATATCGGCTTTATTCAACTTCAGATAAATAAATTTTCCAAGTGCACCACAAAATATATGCTTTTTAGCCCTCGACTGGCGAGATCCCGAAGAACGACAACGAGACGCCGAAAAGGCGAAAAACAAAGGAAAAGTAAGAGTTGAATTTATTCCAGAAATGATTGTATTGTTTTCAATATGAAATATATTATATTATACATGCACATGAATTTTCATATCTCAGGGTTACGGTGTGAGTGCTCAATCGGGTGAGCAAGCCAGAAGTCACTTCAAGAAAAGAGCCGGCATGTTGGATGTGAAATTGACGGTAAACTTGCTTTCCGTCCTTTCCATTTTAGGCTCAATTTTTCAAATTTTAAATTTCAGCTTTGTGATTGGACGGTTTTTCTTTCATTAGCTGGTTTATCGCTTGCCATTGTCGATGTTGAGCTGTGTGCTTTCAATACCGAATTTGGAAGCCACCATGTGAGTTTTGAGAAACAAATTTTGACAAACCACTATTGCCTATCCTATTACTAACAAGCTAACAAAATGTAATAATAGTTGCACTTTTGCAAAAATTAAGAAATCATAATATGAAAATTTTCTTACGCACCGGTTTTCAGCTAGAGAATGCTTCTACCGTTCTCCGCTGTATCATAATCGGGTTGACTTTTCTGCTCCAATTGGTTCTTCTCGGATATCATCTCACCGATATACGAGTAAATTTTATATACCTGTTTTACTACGAGAACAAAGATTTTAAGGTTTATTTGATTGAAACGAATAGCGAAAGCTGGCGTGTTGGATTGACATTTGAGAGAATTGTTCAAGTACTTGCGGAGATTGCCGCTTGTGCATGCTGTCCAATACCAGGTATTTTATTACAAAACAGGACAAATAGCCCCATTTAGCAAAATTTCTTTGGAAAGACTCAGTTGTGTGGCCATTTCTTTCCGGATCCCCTCTATCAGCACATGGATTGATCAAGATTCCCACACATGTTCTCTTGACATTGCCCATGTTTTTGAGGCTTTATTTGGTTGGAAGATACATGGTGTTACATAGCCGATATTATCAGGTTTGTTTAATCTTAAAAAGCCTGAGCCTCTGCATCTTAAGCATTTCATTTCATTTCACTCTTTTTCAGGATTGTGCTACAAAAACGATCGCTTCATTGAATCGAGTGGCTGTCGATTTCCGTTTTGTCATTCGTTCCGAACTCTACCAACGCCCCCTCCTCTTCATTTTTGTCTTCACAATTTGTTTTTGGATGGTGATGGCATGGATGGTGACACAATGTGAAAGGTAAAGAAAAAAGAAATTTGAAATGTTGATCTGAAAAAAGAAAATCAAGAAATTATTGTTGAAAAAGAAAGAAATGACTTATAGATACGCTTACCCAAATCTTCCCGGATATCAGCACTTACTAGATTTCATCTGGTTCGAGATTATTGTAAGTGAATACCAAAGCATTCAACACTTTCTAAACTTGCAGACCTTTTTCTCAATTGGCTATGGGGATATCAAAGTGCATACATATTGTGGAAGAGCTCTTGCTATGGTGACTGCGTTAGTGGTGAGTGAATTCAAAGTGAAATGTACCAATAAATATACTTTAAATAAAATGTCATATTTTGTATGCCTCCAGGGAACAATCTTTTCGTCGATTTTGATCGCATTGATGGCGCGGAGAATGGCATTGTCAAGTAGTGAGAAACGGGTAAACCATCTCATCGCTGAGAGCCAATTGAGCTTGACGTAAGTTGATTAAACAAAGCTAGCTCAAGGATATGAAAAATGATGTATACTTAAAATTACAGACATAAAAATTGTGCTGCTCGAGTGTTACAGAACACATGGAGGACGGTGTTGAAAAGGAGAGAGGTCGAAAAAGAAGGACCTGGACAAAAAGCGGTAATGAAATTGAGAGCTGCACAACGAGCTCTATTAAGAGCAATATTAGAGTGAGTTTTTGAAAAGGTATCCGATTGTATGAGTTATTCTGAAACTATTAGATTGGCAACTTGAAATTTGCTACACTTATTCATTGCACTTCTTAAAGATAACTATTACGCCAATTTAAAAATAACTATTAATCTACAGTTTTCACCAATAAAAAGGTCTATTTATTCTCTAAAACAGGCTTTTGACAGATTTAGAAAAGCTTTGATTTTGTAGGTTTCTAGGGGGCAAGAAGTTGAGGAACCAAAAATGATGAACGCTTGATGGAGCGACTTTCTTCCACATAAACCTATTTGGATGTTGATGAAAGAAAGATAGAGCATGAAAAGTTAGACACATGGCCGAATTCTCAGCTCGATTTTTCTAATTTCTTTAGTTATATGTCTCTTTGAAGAATTTTCAGAAAAACTTGAATTTCGGCTCAATTTTGTTTCAAAAGTTGCCCAAGTTTGCTTAAGCGTGTCTTATAACTTTTATTTTGAGAAGTTTAATTCAATTGACGTATTAAATATGTTTTCTGGGAAGTACGAATAAGTGTACCAACTTTCAAGTTGCCAATCTAATAGAAATCGAGCATAATTGATGGATCTGGAAAGGTTTTAGCTAAATGCTTACTTTGGGCTAAACAGCTAACAGTTAAAACTAACTATGCACATAATAAGATTTAAATTTTTGAAATTTCCTTTTTATTTATTATTTCAATAGATTTCGTCGTTCTCGTTGGCGTCTTCGAATGCAAATGGAAGATGAAGATGACTACTTTATAGCTCGCAGGGTAAGAATTGAAATATTTCCGCTTTCTCTTACTTTTCGTGCTTTCTTTTCAGCTAGGAGTTAAAGGAATGGAAGAGGTAAACAAACACACCAGTGCTTCTAGATTTTGCTTACAAAAACGTAGTGTTTTTGCTTTGCTAGAGATCTCTAGTTTTGCTTGGATTCGTCAAAAATTCGTTCACATGCTTTGCCTTCACCGCCGGTTGGAAGCACTGGAGTGAGAGTATAAATTGCTTTCATCAATAAGAATAAAATATAATGTAGATCTTTAAAGACTAATATATATCATAATAAACATGAAGAAGCCACGTAGTCAAACTCATCATTTTAGAGCTTTTGCATTTAAAATACAAAATCAGGAGCATAAAATAAATGTTTCCAGGCTTTTATGGAAACCGAGGAGCGCTTATCACGTGTACGAAAGAGACAAACACAACTTAATCAACAAATTGGAGGTCTTTATGAACATGTACAGAGTTTGACTCATTTGATACATTTGAGATCTTGTTAATTAATTCAATTGGTTTATTCTTTTTGAGTATTTCCATTATGCTACAAATACTCCAGTACATGTGAAATTTATCCCAAAATCTTCAATTCCTCAAAATTTTAATTGATTTAAGTACCTTTTTCATGTATTTTTTTGAGTGAGCCTTAATTTTTGATTAGGTCAAAGAAATTTTCTTTAGATAATCATCATGTGTTTTTAATTTTCAATTAGATTTTTTTCATAAAGTGTTCCTTATATGCTTTTTGATAGAATTTTAAATATTTTGTTCTAAAAATCTCTTGCTGAATTGATTTTATTCAAAAGTCTTCATTTGAAACTGAAATCTCGAGCTTTTTCAATCTTGCCAAATTCCTTTCAGAAACGGGTTTATTTGAAAATTTCAGTGCAATTGTGTGAATTTCTTGCCATGTAAACGGTTTTTAATAGCTCGGGCTAATATAGAAAAATTTCGTCAAAGAATAAATTTGTTTTTGAATTTTATACTTCACCTAACAGGTGAATCTTAAACATAAAAAATGCAGTGTACCAATAAAAAAAAATGAGAATCTATGAATTCCTTGAGTTTTAAATTAAGATAAAATATCAAGCGACAAAAAACATTTTGATTTCTAGGAAACAAATCGTTTTCAGTGATCTTTTGTTGTTTATGACCGCCCTTCATGTCGATTCTTTGCTTGTAGAGTGGCCGCACCCATCACACGTGCTCTTTTCGCTTTCACCACTCGTCGGGCAACTTTTCGGAACACTTTCCGCTTATAACCTCCTGAAAAAGTTAATTGACATTATAACAAAGCGAAAGAAAAAATAATACCGTACCGTTAGCTGGGGCTGATGTTTGCGGGGCAACGGGCTCATCTCCATACGAGTTTTGTCCCCCGGATTTGACGGGAGTAGGTGAAAGTGATGGTCGAGGCATCTCTGGAACAGGCTCTTGTGGTTGAGGTTCGGGTTGTTGTGGAGGTGGTGGCGGGGGTCGAGCCTGAGGCTGAGGGGCCGGTTGAGGTGGCTAAAATATTTTTTGATAATGCCGCAGATTATTTTATTGAAGCTCAAATTCATATATTTTTGTTTTTGTACTTGTTGATACGTTTGAGGAGCTGGTGGAGGTGGCGGGGCAGGAGCTGGAGGAGCAGGCATTGGTGGTGGAGGAGCAGGAGGTGCGAAAGATGGGGGAGGAGCCTGAACATATTTATAATATTAAACAAAACTTTGATTCGGAGGTAAACTAAATGTATTTTAACCTGAGCATATCCTTGAGGAGCTGGAGGCATTGGTGCAGGTGGTGGAGGGGGTGGTTGAGGCATTGGTGCGGGTGGGGCAAACGAAGGAGATGGTTGTTCGGGTGCCATTGGCTAAAAAATGCGGTTTTTGGTCACTTGTCGCTATTTATTAATATTTTGTCTCTTCTTGAACTGACTTGAAGGAAGACTTGTTGTTGGGGATGGAAGGCAGGCTGTGGGAAAGCCTGTTGTGGTTGATAGGGTTGCTGGAGTTGGAACGATGGCTGAGGTTGGAATGATTGTTGTGGTTGATAGGATGGTTGAGGCATTACCTAAATGAAAAACAATTGATAGTCAAGACATCGACTAAACTGAATAAACACAAAAATACACAAATTCCAGGTGAAACCAACTTGTTGTTGATATGTTTGTTGTTGAGGGGTCATCATGGGCTGTGGTTGCGGCATCATTGATGGTTGTTGTGATTGGTATCCACCGAATGATTGTTGTTGAGGTGCTTGAGCATATGATAGAGCTGATCCACCCATTGGTTGTTGTACGGGTTGAGCCATTCCATAGCCTCCACCTTGGCCACCTAATTACAAGTATTTCTCAATCTCAATCTCAATCTCTCAATTTCATTTTATCCGGGTGTCTTTTTTTGATGATCAACGCTAAAACAGGCTCTGTTATAAATTCTAGAATTTAATTTCCTACGTTTATCTTTCTATCTTCATTCGTAAATTATCTGCGTAAGAGGTATTAGTTGAAAAAGCGTTTGATTAACCTTCAAAATGATTCCCAACCTCCATATCCACCGAATCCTTGTTGTTGCCCACCTATTGAGGAATATTGTTGTGGAGCTGTTACATAGCCTCCATCACTATACTGTCTAAAGAATTGATTATTAAAAACTTGTCCGGTTCTTTAAGGATTGTTCATCTCATGATCTAAATATCGAACCAACTCATAAAAACAAAAATACCAACCCATAAGCAGTGGCAAAAAGGGTCAAGATGAGGGCGATCCTTTGCATCTTCCCCAAGAAAATAAACTACGGTGATGCCTACAGCTAAAGGTTTTTCTTTCCTTATATATTGCCCACCTCCTTGACCATCCCCTTCCGATCGTTTCAAGCGATCCAAAATCTTTTTCCTTATCTTTTCTTTATCTTTTTGCTTACTTGAAATATCTATCCCGCTTCAAGGCTATCTCCGAACTCCAATGTTTTTCTTCTTATTTTTGTTTTCCGTCTCTTTTCCCGCTTAATGGGATCTGATACAAGGTCATACAACTAACGTCTATTCTTTTTTTCTACCTTTGCAAGTAAACAACCTAGATTTATCTTTTATTTTCATTCAACCGCTTTCCGCGCATTTGCATAGCAATTCACTTCGAATTTGTTTTTTTAAAAATTCATTTAAAGGGTCAGATTCAAGGTTAAAAGGTATCCAAAGAAAATCTAATCCAAATAACAACAAAATTCCTGAAATTTCAAAAGCTCTTTTAAAGCTGTTGATTAAGCTATTTGGCGAACAAATGCTTACGGCAAACGGTAACAAAAAAAAAAAGAAAAATCTCTTGAAAATATAACCTTGGAATTTCGAAGGAAATGATGCAAACAGTTCAAGGATTTTGTATGAAAAATTCAAAGTATGTATCCGAAAAATAATTTTTATTATGTGGCTAAAAATAAATAATTTGTTATCATTGTTATTTTCTTCTTTGATCCTCCATAAAGTCAACAGTTGGTGCCATAACTGGCTGAGTTTTCATCGATTCGAGATATTTCTGAAGAGAGAATTGAGTGGTGGCAATTGGGAGAAATGGGCCGACCGAACTGGAAATTGAATTGATTTGAAAAGCTTTATGTTGTATGCTAATGATAAGGTTGTTGCACAAAACTAGAAATCCTATCTCACAATCAGGCGCAAGAGCACTCACGTTGTCTCGATCACTGGTTGGAGAGTTTGTATTTGTGCATTGAATGGTGTCAATATTTGGCCTTCTCTTCTTAAATTCCCTTCTAAATCTGTCCAAATGGCATCTTGTGGTGTCGGCTCAGCTATTAAACCACTTTGATTCTCAATCTCCATTGTTTTCTGTGGTATTTGTGGCAATCCGAGGTTCCATTTCAACAAATTTTGATCAAAATTCAGCTTGGGAAAACCGAAGTTCGAGAGTTGAACATCGGTTGTTGATGGAGCGGTGAGGGTGGGAGAAGATTGAGTTTGGGGAGAATTGCTGAAAGTGATATTGCAGATTAAACTTGTTACATAGAAGACAATGCTATTTTTCTAAGAATGTAATGAGTTAATCTCATTAATATGCAATAGTTTCCAATTTTTTTACCTTGCCTTGATTATCCGTGTGCTAAAAGACAAAATGAGCTCTTCGTTATTGATGTTTTTTTCTTGGGGAAGGGGTAAAAAGAAGTGGCGAAGTCAAGAAATGAAAAGATAATGAGAAACGAAGAAATCAAGACAGAGATCGATTTACAAGACGAATCTTCTGGTAATTTTCGAATAATAAATGTTTATAAAGTTCATATCTTCATTAAAGTACTTTCAGCTATTCAAAGAAAACTTTAAGAAATTTTTTTATTCTTTGCAAAAAACAGACTTACAATATTTTATTCCCACTCACTGACCTGCTAAATGGATTGAAAAGCATTGACGATTTTCGAAGGAAATCATTGAATTGAAGTTCAAGACCAAAAGGGTCAAATTGGGCCGAAATTTGAGGAATAAATAAAAGGAAATAAAGCATGGTAAAGGAATAAATAGAGTGAAGGATGAGAGTTACGATTTGCACTAAAAGGAGAAATTGGCTGAAGAAGAAGAAGAAGAAATGGCATTGTTCTTTGTAGATGAGAGAAAGGGAAAAGAATGAAATGGAATGGAGAAAAGGTCAAATTGGAGTAAAGCGAAGCTACTTTTGCTCTTTTCTCTTGATTTTTACAGTTTTTGGCAAGTGCTGAACTTTGAAGAACTTGTGCAAGAGGAAAAGCTTTAAGCGGACTTGTTGTAGTAAGCAAACTAAACAGACTGTGTTTGGCAATATGAAAAAAAAATGAATTTTGCACATCAGATTAATTGTAGATTAGTTGACGCAACCCAAGAAGAACAGAGCATTCACAGTCAAAGCAAAAAACTTTGATTGGATTTCTGTTTTTTGATATAATCTTTTCATGAAGCAAAATTACAGCACTACAGCATAAAACAGCTGTAGTTTTACAGAAGTGCTACGATATCTCCCCTACCAGAAAACATGTAAATTCTTGTCTCATTTTCTTGAGTTTCGTGATGTAGATTGTTTTTACAATAACCCACGCAATAAAAGATTTCAAATTAATTTATCCCTGAAGTACCGGCAGTGTCCAAAAAAGAATAATATTATGTGAGTACAAGATTGAAAATCACAAAATGATAAGGTCAACAAGTAAATGGCTTTCTACATAAAATACAAATATAAATATTTACACAGAAAGTAACTCTATTCACAAAGTTTCAATATCTAGAAAGCTAAAGACGAGTTTCGGCAAAATATTATTTAATGTCGTCCCACTTTAGCGGCTCGTTTTTTGGCCTTGTAGGAACTCGATGGAGCATCGGTGACCTCTGAAAAATATTGAAAAAAAGTTAATATGTATTAAAAATTAGAGAATAACTAACCCTCGTATTGAACTTCTGTATCGGAGCTCGGGCTTTCGGTAGCTGTAGCTAAAATGAGCGATTGAATTCCGTGGATTGAAACGATGCTCTTTGTCATTACATGTGAATTATCTATATTTTCAACCAGCCCAACACTAGCCATTTCTCCGTAATTTGATCTTTCCCCTTTACCTCCTCCATAACCATCTTTTGACTCTTCTGCTGTATTCGTTTCATCTTCATATTCAGCTCCACCCGGCGCTGCTGTTTCTTCTAAATTTGTATTCTATTAGCCTTATGTAATTGCAAAGTGTGCAAGTCGATTAAAAAACTGTGAACAATTTTTCAAGGCGCAAGAATTGATTGTAATAGAAATTGAGAAGTAATCGGACTGATTAGAAACTGAAAGAAATAACCTATGGTAAATCTACACAAATCTGTAATTTATGATAATAAATGATTGATAAGGTTTTAACAGTCCTCTCAATTTTGCTCACCTTCAACATACTCGGCTCCTTCATCATATTCCTGACCATTCTCAGTAGCCGGAGCATCGCTGGCTAAATAATACGCTTTTTGGCTTGCTTTTGATGATTAGATTAAAAATTTACAAATTTTCATATAGAAATGAACTTTTATATTCTTTCTTTTGTTCCAAAATTCTGGGCTCTCACCAGCACTATTTCAGTTTTTAGATTTAAAATACCGACTCTCTTCGACATATTCCGTACCGCCACCGGGAGCCTCGGTCGCTAAAAAGTTGATTAAATTTAGAAATAACTAATATTATTATAAAGCTAGCAAAGATAAATCCAGAGAATATTAGTATTGCTAGAAAATAGAAGTTGAACAAACTTTCTTCTCCCTCCTCGACGTATTCGGATTCAAATGTGTCTGGGGCAGCCGAGGTTGAGGCCAAATCGCCTATAACGAGCTTTTTTTTGCTTTAAATATATGCTGAATGATTTGAATTAAAACGAACTGTCTTCCCCATAATACATCATATATTATGCACTGTGTCAACCATTTACAAAAGTATTTTTAAAATTAGTTGTTCTCCCATTTTCTTCTTACCGTAAGCTGGCGCGGCTTCTGGTGTTGAAGGTGGAGAAGGCTCGAGAGCTAGTTTGCCCGCATCTAGAAGTATTTTTTGTTATTTTTATTGTTTCATTGCTTGTAATTCATTGTACTGCAAAAATATTTGTAATTAGCTCAATTTTGAGTTGAAATGCTTACCATAATCCGCCGATTCTGTGGCTGGTTCCGAAGCAGCTGGCTGGGTAGAGTCTGAAAACAAATTTTTATAAGCAATTAACTTAAACTCAAACAAGAATATTTAAGAATAATATTAAAAAAAAGAAAATTGCTTTTTGATTAATAGCATTTAAGGGGTTTTCTTTACTTACCGTAACCCGTTGAGGTAGCTGGTGCTGCTGCGGGAGCGGGAGCGGCTTGTGAAGCATCTGAAAATATCTTTTATCAAGTCTTTAAAAATAAATTTAAAAAATAAACGTATTCTTATGGTTTATCAAACTTGTTCCATTATTAATCTAATAGTAAGAGCTTTGTTTTCAAAAATTTACCGTAACCAGCTGGAGCAGTGATAGGGGCAGGAGCAGGTTGGGGTGCTCCTGAAAAGGTTTATTTTCGAAGATCTGTCTTCAGATTTATTAAACATGCTTCGTTAACTTATCTAATATGTTTTTTCTCTAAAATTGTAATTTTTATAGATACAAAGACGAAAATCTTTAATAGATATTGTCCTACCATAGCTTGGAGCTGGTGCTGCCTCTGGTGCCGGGAAAGTCTGAGCAGGAGCTGGTGCTGTTTGAGGGGCACCTATTTAAAGGGAAATCATACTCAAACGCATTTTTCGTTCTAGAATTGATTTTTCTAAATGTTTGCTAATCATTGTACTATGATTTCTAGACTATTTATGTCTATGAAATGCAAAGGTCTCCAGTTACCATAACTAGGAGCCGGAGCGGGAGCTGGGAATGGGGCAGATGCGGGAGCTGGCTGAGGGGCACCTAAAGGGGCACAAAACTACTATAATGCATGAAATGTTCATGAAATGCTTGAAATGTCAAACATTTAAAAACTTAAACAAAGTCTAATTCAAGGTGGATAACCCTTACCGTAACTAGGGGCTGGAGCTGGGGCTGAGAATGGAATCGGTGCTGGAGCAGGGGCTGGCTGAGGAGCTCCTGAACGTTATCCGTTATCAAACTGACTTTTGCTGTTTTTCGCTGATAAACTGTAATAAAATCAAACTATTTACCATAGCTAGGAGCTGGTGCCGATACGGGGAATGGGATTGGGGCAGAAGCGGGGGCTGGTTGAGGAGCACCTGTTTGCAAAAGTTCAATAGAAAGAGTAGAATAGTGCAAGTTACCCTATTTAACTTACGTTTTGATTATAAAAATTTACTAACTATTAAAATATCATCAGACAAACCATAATTAGGAGCTGGAGCAGGTGAGGGGAATGAAGCCGCTGACGGAGCTACTTGGGGAGCTGAAATGCCTGCAGGATTAATACAACTGTAGTTGATTTTCTTTCTTGATATTTTCTGGAGAACACGAAAATCTACCGGATGAGAAAACGGGGGCAAGTGCGGGAGCTGAAGCGGGGAATGGAGCTTGAACTGGGGCTGGACCGGGGAATGGAGCTTGGAATGGAGCTTGGAATGGAGCTTGGAATGGAGCTGGACCGGGTGGAGGAGGAACTCCTAAAACAGTCTTTCAAACAAAAACTTTCAATCATTGTTTGAAAACCACTGTGTTAGTTCAACATAGTCAATTAGCATAGTTAGTAGTTAATAGCTTGTTTAATAGTTACCAAAACTTGGAGATGGTCCAACAATGGGAGCTGGTGGTGCACCGAGTGGGGGAGTTTCTGAATGTTTAGCAGGTGTTAGATGCCAATATTATTTGATGTTATAAAAGCATAGATACCATAACCAGACGGGACAACCGGGACGGCAACAATGGGAGATGTGGGTGGAGATTGAGGAGCAGGAGGTGGAGGAGGGGCCTCGCCGGGTTGAGGAAGCTGTACAAGTGATTGAGCCGGTTCAATGGGGGCACCCTCTGGCGTGCGTTGCGCTTCGATTGGAGCAGAGATGAGGGCTTGGGGTTGTGGTTGTTGCGGAGGGATGTCCTGTTGAGGAGCGGATGGTGGTGGTGGGGGTGGCGGAGGTAGGGGTGGAGGGGCGCCTAGAAGCAGGACAGGTTAGGTGAAGCTTTTACTATGAGCTAAATCTAGAGACAGAGTAAATTGAAACGTTTCATTACAAACTGGACCTACCTTGTGAATATCCACCAGCTGGCGCACCGCCCAAAGGACCTAAGGGAGGGGCACCACCAACTGGGGGAGCGATTGGAGGAGCACCACCGATTGATCCACCGCCAAGTGGAGCAGGCATAGGTGGAGGAGGTGGAGCGCCATAATTTCCACCAAAAGATGAAGCTCCACCAAAAGTTGGAGCAAATGATTGGCTCATAGCAGGAGCAGGAGCGGCTTGAGCATATCCACCACCACCCCCTCCTCCACCACATCCACAATTACTTGAGGCTGGTGGGGAACAGGCTGGGGCTGCTTGTGGGGTACAACCTAAATGGGGATTTGGTGCATGTAGGTTTTTCGATTGTACATTCAATTTTTATAAAAGATGACTTACATGAAGACGTAGCGGGAGCACATCCTCCACCTCCACCTCCACCGCCACCCAAACCGAGAAGACTCCACAAGAAAGCTTGTGTTGAGCCGAAGACGGTGAGAAGAAGCAAAAGTTTCATTGACAAATGTAGAGTTTTGATGTGAAATGCAATAAATGACTAAAATGAGGGAATTGTGTCAAATACGATGTCAAAAAGGTGAGCGATTTCACACTCCCACTTTCAACCATTAACCCCCGCCCCTTTAATAACTCATTTTGAGAGGAGATCTCTTTGTTTTTGTTTGCATTCAAAGGAACACAAAAAGATGAACATCTAGAGGGCATTTCATTTTTTTTCGTTCTTCTTCCCGTGGCTGATTCAGTTTTAACCGATTCCCTTAACTTGTTCATTTCTTTCACGTTGTCACAACTGGCAAAACAAAATGATTTCTGACCACAATTGTTCCATCATAGAAAATAAAATTTGGAAACACTGTGTCAATATTTGCTGCACTATGCTTACGATTAGAAGTAAATGACTAGAAAAGTGTTTTGGGTTGATTCGAATACAAATGATAGTAAGAAGAACCCAATTGGAACAAGTAGCTGGTCATATTCAACTGATAGTCAGCCAGATTTATTTCTGCATTTCTTATTATTAGCTCTTATTTCGTAGTTAGCCAGATTTTTTATTTACAATTTATACAAGTAATGAGCTTGCACATAACATAATACGATAATTTGGGAGTTCGGTTTTTAACGGGAATAAGCATGTGAGTCCAAATTTGCCCAAGAATTTATAAACAAAAGTCACTGTGTATGTACAAACTTCTAATAAATGCAGACTACTTGTTTGACTCTTCAATGACCCCTATTTTCAAGTTGAGAATAAAAGCATTTGAACTCGATTTTTTTGAGTTATGACCTGTCATTTATTAGAAAAAACGGCAGAAAAGAAAAAGCAGAGAGATGCTAATCTGTCTCTCTTTTCACACCCAATCATCACAAAACAAGAAATGGTAGAAGAGAAAAAGCTTCATTGTAATAGAAAGGAAAAGAGATGACCTCGAGGGAAAAAGGTGTAGCAACAAGGAGGTGAGATGAAGGAAACAAGAAAAAAGTGTATGTACGAGATTTTCAATTTTTGTATGTGAAAGGTCAGACATTATAGTTTTCTGGGTGTATTCAGCTATAGATCTTGATTTTAAAATGTAAAACTAAAACGATAAACAAACACCATCACATAATATTTACAATTTATACAAGTGGCGACCGTTTTTCAATTTTGAATCGGAATCCATTTGACGGTTTCAAGATAATTTCCGGAACAAAACGATTCTTTGGGAATGGTTCACATGTGATGAAACGAAACTTTCGTAGAACCGTCGCAAGCAAGATTTTCTCTTCGGTGAGAGCGAATTTCTGGCCTAAATGAGGTTTATCTATTATGTGGATAAATAATAAAATATCTTACCAATGCAATTTCTTGGTCCTGCCGAGAATGGAATAAATGCATATGCATCTCTTTTTGCCACTTCTTCTGTCAAGAAATGATCTGGATAAAAAAGATCTGGATGTTTCCATTGCTAAACGATATACTGGTAACCAGTTTTCATAGTTGAGCATAATCAAAACTTTAAGGTAAGGCAGTACTGATAGTGCAACAAAAAAGCACCCAACCCATTTGTTCACCTCACCTGCGGATCTCTACCCGAAGCCATTGGACTGAAAACAACAGTGAGACCTTCTGGTAAAGTGTAGTTACCTAAAGAAATTAGAAAGAAATTATTATCATTTTGAAGAGACGGACCAATTATGACATCATGCTCTAAAATTCGACCAAAAATTGGCACAGGTGGAGTCAGACGGAGTGCTTCCTTGAGACATCGCTCCAAAAAGGGAAGACTTTTTAGATCATCAGAAGTGATTTGTCTATCAGAGTCACCTGCATGAAAATTAGGCGTTAAGCTTTGTGCTTTGAAAGAATTCCAAGCAATTTCCTTGATATTCTCTCACCAAACACTGTGTCCAATTCATCATGAATTTTTCTTTGACAATCCAATTCTTGTCCCAACCACCACAAAGCAAAACCGACCGCTGATGAAGTTGTGTCATGGCCTGGAATTTACTTTTTAAAATTTGTGATATTTTTAGAGTGGAATTGAATGCTAATTTATTACTGATGTGTTTTGAACTACTTTCCTTCTTCTACTTATTTTGTCTCTTACCCTCAAACATGAACGTATCAACTTCTTCTCGAATATCCTCATCAGAAAGATTTTGACTTGTTTGCATTCCTAACAATAAATCCAAAAATGAGAAACGATGTTTTCTAAAATACATCTTTAATATTAGGAACTAAAAGTACAAAAACATTTTCTTACTTTATTTCTTCGGGTGTCAGATTTTTCATCTTCTCCAACAAACCATTTCCTTGGAGGATCTCACGACGTTGTTTGATCACCTGAAAGAAATTTTTAGAAATATGTAGAAAATGTTTTGGTTTAAATAATTTTAATTAGACCCTAATTAAACCATTCTCGTGAATTCATTGGCCATTTTGACGTGTCGATCAAATTCGAAACCCATTCCCGTTCCATACCAAATTGGATCTGGCCATAGCCAAGGAAATCTTAAAAGTGCCCTTGGAATATATGAGATAAGATCTATTCAATTTATTTCATTTAAGCCACATAAAATTTAAGGCTTAAAACTCTCCCACAAACCTTTCATGATCCCACGAAAGTTGACTTATCCTCACAACAGCATTCACATATTCCGTGTTCTCTCCTTTTTGTGCGTTGATCTCTGTGCCCATCGCGGTTTCTGGATTTTTTTTGTTTGAAAGCACATGCAAACGTTTTAAATTATTCATTGCTTACATCTATGCTTACAAAAGTCTCTTGAAATACAGGGTGGCTGATAATTACGTGCGCGTGATTTTCTTTTCATTGACAGCGCTCTGCAAACATAATAGGTTGATGCATAAGTGTTTTTGTTCCTTTTCGTCTGCCGTTTCAAGCCAACAAATGCACCAATTAAACTACGGTTGATTTCATTAGAAAAACCAATTATTTTTCTGCAAAATAACATTAAAACGGGTTTAAAAATATTTTATGCCTGGATTTTCTTGAGAGTATGAAGTCGGGTAGTCAAAAAGGGCTAACTCGATGATGCGGTTTAGACACCTTAGCTAAAGAAAACCTATCTTCGTGTCAATAGATAAAAGATAGAGAAAAAAAAGTTTGATATTTCGCCAAAATTTCAGAGAAATTCATTCAGCCAATTTTTCCGTAGAGTTTTTTTATAGATTTTTACGAAAAAGGCGTTTTTCACTCTCGAATTTGCTTGAAAGTCAACCGAAATTGCTTTAAAAAGATGCAAATTGAACAAAAAAACACTTTTTTTATAGAGCAAACTATAGATTAATTGGTGAATTTGTTACTTTTTAACAGAAGTACGAAAAAAACGAAAAGACTTATGCATCAACCTAATATTTCTAAGGGTTTATTTTTAAAAAGTAGCTAAGTATTTGTAGTTTTTAAAAACCAGAAAAGGTTTTGCGAAATCTCTTCTAGTTTTTTAGTTATGCTCATTCTCGTGACTTTCAAGAAAGACCACTGAAATATGTTTGCAAATATGCTTGCAGAGCGCTGTCAATGAAAAGAAAATCACGCACACATAATTATCAGCCATCCTGTACATAGTTTTAAACTAATAATCGAACCTGAAATCACATCTAACGTGCAACATTTGATGTCTCCAAATATATCAACCTCAGCTCCATTTCTTGTGTATTCTTCGAGTTTCTCTGCCAAAATCTAAAGTTTGTATGTAAATCAAAAACAACAAAGTTTTCAAATTAAATAAAGAAATTTTTTTTTTTTTACATCAGCATGTTTGCAGAAAACTTCGTGAAACGCTTGAAGGATATTGAAATGAAATGTCGGAGTGATCATCTTTCGTCGAGTGTACCATTTTTTGCCCTTACTAAAGCATGATAGATTAAATAACATTGATATGTATGAAATATACAGTTTATAGCCAACCTGATTAGCAATCCTTCACCAATCCATTTTTTCAATGTATTGTACTGAGGCGGCTTGGTGATCAATGTGTTACTCTCGAGGACTGGCTTAAGGAAAATTAAGGAGAAATTCAGGATTTTAGCTGCCATTATCCAATGCATAAATGTAATTTATAATAAAAAACTTTTTATTATTTGCACGACCTTGTCAAACCGACCTTTAACGCTTCACATGTTGCAAGGAAAACAAGAGGAATCGGCCCGAGCCAAATCTAGAAATTAAAATCGAGATTTTTCCAAAAGAAGATACCCTTTAAAAACAATACAAGCTCTTGCAAGATATTAGATATAAATTACAGTCGAACTTTTATATAAGGAACCTCAAGGGGTTGGCCAAAAAGTTTGTTATCTCGAAGTTCGGCTGTATTTAACTTTATAATAGCAAACTAAAATTCAAACCTTCATCATTCCGGTTCGAGGAACATGAAGTGAAATGTATTTTCTTGCCCAACCATCCAGCTGATACGTAAATTCTAAAAATTACAATTGATTCGTTTCTTCTTAAAGACCTTTTCATTAGCACAAACCAATCAAAAATCAACCTTCATTATCCCATTTGAATAAATGAGCCGATCCAAATAGGGGAATCGTCGGCGGACCGGGAATCAGTTCAAGGTATTTGATTGCTCTTCTACGTTGGATCTATCAAACCAATTAAAATGCACTTAATCCTTTTCAGCCCTTACATAAATTTTATCAAGACAAATTATTTGTTTACTTATTCAACTTGAGTCAACTTTCCAAGAGTCTTTTCAGCTGCACTCACCCAAATTCTCTTCAATGAATCATAGTTTTTAAGAACAAAATAAAGGATTATTGTCAAAATAATAATTAGACCAATCATTTAATGAAGCAGTTTTTACAGAAAAGTGAAAGCGAATCCGTCTCAGATACCCCGAAAATACAAATTGTAGTGCCAAAAATCGGGAGTTTTTGTGGGCACTTGTCAATAAAGAAAATGAAAATGAGTGATAAGACTAGAGGGCAATTCAAAATACAAATATTCTTTTGTATAATGAAGATATTATTTGTGCATGAAAATTTATTTAAATGCGGTTAAAAAGGCTTAAAACAATTTTGAGTTCAAAAGTTTCGAGAATAGAAGCGATAGATTCTTATTGTTTCAATAAAGTACAGTAGGAAATCCAATATGTAAAAAGATAAACAACGAATAGCAATTAAAAAGAATAAGATTGCGACGAAAGTTAAGATAAAAACAAAAAATAGTCAGCGGTATTGCTCATCGTATCGATAGGCACCCTGAAATTAAACCAAATGTGTCGTGAATTTGGGAAAAGTATTAGCTTACAAGCAGGCCTGGATTTTTGCATGACTTTGATTAAAAATTGTTTTGTCTTGGTTTGTTCTCAAGCTGTACGCTAAAGAATTTTCTGTTTAATCTCAAAGGCATGGATATGATACTGAACCATGCTGATGCCTGCTACTATTATACCTTTGGATCTTTTTCGTCTGATAGTACAGTTATTCTCTTAAATTTTTTTGAAGCTACCAACATCTTGAAACTTTTCGAATGGCTTCTTGGGTGAGCGTTGTTTTTCATCTCGACTCAATTCAAGTCCTGATATGTTCTCACTCCAGTTCCCCGGTTTCTGAGCTCGTGGAGGCTAAAAAGAAATGATGAAACTTTGGGTTCTTTTTCATGATTAAGTCAAGACGACAGACTAAAGCATATACAAATCGACTCCAGATACAGCTCGACTGTATCTGTGGGCATGAAGAGATAGTTATTTCGCTACAGAACTAACCTCTTGTTGTAATTCATTTTCTTCTTCGTTTTCTCCAATCCGCATCTCTTCATTATATTCATCATTTTTATCCGTTTTCATAGGTTTCTTTGTCACCATCAGTTGTTGATTCTTCGAGAAAGGCACTGGTTGAGGGAAATTTTCGTGTTTAACTCGGAGATTATCAAAATCTTCTGAATAGTCTTCTTCTTCAACGATTTTTGCTGATTTTGTCTGAATTGGCTCAGAAAAATTGGAGTAACTGTTGCTTGATTTTGACTTTGGAGAAATTAACGGACGAGTTTTTGCTAAAGGGGGAGTTGCGTGTTGAATGACAGATCCTTGATTGCCACTTGGACTCATCAAATCTTCATCTTCATTCAAAGATCGGTGTATGACCGGGCTTGGGCGTTTTGTTTTTTGGGGGACAGGTGTCTTTCCTTGATTTTCTTTCTTTTTCTGAGCTGATATTGGATAAACCCCATAGACTGGACCCTTTGTGGTGATCTTTTTTGGTTTACTAATCCTACTTACCGTAACCTTTGTGGAATGTTTTTCATCTACTGTACCCGGATTAACCAGCTCTATTGTATTCTCTGCTCCCTGATCATTTAAAGCTTCATAATCATCACCATCACCAGTTGGAGTAGTTGAAACGGGAAAAAACGTGAGCCCTTGACTAGTGTTTATTTCGACAATGGTCACCGTTGTTTGAGGGACGGTCGTGGTTGAGTTTTGAGATTCAACATTTTGAGAAGAGTTATCAAATTGAGGACAACACCGATTACCGTAAACAGATACTGATTTTCTGGGCCACATCGGGAAAGAGGTACGGTAGATTGGAACAGGTTCTGGGTCTTGAGTTACATTCTTGCTTGAGGTTACGGTAGTGTTGGTGGGATTTAGATTGGGAAAAGTGGGCTCAATCTGCTTTTTTTGGATTGGAGTGATTGGAAAGTGACTTGGATATTTTTGTTGATATGATCGACAACAAGAACATTGTTGGGGAAGATAATAAAGGAAAGGCTGAGGTTGGGGTGGAGACTGATAGAAGAATTGCTGAGCACAAGGGGAACGAGAGGTGATAATCGGTCTAAAACTGAGCTCTTTATGAAAAAAAATTTTGGTTTGAAAAAGCTTTAATTCAAAAACAATATTTGCAAATCCTAGATTTCATTTTTTGATAAAATTTCACTTACCGAATCGCCATTTGTGCAGCGATATACCAGCCCGGCGATAGCTTAGAAAAGAAGAATAACAAAAACTCAAGGAATATAAAATATTGTATCATTATTGGGAAACTATTGAGAGACAGGATTTTCTGACACAAATATGCCAAAGACTTTGAGGAATCGGCTGGCTTGGAACTACAACAAAACCACCCACCAATTACTTGAATACTGGATTGACTCAACGAGTAAAAAAGAGAAATCTTCAGTCAGACATTCAATGAAGATTCCTTGAGTTAGAATCTTAAATAGAAAAAATAGAAGTAAAAATGGTTTTGTAATACAAAACGAAATAAAAAAGAATCGTAAACTTATGAACAAACCAACCTCGGAACTCATTCTTTCCTTCTTTTCAACTGTAAATACCGTATTTTCTCTAATAGTAGTGCACCCTGAGCCTCGTCTAAATTGCTCGAAATCTCGAGAACCGCTTATCAGAACCTATCGATGTGGGTCGGAAAATGTAGCTGTGGGGGATTTGAGTGTTGGGCTTGTGGGCAAACTTGGAAACTTTAAAATCGTCATCAACTCGGCTCGCCGGGGTGCACTACTATTAGAGAAAATACGGTATTATGTGTTAAGCTTGTACAGTTAAGATCTCGGAAAGTCTTAAATCTGCAAAAACGCTTTTACATTTATTTTAAGAGATCTAAGATTTTTGAATCGTATCTTTTAGATTTCCCCCAATCTATTTCTGAGAAATGTCTACTGATCTCTCAACAATTTTTTGTCCACTGCAATGTGCAGTCTGGGCAAAATTCCTCTTTTTTCTTTCAGTGAATTCTCATTTCCTTTTTGAATAGGGGCAGCTGATTGAAATATGAGAGTAAACGGGGTGAAATCTTTCCTTGATAAGCTTTTACATGAAGAGAGACTCATGACCGTTTTGGGAGGGAAAGTGCCCCTTTTCCTTCATTAGTCCCCTCCAACGTGTTTTCCACAATATTTACAAAAAACCTTCTATCATTTCTTTCCATTTTTAGTCTTTAGACTTTAGATAACTAAATCAAACCAAAAGTTCTATACCAAAACAATCTTGCAATTATCTAGTATTGGCATGAGCATCTGATTATAGACTACCTAACTGGATTTCTAACAATAAACACCTCATGTCCGGAAAATATTCAGATGTCCAGCTCATTTGAAAATCACTGACAACTTTAAAAACATTTTTTTAGTTATTGGTTGTTCGTTTATGTTTTCCTCAACAGATCATGCATTCAAAACACATTTTTTTGTTTCTTTTTTCTTACTAACGGCTTATCAACAAGATGGGATCTGTGACTGGCTTGCAATTATAAATTCGAATTCAATTGAGATAGATTTGACTTCCTTTTAATCGTATTATTTAGAAAATGCTCAGTGTATTACTTCTTTTATTGGGTGGGATTGGGTTTATTTTGCTGAAGAATTGGGTGAAAGTGCGCAAATTCTGGATAATGAGAACAAGAGCAGTGCAATTTTTGGATGAGATTCCCGGTCCTCCAACTATTCCTTTGCTTGGATCGGCTCATTTATTTAAATGGGATAATGAAGGTAAACAAATTTTTTCAAGACTTCACATTTGGACTATTAAGTTTTAAAATTTTTCTGGCAAAACTTCTTATATTTTCCTTTGTTGACAGCTGACAAAAAAGGCTTATCACTGTGTCCGAAACCAGTACTTGCAGAACGTGATGCCCTATCGCTAGTTTTTTTCTGAAAATGGTCAGAACTTCTGAAGTCTATCAGAATAATTAAAAGGTTCAACTATACCTATATACAAGTTTTGACTTAGAATTTACGTATCAGTTGGATCGATGGGCTCGTGAATATATGGTGAAAGTCCAGCCAACGACTGGAGTGATGAAGGTAGAAAAATGAATAAAACAAGAGATTTTAGAGTTCTCTCGTCAAATTGAAGGATGGGGAAGGGAAATATTCAACAATACGGAAAATCCGTTGAGAGATCATGGAGTGATGAAGGTTTTGAAAAAAGTAGAAAGCGTAGAAAACGAAGAAGGGGATAGCTATAGGCAGTAGAAGGAATAGATGGAATATAGATAGATATAAACCTTGTGTGGACTGTTTACAGCCTATCCATTCAATCATCTTTTCAGGGTAGTTTTAGAGCATGAAAATAGATTGTATATGTAGAGAAAAAGCTCAAGTAGTTGTAGATGTGTGCTTAAAGAATGGTTTGAGTGTAGCAATTAAATTCCAGGTATGGGTTGGTCCTGTTCCGATGGTTTTCCTAGCTTCATGTGATGCGGCAAAGGTTTAAAGAAGTGGAAATCGAATCATTTACTTATTTAGCCAGTTCTTGAAAGTAACACATTGATTACAAAGCCTTCACAGTACAATATTGTAAAGCAATGGATTGGAGAAGGATTGTTGATTAGGTGAAATATGGCAGTCGACTTTTCAGATTCGTAACAAAATCACCTAGCATTATTGGCTTTAGCACTGGAAAGAAATGGTATGCAAGAAGAAAGATGATCACTCCGACATTTCATTTCAATATTTTACAAGGATTCTACGAGATTTTCTTTGCTCAAGCAAATGTATGAAAATGTTTTGCTTTTTTTTGCAAGAAAAACTTTGTTTCTTTTCAGATTTTAGCTGATTTGGTTGACAAATTTGCGGACACTGATCAAACAGTTGATTTGCTTCCATATGTGAAAAGATGTGCTTTGGATATTATTTGTGGTGGGTGAGAAAAGAAAATCCAAGAATAAAACATAATATTCTCTTCATATCATAGATAAAGTGTCCAATTTAGAAACGGCAATGGGTACACGAATCAACTCACAAACGGGCAAAAATGTCGATTACGTTCAAGCAGTGAATCGTTTGAGTCAATTAATCTGGGATCATGAAAGGTTAAATCTAATAAGAAGAAACAACTAACCGGAATCATACCTTTTTTAGATTTCCCTGGTTGTGGTTCCAACCGATTTGGTATCTCACAGGAATGGGATTCGAATTTGATCGATATGTGAAACTGTCAAGTGATTTTACGAGAAAGGTATGTGTGGATGAAAATTGATCTGATTAAAGTTTTCTTACAAGTATGCAACATTTAAGGTGATTCTGCAAAGACGAGGTGTTTTGGAGGGGAAAGGATTACTTGGAGAGATGCAATCGATGAGTCCTGAAGAGATACGGTTAATAAAAAAAGAATAATTTTTGATATTAATGACACATTTTAGGAAACACAAACTTTCATTTTTGGATTTGATGATCGGAATGCAAACAACTCACAATTTGTCTGATGAGGACATTCGGGCTGAAGTCGATACATTCATGTTTGAAGGTAAATCTTGCTGAAAATATCTTCATAAGCCACGTTGAATGTGTTAAATTACTCAGAAATAACTCACGTATATCATTTTTTCCATTTAAGGTCATGATACAACCTCATCGGGAATTGGTTGGGCACTTTGGTGGTTGGGTCAAGAATTGGACATTCAGAAGAAATGTCATGATGAAATTGATGAATTCTTTGGTACAAATAAAGAAAAGAAAGAAAAATCAAATATTTTGAGGTGATTCGGATCGTGCGATCATTGCTGAAGATCTGAAAAGTCTTCCCTATTTGGAGATGTGTTTGAAAGAGGCATTACGATTGACTCCACCAGTTCCTTTATTCGGAAGAACTCTTGATCATGATTTGAAAATTGGTTTGAGCTTAAACAATAATTTGCAAAGCTTAAATTTAGCTCATTACACAATTCCGGAAGGCTGCACGGTTTTCATGAGTCCGATGGCGGCAGCTCGAGATCCAAGGGTGATTTTTACTTCTAAAATAAGCTTTTGTGATATATTGACAACGAAGCATGAGGTTGACATGACGTTGACGTTGACGTTGATGTCGCTAAAATACCTTTTTCAGCATTTCAAACATCCGGACATGTTCTACCCAGAACATTTCAGTCAAGAGCAGATCTCTCAACGTGACCCCTATTCATTCATTCCATTTTCGGCTGGACCAAGGAATTGCGTTGGTTAGTTCAATGAGAGAAACATCTTAAACTTTCTTTTAGTAGACAGCGAGTAAATTTACTTGAAAAGAATTATTTCCTAATAATAAGAATGAAGGAATTCGATGAGTGTTTGATTCAGGACAAAAATTCGCGTTAGCCGAAGAGAAATCATTGATGGCGACTCTTTTGCGTCGTTTCAAATTCATCACAATGAATCCCGAACCATCAAATCGGTTCTTGCCGGAATTGATTTTGAAACCAAGTATGGGGTTCGTTTTCAACGTTCAGAGAAGAAAACAAGTGAAAAGCTGAATTATTTTGGAATTCTGATAACAATACGGGTTTTTGTATGTTTATGTTTGCAGGGTCACTGTATTTTTATGGTAACAATAAATTTTATACAATTGAAATATTTATTGAGGCTAAACTCTGTACATAATTGATTATGCTTCCTCAATTGCTATCTTTTGTGTCGTTTTCTTCTTTTCTTCATATGATTTCCATAAACATTGATCACTTGATGGCATTTTTTCGGCCAAAGGTTTCCCTTTTGATTCGGGAATGAAAAAGTGGAAAAGTGAAGATTCAAAAATGATTAAAACAGTCATACAAAGATAGGGAAGTTGAATGGAGAGTTCACTCTAAAGTTCATTGGTTAAACTTGACTTGAACTACTATAGTTTTCAGGAGCGATCATAAATAATAATCCAAAACTCACCAATTTGAACAATTGAGCTCCAAGAATTGACCCGGTGCTTCCACTTAATTGGGTCATTGCATAGGCGATATTTCTGATTGGAGTTGGATAGATTTCAGAACAAGTAACTTGATTTGTCAAAAATATCTAAAATAAAAATATTTGACATTAATTTAGTTTATTTCCTCAAGCAATATACCTGAGAAGCCATCGATGAGGCTGAGATGACCAACCATCGAACAAGAAGCGAGTATGTCAGTTCAAGACCTAAAAAGAGAATTTGATTGCAGTTAAAAGGGTTCAATATACACTACTGGACAATGAAATATCATATTTGAAAAAAGATCGTCACTTTCGCGCGTCTGTAACTCCCTTGTCTTTACCGTATTTCTAAATATTAATATTACCATTGTGTAGCCCTTGAAAAGAGCTTTCAGAAAATGTATAACACTAATAGTTTAAACTCAAAGACAAGGGGAGTTACAGACGCACGAAAGTGACGATCGTTTTTCAAATATGATATTTCATTGTCCAGTAGTGTATTTAGTAAGTACTTGCTCTTTACTTCAAATCAAAACTTCAAATCTCTTTACCGAAATATTGAATGACAATGATTCCCAGGACGGCACACGTCGCATATCCACCAAAAATGTAATGAGCTGTCTGAAAAGATTTTGAGTTCGAAGACTTTAACAATCCTAAATCTCAAAATGCACTTACCAATCTCCCCAACCATTTCAATTTGAAATCAGCAGCCGCCGAGGACAAATTGAGAATCATTCGAAGTGAGGCCACAGTAATCATATTATTGTAAAGACTGCCAGAGAGAGTTTCCAGATTGAACATAATACCGTAGTTGAAGATACCAACACACATACTACAATCTGTCATATTGGATGAGCAGGGATGAACCCATCAATTTTATTTTTTATATTTTTTAAACTCACTAGCTAGCGAACATCGTTATCGAGTAGGAAACAAGTGTCCATGAATAGAAAAGATGATGGAAGAAATAACGTCTCGATGCCGTTTTCTGGAAGATTAATTCAATAAAATATTGTAAGAGTTTTCTTCTATTAATCACTCGAATTCCCATAACTTCTTCAATTCGAACCTGTGCCTGTTGTCTTTCTTCTTCAAATATCTTCTTTGCTCCATCAAGATCCATTGTTTTCCCATCAATTTTCCCCATTTTTTCGATCGTTTCCAAAGCCTCCTCAATTTTTCCTTTTCTCACCAGCCAATAAACAGATTCTTCCGAGAAACTGAAAAAATGTTTTTTAGTCCAAAAAAATCCCAAAACAGCTCACAAATCTAATAATAGAAAGTTTTTAGGACTCACAATAACAAAATACAAATTGGAATTGCCAACAGATTGATGAGAATAGAAAGTTTTCTCCAATCACCCAAAATGAACGCAAAACATGTAACCAAGAGGATATTTGGTGACCAATTGATGAGAAAATTCAGCCACATACGATGTCTCATTGGAAGTGTTTCACACATGAATACAACGACGATTCTGAAAAAGAAACGGAATGATGTAAAGAGTTTGTTCTTTTGAAAACAAAGTTTATTGTAAACTCACACAACATGTCCCGTATTGAAGAAAATAGCCAGGAAACGAAGTGCGGTAAATGTGTAGAGATTGTGGGCAAATGAAGAGGCAAAACCGAAGATTCCCGTTAATAAAACCGTGATCAGCATTGGCTTAAATTGATGTTCACACAGTCGAAACCATTTAGATCTACCAATTTTCTTCCGAAATGATCCGATATTTGTCCAAAAATTAATGTCCCAATCACATAACCGATCATTTGTATTGATGTACTGTCTTTGATTGATGAAGAGTCACCACAAATGTAGTTAAACTAAAAGAAGGGCTTGGAAATTGCAATAGAAAGTAAAATATGAGAACGATTTCTTTGTTTCTCACACTCACCTCAACATTTACTGAATTGAATGAATATTCCAATCGAGGATCACAAGTCCCATTATGATACATTTCACAAAGAATTCCTTCGGGAAGATCAATCACACTTGAGTCATTTTGACAAGCGATCAGTTTTGGTGGGGCGCCTGAAATGGATGGATTGTAAGGGAATGCTAGTTGAACAAAAGAGTGTAGTGTAGTTCTTTTTTCCTATTTAAACAAACCTCCGAATACCATGAACAATAAATTCCCAGCTTGCATCAGCACAACCAACTAAATAAAAGGAAATTCTATCGGTTTTATTTTTTTGATCGCCAAACCTCACAAGCGATGCATATCAACAAAGAATAACGACCCAAACGGAGGAAATCGTCGATTTTTGTGGGTGCCATCTGAAAATTCGTTAAATTTGATCATTCAGGTGAGTTCTTTGCATAATTTATCTAGTTTTTAATTTGGAAAAACCAAAAGGGATGCTATGGAAGGATTTCCGAAACTAAAAATCTTTCAATTCTGAATTTTGAAAGTTGTTAAGAAGATCTTAAAAATTACGGACCAATGGACAAATCATGAATCTAAAGTAAAAATTGCGGTAACTTTTCCATAAAATGCACAGAATTTATCCATTTTATAGCAAAAACTGTTTCGAAAATAGAGGCGTTTTTTGTTTGAGATCAACCCCAATTTCTATCACCAAGCAGAAAAAGCACAGAAAATATGTAAATTTTGAGGGAAGAGTGACCAAAACGGGTCAAGAAAAAGAAAGAATCGAGCGGGAAAATGATGCAAAAATGATCAAAGTGGAGACAATGTTTCGAAAAGGATTTGTGAAAATGAGTGTGAAACGTGACTTTCATCTCGAGATTTTGATTATTTATATATGTTGTGTCCGATTTAGATTCAATCTAAATCTTATGTAGATTGAACAATAATATAAATATGCTTAATATATGTTCTTAAGCGTTTTCTGTAGTTTTTAACTTTAATAGGATAATAGTAAGCATTTAAAAGGAAAACAAGAAAAAAAAATCTCAAAAAGACAATAAATTTCTTTGAAAGCCGAAATTGCAAAAAACCCATTTTTTAAGACGTTTTTTATTGATTACAGTCTATATCGGACGTCCGATATAGACTTTAATCTAAATCGGACGTCCGCGATAAGTTCAATCTAAATCGAACGTCCGATTTAGATTGAATCTAAATCGGACGGAAATCTAAATCGAACACAACATATACATATCAGAGTTATAAATTCTCGTTAAAAGATATCCATTCTTTAAAAAAAAAACAGGATCTAATCAAAATTCGTAGAATATGTATCAAATTTTTCTCTTTGATAAACGAAAAGTGCAAGTAATGTTCCTTTTGCTCGTTGATCGTTTTTATATCAATATTTTTCGTTATCATGATAAATGATGGATCGATTGTCTTCAAATTGATTTATTAGAAAAGAGAGATTTTAAAATATCTTTTTTTAGTTTAAAAATGTAAACATTATTTGTGCTCTCAAATTTATTTAAACCATAAAAAGCTGTTTATCTCTTTAAGCTAAAAAGTCTAATTTACTTTTGCTTACAAAATTTTTTAAAAAACTTACCTCATTCTCATTCAGCAGTTTTTCCTTTGGATTCCTCATTTTCAGGAGTTTGGACGGATTAAAATATTCAATGAAGTTAGTCAAACAGTTCTAGCGAATCGATAGCAAAGAATTTTGATTAGAATTTCTAGAGAATTGCATCAAAGTGATCCCATAATTTCCGATTAAAATAGTTCATTTTCAGAAGTCATGAAAAGCCATAAAATAGGGAACAATTAAGTGATAGGCTGAATGGGAAAGGGGGGAGGTAAGGCGTCATGCTTTTCATGCTCTTTTCTCGTGTTCTTTTTCGACTTTTGCTCTGTTTCTTTGGTCTAACTTGGCCACAGAAAAATCGAACGACACTCGGGTGGGGTGTGTTTTTTTCTCTTTAGGTTTGCTCTCTTTTCATCAGCTTTCCACAATGACCCCACTTCTATTGGAAATCTGCCGGTGCAGTGTCAGTATAATGAAATTCCAGAAAAGGCTAATGATTTCGAAAAATTAAAGCAAAATAAGTTTAGTATGATACTTTAACGGTCCCATGTGTGCTTTCCATGACGCGAAAGGCCATAAGTTGAAGAAATTGATGAAAATGTTGTAAATTTACGAATCTTTGTAATTTCAAAACTTGAAACCATTGATCTTCGACTCTTTTCCATTGCTTCGCTATTTCCAGTGCCCTAATTGTGCAGAATCTGCAATGAACAAGAGTCTCTCCAATTGGGAAATCCCTTAAAATTCTTCCCTTTCAATGTTTCGGGACTCAGTAATCAACCCACCCCCAGTTTTGACGTCTGCAGCTATTTTTGGATAGAGCTAACTCTAAATTAGGCTTTCAAATCAATTGAAAATTTTAGTTGTAGTATTAATTTTCATTGGAAGTCTGTATCAGCTGCTTTTTATGTCCTATTGAACAATCAAATGCTTTTTCTTCTTCCGGGTTACTTGAACATAAAAAAACTCAATGAATTCCACAAACAAGCGTGATCTGGTGTAGTAAAAGGCTTTATTCAAGACATAAAACGGAGCAAAGTCAAAAACAACTTTATGACTTACTGAATAGAAGGAAAGGTAGATTGAATTAGTGAATTTGGTGTTCATGTTGTTTTTCTTGATCTTTATAAGCATTTCAGAAGTTACAGCTCTATGTATAAATCCAAAACAAGATAACAAGGTTCAGAACGATTCCATATCCTCAATCACTTCTTACTTTGTTCAGCCTGATCAAACATCACAAAATACTTCAGCACTTGGCTTTTAAAGAATATTCACGCCAAAACAAGTTCTTTTTTGAACTTTACGTTTAGAAATTTTACTTTCAAAGTTTCAATCTTCTTTTAAAGTAGTGATCCCATCAAAGAACACCCCGAAAATCCCCCTGAAATCAACACCAAAACAAGAGCTTTTTTTCTTTCCGAAAACCCAGTAGGAAAACAAAGAGTAAATCTTTCCTGAATAGAGTTCTTCTCTTATTTTCTTTTCCTCTTTTTGTCATATCCTCAAATTCTCAAAGATCTTCCTTTTCCAGCTCAAAGCTCATCTCCCAATCCTCCTCCATCCTCACTTCTTGCTTCTCACTCCTCACTTTCCATTCGAATTGGTCTCTTGAGGCCTTTCTTTTTCTTTAGTTTTCCCAGCACCATAAAAACACTATTTGTTTTACTTAAAATACTTACTCTCGTCTGAAATGTCTGAACGAGTTTCCATGCTCTCGAAGTTTTAATTTCTACAGTTGTTAACAAAATTGAGTCATAAAGTTCCGCTGTTTCTCGGCTTTAAGCCAGAAATTCCTCTTGTCCAATCAAATCAGATTCATCTTCAAGGGTCTAGCAAAAATTTATGATATTATTCATTTTTATTTTTGGATGGAGCTACCTGCAGTCTAGATTTTTGATCTTTTCAGTTCTAAGTTTTGATCGACAATTTGGTGCACTTTTAAAAACATTTATTGTAACTTTTATTTGCCATGCATAGATATTTAAATCTGGAGAAAGATATGGATATCTCTTTGATTTTTTTAAAGTAAATGGATACGTAGCAGAAAGCCGAGAAGAAGAGGAATGAATACCCACTTGCCCTACCTCCTTCTCAACTTTCAGAAACTCGTTAGCAAATTTATTTTTATTTTACGGTTCTAATAACTCTTGAAATCAAAAACTTCCTTTTTTAAGAAGTGGGCATCACGTGAAAAGGTGTGAATTGAAAGCTGAGAAGAAAAATGGGGTGAAGTCAAAAAAAAGGGCAAAAAGTGAAGAGGATCCCATCCAAATCTTCCATCTAAAAATGCATCAAAGAGCTAAAAAAGAGGGTTTCGCAAACATAGAAAAAAAGCAGAAAGCAATTCGGGCCTTTCGGAGAAGATTTCTTTGTGGATTTCTTTTGATTCTTGTTAGCTTCATTGGAAAGATCAGTTCATTTCAGTCTTCAAAAGTTTCCATCCAACGAGTGTTCCAACTGTTGAACTTTTCTATCAAATATTTACTTCTACCCACATTGTGTTGAATTCGTGTTTTTTAGGCTTTTAAAAAGAAAAGAAAAAAATTAAAAGGATTTTTTGGGTTGAAGCAACAAATGTGTTGTTTGTCAAGAAAAAATGCCCTAGTTTTACTATCATTCATTTTTCAACTGTTTTATTAAGGATGTCCATATAAAAATCATTGTAAGTATTGTAATCTTTTTCAAAATCTGGAGAACTGAAGTTCAATAAGAGATAGAGAGCCCTTTGTTCATCGACTGAATTTGAACCGCCAGCTGGTTGATCAAGAATATCATTCAGAATGCATTTATGGCTTTCATGGGCTGTCGTTATAGGTACAGTAGTTGATGTTGATGAAGTGTCTCCAATTTGAGTGGTGGTTGTGATCGTTGGTGGAATTATTGAAGATTTTGTCGAGGTTGTTGTCCGAATTGGAGTGTCTCCTGTTATGTTCCACGCATAAATATTCGACGATCGACATTCATTATCCTCACAAATCCTACCCCGTCCACATTCACTATCACTTTCACAGCCTAAAAGGATAATCAAAGTGTGTTTGCAAGAGTTACTAACCAGATGCACTAAAAGACCTCAAAACCTACACAAATAATTTTCAAAATACTGAGGATCTTCTATTTTATATCCATCATATTTTGGTTCTCGGCCTGAATTTTCTTTAGTTTTAGATGATTTTATCTTTTTCAATTGAAACCTGGTGTAATCCCATCATAATCATCATATAAAACCTTAAGAATATCCGCCATTCCATTAAAGACTTTGCCAAAAAGTGTTTTCTGAAAGTATTTTAAGGAAATAGTTTGCTGATCACAATAAAAATCACCCCAGAATGAAAGAAGCATTTCTCTTTTCTCTCCAAATCCCAATTTGCATTCAATTGTGATCTTTGCTTAGTGTTGAAACACTCATTTGGGGGAATATTCTAAAGCCATATTATCTTACAAAACATTTATATGTTTAACCACTAATGGATCATCTTCCCAAACATATCGATATTTCCATGGAAATAAATGGATGAGCATAGCAGCATAGTTCTTGAATAAAAAATATAAAAGAAAGATTACGGTAGTTTTCGAGGGTAACGTGGTTTGGAAAGCCGATCGTTTGAGGAGAAAATACAATAATTAAAAAGGGTAACAAGTTTACCTCATCACCAACTCTTGGGGCAGCAAAAGTGAATAATTTCAAGCGTTTCTTTGGCCAAAGGCGCTCTTTGACAATAAATAGAGCCAACAATTCAGCCATTGCACCTCCAACTGAATGACCCGCTAACTAAATTGAGTTGAAAGCTTAATGACTTGAATGTATTCCAAGGGTTTTTACCATCAAATTATAGTTACAATATTCTTGTTGACTCTTGATCTTTTTTTCGATAATTGACCTAAATAATATATCAATTATGTTTTGGATGTCTTCTAACGAACTTCAAATTTGACTCGTGAAAGAAATCCCGATAAGCTATCGACCAAAATTCCCCGATGTTGGTGTCTTTTTGGAATTCCTTCCATAAATTACTACGAAACTAAATAGACATTTTTTTTTCATAAGTAAAGTCTAACGGTTTACCAACTTATTATTACCTGTTCGTTTATTAGTTTCCAATTTTCCCGGATATATCCAGAAAAGTCTTTTGATCCAGGGATCCACAGTATAATTTGTTGATCTAAGTTTGACACCGCCATCTTAAAATGATCACAAACAATTTTAGATTAAAGAATACTGTTTTTAAATCGATTACCATAATCCTGAACTCATTAGAGAAGACGTTCATCAAATTCTGGTTCTCTATCGATTTAGTAAAAAATCTAAAAAAGTAAAAATAAAAGGAAAATGAAAAGACTTTTTTTCTGCTTGCAAATTAATGCTTGCAAACTCTAGAATGTTCTAACCTTGAATTCAATTGATAATCAAGTTTTCTTGATGACTTTAAAACAGCTTGACATCTTCTAGTATCGGGTGAACTTGATGCAAGACCGATCCTCAAATACTAAAAGTTTACAGTTTTTTATATCTTCAAACACAAACTAATCTAATGGCTTCTTGAATTGATAATCCCCAATCTTGAATCTTTTTTTCTTTATTTTTTCCATTTTTCATTACAGCATTTCCTTTAGAAAACAAAAAACTCCCGCAAACTAGTAAATAAATAAATATTTTAATCATTAATCAATCAAAAAGAATTCCTTGAAACAAAAAGTGACAATTCCTTGAAACAATCATTTTCTGTAGAAGTGACCGATAAATTATGTTTGTCCATACGCAAGAAATGTCAAGAATTAATGAATGATGTGAATTTTCTTAATATTTATGCAACCTGATTTTAAATCTTTAGATAAAAAAGGAAAGTTCTATTTATTTTTAGTTCTATTCTAAAAAAGGAAAGTTCCCATAAAAATGACCAAAATACCCGTCGTTTCACGGTCAAAGATTGACCATTTGCGCCTCTCTCAACATGAACACATCTTCCTCATTTGATGATTCCCCCGAGATATTCTAGACGATTAAAAATTCTAGACATGGATATTCTAGACGATTAAAAATGGGCTTTGGACTTGAAACTTTTTACAAATTCTGGGAAATCCAGTACGATTTGAGCAACTGCTGCTGTCAGAAACATGTATTTTCTCTGTCGTTCGGATCACGAAATTTGATCTACATCCCTTTTTTGCATCCACCCGCTATATCCAACCTAACTCGAGTTCCTCAAATGCTTACAGATCATTGAGGTTATTATATGGATCTCTGGGTTCTTTAGTTCTTATATTTGTGCGTGTCTGAATTCAATTAAAAATGATTTAGACTCGTCTAAGTTCTTTAAAACTTAACCCCCTGTTTCTACTTTTCAATCTTTTGTCAATTTTTATTCTATTCTCCAATCTTGCAACCATGCTTGCACCCTCATCTGCTTTCCCCATTTTTGATCTAATTTCTTCTTTACATCGTTTTCCTTCGTTTTCCCCCATGGGAACTCCTGTGTTGAGACTCCGAAAATGGACAAAGGAGACAAATTCTTTCATCTGCCCTCTTCTTCCCCTTTCCCCCACTAATGCCTATCCCTTTCTTCTTCTATTTTCCTCTATTTTCCTCTATTTACACCGGTAAACATGTTTTGCATTGACATTTTGTGACAATTTTCAACGAATTCCATTTTTGAGGAATTCCTGATTTCGAACTTTGCAAACTCTATCCTATTCTCTGATATTTCAATCAAGAAACGATGATCTCTGCTGGTTGTTTTCACATCGAGGATATCATCAAAGCACAGTGGGTTTTGAAAAAAAATATAAAGAAATCCATCTTAACTTTTTGATTGCGCCAATTGAGACACTTTTGGTTTAAAAAAGTGGCTTAAAAGTCAATAAGTTGATGATATGCTTGCGTTTGGTCTGATAGTGAGACCTTCGGATATGTATAATAATAGGTTGATCCCAAACCCTTTTCCCCTTTTCCCACCCCATCTCCTATTGTTTCTTGAGCGGGGTCAAAAGGCAACTCGATGTGCGGTTTAGACACCTTAGCTAAAGAAAACCTATCTTCGGTCAAAGAAAAAAGGAGGGGAAAAAAAGTTTGATATTTCGCCAAAATTTCAGAGAAATTCATTCAGCCAATTTTTCCGTAGAGTTTTTTATAGATTTTTACGAAAAAGGCGTTTTTCACTCTCGAATTTGCTTGAAAGTCAACCGAAATTCATTTAAAAAGATGCAAATTGAACAAAAAAACACTTTTTGGAGCAAACTATGATTAATTGGTATTTTTACTGTAACGAAGACGAAAGAAAAGACTTATGCATCAACCTAATACATCTTTTTCCTTCATAAAAATTTCCTTCAAACTCGAGTGTTGCCAAAGCCAAAGTTGCCCTCTTCAATATGAGAATTCTTTCTTTTCTCAACCACATATTCGTTTATATTTTTTTTTCTTTTTGACACAAATCCATTCTTTCGACTTGCAAGCAAATTTTCCATAAACACATCAAAGTTTGCTTGAAAGTTTTTTGACGTTTGCGATGAGCTTGTAAGTTATGAGATTGATTTTGTTAATTTTTAGGTTTCTATCGCATATTTTCTATTATGAAAACTTGTTAAAAGTTTTTCAAGTAAATAAGTGAGTATAGCGACAAATACTCGACTCTTGTCATCGAGAAATAACAACAAAATCCATCCGAATCCAAGAAGGAAACGGAAATGTAATCTGAGATTTCCAACGGGATTTTTCCACTCGTGAATCCATTTCTGGATTTCCCTTGGGGTCAAATCAGCCTTTATCATTTTTTTCGGAAAAATGGATTTTTGGTCTAATTCTACTTTCTTCTCCAACATCTTGACCTTTAAAATTAGATTTGGAGTCTCTTGGGATTTGCCTTTCGAAAAAATCTCAAACTTTCATTGCCCAAAAATATTGTTGACTATGTTACAGCTGACTGTTGGAAGACTTCTTGAGAATAGGTGAGATTAGCATAAATCTCTTGCCCAGTTTATTGTTTTCTAATAATCTTTCTAATAACCCATACTTTTTTGATATCCAGGTATGATTTCACAAGAACTCTATTCAAACTTATGTCAATCTTGAAAATTCTCTCACTTTTTCCTCATTCACCAATGCCATATTTTTGATTTATAAGAACCAATCTTTTGTATTTACCCATTGGTTCATTCATTCGAATCACTTAACAAAAGGAATGTGCTTTCATTTGGATGAAAGAACAAACAGGTGACCCACCCATCAAAGTACTCATCATTTAAAAGATCGGAACATCCATTCTCAATCATTTTTGAGATTCTTATTTGTTGCGGGTTAATGGGAATGGGAAAGTGGGTCCTTCTTGGAAAATTGGGGTATACCATGAGGAAGTTGAGATATTTTTGATTTGATTCGAGATATAAAAGATGTTAACCTGCAAGGACGAGAATTTGTTTATTAAAAAGCAGCGCTTTGCTTGCAAGTTGACCCTTGACACCCGGAAATCTTTAAATCTCGAGTTTTACCTTCCCCTACCTAGTTAGAAACGGAAAAGTCGAGTGTTCTCTTTTTATTTCTTCCCTTTTTTCCCTCTCTTCCTTTAAGGAGCAATCAAAATGTCAAAATTCAATTTATAAACGAGTTATCGCTTTGGTTTTAGAGGAGCTCAAAATTTTGAAATGTACTCTAACGTCTTGTCTATCTTAAATCGCTCTTGTCATAAAAATAGAGTTTTGCCAAATGATAATCTGCCATTCTTTGAATGAAAAAGAACATTCCAAATCGAAAAACGAGAAAAGAAAACGCGGAAGTCTTTCTCAGGAAAATTGAAAGGAAATCCCATCACCATTAAATCACAGCTTGCTGCCAGCTAAACCCCAGCCGGGTCCTTTGATCAAAATGTGTTAAATGTTCTCCCAATTTTATCCCCCTTTTTATTAGTGTCATTTTCTTTCACTCAAAGACAGCTGTTGTTCTAGGGCCTTTTGCCCCCTTCATTCCCTCTTTTTCCCCTCAGAATCCCTCCCCTCTTGGGAAATTGTGGCCGAATCCAAAAGGGGCGAATCGTGAACCATTCGCTTACATTTATCTCGACACAATCTCAAATCTTGTTTTCTGTTTATTCTTCCAACAATCCGACACATCATCATTTTGAATCTCAAGATTTCGAATCTAAAGAAACATCTTAAAAAAATTTTGCCTCAAAAAGACATTCTAAACCTCAATCTCTTCTAAACTTGAAACAATGATCCTCGCCTGGGGTGTCGATACAAAGTGAGTTCATTTTTTAGTTCCACTTTTTAAACTTATAGTTTAAAATCTTACTTGACGCTCGACACCTACTAAACTTGTATTTTGGCAGCTGTTCACACCTATCTTTTTGAATCTAATGACAAAGATTTAAGAAATCAAAAACCAAAGAAAAAGTTTCTCATCTTTCAAAGACGAGTCCGGATTTCATAAAAAATTAAGATTCTTTTTTGACTTTTCTTCTTTCAAAAGAACAAAACCCCATGTGGACCTCGTGTCCCATTCATTGTTCCCCCAAAATAAGCGAACCGGAAAAGCTGAAAAAATTTCAACAAATCCTTAAAGAAAACATTTGGAAATGAAAGGGTAACTTTTTTCATCTTTTAATCCATTTCGAAATCCTCCTAATATTTGCGATGAAAGGCATCGTCCACTCATTCTCCATTTTATTCGGGTAACTTTTTATATTAGGTAAACGAAGAAATCTTTTTTAGATAAGCGTAGCAAAACCAGAGAATTATCGAGTAAAACCTTCTATTTTTAGTCCTTTTCCATATTTCAGCTGTTAGCAGTGCTTCTCTTTTCCTCGAGAATTTCTTTGAAATATTTCTGTCAACAAGCTTTTTTCACCTCGAGAAAGAGAAAAAAAAAGGAAAATCCAGAAATGCCCGAGAAAAATTGCAGCTTCTTCCCAGGTCAAAACAAAGTTGAGCGACTACGAAAAAAAAGCATTGTTTCACAACAAAATACATAAAAATGGAATAAGTATTTGTTATTTACTGTCCAAACCATCAGTTCCAAACTCAAAACCTTTACCTAACCAAATTGATCTTTGACATCTGACTTCACCCATCTCTTTCCCAAATGGGATTCTCAATGGACTCTTCTGTGAAAATGGATTCCCCAATCCGTTCCCTTTTTTACATATTTTTTGCCAAAACATTTGAACAATCGAGTTTTTTATTTTTTCTTTGACAAACTTTTAAAACTTCTAGATTTTAGGTAGACTTTCACAAAAACTCATAAAACTTTTACACTCTAAACTAAAAGCTAAAATTAGTTTTCATTTTACTTTAGCATCGTTTTATGGGCTGTTTGGTGAAATAAACGCTAAATTCGCAGCTGAGGTCCCAATGGTGAAAAGGGGAAAATGTTTGCGGTCAAATTTGGCACTTTATTGCCCTCGAGTATTGGTTAGATGGGTGGTTACGACGGGAGAAACGTTTTCCACAAAAACACAAGCTATTTTATGGGCACATAAAACTAGCACATTTACCCAAAATTTACCCGCCGACTGGGTAAACAATCCAGTTAACAGAAAATTGATTCCGTCGGTCGAAAATCAGAATTTCAACATAAGAGTCCTGGGGTAAATATCTTTCAATCAAATGTAATTTAAGGAATGTAGTGTATTTTTATTTTTTCCCACAATTTTCTGCGATTTGTCTATCATAGTATCTCTCTTTTTGCGGATGTGACTTTTTGGATGACTCCATCTCGTACTGAAATCAGCTGTCATCCCTTGCTCCATCCCTTTTTTTTCCTTTTCTAAAGTCGGGTCTCCAAAATGAAATCCAAGAGGCACTTTCAAGTAAAAACATTCTCTCCAGGGTATAGTTTCACTCAAACAAAGAGTTGAAAGGCTAGGGAAAAAGTGATCTTATGATGTAATTTCAACAAAAAACTAAACTGGTTGATTTTAATTTTAATTCAATAGAACATCATTTCTAACTTTAAATGTGATCTAACAAATTCAGGAAAGAGAAACGAATGTCAGCCGATGCGGGTCGTCGTCAATCATGGGTTGGCAGGAGGATGTCCGTTCAAAGTCAGAATTCATTTCAAGGACCTCTTCATTGTTCACGAGATCTGGTTGGGCATAAGGTCCGAAATTGGGGAAAAAGAGTGCGGTGTGTTTGAAATAGAACAAACATATTAGAATTCATTTGAAAGCAACAAACATTTTTGTGTTGTACCGTTTTTGCTGTGTCTAACACTTATCCCACAATGTCTTTAGAATTATTTATCTTTTGAGCATCAGAAAACTTTCAATTCAAGTTAGAAACCTGAAGTTTGAAGTTCAAATTGAAGTTAGAAACCTGAAGTTTGAAGTTCAAATTGAAGTTAAAACTTCTATTCTTAACTTTTTCTAAACCAACCCTGCTATTCTAAACTTTTTCTGCATATTTAACTAACATTTCTGAATCACTTTGCATAAAAGGCACCAATGCACTCTTTGACTCTAGTTTTAGATAAATCAATCTAACAAAAATGATCATTTAACATTTCCAGGAACGAATAGCTGTCATTTCACCGGCGAAAGATGAGACGGTGAAAGTGAATGATATCACTCAATGTGCACTCCTTTGTGAAAAGTGAGCTTTTGTGAAGAAGTTCATTAGAATTCCGAAGCTTCTAACGCATCTTAAACCAACAAAACTATTTCAGATATCACGTTGAGACTAATCACAAGGAATATTTCGTTAAACCCTACATTGAGGTGAGTTTCGAAATAAAATGAATAAATTTCTCTTTCAGGTGAAACGTCTCTATCCGGATGCCCTCTTTGAATTCTACGAGAAGCACTTCGGACAAAAATTGGTGAAAGGGAAAATTTGAAACGAATAAATTCTACATTCGTATTATTTTCTTTTGGTTTCCACTTTTTTTCATCAAATCCTCATTTCATTTCCACACTACTCTTTGCCAAAACTGGGTCCACTTGTGGTGCCAAATTATCACTAACGATTTTTGCCGAATTTAAGAAATTTGAGTAAACTGTAGTTTAAAATCTAAAAAAGGCGCTTTAAGAATTTTCCCTGCAAATTGTAATCCACCCAGCGAAATCTCCGATCTCACTTTCATTCATTCATTTCAATGCTTGTAAATATTTGAACAACTGGCAGTTAATGAAAATTTTTTTGGTTTAAGATTTTTGATTTTATATCTACATAGTCCAAATTTTTTTTAGATCTAATTTTCAGTCGAAAATTTCCCTTTACTGCCGGTTTATTCTATCTGTATCTTTTTATTTGTCTGAAACGAATTTCATTTTAATAAACTTTCAAAAATAGCAGAACATTCAAAATGATGAACACAATAATTAAATCAGCAATCTCAATAGTCGAGCTTTTCACCACATAATTTACCTCCAGAGTTTTTTTTGCAGCAAAGCGCTAATCTGAAAAAGGATTAACCGTTGCGAGTCGTATACTTTAAACAGCTAATAACCTAAATAAATTTAAATAATCAATATTAATCATAAACTGACTATCCTTTTAATCTTTTAAACTTCTGCTCGATCTCCAGTCACATCAACTTTGGCTATCACACGACTTTTTTTTCATACCGTTATGAAGTGGCCTGAAACGGGCTTACAAAAGCACTTCATATACAAAGCGTAGGTAGATGAGATTTGCATTTTCCGCTTCTTTTCAAATGCTTAAAACCTATTCAACGTTGGCCACTCGAGGCTCTCGAGTAAGTCGTGGATCTTGCAGCTGACGGAATTGGGCAATGACGGGAAAAAGGATAAGAGAGGAATCATTCTTGACTATCTAAATTGAAATCCATGAAATTGCAAAGAGTTTACGAGAAGGTTTAGTTCAAATACATAAAAGACTTTACCTCATATCTCGTGTTTGTGTCCAAGATGAGTGGACAGGACGAGGCGGCTCCTGGACGAGGCGGCTCCTGGACGAGGCGGCTCCTGGACGAGGCGGCTCCTGGACGAGGCGGCTCCTGGACGAGGCGGCTCCTGGACGAGGCGGCTCCTGGACTAATAAACTTCCGCATCTAATAATTTTATATGGTTATTTTATTATTATTACGCATATAAGCAATCTGATATCTCACACAGCCATCGTCTCTCCATTTTTTTTTCTATCGTTTCGGCGAGACTTGAAGCTAGAGGCTGACACAAATTGGCAAAACCAACAAAAATCTAAAGTTGGTAGCTATTAAAACTTCAATGAACTTTACCGTTAAGATGAACATCAAAATAGAGAGGAAATTTTTCATCTTTAGTCCATTTTTTAGTGGTCAAATACAAAACTGGGGGAGAAACGAGCTCGATTTGCGAAGAATTTCTCTTCGACAAACGTCACTTTTTTATCGTCTGTTCTTTGTTCATTCAACAACCAATAATTATCGAATCGAGAATTTACAAATACTTTTTTCAAATTGAGCGTATGCATACAATCTTATAGATTACCATGAATTATACTTGACCGCACGGGTCTTATAGTATTCTAGATGACTCTTTGAAATTTGATCGACCCTGAAGGGCACTGGGTACACTGCAATTTATCAACTCCTTTTATTTTATTTACAATCACAAAATCGAATCAGAATTCAGTAGATAACGCAGAGATTTTAATGAGCATCAACTTTACATATCACAAAAATATAAATCCGCAATCCTTAATTGCAGTTCATCGTTCAATATTTAATGATTGTTCTCTCACTTTCGAAAAAGCCACTTCTTTTTCAGCATCAATGATTTCTTCTTCGGAGTAGAGGCGTTTGAAGTCGGCCGAGAATTTCTCGTATTGTTCATTCCAAACTGGAAAAAACAATCAGTATAAAGCTTAAGGTGAGTTTTGAAAAGCATTTTGATCTTTTATTTGGGTTTTATATAATAGTTAGAGGATAGGGAATGTATTAACTCTCTTAAACCGACCTTGTTTTCCCTTTTTCTCAGCACAATGTGCAAATATTCCATATTTGTGTACCCTATCACCATATTGCCAAATTGCATCTAATGCTTTCAAAGCATTTGCTCGATCCAAAGAACCGTGATTCTCCAGATATCTAAATGATGAAGCGATTTCATGAATTGATTTTAAAGTAACAAAGCGGGTAAGCTAATCTGTGAGAACTTACCATTGGCAGAGAGTTTCTTTGCTAAAGCTTCTTACTTTATAAGCTGTGTACAATCCTTACCTCAATGCATCGGTGACATTTCCCTTTGCAAGAAGAACCTCGACGATCTCGTCTGTTGCACCTGAAATATATTACTTTGTATATCCAGAAATTATTGATTTATTCACCTTCTCTCACAAGCATATCAACTCCCGATTGAAAGAGCGGTGAATATTTTGCTTCCAATGAAACCAACAAATAAGCCATCGGTTTACTATCGCTCACCACCTAAACTCATTTAAAATAGAAAAATCCAAACCGAAGATCTATTTCCATTATTACTCTCACTTTATAGTTAATGAGTTGATGCAACTTCAAGAAATCACCAGCCAAAACGAGTGTGTTCACGAGAACTTCATAAAGATACGGCTGAATAGAAAAGCTAATGCTAGAAAAGTTAAAATGCGCTAACCTGTACCGTAATCTCTCTGACTTTTAAAATTGAAATATACGCAAGCATCACCGAAGCCAAATGGGAATAGGAAATGTTTGGATGTTCTCTGCAAGTTTAGAGCTTAAAGCTTTGCGAATTTTTTTGTTAATGATATTAGACTGAATAACTTCTGAAAGTACTCACTTTATATTAACAAATAGATGCACCATATCGTCTTGTTCAATTGATAACAATTGGAGATCTTCACATAAAAGCTGGCTTCGAGTTGGATCTCAAATATTGATTGTAAAACGGTGACTACATGTTGATTCATGCTATTAAGTTAATTGTAAGCTACCCGATGGTCGAAGAATCGGTATTTTCGATACAGCATTCTTTTCAACCATTATCTCAAGAACTTGTTGAATTAATCTAAAAAATGGTAAAGTGAATCTTTAAGTTTTCTTGGAAAACCGTAATTTTAATCGATCTCTAATCGCTGTCGATAGTTCGTTGAGTACAGTAATCTTTTGATTTGTTCGATTCATCAAAAAGCGCAATCGCAATACCTGAAAGTTGTAGAAAAAATGAATTGAAATGCTTTTTATTACCGTATCCTCAATGATTGCTTTCTCGGGGTTGACTTTGAGTGAAGCAAAGATTCCCATAAAAGGATCGATGACCACATTTGGAGTGAACATTACCCATGATGGAGTATAAAGAGATGGAGATTGACCGGCAATTGAACACAAACGAGAACTCGCAACGAGACTGGTTGCTAAAAATCTATTTAAATATTTATCTTGACGTTGATGAATAAAGCACATTTTTTTGCAATCACTTACTTAAGAATGGTTGATGTGCAGAATTGTTCAAATCAAGTCCGATGTCGAAAATGAGAGATGAACGAGAAAGCTAAATGATATTATTTGAATAGTTTTGAATTGTATTAAAAAAATTAACGATGTTTTGAGAAAAAACTGAATTTCAAGCTTCGAGCTGTTTTTAATAATCGTAGTTCAAGCCTGACATCAAAGATTTATCTACCTGATGATGAACAATGACCAAATTATCGATTACATGAATACCGAACATTCCTGTTAGACCTAAAACAATTTATTCTTGTCATTTGAACTCTGACTAACCTAGCACCAAAGTGTATGTCAATTTAGCTGGTTGGTTTACATCAGCCGAAAGTTTGTACATCAATAAATCAGAAGTGGATGAGTCTCTTGTTGAATATCGTAAGGCGAGAACATAGATTGAGCCATATCTTAAATCTCAATATTTTGATGCGGCTTGTAAATCAGGAAACATTTCTAGATTATTCAAACTTATCTAAAACCAATCAAAGTTTCAAAGTTAGTGATCATTTATGAAACTTACATAGATGAAACTGTCACATCCCGTTCGAGCAATTTCTTCTTTGAGTTTGAACAGCCAAAATCGACCTGGAACAAATGATTTAAGGCTTAAATTGTTTGTTTATTGTTGTTTTTTCAAAAAAAACCGACCGCAAACGGTTTCAAACGAGTGAATTGTCCATGATGGATGATGAATGGTTGCATAGTGGCCGCATTGACACCCGTGGCTAACAAAAGTAATCGAGATGGATGCTGAAAGGTAATCTCTAATCAATTTAAACCAACCAGCCCGTACTTTATCAATTGAATATCTTTAGTTTATTAATATCTTCACCCAATCAAAACGAAAGCTTAAACTCACATAACAAGTCGACCAATCTGAAGCCACATTCAAAGTTTTAACGAGTTTCGAATTCCGTTTCTCTTCATTCACATCATATAACTCAAGACCATTATTTGTAATAAACACAATCTAAAATGAACTGATCCGGCTTAATTTATTTCTTGATTACTTGATTTGATGTGATCCATTCAACTTGTCTAATCAAACCACTTCTCGATGAGACAACTTGGGTGAATTCAATACAGTTCTCACGATCGCCACTCTCCAAAACAATGAAATCCTAAAAAAAGAGGTAAGAAATCGTAATGGTTGTCATTGGGTTTTGTTAACTTTTGCAACTTACCACCGCATTTTCATTTCGTTGCACGCTGGCCACCCGCCCACTTGGAGAGATTTTTGCGATTTTTATCTTTCCAACATCTTTGATTCTAAAAGTAAGCTATAGTAGCTTGTAACTTCCAAAAATAAACTTGGTTCAGGCGGAACAGTACAACTTTTAGAATAAAGATATCTGGAAGTTTGGAGTAGAGATCATAAATCCCACCTTAGATTACATGAATCACCCTTCAATCCTTTGAATGTAACACCCATCGAACCATTCCCGCGAACCGTGCAAACCTACAACTTTTACAATGTTTCAACTTCACAGTATAACATTGGAAAATGCATTCAAGACATGAACCAACCTTGCAATTGGTGTTATCATAAAAATTATCGGATAGAGAACTGCTGGCTTCAAATGATATTGATTCATCTCCAAGAGTTAGCATCTAGAAATAATAAACTTATTCAAAGTCTAGTTCAATTTATATTAAACTTTAAATTTCAAAAGTGGAAAAAGTTATAAAGTTTGAAAATAAGTTAGGCATTTCTTTTCATAATCTAAACAATTATTCCTTATAGTTTGGAGTGGACAGATGTGTTCAAAGACAACCAATGTACACATTCAAACCACACTTTGACATGGCTTTGAAAGCGTTCTCTTATTATTATTAGTTCTTTGTATGTTATATTTATTTAAAAGTTGCAATTTTAGATTTTAAAATGTCGGTTTGGTTGGAAGCGCGAAAACAAGAAAAAGAATTGAGAAAGATGCATATCGATCACAATAGAAGAGCTGAAAGAAGGAAGAATTTCTTCGATAGTGTGGTCAGTGAATTTGGTTTTATTCGATTATTATTGGTATCATTGATTTTCGATTATCAAAGTAAACAAAAGCATAACTTTCTTACAAAATTTTTGTATAATTTCTCCTAAAGCTTAGATTTTATTTCAGAGGAAAGATCCGGTTCAATTCATGCAATTACATGGACGAGCCTATCAAATCCACACCGAACGATCGGTGGCAAAAGCGGCTGAGGAGAATACAATGTAAACTATAGATTTGTTTATAAAAACATGAATAGCATATAGTTTGCTTACATTTCCGATTTCAGACATCCATGGGCGGTCGACAAAAATGTGTTAATCGATCGTTTCGATGCTCGAGCTCATTTAGATCACATCCCGGAAGTGTCCAAGAGTAAAGTGAAACATGATAGGTGAGTAAAACATTTAAACAATCCAATTATTTTAAATTCCTTGTATTTTTTTAATGTATAAATATTTATTATATTTCAGCACTGAAGAAAAAGAGGAGATCGTGTGTGATTTTGAGCGTTATCGGCTCGTCATTTTGAATGAATATCGAGGAAGTTGGTGTTTAAAAAAAGACGTTTCAATGTAATTGAAATAAGCTGAATGAGACATTAATCCAATCGACTTTACAACAAAAAAAAATTATACTCAGTCATTACTTTTCTAATTTAGTCGACGAGCCAACTTATCTCAAACGAATTCATCAACGGGAATTCTGGAGCGAAGGCGAAAAGGCAAAAAATATTCAGAAAACGGAAAGGGAAAAGAAAAAGTGGGCGAGTTTTTGAGAGAAATTCTTGTTCTCTGCTTCTGTTTACTTAATTCTTCGAAACTTATAGATAAATTAAATAGATTCAGATAGATAAAATAAAATAAAATCCCTAGAACTTCATTATGTTTAGGAAATCAGCGGAGACAAAAACAAATATTGGGTATTCTTATGGTGATTCGGAAGTGGTTGCAGGAAGGTCGGCAATTGATGGATGTGGATATGGAGAAAATAGTGAAGAATATGCAGAACAAGAAATTGAAGATATTGAGGATCTGGGTGAGTTGAACACTCGCATTCATTGCTGAACATTAAATTACCGAAGAACTCTTTGTTTTTAGATGCCGAATTGGACATCGATCGAATGGATCCCGAAGCACATCGACGTGCAAATAAAACTGGGGAAACTTATGGAATCAAGAGGTCACTTTTCGTCAATCTTCTTCGAGCCGATCAAACAGCGACAAGAAATGCGGCTGAATTGAGAAGAATTGAACGGCAAAAGATGTCATTGTCGGTAAGAGGGAAATGATTGAAATCTTGCACAAAAATGTTCATCAGCTGTGCATATTATCAATCCGTTTACCCAAATAACAATTAGATTTGAGGGACGAGACGGAAAGTCGGAAAGATTGGCTTTGAAGAGGCGACGAAATGAAATACTTGGAGGGAAACATATTGAAGATAATGACGTGACGACAACACTTTTGAGGTGAGAGCAAATGAAATTTAAGGTTTATGATGTTTCCAAGCCTAATCCTAACTAAAACAATCCTTCTCCTTGTAGTTTTGTTCGCGCCAAAGATGAGGCGCTCGAGAAATCAAAACAATTACTTGCACAAGCAGCAGATGAAAGGTTTGTTTGAGAGAAATGTTTTATTAAAGTCTAAGGCTTTTTTGATATCATTAAAAATACTTGTTTGTAGCGATTCTTCCGAAGACGAGCACGCTGTTCCGATCTTTATCAGCACTTTTGGCAATGAGACGACGGAAATGAAGTAAGGAGTTAAATCGAAAAGAATTAAATTTTGAAAGTCGGAGTTCTTTTTGAGATACAGTTTTTTTATAAGTCTTATCGCTGATCATTTTATAAGCTTAAACTGTTCCAGAGATGGTGAGGAGGAAGAAGAGAAAAGGGATATACAAGGACCCGAATTTCCGAGTGAACAAGTTCGAAAGATTATGTAAGTTGGGTAAATAAACAAAAAAAAATAATGTTAAAAGCAATAAACTGAAAACTTAAATTTCAGGGATATCAATCGTCGTGCAAAGAGTCCCAAAAGCCCTGAAGTTGAGGTGAATTTTGAGAGGAGACGATCAAGAAGCCCTCGATATCGGTAAGATTATTTGTAACACATTACGAGAATTTGAATTAGAATTAGCAAGCAATCCAATTTAGGCGAAGGAGTCGAAGTCGTAGTGGAGACCGGTACAGGAATCGTAGAAGGTAGGTATGCTTTTATGTATTGTGGATTCGATCGGTTGACTCTGTTTGATCAGTTCATTTTTTAACATTTATTAGTTGCAATAATTCCGTGAATCAAATCAATTTACTAATCATAATTACCTTTCAGTTGCTCCCGTTCGCGAAGACGCAGTCGAAGCCGATCCAGCCGCTCTCGGTCCCGTTCACGATCTCGAAGTCGTAGCCGAGGATTGTGGGATCGGAAAAATCAAGATGACAGGTTTGTTTAGTCTAGGAATATAGAAAAGCTCGGAAATTCAGAAAAATGACTTCAAAATATCGTTCAAGACGATCCTCATCTCCAGCTGAAAAGCAACGCTCAATGAAACAAACGGATAAAGGTAGACTTGTTTGATTGAAATAGATTGGAAGTAGTAAACATTGTAACACAAGATCAAAAGCTCCTTTTAGACGATTCTTCTGATGGATCGGGGTCAGAAACGCTTCTTGAGATCCGTTCATCAATGTCTGATTCGGAAAAGGAAAAATTGGAAATCGAGAATCGAAAAAGAAGAATCAGAAAGACAAAAAGGACAGTGAAGAAGCAAGGAATGGCAAGGAAAAGATCCGATTCGGAAAGTGAAGATGATAAGGTGAGCGAGGGAAATAGGAAAGACAAAGGCACGACAAAACATTGATTTTCAGAAAGAAGAAGCACGGAAATTACGCCTTTTGATGCAAAAGAAGATGAGAAAAACTGAGGAACAGATGAAAATTGAAGAAGAGGAAAGGAGAAGAGAAGAAGAAAAACGAAGGAGATTGAGAGAAGAAGAGATATTGATGGAGGAAGAAGCAAGGAGACACAGGGCAAGGTGGGCATTCAGGGGATTATGGGGTCGGATACGGATAAGCGAATCAACAATACTGATATGTTGCCATGAAATCTAAAAAGAGGAATGAAAAATTTAGAGAACGCCGTTTGCAAGAACGCGAAGAGGAGGATCGACGACGTCGAGTGGAGAAATTGAAAGAAGAAAATAAAAGAGAACACAAGGGTCGACGTGATCATCAAAGAGGATCAAGAAGAAGTCGAAGTAGAGAAAGAAGATGATCCCATGGATTAGACAGTAAAGCAATCAGTTCGACAATAGACAATCTGCATCAATGAGATTAAATTCTTGCTCAATTTTACACAAAAGGTTATCCCATTGAGTCAGACCTTCTTTTGAATGTGAAGATTTGATGATACGGTCATTGTCATAGTGCTTTCATTAGCCTATCAAATTCATTTGTCACTTTTTTAATTACCATCATGTTTCATCATCATTTTTCGTTCATCGGTTCCTTTGTTAACCTATTTTTGTTGCAATATAGTATTGTTATTTTTGAATAAAGTGTTCAATCAACAACAACATTGATTCACACAATTTTCAGCAACAATTCTCCACTTTGACGCGACGATTTATCGGTTGATTTTATTGAGTGACTTGACCTCGAGTGTTTCCGAAATCTCATAAAATCTTTCCTCTCCCATTGAAATGACCAACATCTTGATTTCCCTTATTTTTATTGACATCGTTAAATTGGTGATAATGATCTTTTCTCCTTTTTTTAAATGAAAAGAATTTTTCGAGAATTGAGGTTATCGAGAGAATACGGTGGAAAGTTGTTAGAACTATGCCGATTTTGGAGGTTGCATTACTTGTGAAATCTCTGAAGACGTCTAAAAACATTTCTACAACATACATTCCAATTTTTCTATTTTACAGTGCATAGAACAACTCTACAGTATAAACATTTTCCTCTTGATTTTTCCATTTTCCATTTGTTTGTATTAGATGTGCGATGAAGCATGCAGTGTATCCCTTTTTCCTTTTCTCCAATTTTGGGTCTCTCGTCTTTTTTCATTTAGTGGAGTTACTCTTTTGGGTGAGAGAAAAGTCTGAATGAGAGGGACGATCTTGGCACCGATTAGATCACAATCAATGCGAGTAGATACCCATTCTCTTTATTTGGAAAAAGGAAAGATTCGATAAGTGAAGGAGATGAGAAGAGAAAGAGAAGAGGAGAAAGGGAGAGTTGCCCGGGCCGTTCATCCTCCACCCTTCCCTCCCTTTTATTCTCTCCCCTCGTTGACCCGTCAACTTTAAATAATAAAAGAAAACACTGGATTATCTTAGAGATCCTTTGAATTTAAAATCTTCAAAAGGACTATTAAATAAGCTTTCAGGCATCGATTATTTTAAAGCTGAAAAATTAGACCGAGAATTAGAATTAGATGAAAAACACACACAAAATTAGATTTCACCTTATTAGGTATGTATACAGTCAACAGTGGCAAGTTTTGAAACAAATGGGTGTATGCTAAACAGAAATTTTCAATAAATTCTTTATTAGGTCCGTATACCGTATAACGTATAACGTAAACAGACACAAAATCTTTACTATTCTTTAAGGATTTATATATTTCTCTCCTCTCTTTCATTTCCGAAATGGAAACATTCGTTGTTGCTTAAAAATGTTTTTGTATTAAACAAAAAAGTGTTCGGGCATGCACAGTTTGTGTATTTCCTTTAATTGCAAGTGACAGTTTGAGGAGTTCTCTCAAATGTTTGAGTTACAATGAAAAGAGGTGTACGGTTTTGGATAGAGATGAGGGCAAATGGTTTGGCTAGTTGAGTCGAGAATAGTCAAAACAAGGGTTATAAAACAACAGATGGATATGTTAAATAGACTTTCAAATGCATACGGGATACGTTATGGCTATTCCATATCGAACTTTGCTGCAAGAGGTCACTTTCAAACATTCAATCAGTTCGTCGATGATCATCTCATAAATGACATCAACCCATCAAATGCCATCCTTTCATTCCCATCCTTTTCATTTCCCACAAAGCTTTCCCCCGCGATTCCACCTGTTCTATCATCCCAGGCCACGGGTCTCCCATCATTCCCTGACTATTCTCCCATCATCCCAATCCCCTCAGGCTGTGTCTCTCAATACTTTCCCCTTCAATAATTCCCTCGAATTTGTCTTGCCTTCACCGTTCCCACAACCGTATCCCCACCATAAAAGCCCAAAAAGAAACGCGGATTTGTCACTTTTAAACATTTAAAGAAACCCCGCCTACGAGAGTTATCTAAAAATGAATGTGGCCTGAGCATTCAGAGCATGACATGTTTTGATTTTCTTAATGCGACTTTTGAAGACCATCAATTTCTGATTGATTAATCTTTTTGAATCAAAAGTAATTTGCAGTAAATTCATGTCTTTTTCTTTTATCACTTTAGTATGAAAATACAGCTTTCTCTACTCTATGATTGGTCTTTTTGGGGGTTCAGATTTCTTTGCCTTATAGACTGAAGGGCAACAACACAGATGGTGCACATTGCGCCAGCTTCAATCCGTCAATTTCACTCAACTAGGGGGGAAAAGGAAAGGAAAGAGAATGAGAAGGGTATTAACCAATTATTGAAAATTACCCCCCTCCCCTCCTTTTTTTCTTTTTTGAAGGAGATTCAGTGAGATATCTGGATTGATTGTCAGACCATGAGCTTCTTTACTTCAATACTTAATACTTGATTTCACCAGTTTCAGAGCTTTTAAGAAGATAGCCAAAACTGTTTATTGTTTCCTTTATCATGAGCCGCTTTTTATCCAATCCCATAAATATCTCAAATCTCAACGCCATCGGCTATTCTCAATCTCCACTAATTATCAGCTTAGCCCAAATTTGCGTTGACCAAAATTAGCAACTTCTTTGGTGCTCATTTCATTCAAAATTTAACTTTCCATCATTTGCATATTCTTCCATTTTCCTATCTTTTTTTCATATCTCAACCATTCGACGTGGGTAATCAATCTCAATTTTCTCCTCTCATTTCTCATCGCGGCTCGATTCCAGTAATTACCACTCATTTTAAATGCTTTAGGCAAAAGATTTTGCGTTTTTATATTCACAATCTCTAAATTAAAACAATAGTCTAATCTCAACTACAACAAAAAGAAACAAAAGAAACTATAGCAGTGCCCTTGATCAAGTTTTTTTTCTTGTATAGCAACAGTAGACAAATCTTTCCATTTTGATCAAACTTTCCAGAACATTTTGTTTATGAATGATATGACTTTCCCTGAGGAATGAGGCTGTAATAAAGGAATCATTTTGTGTCCGTCAGGTCACGATTTACGACCTGACAACTTTTTTTTGAGGAGGTTGTGCGTGTTAGTGCGTTTTAAAACACAAAACGGTTTATGCTCGTCAATGGTCAAGTTTGTTTAAAAAAACCGTCTTTTCAAGAAAACATTTTTGTAAAATGTGGCCCCAAGTTGCCCTGTGTACCCCACGTGCCACCAATCAGTGTCCATTTATTACCCCCAAATGAATCTCTCATCCAAATCTATGGGTGCTCAACTTTTTATGGCCTTTCCTCGCGCACGATCCCTCGATTCTTTTTATTTATCTATATTTTTGTCCACTTCTTTCTACACGATATATTGCCCTCATTCCAAAAGATGCTCCACTCAGCTTTTTTTGACCAGATGTCATAGTGAAATTGGCAACAACTGTGTAACTTTTACTTTTTTTTACCATTGTTCTTACTATTAGTCAGAATTTGCGGAGATATGGTAGCTCCTAAATAGGCGAATTAGTATGAAATAGTAAAACTGACTGAATATGAAGTGAATCACTGTTCTACTTTATGGATCGGAGTGGTAAAAGATTCATAAATACAAATTGAAGTTCAAGCTAGCTGGATTTCCTATGCTTTTCCCTGATCAAACCTTAACCTTTGTCTTGCTATTGATGCCAGTCGTGGTGTTTATTTGCATGCTGATCCTTTACAATCAGTAATCTATCATTTTGAGACTCTTTCTTAACTCGAAATCTCCATATCCAAAAGGGGTCCATCTGGCCGATCTCTTTTCTTTCTCTTTCACACAAAAGCTTTGTTTGCGGGATCAATGCAAATTATCCGAATCCCCGGGATTATCGGTTGATCCCTTTGATCATTGTAATTTGATCCACAAAAGTCTATCGTCGAGAATGAAGAGATCATCAAGTTGTAAGAGAAGAAAAAGAGAAAGAGCACACACTGTTGCACAATACCCGAAAGCACCACTTGTGAGTAGAAGGATAAGGGCCAAAGCATATCAGGCACACCGCCCGCCATTTCTCACTCAATGACCTCATTGTTCATCTTTTATGATCATCACCTTTTAACCTTTACATAGTAATGACATTTGTTCAAGCTAAATCTAGATGACACTTACTTCATTTTTTGCTTTTTGATCCTTTACAATCAGTTATCATCTTGAGACCCTACACCCGGGCGTTCTATGGGACGGGGGCGTTCGATTGCAGTATTTACGATAAGTATTTTGCTGAACTATCTAAACCTATAAACCTGACCTGGTTGTTTCTAAAAACAATATGAAAAAGAAGAGAGAGTCAAAAGTATTTTTATCACAACTCTTTTCAACTGCTTTTCAATAACCTTTCAATCATTTTCACCGTATCAAAAAGTCGATATTTTACTCTTCCTAGCTGTTGTATTATTCTTTCTTCCCTAAATTTTTCCTGAAGTTAATAAATTCTATTTAATCTATTAAAATATCCCGAAACCTACCTGAACGTTCACTGTTGTTTTCCTCAAAGCTCCCCTTTGATCTCCTTATTTAATCAATCAATTATGGAGTTCAAGTGCTACCCAAAGCACTCAAGTATTAGACAATGATCTCTCCAATATAGGCTCCAAAATACCTTTCCCTTTTTCCCTCAACAATTCCTTCTTGGATTCCACCGATTATTTGATCAAGTCGAGCCGATTTCTCGCTTTTCCCCATTCCTCAGCACCTATTTTCTTTTTCAGCTTCTTCTCGGGGTCCCGGTTGGGTGTGGATGGATCGTGTGGGTCTTTTCCTCTCTCAGCTTCCCAATATCCTCTCAATATTTACTTTATCTGGCTACTGTAACCCGGGATCTAAACCCGCAATCCTCAGTCGATACTAACTCTTTCCGAAAGCAATTTTTAATACTCACCTTTCAACTTCCGGTTAGTTGTTTTGTCCCTCTTGGCTTTTGATATGGCTTCTATTTTTGAAACTTTTAAGATCTCCTCTTCAGATCATTTGATAATTTTGATCAGTTCACCTTCCGATAACTCGACTTGTTTTCAAATAAAACTTTTGATTATAGGTGCTAATCTTCTAAAATTAGTTCTCAAATATTCTCACTCTTCCAGAAATTTTATTTGAAGTGAACTATTCCCCTTTAATCCCTCTAATCGATACTAGTAAACCATAAATGGCAATATTCAGCGGTCTGCGCCCATCTCCTTTTTTTGCCTCTAATTTTGCGAGTTCCAGGGAGATAAGTTTTTGTAAGAGATCACCCCGCCACGAAGCATTTCTCGTCTTCGGGTCTTGCCCTCCAAAGTACCCGACAAAAACTCGCAACAAAAAACTCGAAAGATAGCGAGGGTTGAAAGGGGAATGGGGCAAGGGGTGAATATCAATGAAATATCAGTGAAATGGGTGAAATGGGCACTCCATCCGGTCACCCTTCAGTCCCCCTCATAACGGGGGCAAAAAAAGCGCCTGAAATAGAAATAATGCAAAACTGATAGTAGAAAACGGTTTCAAGGAATGACCCTAAAAGTGAATTTTCGAAATTTTGAGACAATAAAAGAGGTTGAATACACGTTGTTTGGCAATTGTGAAACAGAAATCCACTTCTTTTAGTGAGTGTAGAGCATACTATAATAATAGTTTAACCCCAGTCGCGAGGGGTGTCGTTATATCGAGGTTCAACTCTACTTCTAGTTTATAGTATCCTTTTAATCCCAACAATATAGCATTTAACTATATGATTTTCTTTACAGTAACTCATGGTTTACCTTGGATTTTTTCATGGAATTCGACAACCTACAACTTTCTGAAGTTCTGAACTTCTAGTTGTACATTTATTGGGAATAAGTGTAAATGTGCATATGAGCGTACATCTTGCTTAAAGTATGCTGTAGTTCAAAGAAAAGTTTATAATATGAAGATTCCTTCAAGCTATGCAATGCTTATTGTTGGGTAGATAAGTGATCGTTTTCTGGTCACTCCCTTCCCATTTTTTTCACGATCACAAAACCACTACTCGAAGCCGCTCAGAGACCTCGATTTGTCTCCAATAAATGCGCTGGAGAGAAAAGATAAGAAAAGGGGCTCAAGTGACCGTCCCTTTTCAAATTTTCTAGAAGACACAATGGGAGACATTGCGTGGTGATAGACATGGGAGAACCGAGGCTCCCAGCGGTTTCAGTGAAGAATCGTCACCGTCTCTAAAACAGAATTTGATCTTTTTGAGCTATCAAGTCTTTCAACACCTAGATTTCTTGCTTAACACTAATTTGTTTGCTTTTGTCTCTTTTAAATTGATCATCTTCTCTGCTTCATTATAAGATGAGTTTGATCTGTATCTTGCTTTCACTGTTTGGCGGATATTTGACAGTTGGCATACTTAACTACTCACTTTATTTTTCTCAGAATGTTTTTGCTACTTCCATCAACTTTTCCTTTCACTGTCACCTCTCCTTTTCGTTGGTTGCCACGAGTAACACATAAATCCCGTCGGTCACCTCAAACGCACCATGGTTTTTCGCAAAACCAAGATCCACCGTAGCCAGATCAGAACTTAACTCCTCACTCAGACTCACCTTTCTGCGTTTAGCTTTCTCAGTAAGCTTTATTCTATTAGGTTGTCCGGAAAATAATGTCTGTTTTGACAGCTTTATAAATTTCTCAAGATAGCTATGCGATATCAATGAGTGTTATGTACCATTCGAAAGCTGAAAATAGCCTCTACAACTTCATAGAAAAGGATTGTTAATTCGCTAAATGTTTATTGAGATTCGTCATAACAAAGTGGTTGAGTCGGTGGTGCCTGGGAGGGGTGACTCTCGATAAAATTTCCGATTGTCCAAATTTGGTTCCATTGTTGAATCTTTGTTATTAAGTATTGATAACTACAAATAAATAAAATAACCTCAAGTCATAGCGCTTTCTTTATAAAATTATAGTAAAGAGCCAAGTGGAAAGTTACAAAAACTCAAAAAACAGGTTATTTTGAGAATGTCGTAAAATTAAGATATTTTAGTTGAGCGACTTAAACTATAAAGATTTTAAATGACTATCCAAGGCGGTTATTTAGCAGCATAAATCTAGGATAGAGCTATACGACAAATGGGGTTTTTAAAAACCGCCCTTTTTGACACATTGGCTTTGGTATTAAGAATTTCAATAAACACTTAGCGAATTAACAATCCTTTTCTACTAAATTGTAGAGGCAATTTTCAGCTTTCGAATGGTACATAACACTCATTGATATCGCATACCTATCTTGAGAAATTTATAAAACTGTAAAAAGAGCCATTATTTTCCGGACAACCTAAAATACCAGTTTTTGCAATTCGTTTTTATAAATTTAAATAACTAAGGTCATAATAGGCACATAAATCCTGACAATGGGAGGGACTGAGTTAGGTGGTTGCAATTATTTATGAAGGGGATTCATGCGGATAGACAAAAAGAAGGGAAAACACAAACAACGATAAAGGAGACAATCCATCGATACCCGACTCGACGTTGATGTTGATGAACTGCCTGAACTGCTGCTTCTCTTCTCTTTTCAGTCCTTTTCTCTCTTCTCATTCCTCACTCAGTCAAATCGATGATTCCCACGCTCTCACCTCGAGATTCTCACGCATTTTTCACTCAAACGATATTGATCGTTCTAGATTTAGAGCAACATATCAAATCAGTGAAAGTTGAAAAATTGAGATTAGTTGCGTGTAAATAATGAATGGATTCTAGAATCTGATCTGGCACTGACTGTTTGCCCAATAAATCTCGAAAGCTTGACCAGACCAAAGCTATGTATTCTCTTTTTTTTTCTATTTGTTTACTTACATCTTTGAACACATTAATTAAAACTTTTCAGAAAATGAACGAGGGTTGGCGAGACACAAATGGTGGATCGACAGCGATCACTGAAGAATGGACATCATACACCTTTCAAACACACCTTTCAAGCAAGGATTTGATCAAATTGGAGAAACCTGATAGAGAGGTAAAAATTGAATTTTCAATAATACAAACTTAATGACTAACAAGAGTTGGCTAACAAGGTTCGATGTGAAAAACTGCGATAAATCAAGTATAGACATATCACAAAGTAGCGACTCATCAAATAAGTTGTCAAAATAGAGAGTGGTAAACCCCTTGAATGTTTCAAGTGGATGTTCAGGTCATGAAATCGGATTAGCGGTCAATGGAGAAGGGATATCGACTAGAGAAAGCAAAAAAAGGCGGTGGGAAAGGGGTGCGCGACAGAGGATCCACAGTAGTAGAAATAGCCAAAAGGGGCGGGTCGGTGCGAGGCGATTGGCGGAAAGGCGGGGTCTTACCCCTATTTTGTGAGAGAAAGAGAGGGGGTCGGGGGGATGGATGGATGGATCTCAGGGAGGCTGTCAGGTCTTCCCCTATCTCACACACATACCCCTCATCCTTCCCGACTCGGGCAATTCATCGACTCTGACTGATTCGCATCGACAACATCCTCCCTCCTGTCGTCGCACACCCACCCCATCCCATCCACCCACTCGACATCATCTCCGATGTCCCATCGGGTAGAGTATCATTTTTCGTTGCTCCCCGATCTTTCCATCCATCTCATCCCCCCTTTTTCGTGATGTTGATTCATAGTCCATTATCGGCAACGGCCTGACTGACAACTCGAGTGACGAGATGGCAGCTCGTAAAATTCGAGACATCCTTCCCTCGTTGCCTTTCCTTCACCCCTTCATCGGTATGGCTCTCACTCCTCCTCAGTGACTGGTTGTCTCCTTCTTCTTGTCCAGTCTTCATGCCAACCACAAACATAAATCTTGACTCCCAAGCCCATACTTTTGATTTATCGATTTCGATTCGAGTTATTCACGGGCTCACCTTTCATTCTTTCATTTTACTTTTCGATCCTTTTGCTATAGTTAACTCAACTCGGCTTCGGACATCAGTTCTTCAAGTTTCTTTCATCCATCTTTTCCTCATTCAATCTTTTTGTTGATTTCTATTTGTTAAGGCAAAGCTAGTTCATCGAAATTTTTTCCCTTACCCAATCTCTCTTCACCCATTTCCCGTTTCGATCGGCTAATATTTTATGCACACTTGAAGGGTAGAAAAATTTTTACGATGATCGCCGGTGAGTTGAAATATTTGAAAGAAGGATGTCTTGTTTTTGAAAATTTTAATTGACAATCAAGTTGATGTTTTGAATATCTGAAATGTTGTTGCCTATTGAAAAGCAGTTATGTCCAACCAAGTGTACTTAAGCTAGGTAATCTAGTTTCATCATCCTATTCCTTTGCATAATTGAGAGATTGCACAATACGTTATCGTGGCTTAATAAGGATGAACTTCTACTCCTTTGAATTATAGTTTAAAATCCTGCAAAAACTATCAAGATGAGAGACCTTAAATTGTGTTCTCAAATCTTTAAATTTTCTTTGCTTTACTTTTTTTTCCCTCCATAGGTGTCACCGATTTATCCAAAAAAAGAAATGGATAAGATCTGTTCCCTTTTCTTTGCATTTCTTTGCATTTCTTTGCTTTTCTTTTTTCCCTAACCCATCCAACTCCCTTAATTTCTCCCCCTTTTTCCCTTTTCTCACTCCATAAACGATGAGTGTGAAGTCGCAAAAGCTTCCCCTTTTTGTATCCCAATTGAATTGAGTGAGAGCCAGGAAATTGAAAAATCGATATCATCAACAAAGCTAATTTCTTTAATTTTAGTATGGTGAGGGTCCATATGGGGCCGGACCGGGTGATTATGGAGCAATTGATCCCAGTTTCTATGCAATGTATGGTGGAGGGCAGGGAGCTGGATCAACCCTTCCACCAACAACGAATCCCCTTTTACACCATCAATTGGACGAGAATTTGAAGCGAGACAAGGAAGCCATCTATGCGTGAGTTTTAGAAACAAATTTGAAAAGAATATGCCCTCTACTATGGTGCGATTGAAATAATATTTCAATTTAATATGAAGATACATTCTAGCCATCCACTCTATCCTCTTTTGTGTTGTCTATTCGAGAAGTGCGAACTGGCAACTTCAACTCCAAGAGAAGGCGGTTCTTCTGATGTTGTCTCATCTGCATCTTTTCGAGAAGATGTTGCTGAATTTGCAAGAAATGTAAGTAATTGTGTGTATTCAGTATGACTTTTTAATCTTTTTTGTACTTTTTATTTTAGGCGATGAGCCAGCCATCACCTTACTATGTCCCCAATCGAGAACTGGATACTTTGGTTGGTAATTTAATTATTTTGTTGTAAATTTTGATATTCAACTGTGCAATACATAATCTATCAACTTTTTAGATGTTGCAATCGATCGAAATGCTTCGATTTCACCTCCTCGAGCTCGAGAAGGTCGGTTCAATTGTCCAACAATTTCTCGCTTTCCTTCTTTTCTTTCTTTTCCAATTCCTTTGATCTGGGTTTATTTCGGAGAGTTTATTGGCTTTGAATTCCTTTTTTGATTTCTCTCATCTTTCTTTTTTGAGAACTTTTTGAGGTGTTCACCCACAAGACGCCGCGCCGTTCATATGCAAATCGCGCAGCGGGAAATGATCGCCGAATTTCTTTGCCTTTCTTTGCCCTCTTGCTCTTAACTAACGTAAAATCAAAACATTTTGCCATATTTTACACAATTAATCGATAGATCAAAATTGGGGCATAATTTCTGAAAGCCATCCATTTTATTAGTTTTGTGGGGCACACCCAAGCGAAACTCGATGACTGGGCCAAAGGAAGGGGAAAAAGAAGGGGGAAATCGGGGAAAATTAGTGTGACCAAATTGGGTGAGATGAAAGGATTGAGAGGAAAAGAAAAAGAAACGAAATGAAGGAAAAGAAGAGGAAATGAAAGGGCAAACCTCTTCTATATAAGAGAAGGGAATGGAGAGGAGGGGAGGGGGAGACTGACTTCCCTCTGACATTACGCACCCCTCACTCCCCCCTCACCCCCCACTCGGTCTCCACAAAACACAGCCCCGTAAATCAACCCCTTCTCTCTTTGAAGCATTCTCTTTACCCACACACCAACCTGGCTTTAGAGAAAAGATGGAAAGCTAAGAAGAAAAACTCGATCCATGCCATGCATGGTGATTGCAAAAGAAATCAAATATAAAAAGTGAAATAAATAAAACTGGCAAATCGAATCTTTAGTAAATCTAGAAAAAGCTTTACTCAAAAGTATAAACAAACGAAAGTAAACAACTCAAAACGATAAGCACGAATCAGCTATCTGGATTTTGTGTCTGGCTCACAAAAAAAATTTAATTGATCGCTAAATGATTAAACGAAAAAAGAGTCAGTCGGAGTCAATCGAGTGAACCCATTCCCAACCCTCACCGAGTGTTGCGAAGGCACTTTTTGCTTCGAATTTTAGGGGGATGGGGCTAGTTTTTGCCGTAGGGGGGCGCTTATCAATGAACGGCTCTTTTTTGGGAAATGGAGAAGAAGACCGGCGTTCCCCTCCCGTTCCCATTTCCGAAATTTCACTTTCTCCCCTCAAAACTCAAAAGTTATCTCGAAATCGCTTCTCCACCAATGCTCGAGACACTAAAACTCAGTCGTGGAAAGCCCCGGGTCTGCCATTTTTGGTTTGGATATGTCTGCCATTTTGCAACGTTTGAATCTTTTCTCTGATCTGTTGCCTTTCTGATATGAATTTGATAACATTTTTTGACTATTTAATAAAAAGAAATCAGCATTGAACAAAATTTAAACTATCAAGTAAAATAAGCGGCTTTCAGGTTCACGAACTTTGCGATAACTTCTGCAATCGTTACGTGAATTGTCTAAAGGGGAAAATGCCAATGGATATTATTGTAAGTGGTTATTAAATTTATAACAGCGATAGCAAAACAATATAATGCTGAAATTTCTAAAAGTCATTGTTTAGGGAGATGAACGAGCGTCCTCAAGTCAAGCTGGTGCTTCTCCATCGAGCGGACTCGGTCCGGGAAGTCCAATGGGTCCAATGGGGTGAGTTCAGCATTAGCTGGCTGGCTAAATATAATAGCCTAACTTTGAGAATGTAAATACGAGCATTACAGTCACTACCAACCTCCTCCACCACCATTCGAGCCTCAAACAGTTCCCCTTCCTGAGAACACTTCATCGATGCCCCATCCAATTGAGGTTTGTACTGATGAATTATGTGGCTAAAGTTTAAAATTAGATCCTTTGAGCTCAATCACACCTTAGTAGACAAAACTAGATGTCCCTTTCAAATACAGTAACTAGGCCCGGTGCTCATTTTGGTGGCTCCAAAATTCCGAGCAGCTTACCCTCGATTTGAGAAAGGAATCGAAATTAAAACATCTGTCGATTTTCATTGAAAAGGGGTGGGTTGGCTCTCTCTCTGATTTGTGGATAGACTCAATCCATATGCTGTCTTTTGCCCTTCCTTTCTATCTTGTGTTTCTATCCGGTCAAAAAGGGTGCCAAATTTCGCGCCAACCACCTCGCCGCAAGCGACAAAGTGTTTTTCAAAAATGGTTTTCTAAAAAATGAGCAGGGCTACGTTCAAGATCTAAGCTGAATACAGTACTTTCAGACTTCTTCATACCCTTCTTCCATCCCTAGTCTTCCCCAAAATTCATCACCGTATTCGGAATCTCGAAATGCCTCTTGTTGCCGTCTCTTGCCATCCCTTTTCCCTTCTCCATTTCCCTATCTGTTTGGATGATCCCTTGGGGTCTCCTTTGTGGAAGGAGAGAATTCCACAAACCGTTGTCAGATTTTCGGGTCTTTTGACTCTTTTCACTAGCTGACTCTCCCTGGGGATCGGTTCAGCCTCTTCAGTTTGGACCTTTTGGTTAAAAAGGGGAACAAAGACCCCCTTCAAGGGTGAGGCCGTTCCCTTCAACTACTTGACGCTCGCTTGGGCATAAATTTGGTCTTTTGGGGGTCCGGTAAACAATGAATTGAAAGCACGAAGAAAAAACCGTTACAGAACAAGTATGTTGAAGATACAAGCTTTCCTTTTTTTTCTAGCTCCCTTTTGAATTGGTCGACTTCTAATTTACGATCTGAATTCCCCTCACTCCTCCCTTACAATACTAGGCATAAATTTTCGATGGGCAGCTTTTCGATGAGTTAAGGGCCCAACTGGACCTCAACTGGAGGCCATAAAAAGTCGCCAAATCTCCCTTTTCCTTTTCGCGTTGATCGAACCCAAATCGTCATGTGGTCGCTTACCTGAAGAGAAATAAAAAGAAAAAGATTCTGAGTTCAGTGTTGAGGACGACAACTGACACCAAGTGGTAGAGGTAGGAATGGAGAAGAAGGAGACAAGAAGGGGATAAGGCACCCAATGGAGAAGGAAAGACTGTGTGATACGAAATGAGGAAAAACCCAATTCCACCCCGGGTTGCCACCTCAATCCTCAAGTTTTTGGGGATGAAAGCCCGATTGATTTAGAGATCTAAACCACCACTGATTTGCTTTAAGAAAAGGGGTCGAAAAGATTGACATTGAGTCATCAAAAGAGAAAAATAGTGTTGAATGGGATTGCGATTGATTAGATGAAAAAGTTGAATGAGTTTTGGCCAACTCTCAATACTAAAAATTGTCCGCTATATGTAGAAACTTATTCTTGTTATTCAGAAAGGCAGCAATAATTTGGTAATAGATGAATGTGGGGGTCAAAAGCCAGAATCAATCTCTTTTACCCACTTTTCATCCGCCGATCACCAATTACACCCTCATAAAATGCATTGTGTCGGCGCGGGGTTTAGTTTGACCATAAAAGGGAACAATGATGATAATGGAGTGGAAATGGGAATGGCTTTCATTTGAATTCTATTTACAAAATGCTAAAGTTTAAGGTAAAACTTACAATAGATAATGATGCCTATTACCTATCTACTCATTTAGAAACCTAATAGTAGAGCGAAATCATTTTAACTCAAATATTTTAGCTCAGCATAATCTGAATGACATTCACTCATACTTTGCATAACTCTTTTCATCTTTTCACTCTCGGGAGTCCTAGGGAAGACTGTTGTGACGGTGGGGAATTATCGGTGAGGACAAAAGCCTTTTCCCAAGTCACAGCTGCCATCTGATATATTCCCCTAAACAAGGAATAATCGAGAGCCCCAATCCAATTCCAAATATCAAAGAAAGAATAGGGATTAGCCCATCGAGAGTTGCAAAAACACCAACAGTCACCGATACGTTCAACGCCAGATTTCACCGCATGAGTTCTTTTTGATTAGAACCGAATTTGGATTTTTGGAAAAGATATTAGTAAAGTATTTTGTCTGTATTAATGTATCCAATTTCCCGGTTCTTTCTCTTAATTTCTCTGAGTGTGATAAACGACTTAATCGTCCTTGCCAATCCTTCCCGAAATCACCAATTTTTCTTCTTCACCCAAGCGGTGTTCCCGATGAGAGCCAATTTTTCAAAATCACCTCTCTGGATGGTGTTGCAAGGTCAAAATTGGAGGGGAATGATAGGTTGAAGGGGAAAAAAGAAAGAAAGGGGAACGGTGTCATTGTGAAATATGGAGTGAAGACTGAAAAGGGCAATGAGGAAAATCGAGGGAAAGACTTCAGAAAAGCATTTGGAAAAGAGGGTCCAATGTGAGTGAATTGAGGAGGAACAGAACGAATTGAGAAGAAGGGAAATGGTTCACAGCGGGATGTCCCTCTTTGTCCTCATCTATCGGGGTTTCCCCTTTGATTTGGCGATTGACTCAGAAAATCTCTTTTTTTCAGCCAACTCATTGAGCCCTTTTTTGTTTCAAAATGCAAATTTCTGGTGGATCGGGGGGGAATCGGTAAAAGAAGGTTTACGGTAGTAAAGGTTTCAAATGAAGGCAGTAATGAAAGACTTCAACATAAAGCAACTTGTGATATCGTTTCAATTTCAGTTTGGCAACTCTTCAATGTATTGTCCCCCATCCGGGAGTCAACAACAACAACAAAAGCTCTCAAACAGGCCCTACTGGATCAGATCACCCTTTAGGGATGGGCGGAGCGGTCTCCTCGACGGCTGGACCGCCCCACACGCTCACTCCAGCCGTCAGTAGCCCATCGGCCAGGTAAATTCAAAAACAAAAACTTGAAAAACATATATCAACATTCCTTAAGCAAAAGCATCTTTAGTTCATCGGTCGGTCAGCGACACGACACTCCCCTCTCAGCGGACACACCACACAATGGATTGGGGGTGAATGGAAGTATGGCTGACTCTCAATCTGAACATGGTTTGTATCTCCTTTGATATGTCATTGCTGATGGGATTGATGGGATCTACCCTTTGCTCTATTATATAAAAGAGAAATGATCGATTTTTCAATTTCAATCAGTTGAAAGAATCAACAAAATTTGGCCCCAAGAAAAATCGATCATGAACAAAATGCTTGCTCTATCCCAAACTCGGGTCGGATATTTTCCCATTCTTGTATTCTTTCCTTTTTCTTGATAATCATTTTAACTTTTACTCTAAAATGACTCTCTTGGGACTTTTCTTCTTTACAATCTCTTCATTCGCTCGCTTGTTGCCTCAATGAAGATTTTGTGGTTGATAAAAAGGGAAAAAGCTCGCAAGAGATCTGTTTATGAGCAACATTTCAACTTTTATGAAACAATCTAAAAGGGATTGAGTGAATAAGACTAAGCTACTCCCTTATTTTCCCTTACCCCAATGTTTCCAATTTCTTTGTTTTAGTCCATCAAATCGTCACGTCCTGTCCTTGTCCATTTCATCAAATTGTCTTGTTTTGCACGTTTTTTTACTGCACCAAAGATTCTTCGACCAACATCAAAAATTCAAGAAAACCCGAAATTTTAAGTTACAATGCATTTTTTTTTGATTAAATTCAAACAAAAGAAAGACAAAAAGACTCGATTTCTTATTACGAGTGATGATTGAAAATTTTCCGCTTGAACTCCCCGAGAAGAGGAGAAGAGTGGAGAGGAAATTAATTGTGTCTTCCAACAACTCCCTCAAAATCCATTTTGTCCAATTTTAGCGACAACACGTTGGTCTAAAAATCTTTTACAACAGCTTAAACAAGCTTGCGTCTCTTTTCAATTTCATTTCACTTCAAATCACTTCCAATTTGCACTCTCTAGTGTGTATGGTTGACGCGAGTGGATCATATTGTGTACCGGTGACATGTATGATGGCGTATCAAAATGGAACAACGAATGGATCACCATTTGATGAATATCCACAACAACAACACTTACAAATGGTCACCGAATACCCTCCTCAAGATCCACCACATCATCAATCAACATCACAAACAAATTCCCGAAAACTTCCATCGAAGAAACGAGGGATTTTCCCCAAACCGGCAACGAATATTATGCGACAATGGCTTTTTCAACATTTAACTGTAAGTTTTTGTTTATTGCCTTCACGGAATGGCTTCTGTTAACGAGTTCTTGATTGGCACTAAACGATTTTTGGTTTTAAATGTTGGTTCTTTTTAAGTTCATATGTGTTTCTTTATTCTCTTGGCCCAAACTACAAAACGGGGAATTAGAGCAAGCATTTTCAATGGGTGATCTCAATATTCCTCTTCAGCGCCTAGAACATTCATCTAGTCAGTCTCTTTCTTTTCTCTAGGCGACGAATTGCGTTCACTTTGTGATTCGATGGAGGATGGACGAGAATCGGTAACATCTGATGGACCAAATGGACAAAAGAGAAAAGTCCCGAAAGTTTTCTCGAAAGATGCCATCAACAAGTTCCGCGCATGGCTTTTCCAGAACATCAATGTAACATTTTTGAGCATCATTACGATTAGACAAACTCGAGTTTCTTTCAATATCAGAAAACTGAAACAGATCTTTTCAATATTCAGGTTGAGCTTAGACGCCAAATTTCTTACCGTAGTCGCGCGATTTGCTCGGCGAGTAGTCTGGCAATAATTATACGGTGTTTCGGGGTTTTCGAGCGGAAGACACTTATGCTCTCCCTCCTTTACGGGCGGTCGTGTACCCCAAAATGCCCTCCAATAAGAGGAGATCTTTGCAAAGAACATCATAGCTATTCCCATTTCAGTACATTCTAGAGCTGTCACTTCTAGCTTGTTTACAAAGATTTGTTAGGAATTAACAAATTGTTCTTTTACGTCAAAGTTTAAAGTATATTCATAGTACAGCTTGAAGTATGATTGTGTTTCCAATGGCTGAAGCTTTTCCCGAGAAATCTTAATTGCAAAAAAAAAGAACTTTTCCAAAAGCTTAGCTTAAGCCTTTCTTAATCTCGATTCTCGGGAGTCATTAAAGAAATTTGGGTGACTAGATGACTTCCTCCCGAAAATTAATGGCTAAATCTCACTGGATGAGGGGAAGGGAAGGATCGATCTAGTTTTCCACAAGACGGGCTTGTTTTCCCAAAGATTAATGACCAAATTTATTATGCGCGTTTCGGTTTTTGGTGAGCAATAAAAGAAAAATTTGTAGAAGCTCTCCTAGAAAAACGGAAAATCAACTCTTTAATCAATTTTCTTGAAATCTGTGATGTGGATCAATCACCTTTCCCCATTTGAGTGTTATCCATAGTGATCCGAGACATCGATCTGACACTTATTTGACAAATAGTTATTGCTTAGTGAAAAGAAAAGGAAAAAGAGAAGAAGAAGAAGAATGAGATCGGCGAAGAAATCCATCTTGACGATGTGTTGTGACAAATTTTGATGGATTTCACAAAGAGACTGATAGAATTGTTAAGAGAATTTTGAGAACTGAGAAAAGAAGTCATTCCGTTAATGATTTTGGATTAGTTTTTTAAATCTTTAACTTTCAGCATCCCTATCCATCTGAAGAACAAAAGAAGCAATTGGCCAACGATACCGGATTGACAATTTTACAAGTGAATAACTGGTTGGTAATCGTTTACCGTATCTCTTTTTATTTCTCAAAATTTTACAAGGATTTCTTAAATGTTTCGTTACAGTAACTTCTAGTTTTTGCTCTGCCCACAATCGGGCGGATAGGAAAGAGAAAAGAAAGACGCGTAAAAGTGGGATAGTCGTGGTTGTGGGGGAAAGGTGGCCGATTTGCAAGTGATACGATAAAAAAGAAAAGAAGAACCATGATGGGGATAAGCGCGCAAATCGGCTTTCTTTTACCCATTTCCCAATGAAATCATATCCCTTTCTTTTGCTCTCTTTCTTCAATTCACCCATTCCCAAGGCCATCCCCATTCCCTTCAAATCCCTCCCGATTATCACGCCTCTATCACGAACTATCTTCTCTCTCAAATCTCTTCTGGATTCCAGTCTCTCCCATCCACTTTTCCCCATTGATTCTCAATGATTGATTTTAAGATTTTGAGACGGGGACTATAATGAATTGCACCTCAACATATACGATGAGATATTGAATCGGGAAAGACAACCCATCAATTTTGGGGCGTTTTCTCAATGTTTTATCAATTAGCTTTTGCTTGATGAGTGATGGCAAGATTAGTTGTGGGTGATCAGTTCAGCAATTCGACATTAGCAACAATCAGAGCTTCTAATTAAAACTTATAATTACCTTTTTGATATAATTGGGCAATTAGTTCTGAATGCAATCAAATCTCTCGAAATGAATGTGTGATCAATTTGAAAGGGGACACCAGAAATACGTAGTTTTGAAGAGGGTGAAAGAGATCGTGTACACTTTGTCCCATTGAGAGAAAGCTTCCCAAGTGTGCCCCTGAAGGATGTGTAATATTTGTGGCCAACAAACTACAGTAATCCGACGTTCATTTCATAGAAAAAGGAACAGTTGCCATCGGGTCATCCCTGCTAAGAAAGAAAAGGGGAAAAGTTTCGCCGCGATAAAGGCAGTTGCGCAATGTGGCCAGCCCATCCTCTCTTTTTCAGAAATGATCGCCGGAGATAATCTGTGCCTTATAGAGAAAAGAAAAGATCAATCAGATCAACCATATGCGGACATCAATATTTGAGGGGATTCATCTCATGATCCCATTTGGAGAAGTCAGTCAACCGTGTTACTGTTTATGGAACGGGAGACTCCATAATCCGTTACAGTAATTCCATACTTTTTAAAGTGAGCTTGAATCATACCATTCCAATCCGGGACTAATTTTTGGTTCAGATCTTCAACTTGATCTCATTGCTTTCTAATTGAATAACAAATTGTTTTAAGAGACAATATGGAACAGAGAGAAAGCACATTCATTTTTGAGCATCGAGTCCTTTTACCCAACTAGAGGGTCGATTACTATGCATTGCCCACCGCCCCATTCCATTCTAAAGTGACCTCGAAAGTCATTAGCCGCTCATTTTGAAGATCAAAGAGAAAGGAGTTACTTGAAATTTTTGGGGATCGATTGAGCAACACTATCTTTTTCTCTTTTCGCCTTTTGTTGTCTCCGATTTGACTAATGAGATCGGGGTGATCGGAGGGCTTTGAAGTGAATTGATGGAGATCTGATCTCTTCTAGTAGGCATAGTTAGTAGTTTCCATTTCAAACAGTGTTTAAAATTAAAACGCTTTTCGTTTTAATAACTAAAATAGGACTGATCACTTTCAGTAACAAGCAAAAACAAGCTTCGAGGCATTCAAATTCAAAGAGGATCATGTGTGTGGTGGTTGAAGGGGCAGGGGTGAGGGAGAGCATAGAGGAAGGGGAAGGGATGTCCCTCCTAGAGGAGAAGACTCGCCCTTGGCGTGGATGATGGATGGGAGGCAGCTGGGATCGGAGGGAAAAAGAGTAGAAGAAGGAGAAGGGAAGGGAGGGGAATCTCCAAGCACTCCTGAATCGACCCCATCCTGGAGGGGACCGAGAGAAATAATGGACACAACATAAACTAGGGTATGAGTGCTGAAAGTGGATTCAAAGCCTGTGCTTTATCCAAATGTGAGTTGATACTGTCAGATCTGGACTGAAGTTTGCAATTGCAAAACGGAACGCATTGCTGGTTGTTTCAATCCTTTTCAAGCTGAAATTTGTTCTATTGTACTTCAGCTTCAATTTATCCACAAGTCCTTCCCTTTATCAGTAGCACTAAAGTCCTTCGCACTCAAGTTTTCCTTCTCCAAATAGAGCCTCTAGAAGCTGATTTCCTTTCTTGACTACCACAAAGAAGAGGTGAAAAAAGGCTTTCCATGGTAGAAAAAAAAAGCATAAGATGAATGACTTCTCTCAGCCACCATCCTTTCCTTGGTATCCTTGCCATCCTTGCCATCTTTACGGAAAGAAAAACCCCAAAAACTCTCAATTGATGTCAAAGGAAATTGGGCCTTCATTCTTGTCGAGATTTGGATTAAGTTGAAAAAGAAGAAGAGGTTGATGAGTTGAGCCTGAAAACCCTGAGAGCAACAAGTGAATGAAGTAACCCAGAATGGGACTACTTTGTTATAGCTTAACTTTTCAATTCTAAACTTCCATAAATAATGCAATCCAGACATAAATCTGGGCACGCAACTTTTTTATTGGCGATAAACCGTGGATCATAAACTAACTCTTCTCCTATTGGAGTTGTTTTTTATTACCCTCGAGGCTAAGTTGAGGCCAATCGTCACCTCCTTTTTTCGATTTTTATGGACTCATTTATGTGTTACGAGTAAAAGGAATGATGAAAAAGGGAAAGAGAGGAAAGAGAGGAAAGGGGAAAAGGGAAAGAATGCCCCATTTAACCCACCAACAGATAACCATCGAAATGATCTGTGAATGTGAGAAATGCTCGATTTGATGCCAATAACCAAAATAATTCCAAAAATGCCTTTAGGGTTTTTAGGGTAAAAATTTCAAGTTAGAATTCAGGATCACTTTCGGGGGATTTCCCTAGTCTAACATTACAGTGTATACTAGACAATTTGAACAGTTTGATTCAATGAAACTTGAGGCAATCAAACTACCGTACACGTTCAAGTACAAATGCAAATTGAGTGTGTACTTTTCAACTCAACTCGATTGTTTGTACAACCGGTGATTTGAGAGCTCCAGGGAATGGAAAAAAAAGGGGGAACCGGTCATTGGAAGAGAAGAATTGAAGGGGGAAGATCGTTGAATCGGTTGACTTGGATGGGGAGAAAGAATGAAATGAGCCGGAATCGATCCACCCATCAACCCATACAATCCATCCATTCATCCATCCCATTTCAACCAATTCCATAACAGTTCACCACTCTAAAATGGATCACTTAATTGCTTGTGCGCGGATCCCAAATAAACACCATATAGCGTTAAAATGAGTTGAAATCTGGCTCGGATTGAAAGATTTCTGTCTTGGAACATTATCTACAGCACAAACTTATTTCAAACTATTCAGGTTCATCAATGCTCGACGACGAATCGTACAGCCGATGATCGATCAGTCAAATCGGGCAGGAAGACAACCACCAAATGTATTCAAGAATAGGAGAAGACGAGGCAGTGGAAGTGGATGTGGAGGAAGTCCTGGACCGTCACCTGGTAAGCAATTAACACACAATGAATTTGAAAGATAAAACATTGTTAGATTAGCTGTTATAAACCAAATTTCAGACACAAACGGTTATTCGCCCGATGCACCAGTGATCCCAATGGGGTATCCGGGTGCCGATCTCTACTCAATGCAACGAACCGGCTTCCCCGCTGCACCCATGTTTCCATACTCAAACCCGTTAGTTTTTGTAAAACAATTCATAAAATACTTTAAATAATAGTTAGCAAATTGGCAATCGATTAATTTTAGGATGGGTTTCATGCCGATGCCATTCAATCCTCCAGCCGCTATCGCTCCATGGTCGATGGATCCATTGAGTCTTGGCGGTTTATCGGGTGATTTGAAAGATTCGAGTGGTGCGTGGGGATTGGGTGGACCGAATGGAGTTGATATTAAAGAACAACATCCACATCATTAGAAAATGAAAAGGAACGATGGGAAGGATGAATTTCGGCTTCTTCTCTTCAATTTTCACACAAGAAACAGTTTTTTTTTGAGCTTCTAGGAGACCATTCTGAATTCAGTACTATCTATTCGATTTACACTTATTTTTTTAAGTTCTATTTTTTTGCCTACAAAGTCTCTCGATGTGCTCAGTTTTTATTTGCAAACTTCCACACAAATTTGGCAATAATTTACTGCTATTTTGTTTTCATGCTAATTTTCTTGTTCCTCTCTTTTTTTTCTGTTTGATTTTCCGTGAACAGGGTTTGAATCCATGAATTTGTCGCAACAAAATTTCCATGACTTTCCAAAAAAATACATCTAGGATCTTTTTTATTCAAAAAATTTTTCAACGATAGCTTTACGCATTTCTCTAAAAACCTTTGAGAAATTCATACAAAAAGTTCACGATTACAGTTTATTTTGATGGCCTCGTTTCTCACGACTTTTTGAGATTATGTTTACTTATTTTATGTTTTTTTTTTGCAAGAATGAATTGTTTTTAGGTCTTTTCCTTCAATCAAAAGAAATAAATTTACATGTAGTTGCGTGGAGTAAACACAAATCATCTTGAAATGAAAATGAAACAATCAAAGAGCAGTGCTGGAATGTGTTTAAATGTTCTAGTTAAGTCAGAGCAGTCAGTTAGACCCAGGTCATTCCATGAAGTGCTTTTACTCTCTAATTCTGTGCAAGATTAATCTAACTTCTGCATAAGCTCTTGTTTTCAAAGACTTTTCATTGGTTTTCCCTTTGATGGCCCACCCTAACCCCTCCCGATCCACATAAATCGCCCTCCACGAGCTGTCAATCAAACGGGTGAACAAATTAAGCCACCCCTTTCTTTTCTCTTTCTTTTCATTCTTCGTTTCGCCTTCTTGGAGCCTCGTCGACTATTTGGGAGTCTTCGGCTACCAAACAATATTTGCTTTTCACCCTTAGGGCCAATAAGAGAACGAATAAAACCAATCCTCACTGAGGGTCCTGCTATGAAAAGTATTGAAATCATGCAGATAATTACATGTTTAAGTTGTGAGTACTAAAGAAATAGTACTAGTACAGTACTAAAGATGACACCTTGCACAATGTAACAAAGCAGTTTATTACGAACAAACTATCTAATGTACAAAAGAATTTAATTTCCAGCACACATTCAAAGCTTACTGTGCAATTCAGTCTTAGCGATTCCCTCCAAATGCACCTCATCGGGTCCATCAGCCAATCGGAGAGATCTAGCCGAGATGAAGAAACCTTGACGTTTTATTAGAGTTGACTCTGTTTTTTATCTTTAACTAGGTCTTTCTTTGACCAATTTTAAGATTAAGTGTAGCTTTCAATGTAACCTACTAGACAATGGTGTATCTTCAGATAGTCCCATTCCTCCATGTGCTTGAATCGCTCGATCAACCACCTTCAGACACATATCTGGGGCGACAACCTTGATCAACGCGATCTCCGTTTTTGCTCCCTGAAAACTCTTGATCCAGAAGCATACGATATTGAAATTTATGCAAAGTCTTATTTTACCTTCGCCCCAACAGTATCGATCATATGTGCTGCTTTCAACACCAAGAGTCGCGCTTGCTCGATCTCACATCTAAACAATCTTTATTTCACTTTGACACAAAATCTCTTAAACCTCGATTTCCCAATCTCACTTCTGATTGTTTGGAATTGTGCCAATGGTCGACCAAAGGCTTTCCTCTGAAGTACTCGTTTCTTCATCAAATCCACCGCTCTCTCCGCGTGTCCAATTAAACGCATCGCATGGTGGATTCGGCCAGGCCCGAGACGGCCTAAAATAAGTTTTGGCTTTTAAATACAATTAGGTATTCAGCCTTATTGACCTTATTGAACTTTAAAATACCTTGAGCAATCTCGAAGCCTCGTCCTTCTCCGAGAATCATACATTCGAGCGGGACTCGGACATTTTCAAAGAGTACCTCACTGTGACCATCTAGATATAATTCGAGATAGTAGATTTCTTGAAGTAGTTAGAAATAGTTAGAGATAAAATAGATTCCTCTAAGTTAAGCAAAACAAACGTGGTGGATCTTGAGCTCCAAGAACATGAAGATTTCGAAGCACTTTCACCCCAGGAGCATCCATTGGAATGACCATCATTGATTGTTGAGTGAGACGAGAGTTCTGAAAAATTTCGCTGTTTACCTCTAATATTATATTCTAATTTTTATCTATCCTTGTATATTATCTCACCTGTCCTTTGCCAGCCACTCTTCCCATGAAGATACACACTTTACAATCGGGATGTCCTCCATTCGATGTGAACCATTTCCTCGCGTTGATCACGTACTCATTTCCAGATTTTACAATTGAAGCCTAAATTTTAGAACTTCATATGCAAAATATGTTTAATGTTAATTCCTCTTACCTGAATATTTGTAGCGTCAGAGCTTGCGACATCGGGTTCAGTCATAGCGAAGCAGGATTTAAGACGACCTTCAAGAAGAGGCTGAATATTGGGATTGAGAAATGACATTCACATTCGAGAATTAATAACAATCACTGTGGTTTTCCTTATTTACTTTACTTCAATTTTTATATTTCCAACCTTGAGCCATTTCTCTTTTTGCGCGGGTGTCCCATACTTGATCAACACCTCCATATTGCCTGTGTCTGGGGCTTGACAGTTGAACACCTAAATAACTTGATCCTATCTAAGAACAATATCAAAAAAATTTCATAAATCCTCACCTCAGGAGCATAGATACTCAATCCCATAACTTCGCAAATGTGAGCATATTCAACATTCGTTAAGCCAGCTCCGTATTTTGCTGAAAAATTGTTGCCATTATTAAACAATGTCTCTTTAATAATAGATTCATATGACTTTATTATTTATCACTATATAATAAATAAATAAAATCGTAGTTACCTTCTGGATCAATGTGTTCTGGAATGAAAAGATTCCAAGCTCCCAATTTTTTCGTTTTCTCCTTGATCGCTTCCAATTTCGGATGTCTTCTCCACGGATTTGACCCCAAGTAGAACTCGCCCAACTCGGCTTCAAGAGGAATCACGTCCTAAAATAAAAGCAGTTCAAGCAAACAATTATTAGCATTAGCAATAATAAAGAAAATCATTAATTCTATACTAAACTACCTCATGAACAATTTTTGTGACAATCGCATGCAGTTTTCGCGCCTTTGGACTCAACGAGTCGATGGTGAGCGGTAGAAGGCCTGAAGTAACATAAGCAATTCCAAATTTATTTTTTATGTGTTCTCTTAAATTCTTACCAAATTTATGTTTTCCGTCGAGTCGATCGACCAGTTCGAGCGCGGTCTGGGCCAGAATTCGAGGCACACCCGCCACTTTGCCCGCATCAGGAGATGAGGCATTCTTTGACAAGAATCTCATGTAAATACCTAAATATATTGGATAAATTTTATCATTTGATAACTTGATATTAGTTGATTAACCGGGAAATTCAAACCTTGAGCAATAGCGGCCATTCGATAACATACAAAAGCTGCATATGGAGTGAAGGCTTCGGTAGAAATTGAGGGGATTCGGGCTTCCTGCAATGTTCAACTTTTTTTATTAGAATGTATGTATTAGATTATTGTATTAGAATTGCAATGTATTAGAACCCAAACTACCTGGCAATAGATATTTAGCACTTCTTCAATAGATGGAATTCCCAATCGCTCCATCTCTCGTGGAGTCAATCCACCCAAGCCTTGAACCGGCTAAAGATAATTTATGACAGGTGAATTTATGGCAGTATTTACCTTTATCATATTGGTATTATAATGCGAGAAGAGAAAGGTGGCCAAATCAGCGAGAGGATCTCCGATTGTTGAGATTTCCCAATCCAACACTGCTACCACTTTTGGTTCACTTGGATGGTACATTACATTATCAACTCTGGAATTTTGAGTAGATTGTAAAGTCATCATGAAGTGATTTTGATAAGGAGACCGCTACTAATTAACTTCTTCAAAGCTAACCGATAATCGCCGTGCACAAGAGTGACTCGTCCATCTCTCGGTAAATGTCCCTCCAACCATTTCCCCAATCTTTCCATTTCTGGACAATCTTCTGTTTTCGCCATTTCGTAGTTTCCTTTCCAACGTGAAAGATTTCTCATCATGTAATCATCTACAACAGAAATAGCATAAAAGCAAATCTTTTCTACCAAAAACCTTTTCTACCGTAATCACTCAAACCGATCGCATCGACATCGAGAGAATGCAGTCTGGCGAGAGTCTGAAATTGAAAGCCATACATAATAAGAATTTTATATGGAAACTACTTTAACCAAAAACTGTTTTCTGATATATTTGATGATGATTTAAATGAAACAAACTTTGATCGAATCTTCATAAATTGCCTTTCTCTCTTTTGGGGAAACATCAGGGACTCGGGGGTCGGTGAAGAGACGGCCTTTCACATATTCCATCAAGTAGAATGGCTCGGGGAGAATTCTGAGGTAAAAATGTTAGAAAAATATGTAAACAGCTTAAAAGAATCATTTTTATTAGGTTGGCAAAAAAAGAAATGCGCGTTTTCGCTAAAAGTTTATTTTATTATAAAAACAAGATAACAATACATTAATCCAAAAGGTATTCGCCATCTGCATCAATGACTTGTCGCCAACGTTCACGCAGAGAATGGATGCCCTTCTTGAAGAACTCGACCGGCTGCGACTCGAAGAAGTTGGACACCCAAATTTGGACCTCGTCGCCGTTCTTGAACTTTTTCTCTCGGCCAAGGAGTGGTGCATTGATCGGAACAGATGGTAGTCGGAAGGCGCCAAGTCTGGGCTGTATGGCGGATGAGGCAGGACTTCCCAGCCCATTTCTTCAATTTTCTGCTGGGTGTTTTTTGCGACATGCGGCCGAGCGTTGTCGTGAAGGAATTTTGTCGACGCCGTATCCACACCTTGACGTCGCAGCGCCTGGTCCACGCGGTCCAATTGGCCTTGGTAGAGGTTCGCCGTAACTGTTTGACCCGAATCCAGAACCTCAAAGTACACCAGGCCTTTACTGTTCCACCAAACACAAAGCATCACCTTTTTTCCGTGGATGTCCGGTTTTGGAGCTTCACCGGGGTCCAACCACGCCGCTTTCTTGCTGTGTTGCCGTATTGGATCCACTTCTCATCCGACATAACAATGGAGTCGAAAACCCACTGTTCTTGGCGCGGTGAGTGAGAATTCCGGCGATTGCGATGCGTGCGCCTTGTTTGCGTCGGACAGCTTTGCGGTACCCATTTGCCGCATCTATTCGTCTTGCCCATGCCATGCAGATGGTTCTCAATGGTGACATGAGTGCAGTCGAACTGTTCTGCCAGGTCGCGAGTGGTTTGGCGTGGATCCGACTCAATGGCTTCCTTCAATGCGTCGTTGTCGATGATTTGAGGTCGACTTCCGTGTTTTTGGTCTTCCAAGCTTTCGTCGGCGTCTCGGAAGCGCTGGAACCATCGTTTACACTGACTTTCGGATAGAGCATCTTCGTCAAACACTTGAGATAGAGCGCCATGAGCTTCAGCAGCCGATTTGCCTTGCTTAAATTCATGCCACAAGCAGGCCCGCAAACGAAATTTTTGGTCCGACATTTTCTAAACACTCTTTCTTGCAAAAAAACAAAGTAAACATAGACAAATTATATATCAAACGATGCGCAAGAACACGCTCTTTCCAATAGAATAAACTATTTAAAAAAATCTTTTACTGTGAATAAAATACAAATCAACAAACACGACGCTCATTCCTTTTTTGCCAACCTAATAGATAGACATTTTATCTTTAAAGTTAATTACTTTTGCCGGAAATCGAAAACTTTCGGTACAGGTGCTTTCCCATTCAGCGCGTTCAACACAGCGAATTCTCGATCGACCTGATGAGCTTTGGGGAGCAGTTTGCCGGCCTAAGCAGTAGAAATCTTTTTGGATAAACACAGAAGTCTTCTTAATCCTGAACTGTTTGCATTTCTTATTCCCCTACCGGCTTCTTCCTCAAAACGAACTCGCAATGTCCTCTCTTCAGATAATAGGTCGGATTGCTCTGTCCATGCGAGAATTTTCTATAATTTAACTTAACGTGTATTTTAATTGATTTTACCTCCGGTTTAACGTAAGTGAAATATTTTTTTAGATAAAAATTACCGAACGATCAATTCTCCCAAAGGCACTCGTTGTTCGTTGAGATATGCATTCAAAGCCACGGTATCAAGCTTTTCACCTGAAAGGATTAAACGAAAACTCGTTCTTTTCACTCATTTTTACATTACTTTGATAACCTTATACGTATTTTATCCCAAAAACAAACTTTCTAATAGATCTCTTGTTTCTGGAGGCACATCCAAACGAATACCGAGAGTTGTCGACAGTTCTTCGAGAGCCTGTGGAACTGAAGACACCTGGAAATGATAAATGGATTTTCATTATTCACCCCTTAGATTTGTCTGTTAATAGCTTAGATCATATTAGAATTATTCAAAGAAAAGCTACTTTGATTGTTTTCATTCCCAGCTTCTTGGCAGGTCCGAGATTTTTACCCAAATCGTCGAGAAAGATACAATCACTTGGGAATACCTAAAGACAGTAACTTTAATTTTTGAATTGAAGAAATCCAAATCTGACCCCAAGCTTTTGTGTGACTCCCAAATAAGCTTTCGGATCGGGTTTCCTCACTCGTTCGCGGCAAGTTTCGAAGACCACATCGAAGAGATCCTGGAATGGGGGAAAGTTTATTTTACAGAAGCATTTGTCAGCTAGTTAATTTGCTCTACTTTACGCAAACTGAAAGCTTACTCTGAATGATTTCCCTGGTGGAATTGTCGGCAAGAGGTGAGCTCGATCAAAATAGAAATTGTTGGTCAACAGGGCTGTTTTGTAGCCAGCAGAACGTAGAACCTAGAGATATAAAGTAACATATTATTTGATAGATTTGCAATTTACTGTTTTAATATGCAATTTGAAAGTACCTTGATCGCAGAGATCATTTCGGGGAACAAAATTTGTGGATCCATCACATTTCTTCGTGAAGATCTCAAACTGCTCAATGGTTGAATGAGGCTAGAATTCGTTCTGCCAGTCTAAAATATTTATAAAATTTACTTGTATATATTTATTATTCTTTTGTAGATAAGTAAAATGTTTGTCTTATCTCAAGTACCTGTTTGTTGTAGAAATGTGTGTAGATGCGCTCAAAATCCTCGACATTTGTCCCGCCAATTTCGAGATTTTTAAAGTGTTCCTAGAAAAATTTCTGATTTGCCAAAGTTTCTGATCTTTATTGATTCAGTCTTTCAAATTTATCCAACCAAATATCACACTTTTATTTGACTTACATAGACTTCTTCGCTCAGCAACACCTCCATGATTGAGCCGGATTGAAGACCATTTTGGGGTTCATATTCTGAAAGCTTGGATAATTGAATGCAACGCAAATCTTATTGGATTAATGTTTTACGACTTAATCTCAGTTTAATGATTGATATCCTATTGCTTCTATTTGGACAGTTCCAGAAATTCTCACCTTTCCAAATATCCATTGGTGCCGGGATGAGGACACCGCCCAAGTCGAAAATCACCGCTTTCGTTGGCATCTCTATTCTATTATTAAAGCTTTAAACATTAAAGTATAGTGTCAAGCGAGCAATTCAATAGATACTTTGTTTCAAAAAATTCTAAATGAAAAGTGCGCTTTGAGCCATTGGTGATTACTGAAAGAACTTTATCAAGAACTAAAAAAATGAAAAGAAAAACAGCAAACTCCAAAGGCTCTCTCAGATTCTCTTGCCAGTTCTTTACTCAATTTCCCCATGTGTTCTCTTTTTTCAAGTGATAACCGTTTCTTGTAGTCTAATCAACGGTTTGATCAAATCGGGAAAGAAAAAGGTTGAGAGAAGAGATAATTTGATGTAGCCTGTAGCCGTTTCCTTTTCCATCCAAACTGATTTGGAAGATTTTCATTGGTTAAAAGTCTCACGAGGGAACCATAACTACTTATTACCTCGAATCGGGCCCAAGTTTGTGGGCTGTTAGATGGGCTTTTAGATGTTCAGAACAAAGTGTTTTGAAAAACTCAGCTGCAAAGCTTCAGATCTGATTAAGTTATAATTTTGGTAATCATCAATATAAATTTTGATTCTGAGTTAGAAAATACGAGAAAAACTTTAAGAGGGTGCGGAGAGAACAAAGGCGAGAAAAAAAACAAAGGAGAATGCAGAGCAACTTTTTAGATACAGAATATCTGGGGTATATTGAAACCCAGAAGGCGCCCTGGCTCCCTCAATTTGTCATCCAGGCCAAAAAGAAATTGAATCTTCAAATTATTATTCAATTTTTATGCAAAAATTCTAAAAAAAGCAATAAACTTAACTTTGGTGGGACTCAAACTCGAGGAAAAAAAAGAGGACCGGTCTAGTCCACCGACCCCCTATCCACTATACCACTCAACCCTGATTTTGGAGAGAGCCTTTGTTCTCTCCGCACCAAATTTTAAAGCTTTCCTCGTTTTTCCTAATTCAGGATCGAAATTTATATTGAAGATTACAAGCATTATAACTTAATCAAATCTAAAGATTTGTAGCCGAATTTTTCAAAAAACTTTGTTCTGAACCCCATCTAACAGCCCACAAATTTGGGCCCGATTCGAGGTTGTAAGTAGTTATGGTTCCCTTGTCAGTCTCACTTTTAATCTTTAGGGTCTCTCGATTCGCATTTGAAGAGAGAATATGTGTAAGGAAAAAGACGGTGTTCTATCGTTTTTGAAAGCAAATCAACTCATCGAAACCAAGACAAAATCTCTGATCAATGTTGTCTGAATAAATCTATTGTATCATTCTGATTTAATAAAAGATGTAATCGCTAAATTGAGTTTATTTTGAAGTCAACATTTGTGTTCTTCATTTAATAAATCAAATTTTGTTTTTGTGGCTCCGATAAAACCCAAATAAACTAATGAGATTTTGCGTAGATTTTTCCTCAATGAAATGGTCAAGAATAGCTTTTTCTGTGACAGCATTTGAAGGTAATTTGTGGGTGAGGAAATGAACACGCAAAAATGTGTTTTCTCATCTTGAATTCGACGCGGGAAGCTATTAGCAAATGAATGATAAAGTGGAGACTGTGAGATGTATAAATAGAAAGTGTATAAGGTAGTTTTTTGCAATTAGATCTAAGTCTCTTATCCTGTAACAGTATACCAAAATAAAAGTATTCAACTAATAAGACCGAATCTCTTGCAAATTCAAAACCTATTTGTTTTGTTGAGTAAAAGTAGTGAAAATTTACTGTGACGTTACAGTTTCTCTTGAGTACCAAATGAACAAAAGTCTTTGCAGGTTCTTATTTCAACGATAAGTTCGCACATTCATCTATCTTCTGTTTTCACGTTGTTTCCTCTTGAAATCTCGAAACAATTTCTTCCGACACATCCGAAATTCTGAGATATAACCAGCCGAAGCAAATAAAACCAACGATTCGCCATCGCTGTTTTTTCTAATATTTCTCGAAATCCTTTCCTTTTTTTTTCACATTTTCCGATCTCCGTGTTTGAGCCTCATTTCGACCAAAACTCTCCCGGAATTCATAAATATTTCGCGAGTTTCCCTTATCCAACTCAAAAACTCTTCCCAAAATGTACCCAGATCTGATCTGAACTTCCTCTTCAATTTTTCCCCATTTGAGCCACTTTTTACCCGGGAATTTCTCCTAGAAAATTTCATTAGACTTTGCAAGATCTCAGCAGGAATTCCGCGAATTTCATTCCATTTCACTTCTCCCAATTTTAGTTGATTTTTCAAAAGAAAGTCTGAAATTTTTTGATGAATTCACTTTTCGGACACAAATATTCTAGGAAAAGATCAGGCGCTGGAAAATTTGGACAAATTTAAACTTTTCAATCAAATGGGCCACTCCTGAGAGATTGTTCTTTGTCATATATTCTTAAAAGCCGTATTTCTTATAAATAAGCTCTTCTAATAAGCTGATCAAAAATAATTTCATCTTGTAAATGTCATCAAATGCCAATTTTCCTCGTAATTACCACCCTCTCTTGAGTTTCTTTTGAAAAGAGCGCTGCAACACAAGGTAATTATTTTTCGAGAAATTCTTTGTTTCTAAAAACCGTCGATGAATTTGTTATTTATTTATCTTTGATTGATCAAAATTGCCAAATTTTAGTGGAATATGACCGGTTCTGAGGAGATGACGAAACGATTGGCGCGCGAGAGAAATCTCTATTGTACAAGATTAGAAGAAATGGGAGTTATTAATACGGTAAGAAATATGAGATTTTTGGAGTATAAACTACTCAATTTGCAATGTTATAAAGCATTGCAAATTCATATTTCCAATTTTTCAGTCCTTCTTCCCCAATCCGACTCCAATAACAGGAACAACGACGAATCGGAGATGCAATCGAGTGAAGCCTGTATCGTCGAGAAGGTAAAAAGTCATGAAGAACTATCAATTAGCCAGAAGATCAAATTTTGCATACTCGCTATTTTTTACAGATTTTCTCATCCATCATTCAATCCACATCGCCGTTTCTGTAATAATAATCGTCGAATGCCACCGATTAGAGAAGATTCGATGGAAGATGTAAAAAGATATTAAGTTCTTCATTTGGAAATTGTCTCTTTGGCAAACAAACGCTCAATAATTTTATTCACCCTTCCAAAGGTCGTCAAGTTTCATTTTTGGATTCGCTGCTCTGACTTTGAAAATCAAAAATAAGACTATTAAGCTGAACAGGAGCGCGTTTTTTGACGAGCTTATCAGTTTTTATGGGGGTGAGGGAGGGAACTTCTCTACAGAAAAAGATGGATTCTGTATTTTTGAGAGAAAATGATAAATATTGGGGGCTCGATGCGGGCAGTCGGCTGGCCTTTGTTGGCAGAAATATCAGATCCTTTCATTTATTAGTCAGACCAATAAATCAAAGTCCTGGGGAGGGCTCTATCTGATAGTTTTGTTGGCATAATTTGTTATGCATTCCACATGAGTTCGACTTCCGTTGATCTCTCTGGCTTTTCTCATACCCATTTGCATTGGGGTTCTAAAATTGAAATGTGTCTTGGCTTCTGTACATCGATGTGTCTTTGGTCCAATCAGATCTTTAGTATCTCCAAATCAAGACAATCTCTTCATCACTTTTCCTTCTTCGTTCTTTATAGTGACCCCCATTTCCCTCGAAATATTCCATCCATTTTCCCTCCGAATCTTTCCATTTTTGTCCCTTTAATCCCCTTCTAATCTGAATTCAATCCACCCCCAACTGACCCTAGAATTCTTTCCGATTTCTCCTTTCATTTTTTGATTTTCAGGCTTTCTTATCTCAGAAATATTCAAAAAAGTTTTTCGAATCCATTATGAGATCATTTTCTTGTAATTTTAGAGATTTTGCTACAGATCTGGCCATTCAATATGATCTTTTATAAAAGGAATCTTTCAGGATCAATCCAGTCTATCCCCGTGTACTTCAGCAAAGACGAGAAGAATGCGTTTTCGATCAGTTTCCCTGAACATTGTAAGAATACGCAATAAAAAATTACTTTAAATGTTTCCATCTTTAATTTAAATCGTTTTATGATTTCGAATTTCCATTTTCAGACGACAACAAGTCCAGGCCCATCGACCTCGACGGAGAGCTATGTGAGTGATCGTCCCCCCTCATTTTCCGATCTCTATCGAAGCCAGCCCAACACTCCAGTAAGGACGAAAAGGTCAGGAAAAATTGAGTTAAGTATTTGAATATTATTTTTAGATCAGACACGACAAGTTCCGAGTTCGGCAGTGTCGCCGAGGGGATACCACATTTGAAAATCCCGGTGAGTTGACATAAATACTTGAAAGATTGCTTAACTTATCCAAAATGTATAATATTTTCTTTTCTTGCATTGAATTCCCTCCAAAGCACAAGATTCCTTTACATAATTGCAATTCTTTTCCATAAATCATCCCTGCGGACACATTGTTTCGTCCTGCAAATTCCCGCGTTTTCTCCACCTCCAAAGATTAAAAAACGGTGAAGTGGAGGAAATTCTTTCATATTTCTGACTTCATTTTTCTTTTGATTCATTTGACTTCATTTGATCTCTTGACCCAGCCTATCACACAGAATTGAAAAGATAGGTCTGTCCTGGACAGACATAAAGAATCACACTGAAATTCCCCACAACGGATTCGCGTGTTTCTGATCTCGGGTTTTGAAATACGTTGATTTGTAAAGAGAGTGAAAGAATGACGAATTATGGAATATTTTCCAAGTATCCAATAGTGGCTAACAATGGCTGACAATAAGCGACAATACTTACTTGTTATATACAATACCCTTACTCGTTTCAATGTTAATCATAAAGCAAGTTTTATAAAGCGTTTGAAATCTTAAAATCAAGCTCACATAAAGTTTTCATTATTCGAAAGTCTTGAAATAACTTGAAAAAGCTAACCGGCCCACTACTAAATTTATGAAAACACGAGAATTGACATGAGAACTTGAGAATTTCCACGAAATCTGTCGATTTTTCCAGGAAATTCAGTGAATTTGCACTCATCTTTAATCTTTTTCGCTCATTCCATTAAAACGACGTATTTCAGTTGCCGTTCCTCGTTCTTTCCTTTAAATTCCTTTTCCAATTTTATAGCCAATAAAATTAGCACTCAATAGACACCTGAGATGATTTGGAAAAAGAGGAAAAGCCAAAGGGGAACAGACAACAGAAAATCTTGTGAAACGCAGTGAATTGGGGAGAGAATGTCTTTACAGAGTTGAAGTTGAATAAAAGCAACTGCTAGATACATATTACAAGAGTTGCATCTAGTACATCATCCAGTACACATACATCTAATGATCCATTACATTATGATGTAAAATTGTTCAGCAGCGAGTCCAAAACCGTGATGCAGCCGGTCCAGGCCGAGGCTCTCGTGCTTTGTCGATACTCTCAGTTGAATCATTGGAAGATCCGAAAAAACTAATGTCTATTTGGGATATGGAAAGAGGACCGAAAATTGAATATGGTAAGATTTAATAATAAAGAAAATGATTTATGAAGTAATCAAATACCGTATTCTCTCTAATAGTAGTGCGCACTACTATTTTTTCAACCCGCTCCTGGACCGCAATACTATTAGAGAGTGCACTACTATTAGAGAGAATACGGTAAAATAGTTTCTACTATAAAACACTTTTGTAAAGCAACCTTTCAGAAGAACCCGAATCTCGTGGATCGACGTTGAAAAATTTCATTTTGGATCATCGATGGAAGATCTTGATCTTTTTCATTTGTATTTTTATCTTTTGTGGATTAATGGTTGTGTTATTGAAAGAATTCTTTCATTCAATTTAAATAAATCTTTCATTCCTCTATTTTATGTACATTTCATACAGAAGCGGAAGACTCTTTTTTCTCTTCAAATCCCCATCTCTTTCCTTTCTAAATTGATGTCTCGATGCCTTTTTTTTTTTTCAATTTCCCTCACGCAAAGACTCCAAAATATTTCTGGTCTCTGCTTTTCTTTGTACTTTTCAAATATTGAAAGCTTCGTTTTTTTCACCTCGCCTTTGTCCATTTTTTTGAGAAGTCCATTTTTTTAGTATTATTTGTTCACTGTTCTCGAAATGTTCGACCTATTTGAAATCAAAATTTTGCTATATTTTTCTTTGTTTTCTTTTACGAGATCAACAGAATTCTACCCAATTCCAAAAATTGGAAACTCTCAGGCAAGCTATTAGGTTCATGCATAAGTCTTTTCGTTTTTTTCGTACTTCTGTTAAAAAGTAACAAATTCACCAATTAATCTATAGTTTGCTCTATAAAAAAAGTGTTTTTTTTGTTCAATTTGCATCTTTTTAAATGAATTTCGGTTGACTTTCAAGCAAATTCGAGAGTGAAAAACGCCTTTTTCGTAAAAATCTATAAAAAACTCTACGGAAAAATTGGCTGAATGAATTTCTCTGAAATTTTGGCGAAATATCAAACGTTTTTTTTCTCTATCTTTTATCTATTGACACGAAGATAGGTTTTCTTTAGCTAAGGTGTCTAAACCGCATCATCGAGTTAGCCCTTTTTGACTACCCGACTTCATACTCTCAAGAAAATCCAGGCATAAAATATTTTTAAACCCGTTTTAATGTTATTTTGCAGAAAAATAATCGGTTTTTCTAATGAAATCAACCGTAGTTTAATTGGTGCATTTGTTGGCTTGAAACGGCAGACGAAAAGGAACAAAAACACTTATGCATCAACCTATTATTTGGGTGTGGGGGATTTGCGAGCTTTTTAGCGATCCACATTCGATCATGAATACAATGCTCTGGAATGGACACTGTCAACACAAAATATCCCCACGACTACTCACTCACCTCCAAGAAAAAGGCATAAAAGTTTGAATAACTAACTATAAGCAACGATTATCCGCTATTGTTTTCTTTTTTTTGAAAGTATTTATCTTATAACTTTATCCCACAAGTGATTTCAGTTCGTCAAAGATCAACGAATGGATGAAGGAGTGGAAATTCTGGGGTGTTATACTTTTGCTTTGTATCACATTGATCATTTTGATGATTATTTGTATTCAATACCCACACAAATTTCGACCAGGCATCAGAAAAAGAAGACGAAGAAAAAGGGAATACAAAGAGACAGGTATTGGCTTCGGGAAATCGAGTAAATGAATTCGATATCCCAAGTTTAGCCACAAATCAAGAAGAAACTGTATAGAGGACTTCTTTCGACCCAAGATTGTTGTCGTACGCTCAATGGTAAGTCAAAAGTTTTTTTCGAGTAGATAACTATTATATTTGAGTGTTGGCATGAAAGCTCTCTATGTTTTTGAAGGATTCTTTCAAAAAGGAAGAAAAGTTTTTGTTTTTGAAGGAAGAAAAGGACAAAGGTCGACGAGACTGCGTTTTCCCCATTCTTGGAATTCTCCCTCCATTTGCCAGCTTCTCTGCCCCAAATAAGCTCTCTTCACCTCTCATTGCACATCCGAAGTAATTATAAGATCCGGTCTCACTTTTTCTTTCAAAAACCTTTTATAGGCTTTAAAATCTTGGACTAGTTTCAAATTTTGAACTTATTCATTTACCCTAGCATTTTTATGTCTAAAATTTCTTTTATTTTCTTTTTTATTCTGATCAGGTTGGCTAAAGCTTTGGAAGAGGATTTTCAGCCAAATTTGCGGGTTGTCCGGTTGGTTTTTCTTCATTTCAAAACATTTAAATTATCTGATGAACCTTAAAAGTTCAAAATCGCTAAAATGTAGGTTCATTTCCTTATTAACAAAAATCAAATCATTTATTGTTTGTTTAGATCTTACTATACGAAAACCTCAAGCTCAAGTAATTCATCAGATACTACGCAAAAAGTGATTGTATTGTTTCCTTTCGTGATACTCGCTAGTTGTCTTGCTTGTTTGGGAATTTATTGTCGATGTCGACAACTTCAAAGAAATGGACTTTGTCCTGATTATATGAGAAGTCGAAGGAATTCAGGTCGATTAAAATGATGTAGGGATATTGTAGACAGGAAAAGAAACAAGGAGCCATATTGGAACCATATTGGAACTGAAAACCAAGCTGGAATTGAATGCATCATTCATTTCAGAAGAACCTCGTGTTGTGTTTATCGTTATTGACAAGGATGAAAAGGATGAAATAATGAAAAGAAATGATTGCAGAGAAGTATGTAATTTCAACAGATTTCCTTCCAATAGAAAAAGATTATCTTTTGAACAAAATTTTCTTGCAACAAAATTTAGTTTACTCAAGATGAAACGTCAAAACGGTTGGCGAAAAGGATTAAGCATTTGAGATCATATCGGAGACAAAACAGCGAATTCAGCGATGAATTCAACATTTAAGTGTACTTGAACGAATCGCTACGGTTTTATGTCATAATAAAGTGTTTTTTTTTATTCTATTTATTCTTTTCAACAAACTTTATACTATTTTTTTTGTTCCAGACCCTAACTTTTATCGTTCCTGAAAAGAGAAACCATGTGTTTTTGGAAAACCCATTCACTCAAATCCCAATTTTGACTCTCGAAACTGAAAAAAATGCTCAAATCGTGAATTCAGCCCGAAAAGAGCAAAAAAAATTGTCAAGAAACTCGAAAAGAGTTCATTTTTGTTCAGATCGATGAGGAGAATCGGTTGTTTTTCTCAAAATCTCTCAAATTTCCTCGATATTTTCATTTACTTTTCGGTAAAGGACATAATAAAATGTATCCCTTTTGAGTTGTCTTTTTCTATAAATCTCCGAAATGTCCCTAATCTTTCCCCTTCCATTTCCCGCAAAACATTCCTTTCCCCAATGCTCCTTTTGCTTCTTTTTGCTACTCCACTCTACTTCTTTTTGCTACTTCTTTTTGCTACTCCAAGCAACTCCACACCAACAACAATACTAGCAAGTTTAAAGTCTCTTCTATTACTTTTACAACTTATCATATAAAACATATTTTATTTTATCTTTTGTGAAAGTCCAGATAGTTTTTTCTCTTTACTATATTTGAGCTCAATTGAAATAATGTATGGATTTTTATTATAGTAAACTTTTAATATTGTTCAGTGCTAAAAGTTTAGTTACCTTTCTCCCTCAAACATTTCTTCAAAATCTAACAGTTCCAAAAGTTTTGATCATTTCTCCATGGCAAGTCATCAGTTATTGCCCGGAATGGAAAAGAAAACTAAAAAACTTTTTTAAATCTTTTAGTTTTTATTCTTTATGAAAGAAAACTGTTTGTAAATTTTTTTTTATGAGTCCCATTATTCAGTTGTAATTTTTGTCGTACATAAAAGCTTTCTAGATATCATTATGGTTGGACTTCTTACTTTTTAGAAAGAGATTTCTAAATAAGCACGTGTGGCTGACTGGTTAAGTGTCTTTAATCTTAATCGGAAAGTCGAGGGTTCGAACCCCACATGCGACATGGTCACCCCCTTCGGATTTCCTTTCCCTTCGGGTTGAGAGGTTTTCTGGAGGGCAGTCTGGTGGTTGTGGCCCCAGTTCTTTAAAGTGACAAGCCACTCCTTCATCGTCATCTTCCCTTCACCACCAAAAAAGCTATTTAGTTCCCCATTGAGCTTAGGGTTAGGGAGCCGTCTGTCATGACGTGGGTTAAGTTAAGATATAGCCTAGTATTGTGTGTGTCGTTGTATTGTGATTGATATATTTCGTGTATGCGATAAATTCACCACTGGTAGCCCCAGTCGGTATTTTTTTTTAAGCAAGACTTTAAAGTTTTACATTCATTCAAGTCGACTTTTAGGAAAATGAGGCGACTCTTGTGGGTCGTCTTGGTCTTGTTGTTATCACCCACAATTTGGACTCAACGAAGTCAATGGAATGTTCAGAATTATCCCAATCCCCAAGCTGGACAATTTAAGGTAAAACAAAGTTAAAGAAAAAATGGTTTTTTGATTATAAAACGAATAACAACTGACTAAAACTTGCTGATTTCAGGAATGTCAAATGATGTCTTCGGCGAGTATTTGCGATCCCGACAAAATGCTTACTCAAAGTGCAAGGTAAGCAAAAAGAGCGTCAAGAATAACGTGTGTTTTTATTTAAAACTTAGACTTATAAATTTGATAGCATCAATAATCATTTGGATCTCTTGCTTACCCCCATTTTCAGGTATCGTCTCAATAACGATCTTGGTCAATTGGAGGCAAAAACGAGACAGGTTTTGTTAACATTTTCTTACTGTAACTTATTGTAAAACATTCGGATACTAGTCAATATTTACTTATATATTTCTAAATCTTACAGGACAACGCAAAAACCTTTTGTGAAAAGAAAGGCATTACCGGAGCGATGGCCATCGCCGAAAGAGTTCAAGGAGGGAATTCATTGGAGGTAATGGCAAAAAAATATAATTCGCTCTAACTAGTAAACTGCTTTTTCTAGCTTTAAAATTCCTAAATTTCTATTCAGAACGTGAAACGGATGGCGAATGATCTGTTGCGCAAGTGGAGAATGGATGAACAATGTAAGGTGAGGAAAGAAAGGGAAAGAAAAGGGTATTTCAGTGAATACAATGCTAACAGTAAGTACGTTATTGCATATTATTAGGTTGATGCATAAGTCTTTTCGTTTTTTTCGTACTTCTGTTAAAAAGTAACAAATTCACCAATTAATCTATAGTTTGCTCTATAAAAAAAGTGTTTTTTTTGTTCAATTTGCATCTTTTAAAATGAATTTCGGTTGACTTTCAAGCAAATTCGAGAGTGAAAAACGCCTTTTTCGTAAAAATCTATAAAAAACTCTACGGAAAAATTGGCTGAATGAATTTCTCTGAAATTTTGGCGAAATATCAAACGTTTTTTTTCTCTATCTTTTATCTATTGACACGAAGATAGGTTTTCTTTAGCTAAGGTGTCTAAACCGCATCATCGAGTTAGCCCTTTTTGACTACCCGACTTCATACTCTCAAGAAAATCCAGGCATAAAATATTTTTAAACCCGTTTTAATGTTATTTTGCAGAAAAATAATTGGTTTTTCTAATGAAATCAACCGTAGTTTAATTCGTGCATTTGTTGGCTTGAAACGGCAGACGAAAAGGAACAAAAACACTTATGCATCAACCTATTATTTATAATCCATTTTTTTTTCAGAAATCGATTCTCATTCTCGTTTCACTTGAAGACAAGAATTTCTGGGTAGCTCGTGATGATAAAGTGCCCATTCTCGCAAAGGATTTCAACAATCTTTTCACTCAACAGGTTCGACATCAAAAATGCTATTGTAAATAAAAAATATTTTCTTGTTGTAAATACCCAGAGATCTCATTCATTTTTAGCAACAAAACCTCCGTCAGAAAAACTATCAAGCAGCATTGGAGAACATTTTGAAGGGTGGGTTAAGGTTACTCTCGTTGAATACAGCTATTTTTAACAATCTTGGTTACAATTGAATCCATTCCAGGTACCGAACAACTAGCCATTTCGATGCAAGGAACACCGCAATGGAAGGGAGGACCACCAAGTGGTGGCGGGGGAGGGTTCGTTTTTATATTTACTACAGTACAGCCTTGTAAAAGTTCTAAAATTTCTTTTGTTTACAAGACGATTTTCTGTTCAGAATGGGCGGCGGTAGTGGCCAGGGTGGCTTCGGCGGTGGAGGAAGCGGGGGAAAAGGGTCAGTGATTGATCGTAACTTTTTAAAAATCGCAAACCTTTTTAGTGGTTTCTCTGGAGGAGGTGGCAGTAGTGGTTTCAAGATGCCGGCATTCCTTTCCTCAAAAATCTTCTGGATTGTTCTCATTTGTGTTATCATTCCAACCCTTTTTTGCTGTTGTTGTATTTATTGTTGTTGTTGTCGAGGACGAGGTGGAGATGGAAATGGTGGAAATGTTGATCAAGGAGGACAAAATGGAGGTGGTGGAGGTAGGGGATAAGCAATGAAATGCACTTAGCACTTACCCAATCAGAAATTCGATACAAAAATAGTTCTAGGACTGTTTGGCGGCGGCGGTGGCGGTTTTATAAGAAACTTGGCGAGCTCTGGAATTGGAGCCATGATCGGAAATTGCATCTCGAATCGAATGAGAGGTGGAGGTGAGAACTAGTTTTTTTTGGACAAGGGAATTTAGAAGTTGTGTCTCAAAACAATTTACAGGTGGCGGTGGCGGTGGTGGCGGAGGAGGAGGAGGAGGAGGAGGTGGATATCAGGTTGGTGGAGAGTTTGAATCAATAAAGAATTTAAAAGAATTATCATAAATAAAGCTGCATAAACTTTTCAAGCATTAACAACTGTATCGTTTCAATTTCAGGGTGAAGGTGGCGGTGGTGGGAATTATCCAAGTTCTCCACCTCAACAATATTATGATGACAATCAGGGTGAAGGTGGAAAGGGATTATATCCATCGAAAGCTGTGAAAGATGAAGGTGGTGGAGGGTCATGGGCTTGAGAAGGATTGGGAAGATATTAGTTACCTTGTTTTTCGTGCACAACCCTTTTCATAACGTCTTTGTCTCTGCATAAGATCCAACTTGCAATATCCATATTTTTGTAGATTTAATATACATTTTCTCTATAAAAAAACTGTGCTTTTAAATGTGCATTTAAGCATATTTATAAAAACCTTTGCCTTTTTGAGCTTCTGGTGTGCAACTATTGTCCTTTTCAACCCTTATATTATTCTCTACAATCAATTTCCCCATCCTATCTCAGCTACCAAATTTCTGAGTGATCTGATGTCTTTTTTGCATTCTCTATATCTTTTTTCTATTGTTATCTTGCTTAATCTGAGTCTTGCCTTAAATGTTCCCAAATCTCAAGCAACGAATCGTTTTGTAGGCTTTGTTGATCAAATCAAATTCAGTTAATCAAATAAGCTTGTAAATAAAAGGTACAACTTCCACAAAACAAAATAGAAATGAATGCTAAACTTTAGGTGTATAAAAGAATAATTCTTACTGAATCCGTTTTGTTGTTTCTTAGTGTATCTCTTGAGGTTTCCAAAACAAACTTTTATTTTGCATATTGGTCAAAAGTAAAATTGCTGGTTGACTAAAGGTAAAGGAAAAAAAAGTGAAGTCAAAATGATTACAAAAAAAAATGAGTTTCGAGGTGATACAAATTTTTAAAAAAATAAAAAACCATACAAAATTTGCCTTAAACTTTTCGATCTATCACTTTTCGTTTTCACCAAAAGGAGAGGGTATTGCTGGGGGAATATTATGTACAAAAAATGGAAACATTTCGTCAAAAACCACAAAAAGCAAGCAAAATTAGCAGAAAATTCAGCAATGCAACAAAAATGAGAGAGGGGAAAACCCTCCAGATTTGACTAGTTCATTCAAAAAAGGGGAAGTCACGCAAATTGCACATAAACAACAAAAAAAATTCCTGTGAAAAATGATTAAAAATCGAATTTTTCCAGAAAACACAGCAAAGATACGGACGGTATGTACAATAAAAAACAAAAACAATATATCAAACACTAGGAAGTTTCCTGAGTAAAGGCGATTTTGATGGGGAAAGGGATAAAGGTTATTGGATTTGTTTGGCTTTTGATAAAGGAAGGTATTGTAATAAATATTGATGTGAAATCACAGAAAATTATCTCGAAAATGGATGAAGTAGTCATGAGTTGACAAGTTGGAGAAAAGTCCTACAAGAATTTCACTTTTAGTCCTTTTTGGGTGGATTTGGAGTTGAGGGACTCGAGGCGAGGAGCCGGTTTCGTTTCCTTTCAAGAGTACCACTGAAAATATTTTATCTGAATTATCATCGTAGTGTGCTTATTTCTATATTTTCCTATAGCTTTAAAATCAATATTTCTTACCGTAATTGCTCTTTTTCCTGTTTGAGTACATCTCGTACCAATCCGCGCACAATCGATTCAACCACTCGATCCTCCGATTCTTCACAAACATCTTCGACAATCGAGAATGCTCTGAAGAATTTTAGATTCATTTTATTGAGTTTATTGACTAAAAATTGAATTTATAATACTTAGACTGGTCTAATCAGGTCTAGTTTACGAGAGAAGAAAATCTCAGCTACAATACCTGTTCGGTGTTGTCGGTGTCGGTGTCATTGTGGTTTCTTTGATCTCCATCTTTTCTCCAAATGCCAATCTCATCAATTTCTCAGGATCAGGTCTTTCCATTGTTCCTCCTTGTAATAACAATGATTTCTTTCTTTCCACCACGGAGTTCTCTTCGTAAACCTAAAGTTTTATTGTTTATTGGTGAGAACTTTGCACAAAAGCTAGGGGCTTCCATGCGAACCCATCAATAAAACCAAGCAAAATTCCTTCTTTTTCATGCCTTGGCTCACAACGGCCTTACTAAAGATTGGATACCTCATCAAATTCTCGAAAAATCGTATCCAACTGAAAACTCGCAATTCGAGGATAATATAGACAAATACCATAACAACTTTCTCTTTCAAATTTGCTCACAAAAGCTTGCATTCAATTCATCAAAACTTACCACATAATTGACGAGATCTTGTACAACAGCTTTCACTTCATTTTCAATATCTTCTTGTCTTCTAATTGGTGTTGATGGAAGATCTTTTTCTGTATTATCAGACAGAAATCCTTGTGTTAATTTCTTCAGAAATGCTTCATTTAATGCTTCTCTTTCTTCATCACAATCGACCGATGTTCTCTCGTGAACTGGAGTGATCACACCTGAAAAGGGTATTCTTTGGCTTTATATTTATGTCCCTTTGCTTTTACTCACCAATTTTGTTATTATTGTTATTGAATGTCATTGTTGATCCACTTGTTGGCAAAGATGAAAGGGACGACGATTTTCCCTCCACCAAAGAAGTACCCGTTGATGGTGTTGAGGTGGTTGGCTGAAAGATCAAAGATTTATTTCAGCAATATTTTCTCAAAAAACCTTAAGTGTTGGTGCGAGATCAAAAGTGGATGTGGTGGGAGAAACGGAGAAACGACGAAGCTTTTTCACAACAGAACCACCAGATTGGGTGATTGTTGGTGAAGAGGAGCCGGGCAATGAGGGAAGAGAACCCCATTCGGCTGGAAATTACAGAATGAATGGTTGTTGACGTATGATTCGAGTCGTAATCGAAAAGCCATTTTCTTTGCTTACCTTTTTGTTGTTGTTGGTGTTGTAGAGCGGCGGTGACAAACGGGGCTTGTTGGCCCTTTTTGATCGTTCTTATCGAATCGCTGTGGGAATCTTCACCTAGAAGAAAGAAAAGTCTGCAAACATCTAGCAAAAAGTTCAACCTTCAGTAGTAGTTGTTAATTCTTGACCCGTTGTCGCCTCGTGTTGAGCTTTTTGTTTTGTTTTCCCGGTTTCATCAAGAGAATGAGTCGATCCCAACATTTCACGCAATCGTTCTTGGATCTGAAATTCTTGCATAAGAACTTTAGTTTCCATAATAACGATTTGAAACTAAAATCTAGCGAAATATTCTCCACTCACCATACTATCGGGATAATATTCTGCACAAGTGAGACTCGCACTTCTCGCCAATCGATTAATCCCTTTTGGTTTCGCGAATAGAGATGAATCAACTTAAATTCTTAAACTATTATACTTGTCCTATCATCGAAATCTACCAGATCCACTTCTGCAAATGTCTTCTGGGCCAAGGTCATCGTCTTCTTCTTGTTCTCCATCAACAAGACTCACTTCGGTTTGATTTTCCGGAGATCCCTCGGATTTTGTCTAAATTCACTTTGATTTTCATGATTAGTGCTTTTCTTTGACTAATTTGTTTTTACTGAATAAAGTGCTCTACCTGTTGCTCATCTTGTTTTGTCTGTTGTTCATTGATCACTTCATCCATTCCTCCATCAATATGCACAAAATCATCGTCTCCAGCCACTCCTCCTCCATTCTCATCATCATCTCTTTCATCACACGCTCTTGCTTCAATCCTTTCCACCGCCATTCTTTTGTTCTTCTCGCAGAAGTCCCGGATTTCGTCAAAGATGCGTCGAAAGTCGTCCTGATACGATCGAACCTGAGATCACAATGACAAGGAAAACTAAGCACTACTCAAGCTGACAAAACGATCGATCACTGACACACGCGGCCAAAGTGATAAAGAATTTGAAAGTTGAAATGAGTAATGAGATGTTACTTGTCAGAGTCTCTAGTAAGTTCTATTAAAGTTTCATTCACCTTCAGATCAATTCAAAGTAGCAAAAAGAAACTTGGGTTTAGGCGTGGCGTAAATACTATTAGGTTGATGCATAAGTGTTTTTGTTCCTTTTCGTCTGCCGTTTCAAGCCAACAAATGCACGAATTAAACTACGGTTGATTTCATTAGAAAAACCAATTATTTTTCTGCAAAATAACATTAAAACGGGTTTAAAAATATTTAATGCCTGGATTTTCTTGAGAGTATGAAGTCGGGTAGTCAAAAAGGGCTAACTCGATGATGCGGTTTAGACACCTTAGCTAAAGAAAACCTATCTTCGTGTCAATAGATAAAAGATAGAGAAAAAAAACGTTTGATATTTCGCCAAAATTTCAGAGAAATTCATTCAGCCAATTTTTCCGTAGAGTTTTTTATAGATTTTTACGAAAAAGGCGTTTTTCACTCTCGAATTTGCTTGAAAGTCAACCGAAATTCATTTAAAAAGATGCAAATTGAACAAAAAAACACTTTTTTTATAGAGCAAACTATAGATTAATTGGTGAATTTGTTACTTTTTAACAGAAGTACGAAAAAAACGAAAAGACTTATGCATCAACCTATTACTTCAAACAACTTGAGTTCTTTCTAAATTCCACTACCAATTCACTAACATATCCAATCACAAACATTCCCTCCATTCTCACCTTTGCACTTGTTGTCGTCGCCAATCTTTGATCCAAATTCAAAATGGTCAGTGTTTTGTTGTGTCTCATTGCCGAGTGTAAAGCCAATAAACCTAAAAGCTTTCTGTAAACTCAAGTCAGTGAGTGAAAGTAAAGATATCCAATCCTCACCAGCTGACGAGATTCCCGTATTATCCCTGAGATCAATTCGAATCATTGTCGTGTTGTCAGCCATACATTCAGCGATCATGATTGCACCTAATAAACAATACATTACCCTATGCATGCACTTTTCAAACTCACATTGATTATTCATCGATGTACTCTGCAATCCCATCCTTTGCAGACCACAATCGGGACTCAACAAAGCCGGTTTGAGATTCTGAATGCCCAATTCTCCCAAGTTATTGCTCCCAACATTCAGTGTTTCCAAGCGACGATTCACACACTGAATTGGGGTTAGAGATTTGAAGTTAGAACTAATTTCTTTACCAAAGCTCTTGCCATCGAATCCATGCATGCTCCAGTGATCCGATTGTTCCACAAAACTAATGCCTGCAAAGCGCTTCTCTTACACGTCTCACCATTCCTCAAAGCGTCGCAAATGTGACGAACACCCGCATCCTGAAAACAATATAATACCATTTGTACTTCTTTTGCTTTCTCCTATATAAATGCGATCGAATCTTACATGCAATTCATTATTCCTGAGATCGAGTGTAGTAAGACCCGTATTTGAGACGATCAATTGATATAAATGAGCGCCATCGGTTTGTTGGAGATTGTTCTCACCGAGGTAGAGTTCCTGAAAATGAAATTGAAATCAATATGAATGTTAGATCTTAGATATCTTGTAGAATACAAACCTTAAGTGTGGTGTTTGTTTTGAGAGCACAAACAACCAATAGAAGATTCTTTCCGGCCAATCCGACATGTTCAAGATGAAGACAAGTGAGTGAGGGCGGAGGAGTGGCACGAAGAGTTCGACAAAGAGATGGGAGAGCCTGTAGATTGGGGAAATAAGGTGAATGATGTAAAGAAAGAAGGGCTTCTTTCTTACTGAATGATGATGGGCTTCTTTCTTACAAGAATCCTTTAAAATTATCTAAACAAACCTTATCAGACAGCGAGGTATATCGAAGATTGAGCAATTGAAGAGAAGGAGACTGAAAATGAGATGTGAATTTGATTGAGACTATATAAACTCACATTTCGAACGGCTTTAAATATGGCAGTCCATCCCCGTAAATTGATCTGTTTATTGAAAGAGAGATTGAGCTTCTGAGTCGAATCGTAGAACTCCAGCATTTCCGATAAAGAGATCACACACTAAAATAATATACTATACCGTTAGTACGTCGGTGTACTATTTTTTTCAACCTCCACAACCCTGACGTACTATTAGAGAGTGGAGTGCTAATAGAGTGAATACAAAAACTTACATCATCGTCTAGAAATGTGTATTCGAAATCGAGGCTCTCAAATTGGAGCCGTCGAAGAATCTGAAATGTTACTCAAAAATTCAAATGCTTTATTGTATTCTTATTGATTTTTTCTAATATTCGCAACTTGACTCACTTCTTCCAATGCTTCCATTTGTTGATGGGTCACTCGTTCACCTTTCAATGATAGCAATTCTTGTCGAAGTCCGGGTACCCGATGAAAACACTAAACATTAAAATAGTCAAATCTGATATTCAATGCCTACAAGCTTATTATAGCCATCTAAAAGAAAAATCTACCGTAATCTGTTTCAAAATTGGTGTGTTGGGAGTGGTTCCGAAATGGGCACAAGTCCGTGCATAAGAAGCAGCGATCTCTTCAAGGTTCGAAGTCTCTGAAAATAATTGTTATGTTAACCCTAAAGTAATATTTAACTTTTTTCCAGTCCCCATTTTTGAAAAACTTTCTAGGTCAGTAAAGCTTCACCCCGAGAAACTTTCAAACAAAATGAGGGTCTCTTGGGAAAATCTGGTTGAAAGGAGAAGGAGAAGGAAAGTGAAGGGGATATCACGCCTGGGGTTTGCTTTGCTTCCCTTTTAAAGTCGAGAGTTCACTAAAACAAATGTTTGTTAAAAATCAGTAAATAATGAATAAAACATTTGTTGCAAAGCTGATTTAAAGAAAACTTTTTGGGTATCTAAAAATGTTTTTAAAGATACTGTGAACTCTTTCTCACTGAGTCTACTCACTCATTTCCCTTGATGCCTCTATGAAAGTAATCAGTAGCACAGTCATTTGTTTCACTGTTTCTTTATAAACTTTAGTATCATGATACTTTTATGAACCCCTTGTGATATCTTTTGGAGCTTGAGATGTGGAGAAAATGGGACCAAAGGGGGGAAGTGGCACTGGTTGGGGAAGGGGAAGGGGGAGGGGAAGGAGAGGAGTCTCTGTTCAAGTAGAAGGGAGGGCATTCTTGGCAACCCTTCCTAACGATCTCCTCGATTTTCTCTTTTCGATCTTTGTGGATAGAGTTCGAATGTTTTTTTCTTCTCTTTTACTAAAAGAGAGGCCGATTTGGACCTTCTTTTTTCTTTTCCCCAGGGACATCTAAAGGAAGAAGATGGGGGGAAGAACAGAAGCTGGAAAAAAAGCTCGGACCAATCCCAACAATGACGTCATTCTTTATTCAGTTTTTCGGGGATTTTGATAGATTTAATAAGATTTGAATGTGTTTGGTCTATGTATGAAAACCTTTGAGTGGATCATCGATACCGATTGTAATGCCAATGGTGGTCATCTATTTGCTCTTCCCAGCTTCATCTCATTCAATACTTTTCTTCACAATCACTCATTTCTCGATTCCCACTTTTCCCCTTTTATATTCTCAATCCTTTTTTTCTTTTTTTCCTTTCCAAATTCACTTCTTCCGTTGTATGTGTTTGCGTATCAATTTCATTTCTCTCACACTATTGGCAAACAAATAAAAATGAAGCCCAAACCAACCAAAAAAAAAAGACGAAAAGAAATGATGATAGTCAAACGTGAAATCATCGCTCGTTTTTGGACTAGTTCACAATCAATATGCGCACTTGGCTTTATAATTAAGTTATGGCAAGAAATCTAAAGCAAAACCATATTAGTCATGATAGTAAAAGTTCCTCGTTGTAATCAGTATCAAGTGATGTGAGATGGATGGGTCAACTGACAAACTAATCGGAAAAAAAGGGATAGCCTAATCGGCTTTTATCTATCGATGGCCTTTAGGGGAGTTTTGGGAAAAGGGAGAGTGTTCTCAGTTTGGTTTTTCCAAAAAAACAACTTTATGGTCTCATTGCGAAAATAAGAACGGACGTTTTGCATCAAAGTTCTGAGTTTGCTTTACTATTTTCTAGGAATCAAATACGCAACAATACGCACCACAAGAACTTACTAAAATTGGATTGTTGTGACGATTGTGGTTCTTGATGATGTAGATCCAAGATTTGATGATGGAATTGATGAAAATGGTGATGTGGTGGATGAAAGGGAGATGTTGGGGCAGCATGCCATCCAGAGACAATCTTTTCTTCGGGTGGAAAATGGACAGATCGATTGTGAGAACATTTCGCTGAACGGGACTCGTTCTCTTCTGAAATTAAGACTTTACAAATGAAACGCTCTTTGAAGGTTCATAGCATTGATATCTAGTTCCTATCTAGCTATCTGGATATTCGACCTATTCAAGTACAGTCATTTATTTACTCTTTCCATCAAATTCCCGATTCAATCACATCTTCTCACTTCTCATATGAACAAGTTTCCCCCTTTTCTTCTTACATTTCCCCTCCCTCACTTACTGTTTACCAATGAGAGATCAGAAAAAGAATGAACAGACAAAAGATTTCGTTTTCTTTTACCTTTCTTTACTCTATGACAATTCTCAGAAATCGCGCTTTTTGCTTTTTTTTCCATTGCTGACTGACCCACACAAATTGTTGAGTTGAGAAAAGAAATGAGAGTAAAAGTGGGATGGTTTTGGCTCTCGAACGGTCACTTTTCTTTCTCTATTCGCTTTTTTGAAGCAAAAATTTGAGAAAATCTGGGTCAAACTATTCGTCGGAGATCAGAAAACAAAAACAGAAATAGTAAAAGTTACGTTTTCTAAAGGTGAGCTCATGTAGATGGATGATATGAACAACCCAAACCTATGTAATATTGGTATTCTTGAAAGTGGGCTAGCGGGGAAATTTGTTGTTCTTGTTGCTGATATTGTTTTAAAATTAGAAATCCAGACAAAAATAGTTTCCAGTGAACATCGGGAGGAATTATTTGCTTTTACGTAGTGGAGCGCAAAAATCGCGCTTTCCCTTTCCGTTTGTTTTTGTTCAGAAAATAGTAGCTAAGAAAAAATCGACCGCAAATTGGAACCAGATGTTAGTTTTGGACGTGAGAGAAAAAGAACCAAGATAAAATGGTTTAATTCTAAACTTTCTAATAGATTGTTTTTGAGTTATTTGTGATATTTTAAAAAATTTGAAGAACAAACTCACGCAATCGAAAAAGAAAACCAAATTTGAGTCGACGATCGAAAAAGTTGTGGATGTGAGTCAGGGAATCGAGCATTTTTGAGAAGTTCAATCAGAAAAGATTAATGAATAATTGGATGAAAAGAAATGGACACTGAAAGAATCATTTCAAAGGCATTCAATTCAAAAGGTAATGCAAATTCCAATAAAACATGTGGCAGATATGGGTTTGAAGTTGGTTTGAAGCAGAACAGGGGATTCTAGAAGAAACATTCAATAAATCATATCTAGTTAGAGAAAATGAATTGTCCGTAATAGACAAATCATTAAAAATGAAGAATAAAAAAGGATAAATACCCAGTAAATGTCAAATTTCACCCATTTCCTAAGCACCCAGCTAATTGGGATGGAAATCTAAACTCGTAAAAGACAGCCAAAGAAAGACGCAAAATTTCCCCTTGAGTCATCCGATAAAAAAGCCCATCCGCTTATTAGGAACGGGGAAAAACTTGCAAAAGGAAAAATTTTGAAATCAATTCGGGAAAAATACGAAAATCTTTGATTTATTTGAAGTTTGGATGTGTGAATTCTACCCCGAAAAATCCACGTCTGATCCCTTATCAAAATGGAAAAATATATGTCATCAAAGGGGTGGAAATGACGCCGGAATTTGCAGAAATCTCTGCAAAAAAAGTGATGCAAAATGATACTAGAAACAGTTTGAAATGAGAAAAATTGGCGAATCCACAGAGCAATTCAAGAGAGCAACAGATCGACATATCCAGTCAACAAAAGTCGACGCATTTTTGGATTGGATTTTAGCTCTAATTTTATCTCATTTTTCATTCCACTAATTCACTCAAAAGCATCATATTCTTTATCATCTTAAAAATGAAGAAATTCTTTGATCGACTAAAATGTCTGTCAGTCACCAGACTAATTTGTGACTTTGAAAAAAAAATAATCAAATCAACGCCAACAAAAAGCAGAAAAATATTTTCGGAAGCCCTGGTACAAATGAGATAAAAAGGGCAGAAAATAGGGAAAATGGGGTAAGGAAAAGCAAATGAATAGGCTAATAGGCGATAATACGGAAACTAGAACTGTCTAACTTAACTGTCTGGAAGATTTTGTTTTAGATCATGCAAAAATTGTGATCTGAGTGCAGCTTGCATTCATCTCTAACAGCATTTAAAAGGCTCTCTGCAGAAGAAAACAAACAAAGAGAAAAGTGAATATTTATGCTTTTGAAGTGACCAATAAAGCTATGTCTGAATTGGGTCTCTCTTTCACTTCATTTTGGGGTATTTGTAGGTGTGATTCGAAGGTGAAGAAATGGGAAAAGGAAAGGAAAACTGATAAGTGAATAGAAAAGAATATTGATAGAAATGGGAAAGGAAGGAAAAGCTTCGGATTTGATTTCTTCGAATTCCACCCTGCAGACACACAACCATGCAAATTTAGGGTTGACTGATAACTGATGAGGACGGGTTTTAGTTGTCTGTATCACCGATTAACACATATCCTCATTTAAGCTTAACTAATTTAAGTTTACGATGTAGTACTGGAATGAACAAAGAATGAAGCTCATTAAAATGCGAATTTGTCTGGTATGACCGTGAATAACATGATGACTTTTCATTTGAAGAGACTAACCCGTATCGGCTTTAAATTGAGCATTCAACTCATTGATCGATCGTCTTCGTTGAGGACCCGGAACATCTGAAAATGATTGTGCTTCTATTCGTTAGCTTATTTATTAATTTACTGTCTAATCTTCTAACTTACTATGATTTGGGTAATGAGTTGAGGCTGCTGATGGCGGTAAAGGAGCTGATGGAGAAGAAAGAAGAGATGGAGAACCTGACGTACCTTGAGGAGCCGTGTCACCCTGATACAATCCGAGGAGGTCCTGGAATTTGAGTTTATACATAGATTTAGAGTTTTACTTGATTAAAACTTGAATCTAACATTTTTACCCTAAAATCACCTGTAAGCCGGAGAAAAACTTCATTGACATGCTCGCAGCAGTGCTTGTTGATGGAGTGTTCGTTGTGGTTGTTGTTATTTGTTGTATATGCGATGATGTTCCTTCAAATTGTTCTTTCTCTTTTCTTTCTTCATTGACTACGTCCGTCACTCTCTCCGATTGTATGGAGGAGGAAGGCTGAGTGAAGGACTCGACCGCCTCCAGAGCTTCTCCTTTTCTCGCCACACACCTGAAACGATTATAAAGTAAGTAGATATTATTTGAAAGTCGTAGGACAGCATTGAGTGAAAGTATTGAGATTAGATTACACCAAAATAAAGCCGTCAGTATTTTCTTGCACAATTCCAGCCTAGATTCATCCAATTTATTTAATTCTGAACCTAGTTCACTCGTCAACAATCCGCAGTACCTCAAGGATGGTTTATGATTATAAGATAAATGTGTATAGGTTGTCAAACCTTGTTTATTCTAATCTCTATCTACATTATTTCCAATGTTTTTACCTTTTCTCCGTCTTCGCCTTTTCGTCTTTGTACTTGATTGGGTTTTGTCCCGTTCGGTGGTCGTCGAAGAGCTTTTCTTGCTCGTCGTCGTGGCTGAAGATTTGTGGGACGGGTTTGGGTCGTCCAAGGATAGCGACTAAAGGACTTATTCATTAAAACGAATCTTTCATATAAAAATTATGTAAACAAAATAAAATTTTGATGATTAAATGCATCAGAGAAGGGATAAACAAGAATTTCACACAAGAAACGGCCAATGAGCTCTGGTTCTCTTAATTGAATCAGCTTCGAATGTGCTCAAAAAAAAAATTAGATTTACTTAGGAAAATGGTATTGGTTTTAGTGTTAGAATTATACTTAAAACAATTCTAATTAGTGAAATGTACAAAAATGGTCTAATAGAATGGGAAAAAGTTGTCAATTAGTTCAATGTCAATAGAAAGGAATTTGTTAAAAAGCTTCTAAACAATTTTCTTAAAAAACCATAGGAAAACAAAAAAATATGAACAAAAATTGATAAATAGTAACTTTTGTTGATGGCGCCTGGATGGCTCATAGGGGATGGGTCGGTTCGGGTGAAGGGGGGAGGGTGGGGAGGGGTCCACCCGTGTGGTCCCCGATTCCCCTCCGACTCTCTCTTTTTCCTTCGATTCCCATCGAATCGCTTTTCTCCCTCACATATCGGCCCTTGTCGTCTGTCCCCTGCCCCCCTTTTCCACATATACGTGACGCATCCCTTGCAAGCGTCACGGTTTTCCCTTCACCCTCCCCATCTCTTTTGGTGGGCCTCCCCGAGGCCTTGAGAGGAGGCGTTCTCCCCTCCGTCCCCTTTCTTCCCCTTGGTCGTCCCCCAATCGATTCCCCTCCTTTCCCCGGGTCCTCTTCTCCTTCTTCTACTTGTCCCTTCTTCTCCTTGTTCCTCTTCTCCTTCTCTTCTTTCCCTCCACCCCATCACCATCATCTGCCCCTTCCTTCTTCTTCCTTTTTTCTTCTTTTTCTTCCCCTCTTCTCCCCCCGGGGTTTGGAAGGTCGATCCGACGGCGTCTTCCTATAACTGCTGCCTGCCCTAGCCTTCTCCCCTTCTCCACCACTATGTTCGTGTTTTCGGTATCGTTTTTTGGTTGAGTGACTGTTTTTGGGCACTCCTCACCCTGACTCGATACTTTCTCAGTCTACTTCTCCCTCATACCAATGCCGGCTCAATCGCATTCCTCTACATCTTTGCGCTACACTTTGCTACTTATCGTCGAGATTATTTTGATTTATTGTTGCTTCTCTGCGTAGACAATTGTTAGTTAAACACGTTTTTAGTAATCGAGCTCTAGTATCAGTAAAATATTATTATTTCGTCACCATCCTTATTTTGTTCTTTACGGTCATTCGTTTTCTTTTTCTCATTCTTCTTATCGGTTATTCTAATTTCTTCTTTGTTAACGTAAACGTTAGGCGTAAACAGTTTCAACCTTTTATAGTTCAATTAAAGTAGTAAACCATTCTCCCACTCCTACAATCTTAATGTTCTATTTTTAAATTGATGTTAACCTTTCTTGCTTTTATCAGCGTTTGTTGATACTTACAGTTTTATTCTAATTTCAATTCTATTACAGAAAATCAAAAAGATGTGGGCGCAGCGAGGGCGATAGCTGTGCGCCCTCAAACGCTGAGGAGAAGACAGTAACAAAAAAAAGAGAGAAAACGAGAATTGAGAAGAGAACAACAACAAGATGGCGATTCCCCGATTGAGGTGAGCGATTGGGATAGGTTGAGTAGAAGACACACGTCAGTTCGGAGCTTGAACAGGGCTTAAGATCACACTGACGATCTCACCATAGCACATGCTGATGATCTCAAATTGAAACAAAGATAGTAACACAAGGATCACCGTAGAAACAAGACGAATATTGAGATAAACGTCAAAGTTCTATAGTAGGCGAAACACTTGAATCAAGCATAGCACGTGGCTCACCGGGTGGTTCAGTGATTCAAGTGCTTTCTTAACTAAGATACTATATTTCTAGTTACTCTAGTCAACCTTCATAGTTTTATAACTATCAAATCTCTTTTTATTTCTCCAAATGTACTTGAATATCCCTTCTCAATGTATCGATTGTACTCGTGGGACCGAGCCACCAAAAATTTCCTCAATGAATGCCGAATCGATATTAGGGATTTAATAATGAAAATGCTTGACTGAAAGCTTATTATTACTTTTTTCAATTCAAGAATCATTTCAATTTTAGGGTAAACGCAGCATCGGAGGAGCGTCTCGTGCATCCAAATCACATCGTTTATCAGAGAATGGAACAATTAGTACAACAAATGTTGGATGCCGAAAGTGGAGTACCGATCAAAACTGTCAAAAGCTTTCTATCAAAGGTTTCATTTTTAAATTGCATTGAATAATTCAATATGTTCAAATGTTCATTTAACAAAATTTCCCCATTCCAGGTGCCATCAGTATTTACGGGTCAAGATCTCATTGCGTGGATCGTGAAGAATATGGAAATGAGTGATTTGGGTAAGGAAAATAAAGTCAAGAGAGAAAATATTATAATTATCAGATCGGAAGTTGTATTACCTTCATTATGAAAGTAATTTCAGAGCATATAACCAGTGATATTTTGAGTCAAATTCTAATTTGAGAGCGTATCCAGATTCTTGATCTTAATTGTCGACCCACAACAACACAGACACCACATTTTTGATCTGATACATCTATTTTTGAAACTAGAATAGCATGAACAATTTCCAGCTGATGCTCTTCATTTGGCTCATCTTGTCGCCTCTCATGGTTATCTCTTTCAAATCGACGATCATGTATTGACTGTGAAAAATGATGGGACATTTTATCGGTTTCAAACTCCATACTTTTGGCCGTCTAATTGCTGGGAACCCGAAAATACTGATTATGGTGAGTTGAACGTAAAAACATAATGAAAGAATAGATTGCTAAATAATGGTAGGTAAATGGACAGCTCTTTAACCATTTAAAGAACAAGAAAGACTTCCTATTATCACTACTTTTATCACTTTATCTCATCGTTTCAGCGGTCTACCTGTGTAAACGAACAATGCAAAACAAAGCGCATCTCGAATTGGAGGACTTTGAGGCTGAGAATCTTGCGAAATTGCAGAAAATGTTCTCCCGAAAATGGGAATTCGTCTTTATGCAAGCAGAGGCACAATACAAGTGGGTAAACTAAATAAATGAAGAGATATAACTAGGGAAAAAATTCAATTATAATAATAGTTCAATAATCTTGAACTCAAGCATCAGATGGTGCCAATAAAAAATGACGAATAGTTTTAGAGTTGACAAGAAAAGAGATCGCTTGGAACGGCAGATCCTCGATTCACAGGAGAGAGCCTTTTGGGATGTGCATCGACCGGTTCCTGGTTGTGTCAACACAACAGAGGTATGGATTTGCTATTCTAAAAAAACCGCATTATGTATGGTATGCTTTATATAAATTATAAGTTTAGGTGGATTTTCGAAAACTGTCTCGAAGTGGTCGACCAAAGTACAGTCAAGGAGGACATGCCGCATTGAATGCTGCCGTTTCTTCGGGTAAACAAACGAAAGGAAATTGTTGTTGTTTATTGCGAAAAGGAAATTCTTTGTCAAGCATTTGTAATTTCATTTTTCATTTCCAGGTTGTGGCCCATTCTCAACGTCAGCCGCTGTTGCTCATGCTTCTCAACCATCGACATCAAATGGGACAACGAGTGCTCAAACAACACAAGTACAACCATCAACTAGCGGGTTCGTTCTAATGAGAAATTAGATTCAATAAAGAATTCAAGCTTAAAATTAGACTTTGAGACAGAGATTTTAGTGCTTCAAGCGGTTCATTCCGTTCTTCAACATACAGTCACCGACCCGGTCTTCGTCGATGCACTCAAGTACAGGACACGTTGAAATTGGAGATCAATCAGCTGAATAGCCGATTATCGAAGAATGTATTGAGGACATCAAAAGTTGTGGAAAAGTGAGGAAGGGAAATCGTGTCAATAATACTGTGCATTTTCAGTTATCTTGGCTATTTTGAACATCGAAAAGTGTTCGATCCCTTCTTGACGGTTCTCGGTTCAGCCACTGATCCATTCAATTCACAGCCAAATCCCTGGATATCGGACACTGTCGACTTTTGGCAATATGATAAAATGTGAGAAATGATAAATTGCTTTACAAAAAGCTGCTAGTCTAATTTTGTTTTAAGATTTGAGTGATTTTTTGCCTGTTTAAAAGTGTATAAGTCAATTCAGTCAAAAAAAAAACTACAAGCATGATGCTATCTAGAGTGTGTTCCTCGCAAGTAATGCCTTTTTTTAAACGCACGCTTAGGAAAAATTACCGTACTTTTAGCGAAAATTATTGCAAAAAAAACGGCGCAAAAATCACGAGCGCCGCCTTATATACGACTCCTTTTAAAGAGAGTCAACGGTTCAAATGATTTAGTGGCAAATTCCCTTCAAATGTAAAGATATTCAATTTACTCGACGTGTAAAGAGGATTACTCGTAGTCACTCGACCAAAAACGCCGATTAATCGAGTAAAGATTATTCATGCAGATTTTACTTACTAGTAATTACTTACTCGCGAGGAATACCCTCTAATGCTATCAAGTTTTGCAAATTTTGCCACCTAATAGAAAATTTTTGTCAAGTACAATAAAAAGTAGTGATCATAAGACATTTATTCACTTAAACTTTAGCACTGGAGACATCTCGACAAGACGATTGAAGCTGTGGGAAGAATGTTTCGAGGAATTGTTGTGTGATCCGCTTGGACGGGAAACATTACAGAAATTCCTTGATAAAGAGTACTCCGGAGAGAATTTGCGTTTCTGGTGGGAGGTGAGTGGTTGGGAGGCGGTCACAATCATTCATCCAATATTTTAGGTTCAAAAGCTCCGCAAATGTAGCTGTCGAATGGTGCCTGTGTTGGTGACTGAAATATACAATGAATTCATTGATACAAATGCCACAAGTCCCGTCAATGTTGATTGCAAGGTTTGCAGGGGGAAAGAAAGTGGAACAGACAAGTACAAACCAACAGACAAATACCATACAAATATATGAATAAATTTACTTTATTTCATAGTGAAAACCTTCATTTTCAGGTGATGGATGTCACTGAGGAGAACCTGAAAAATCCCAATCGATGGAGTTTCGACGAGGCAGCGGTAAGTTTAAAGAGAGATTCATGAATGATCGAACCCTCTAAACAATAAACAAGAGTAATCCCAATGAAATGCACACTTTCCATTTCAGGATCACATCTTTTGTCTGATGAAAAACGATAGTTATCAACGCTTTCTCCGATCGGATATTTATCGAGATCTCGTCGCACAATCAAAGAAAAAGGTTAGCAAAGAAATAACCAGCCCTTCCCTCAACATTTCCATTCCACTATATATCACCTTCCCCTTCTCAATGCACGGCTTCTTCTTCCCCTAAAACGTTGCTTGGTTATAACATTTTAAGAATTTATTAAAAGATACGGATTCGAAAGATTCGCTAAGACAATTCAATTGTTGCAAACCAAGAAACGTGACTCTGAACCCGGTTGGAAATCTTCAGCTATATCTTTGGATGATTGATTATCTAGGTGTTCTACGAGAATACGCTCTATTAAATATTTCGTAGAATTCTTAGAGATCTTCGCTCAATAACAATCTAGCGTTAAACAAAAGATCTCCAATCATGTTCAATTTCACCTCGAAATCCCTCCGTTCACTTTCCCAATTTTGTTCTGTCGCTCCTCACTTCAACCTCTTTCAAAAGAGATCTCGAAAACAAACTGGTCAAAGACTTAAATAAAAGAAACTCCATTTTTGTCAATTTCCATCTAAATTTTGACCAGCTTGCTCTCATTTTCTGCCCTTTCCACCCTTTGTTGCCTTTGATTTTCACCACTTTCTGGCTGCCACCAAAAATCTCGGCTTTTAGTTTCATCAAGTAAAATAAACTCTCGATGGATTAGTTTTTGTTTAAATGGAATGGCGATTTTTTGGCGATTTTCTTTGACAGTTTCCCTTTTTTTTCTGATTTGCACCTTTAGATGACGGCTGGGGGGCTTAATGGGAATATGCCTACGAATCTTGTTTTGCAATTGTGATTTACCACACCGTGTGTTAGGTTTCATTCTTCTAGGCTTGAAGAGTTCTTTCGCAAAGATGTGTTCAGTTAAAAGAAGTATACGCAAAACGTGTAGGCAAAATAAGGGGTTGTCGTCTTTACAAAATTCGGGTACAGTTTCATAGATGAAAGTACTAACACTGAAAAGATAAATGACGATTTAAAAACGATAAGATAGATGGTTGAGATTGACTTTTATACACAATTTCAATGACCATAGTCTAGTCCTGCACACCATATTCCTTTCCACCTTAGACCTAAAGCCTACACGTTTTGCGCGCAGATTTAGAAATGTTTCCCAAGGAAGAAATCCGAAATTCAAACTGCAGAGTTCATTCGGCTCATTGCTCGGCCGCCGGGCGTCTCGTCGTCCATTCCGGGCGAAATCTCAGAACAACTCAACTCGTGGCTTGGGTGCTTCATCCGGTCCATCAACTTCTCATTCATGGAATGCTCTAGCTTCTCTCACCTCCACATCTACACCAATCACTTCCACGCACACCCCATCATCGCCCCTCAGCCCCCTAGGTAGTCCGGCCATAGTGACAATGACAAAAGCTATCATGTGTATTCACATCACTTCTATTTTTTTGAACGATTCTCGTCTTTGCGCTCATTTTTCGTGTGTTTCGAGTAGTCATTGTGAAGCACTTTGGGTGTTTTGGAAAGGGTAATTAGCTAGCTGGAATAAAACTGAATCGAGTAAAATATTCAGCCAACTAGGTTACTTTCGTTGAAAAGCATTCAGTCTTGTTGTTGACTGAATTTGTTTCTTTTCCAGCCACTGCACTAAATATTAGGATGTATCTTTAGGAAGTAACCATTATAAAATTAATCTTAAATAGGCATCTAGCTACTTTTTGCGCTCCATATCTACAGTATTTGAGTTTCCTTTAAACATAAACATGGCTTCCATCCGAAACACCCAACCCCACCCACTCACTCATTCACATCAAACTGTCATGTTCTTGTTTCTTGTATTCTTGTCTCGTATACATATGACCAAGTCCATTGTTCCATTTTCCAAATTTGCATGTTACAATTTGCATGTTGTTCTGTCCTTTGCTTTGTCTGCACAAAACAAACAAATTCTTTTGGTTTTTTGCTTTTTTGAGAAACGAAACTCTGTGAGAGAAAGTTGAAACTGTAACCCGTTGACAAGATAAATTCAATTTTAGAGTAAATTCTTCAAATTTTCAGGCACCAGTGAAGATGTCCCGTGATATCGGCATCCGTTTCCCGAATTTACCCGGTTTCTCTGGTGGTCGAACATTACAAGTCGGTTCAGCCACTCCACAAACAGCACAAACTGGTGGATCTTCATCTTGTTCTCCAACAGCGACAACTGTTGGCATTTAGATTGCATTCTATAGTTTATACGGTACACTAGTCTTTTTGGAACGATTGAAGAGAGTTTTGTAAAGGAAAAGGTTCTTTCCAATCTAATTTACACTGATGATTGATCGAAAACTCTGTTCAATCAAACTCTCAAAAAATTTCGATGAGTTTTCAAGCAAAACGAGCTGTAACGAGCTGTAGCTGCATCCATTTTATAGTAAAACTCATCGAATTTCCCCAAAAAAACCCTTTTTTTCTACACGTCTCCTTTTTTGTTGTTGCCAAAATTGGCTCTCTCAGCTAAAAATATACCCAGCACACATAAATAAACGCGTATTTTCTTAAAAATCTTTTTTTTTCTCTACCCTACTTATTTTATGACCCTGAATTTGCATATTTCACCCTACCGTTCCCCCAATATTCACAGAGCTTTTTTTTGTCACCTGTAAACTCCTCTTTTATTATGTAATCAAATTAGAGAGATTTCTAGAAGTTGAGTTATTTTTTTTTTGAAGAGAAAAAAGAAAGGAAATTGGTTCTAGTCACGCCTTGGTCTTGTCTTTATTTTGTCTTTTTGTATTCCTTTTTTGTTTTCTTTTTTTGTGAATTCTTTAGTGATTTCCCCTTTGATTTCTCTCTTCACATTGTGCTTGCCCCGGTGTATGAAAAATTTTAGAGAAAAAAAAGAAACAGAGATTCCGTTCCCCCCAAAAAAAAAAAAAACATAAATGATACTCTGCTTGTTGATTTACACAGCTGAAATCTAGTTTTCATTCTTGAGATTTTGCTTTATTGGAAGAAAAGAAAGGTTTCATTTGATAAAGCCAAACTTGTCGTCCAATAAAACCGAAATTTCGAATCCCTTTTTCCGAATTCTGAAGAGTTTTGCAATTTGATACTTGAATCGACATAGTGTTCTGTGTCTTTGTGTTCTGATAAACGCGAGCACTCCGGCGCACTTAATTCTTCATTTACTAAAAAGGAATCAAGCATTTCCGCATTTTACACACAAAATTTCCGAAAAAAATTGCAAAATTGTTCTGAAATCCGAAAAGAAATCTCCAGCTTCACGTACAAATTCGACAAATGAATACAGTATTTCATCTAAAGCATTTTCCATTCAATCTTTTCCGCAATTCCGCATAAATTCTCAATTCTCTTTGATGTCCATCACCCTAATCTCCAATTTTTCTTTTTTTTGTATCGTACTGAAATAATTCTATTCATCTTTTTTTTTGTATTCAATATTTATTTTTCACAATATTTTTGTTTCGAGAAAAAAGGTCAAATTCTATGTTTTCCTGTTGGTTTTTTTGTGCTTTTGTATTGATTTTTCTCCCTTTTTCGTATATATTGATTCTCATCCATTTTTACATAATTTCTTTCTCAGTCTTTTCTCTTTTTGAGAAAAAATATGATTATGCTGTCTTTAATATTTATAAAAATTTCATAAAAAATCGAATCGGAAATTATACGATAAGAATTATACGATGAGAATTATACGATAAGAATTATACGATGAGAATTATACGATAAGAATTATACGATAAGAATTATACGATAAGAATTTCGCAGAGAAGAAGGAAAGACTGCTTCAGTAAGGCATCTCGAAAGTGAAAGATAAAGCTGAGATCGATGATCGATTTGTATAGAAATACATTTTAATTATGAGAAAATTTGTAGATGATTCAGGGGAAAAGCTATCGTAACGAAAAAAGAAAAGAATAATATCACCGGACATGGCAAAAAGATCAAGGAGGATGTCCCATTGGTGGTTAATTTCAAAGGAATGATAAAGAGAATTGTAAGTAATATAAAACTACTGGCGGTGGGACCTTTTTTGCTGGAAAAGCCCTTAGGAAAAACCGTAGAGCTTCAAAAATGTTTTCCTATAAGGGAATCATATGCCTAAATTCCGAATTTCGACAAATCAGACCTCGCTGACATGTCAAATTTGGGCTAAAAGGCAAAAACTACGCAACTTAACGCTTCTCCGCATCTACGCATACGATTCCCATACGTAAAAACATTTTTGAAGCTCATTAAGGCTAAAAAAGGTCGCATTTGTCCCACCCTCAAAACTACTAATAATATCTAGGATTATATACAAATATTGTATCCACAAAGCGTCGGACAACACAATCGAACGGGAGCTGAATGACAATGACTGTCCTCCCGACACCTGAAGTGAGAAAGAAATCATCACGAATTAGTATTGGGTTTCGTAATAGTATGAAATAATTGGAGTATGAAATGGCGGGACCTCCGGAAGAACTTTTCAAAAAAACACGCACCATAACTTTTTCTCAATTTTTTTCTCTAATAACAATTGAAGTTTTGTTGTTTATACGCCAAAATTTCATCTCGATCTGATGCAGAGTTTTTGAGAAATGGGGATGGATTTGCCAAAGGTCGCTCTTTGACTACCACTTAGCGTGACGATGTTTGTAACAAAAATAATCGACTAGCATCCAGTTAAAACAGCTACTTTATAAGATAATAAATCAAGTTCGATAATAAAAATTGACGATTGAAAAGAGACGTGTCTGAGTCCTGGGAATGGTATCCACAAAAATATCTCATATTCTCAAAAAGTGACAAGTTCTTATTCGAAAATTTTTGCTCAAAGAAAATTTGAATTTTATATTTATTTTGATTAGCCAGCTTGCACAAACATATTGGCTCAAACGGTTTTTGAATCTAGCAAGTTGTTGCAAATTTTTAGCGTCTTGATGTTTAGGGAAAATTAGACAAAAATCAACTTTTTAACACATTCTCTCTCATTTCCCAAAAACAAAAACAAAAACAAAAACTGTTACAAACATCGTCACGCTAAGTGGTAGTCAAAGAGCGACCTTTGGCAAATCCATCCCCATTTCTCAAAAACTCTGCATCAGATCGGGATGAAATTTTGAAATATAATCAACAAAACTTCAATTGTTATTAGAGAAAAAATTGAGAAAGAGTTATGGTTTAGTTTTTTTCAAAAGCTCTTCCGAAGATGTCTTCATTTCATACTCTCTGACCCAATAGTTACCTTTGAAAAGGTAACTTTTGAAGTATAGGAAGACTACCTTATATACAATGTTAGCAATGAATGATACAAACCATGTAACGGGAGCTGATGCTTTGCAGGTGACATTCATTAACGTCGGACCAGGGCACGCTGCCACAATTTGAGCCTGTCTAAGATTTTCGTAAATATTTATATAGAAAAAGTTAATAGAGTTAAGTAAACCAAGCCATACTAAAACCTACAACTTGTTAAAACTACAAGAATTTACAAAGAGATTGTGTACTGACAAGTTGTGAGCTTTTAGCCTTCAAATGAATTTGTTCTTTGATTGACTCACTTGCTCCATGGACTGCAACAATAGCCAGTCTTCTGAACGCACATCTGTCCACTCTCACAGATACGAGAATCACGACAATATCTACAAAAAAAATAAATAAATTTGAAATTGAATCAAAATATGGTTTGTGCTTAAACCTATTGAAGTACATTTATCATTTGGATTGAGTTGTGGAGAAAAATAAGTACACGGATGGAGAGGGGAGTTGAGAACAAAAGGTACACTCCAACGGGGATGTACTTATCGAACAAAAAAATGGGAAAAGGGGAAAGGGAAACGAGAAAGAAGTGATTAAAAGAGTCTTTGATGTCATTTTGCTTCTCAATTTTTTGATCAAATTTTGATCAAAACAACAACTCCAAAGGATTCTGTTTCATTGAACTTTTTTCATGATCAGAGAAACGATCGAAGCCTCTCTTTTGATGTGTTTTCACGTATTTTCGAAATCGGATCATTTGTCAAACGGGCCGAAGTGCAACTTTTCATTCGGAATTAATCACAAAAGATGAGGGTTTATACTTGAAAACACAAGATTCGTACCCTAATATCACAAATTTGAGAGTGGGAACATGCGAATTGTACCTGAAGATCGCGAAAAAGAACCCCGCAATGAACCTCGATATGGGGTACATCTCTCGATCTCTCCTTTTTGTGTCTTATATCAATCCAAGAGAAATAAGTACAAAAAGCGCATGCAGAATTTGAAAAACAATACTTTTGCAAGAGAGATAACTAGTCAGCACCCTGGGATAAGTCGAAAGTACCGCACGAAAGCGGGTACATTTCCCGTTTTTATACTCTATCTGTGAATGAAAACTCAAGCTCTCGAAAAGTTTTTTGTATGAAGAAGTTCAAAAATATTCTTCCACACTACAGCAAGTCAGTTATTTTATACTTTAAAGAAATGCTGAAGTACCCCAGAAATCGAGTAACAAACTGAGACATTGTGCAAGAAATTAGATAGATAAATTGTTTCGCCTGTGAGCGGATTGTACATAGGCTTCAGTGTAAATATGTTCTCAAGAAAGAGAGTTCAAAAGTGTACATAAAAGTCCCCCAGTTGTACCTAAGTACATTTCTATTCTAGTTGTAAGTACACTCATCCCCAATATTGATATGAACATAAGTACACGGAAAATATGTGCACACCTCGAAAATTCTTTTCTTTCTATTTTTCATCGCTTTCCTTTTTCCCAAAAGTGTAGATCTCTTTGCCCTTTTCCCCCATTTTCCCAAATCTTGTTGGGTGCATTTGAAGTCACGCCCATTTTTGTTCTTTGAAAGAATTTAAGTAAACTAAAGTCGAGTGTAAACGAGAGATCTCTGACTTCAAAAGAAATCTAAAGAAAAATAGTTAGTTATCGTAGATCACAAGTTATAAACAACTTTTAAAGCTCTGGCTTATACTTTTACATTCAATTCTCTTTATCAATAAGTATGTATTGGAAAGAAGTACACAATCTCAACAATAACCAATAATTTCGTACTTATTTACGCTGTACTTGGGTACTCGATGGATAAGTACGAAATGAAAGAAGTACTCAAAGAATTGAGAGAGCAAGTCCACGCCCATTTTTGTTCTCTTTGATGGACGAGTAGAGAAATATGAGCACAAGTTCCCTGTATTTTGTGGTTTTCGCTAGATTTTAGACTGTATTGGGTGTTCGAAGTACAAAGTATTCAAAGGATTGACCACAAAATCAAATTTAAACAAGAGACATGATGTGAATTGAACTTTTCCCCCTACAAACTAGTCATCCAGTCACTTCTCTTGTCAGTCTTCCCTCACTAAACTCTCACTAAACTTCTCTCATTAAACTTTGTACTACGAGTACGAAGTCGGCCCAACTACGAGACAAAACCTCTTTTTACCTCTTTTTGTTTTCTAAAATCGGGGATGACTAAAGTAAATGAGGAGTGATGATATTTGGGAAAAGTCCTTTTTCTCTCAACTGTAGTTTTAGTTTGATTTGACTCTTTAAGCGCTGCGCACTTTGGTGACCATGTATACTGTTGGCACAGAGTACAGGAGATCCAAAGAACTCAAATCAAACGAGAACTAGAGTTGAGTTGGTCGAGAAAAGGCTTTCAATCCATAAAAGGGGAGCAGAGGAACAAACGAGAAAAGTTTACGAAGTACGCAAAAGTAAAAAAGAAAGGAAATAAAAAGTATGGAAAAATGTGATTGCGAGAGTATTTGGTCATTGATTCACTGTTATTTGTAGAAATGGCAACAAAATACGTTAGTCTTTTGTCCTTCACATGTGGTTCTAAACCAATATGAAAGGCACTCTTGCTTGAATCTTTTTATGAGTGTTTTCCAGCAACTTTTTTTAAGTCAGGGCAAAAATCTTAAAAAATACCTGTTAGTTTTTTTTATGAAAGGCGTGGTCAAATGAGAAAGCCATTCATAGGATTCAGAAAGTACCCGGTGAATAAAAAAAGAGAAAGATAAGTACGAAAGAGATTCAAAAAGTACGAATGAGTACAAAGAGTACGAAACTGAAAAAGAAAGAACGAAAAGGACGATTGGGAATGAGTCTTTTCTGTTTGCAGGGTTGAGAGATTTCTCCTCTATACACGTTAGTGAATCACGTCTTAAAAGTGTACTTGCTCTTTACCCCTTCAAATACTATGAGCTTGGATCATTTTCAAACATGATATAGTAATTCAAGAATTTAGTCACTATATCTGATATTTCCTTTACAAAGAACGCACAGGTAAACCGAGAGTCTTTCATAAAGTAAAAGGTGTACTTATGTACGCGTTCATTTCAATCAAAATATCGAAAACAATTCAATTTCCCGTATCTCTATACCCCCTTCCAACTGTACTGTCCATAAGTACACTTTGCATCTATCTATGTGCATATGTACACGAATGGAAAGTACAAGCAAGTACAAATCCTCGAGGTACACCCGGGTGCATTGTGGCACTCTGTGATTGCTTTTAGCCACGCCCACTTTTTGAACTTTCGGCAAAGGCAGAAAATATTGCGATAAGAGAACTGCTTTGAAAAGGATTTTTATTTTTCAGTTATCTCGAATTCAAGGTTTTTGGTTTTGGTTTAACCAATTCATAACTTTATATGTTAAGCCTTTAATATTTAATATTAATATTTCTCACCCAAATCTTCCCCAACATTCATCCAATCCATAATTTTTCTTCGGTTTCCAAAATTGAATCGACGGTCGACGGGTGGTTGGTTGAGGCTGGAATTTGAGAGGGAAATCGATTGGTTTAATTAAACTTTGCAGATCAAACCGCTATACCACTAATAGCAAGCTTGCTGAAGATAATAAACTAAACTTTGGCATACTCTCCAAACTTTACTCACCGTAGTCGTTCGAACGAAAGGAAACGGTGTAGTGTAATATTCGTGTCCATCCTCTTCCGATTCCTCATATGATTCTGAAGATTATGAGGATTTTAGTGTCAATTTCTATATAGAGAGATCGCATGCTAGGTTTTAGAGCATTCTAAAGTTAACAAAATAGAGACCATTCTGGGAAACTAAAAGAATTCCGAAAAATCATTCATTCCTTTATTCTGATCAACTCTAAATTCTTTCTACTCACGCCTCCATCGTCTCATCACTTGTTGTAAATGTTGCTCTGAAATGGAAAAACCAAATTTCAATTTCTTTGTAATTCATACAATTTTAGTGATCTCGTAATCTTTTGAATTTAAAAACATCCCTAACTGATACCCGAAATGACAGCTTTAGAGAAGACCTTCCATGAATGAAAAGCCAAGAAAATGAAATAATCTCATTCATTTCGCTGTGTTTTCTTTTGAAATTTACCCTTTCTTCTTGCCAATCTCAATCGACTTTCCGTTACTCCATAGCATTCAGGACGAGTGTGTTCACGTTTGAGAAGACGAAAATAATGACACCAATCAAGAGATGAAGAAATTGATGGAATGCTCAAAGAAATTAATAGAAATAGATGAATAAAAAGGAAATGGAATGGGAAATGATTGAGATGGAGATGCATTCAGTGATGGGCTGAAATTTATGTTTCGTTGGTTGAAATGTGAATAAACAATAACAAAACAAGGAATCACATTCAAGAACATCGACAATTGTTTAAGAGAATTAATCAATTCAAGTAAATAGATCAAACACTTGTTCGGCTAGAATCGGCTTCCAGACCAAATCAAACAAATTGTGAGGTCAATGGTGAGAAAAAACGGGGAAACGGACAAAAGTGAGTGTGTTTAAAGAGTTTTTTCACTTAGAAGATGGGGCTTTTCCCCCAAATTGGGAATGGGCCAATGATGAGAACCGATTTCGGGTAAACAGTGTGGAAAAAAGAGGAGGGAAAAGGGGGAAGACTGGATTGATGAAAAAAGAAGTTGAGGCAAAGGGATAAGCCATACGTAGAAGGAAATGAAAGGAATGGGGTGGCTATGATGGGTGAAACTGTTGGCCTTGCTTTGGGGTAAGTTTGAGAATCCCAAGTAAATGCAAATCGAATTATACGATCGAGATCAAAGAAGCCAGACTCCAAAAAGGTTCAATGAGATTTAACTCTGAAATTTCACCCATAATCAGGATAATTTCCAAATGCCAATCATTCCAGGTTTCGTCTACAACATCAATAGAAAGGATGCATGAGTTGGCGCGGAAAAGATTCGCGGAAACAAACAACATCCACCAATTCTCCCCCTTCCCCTCTCATGTTTTCATTGGACTCCGATCGACAAGCTCATCCCAAAACAATTCCCCTTTCCCCCTTTCTTTCTTTCTTTCTTTCTTTTTTGTTTTCTTGTGTGAATCCAGAACTACTTGAGTGCCCCGTCCGATTATTTTCATTCACATCGAATCAAATGCAAAGCAAAGAAAGAATGGCGAAGAATGTTTTTTCAAGTGTGCCATATTAGATTTTTCTGGGCTCATCTCCACAAAATTCAGCTTGCCGTAAGAAATAGCTTACTTTAGTTATCTACCAGTTTATCGGGACGTCATATTCCATTTCTTACCTCACCAGTTTTCCTTATTTGTTTGTTTTTAAGCTCAACACAGATTTCCCTTTTTCTCCTTTATGGCCGTTCGGAAAGTGATTAGTGACGAGCCTGGCCATAGACCATCGTGATAATCACAAGAAAGAAATCTAATCGCATAAAAGTGACTTTGGCTGACTAAAAGAAGCTCGGTCTCTGAACGTTGATCAAGAAAACAAAACTGGCAGGCTTGAATAGAACCAAGACAGAAGGTTTCGCTTTCAAAGCGTAAACGAAGTTGAGGAATCGGACAAGACGGATTAAAATGATATGTGAAGGCGTGTTTTGACAAAGAATGCTAATTGCTGGGTGCATTACGGGGAAGCAAAACTGTGAATAGATGGCGGAATGCGATGGATTCTTGAGGGAAAGAACGGGTGGAGGAAAAGGAATCTCTTCTCGATTCCCTTCGGATTGACATCTCCCGTGGTTGTCAACGCCGAAACACGCCATGGTGTTTCCACGCAGAGCCTGAACGTGAGATAAAAATGGATTTCCGTTTCTTTTCGATGGCAAAACCCAACTAGACTAGACGCGAGTTGTGGATGGAATTCCTTTTTGGACATTTGCTTGGTTTTGGTTTATAGATATAGATCATTAGTCTCAAATGATTGGAAAATGATGTTCGAAGATACAATACACCTTTTATTTATTATAAATTTTACAAGTATCACTGCTAAACCGAGTGAAGAAAAGCAAAACAAGTGATCTCTCCATTGCCGGCCTCACAAAAGAGTTGAGTGTTGGCCAAGTAAGAAAAATCATTTTGAGAACAGATCACATCAAATAGACCTGAAAAAATGACTGTATAATTTGCAATAAATAGACTGCTGGTTGACAAAAATCAAGACTGACAATCACACAAACGATCGTTCACCTCCAATCAGATTGGTGGCCGCTTTTTGGACCTTCCTCTTCGATGTCGATGGATTTGTGTCGATGTTCTGGGTTTAATAAATCTATTACTCTCGCTAGATAGGTTGCTGTTCTGATAGCCAAATTCTAAAGATTGGTCAACCTACCTCCAAAATAATCATCCTCAATCTTTCATCATTACATTTCGATGAAATGAATCTCTCTTCTTTTCTTTCTTCCACTTGTGTCAATCTTTTCATTTCAATATTCTTCAATCCCATCTCAAAACTGTCTTTAATTTTCGGGATTTCCACCAAATTCTCTTCCAATTTCTGTTCCGATTTGCGAATATCTCCTACAATTCTTCTATCAAGTTTCTGTAAAACCTCCAACTTTTCCCAAATTCGATCAAACTTTGCTCAGCGTCTTTCTCGGCGAATTCGTAGTCTAACTAAATAAAAACCATTAGTTATTGAACTAAAAGACACTATTGTCTTGTACCTGTGCATACTGTTCTGGTGGATATGTAGTACTTGATGGGTTTTGTGCCAGAATCTCTACTTGATTCTGCATCAGATAAACTGGTTGCTGGTTTATTTCTAAAAGATGTTTTCAGCAGCAATAGCAACAGCAACCTTTAACAGTACTCGATTGTAGAAGTGGTACAGGTGACATAAGTGTCCCAGGTGTTACTGTTAGAACCTGAGGTTGTTGTGCTGGCTGAGAGCTCCCAAAGTTGACCGTGCTGTTATTATTGTTGTTGCTATTGTTCTCTTAAATAAATCTGTTACCCAAATTTTTTAATAAGAGAAATGTTACCATAGCAATTTGATGATGTAGTTATCTTTTGTTCACAATTTGAAGATGTGCTTGATTGAGGCATTGGAGTTGGAGCAACGTAGAAAAAAGATGGTAATGTCAATGACCGAAATGATCTCTTTTATTGGGTTTTTATTGGAAATTTTTGTAAATTCTTATTGTGTATGTATTCTATTATCAAATATTGTACTTACATGTGCAGCCGCATGCAATGGAAGAGTGGGAAATGGAGGAAATGAATGGGAAGGAAGAGCGGGTAACGTGAATGGAATACCCACAATACCATTGGGACATCTTGATGAACAGAATACTGGAATACGATATTAAGACAGCACAATAAATTGTGGTTCTGGAAGAGAGGAAAGGGTTACTTACATCCCGCACATGTACATCCATCATGTCGTGTTGCAATCATTGTGGTGAACAAGGAATAAAGAAACAAAAATCTCAACATTTTTAAAATTCCAATACTTTTCGAAATCCCACCAATAAATGTGAGATTTCGAGGAGTCATTCACAACCAGATCGGCCCCCATTCAATTCAAAATTATAGAGGTGAAAAGGTTCGGGAAAGGTGGGAAAACATAAGAAACGAGAAAGAAATGGGCACATCAATGAGGAAAACTAGATCAATTCTCAAATGATTGGACCGAGTTTTACCAGTTCTTGTAAGCCTGTTCATCGCCCTGGAAGGGAAGCAAATTTCACATCCTCAAATTCTTTAACACCACTAAAGCAACAAGCAACCAGTTTGATTTTGCACAAAAAGTCTTGTTTTTTCTAATGAAACCAATTTGTAGACACGTTCCAAAAAAACTTTATTTATTTACCAAACTTTATTTAACACTAAAACAAAAATGGAAAAATCATCAAAAATTTAGTAAAACGTAAAACAAATTGAGCGACGTATCACAATTTCGAGGCAATTTTCTGGAAATTTAAAGAAACATAAAAATAATCCTGAATGTAAAACTTGAGTTTTAAACTATGTAGGAAAATGCAAAAGAATCGAAAAAGTTATGGCACCGAGAGCTTACAAAAATAAGGAAAAGGGTACACGAACTATCAAACTCAAGGTTGTAATTTTTACAGAAGCATAAAAATGTAAAATTTGAAAAAAGAAAGTAGCAAAATGCTAGCTTGTTGCGCAAAAGTTAAACAAAATGCCTACTCTATTGTTGTTTTTTCGCACGTTTCGTCGCCATCCGCTCAGCCGCCTCGGGAGTAATCTTGTCGTAGGCCTAAATAAAAAGTTTTGCAGAAAAGATGATGCAGTGTATAAAAAATTGCTTAAGAGAGTTGACACCGTTGTAGATTATTTTCTATGACTTTTTCTTCGAATCCGTTCCAGGTTAATTTTTATAAATAGAAAATTCTCTTACCTTAAGCATATCATTCCGTACCCGTTCACACAAATCGTTCACGTCGTCAAGTGATAACTAAAGCAATCTACTATATATAAAAGACAAGTGTCTGTCTGTCCGTCCGTCACACGCACTTTTCTTAGTTAGCACCTAGGTTGAATTTCCGAGTACGCTTTTTTGTTAGATAGATAAAGTTCTGCTGACGCTGCCCTCAAAAAAATGAAAGAATTTAATCGCGTACTTTTTTTAAAAAGTTAAAAAAACTGCTAAGCCACGTTCCTTTTTTGCCTCAGTGTTCTATGGAAGGGAGGGCATGGCCAGTGGTTAGCGTCGCATCTCCAAAATGATCGCCCTAAGGGGTATCAGGTTCGATTACCGTCCACTCCAAACTTTTTACTGCTCTTAATGTTTCCAAGCATGGAGCTGTAATATGCAAATTTGATTTGCCTCATGGTATTGATAAGGTATTGTTACAGGGATCTCGGAGGGGACTCAGTATAGATGTAGGCATTGCTTTGGAGGGTATCAGGATTTGGTCTTGATATTGCTTTGAAGGATTAAGGGACAGATCCCAATATTGTTGTAGGGTTCTTGGAGGGGGCGCCCTTTAACTCGAGAGATCAAACTATGCGTCAGTGCCAAAACATCTAGCCAGAAAAACCTGCCGTTAGGCGGGTTTTTCGGCTGGTAAATTAATCAAACAGTTAGTCCCCCAATGGTAAGTACTCACTCCTTGCGTTTCGACTGCTGGCAACACTTGAATAATAACTTCACCGTCGGAATGGAAATATCTAAAAGCGCTGAAGTTTTATCTTTAAACAAATCATTTTACGAGAAAAAATCCTAAACCCACTTGTCTTTCTTCGAATAAAACGGTGAATAGTTGCTGCAAACAATCGGTACGATTGGAACTTGAGCCTACAACAAAATCATAAAACTGATCAATTTTAGCTTTCTACCTTTACAGCAATATTAAAGGCTCCTTTTTTAAAGGGCAACATTCCTTGATCTCGATATCGGGTACCTTCAGGAAAAACCCACACCTAAACAACGCTACTAATATTACCCTATAGTATTAGTTTGTCAAAGTGTACAATTTCGACTACTATAATTGTGTCGAAGTGTATAATTTTGACTGGAGTATAAGTTCTTTCCATCATCTAACCTTTAGCTTTCTTTCGAGAACCAATTTCGAGCAATATTCGACTTGTTCCAAAGCTTTCTCCCGATTAAAACGGTCAATGTAAATGGAGCGGGCCTAAATTATTATTAAATTTTGTTAATATACTGAAGACAGTAATTTGTTTTAAAACAAGTAAACAAATTTTAAATACAACTTACCAACCATGAAGTGATATTGAAAAATGGAATCCATTGAAGACTTTTCTTCATCATCACCGTTCCTCTTGGTGGAAATACGGCTGACATCGAGAAAACATCAATTGCTGACTAAAATTATGATATTCTACAAAAGAAGATGCCTTGCAAACCAAACCTGATGATTACAAACAACAATCGCCGGTCCCTTTAAATGTTCCAAATGTTTGTCAAAATCACGAACCTAAAAAACAGAAATTAAACAATAAATTTAAATTTATTTAAAGAACAAAGTAACTGCTTACCTCAACTCGAATTCCCGTCCACCAACACCAATAATAAAATGAGTAGAAAATCCAATAGGCTCCCTAAAATAAAAAAGATCTTTATATAAACTATTCAAAAGCTAATATTTTCAAAATTGATTTTATTAAACCTCTATCACTAATAGTCTCAAAACATACCCATCCCAAGAAGTAGAATGGAATCTGCGTCACACAACACTCCATGCCGTGTAAGAAGATACACAAGTAGAAGAACGTCACCCGAGAATAATAGCGAAATGACTGCGAGACTCTGTAGAGGAGAATGAAGGTGAGAAGGAGACTCGCTGAGATCAACAAACACGGGGAGCACTCGATCATCTTTCTATAAAAAAAAAGTGTAAAGCTCTTGAAAAACTTGTATTAAAACACCAAACAAAACAAGAAAAATTATTGCCAAATCCGATAAAGAGGCAATATTTCGAGATGTCAAAATTTTGCAAAGAACGAAAGGTGATCAAAACATGGGTAGGCCGGGGTGAAGAGGAAAAGAAAACAGCTGAGGGTCTCTCGCCATCGTTTCGATCTTTTTATTGATCGTCCCAAAGGGGGAAAAGGGGCCTTTCCAGGTCACGTGGGGATCATAAGATTTGCTGAAAGATGAAAAAAAGCGACCTTACTATTTCAAAAACCATTTCCTTTATCATTTTTTTTTCTCACGTCACACAGTCTCTGTAAAACTAGAAACGATCTTATTCCAAAAAAAAGGCAAAAACCAGGGAATTTCCAGCAAAAACCTATAAAATAAAAAGAAAACCTAGGCATTTTTGCAATGGGAAAACCAGTGCCGACTGCTTTGACAGGAAACAAATTGTCTCAAATAAGCTCTGAGAAAATGTCCTCGTGTGTAAAATGATAAGCGAAATTCCCGCTGCTGACTGAAGGATAGGAAAACCGATTACCGCGTCAAAATTTATTGTACTTTGGCTATTAAATGTATTTCGCTCGTGATTAACTTTACAAAGACATTGCGCGATATAACAAAGTCGAATATTTCTTTTGCTGTTTGGCACCAAAATCTTTATTCAACCCTTTTGTAAACAAAAAATACACGAGGCAATAGATAATAAATAAAATTCAAAGAAAACCCAACGAAAAGTGAACAAAACACAAAAACGAATAGTTCGGTAAAATATCACAGACCGACAAACAAACGTTTTAAATAACAAAAACATGCTAGAAAACGAGTAAAACTACATTATTACTTGGGCATTTTGAGGAGGGCTTCATAATCAACATCACCTTCAACTGTCATGGGGACCTAAAAAATGAAGAATTTGTATGCAGTATTTTTTACAACTCAACCAACGCGAGATGCTACTTTTTAACTAATGTACGTAATAAAGTTATCTGTAAACACAAAATCTTACGTCAGCTTTTACACCCTCAGCGATGCCCATCTTGTCCATCGCCATTCGGGCAAAATCGTACTTTCCGTATTCAAAACTTGTGACGCCACTAAACATAATAAGAAAATTACCAATAAAAACAAAATTGAACCGCATAAGTCCAGACAATATTCTAAAATCTGACACAAAGATTAATTTCAATTCATGCATTCTATAGCCACAACAAGAGGAATAATCGTTCTACGGAGGTCAGAGATCAAAACATCAAAAAAAATTTCGTGCTACACTCTTCAGGCTACCTTAACAGTGGGAGGCGTTTGAGCTGTTGCCAGACTAATACAGGCACTGAAAAGTTAAAAACAGTACTATAATTTCGACCAATTTCCCGGACTAATGCACTTTTGTAAATATTTACAAATATCAAACCTCGTAAGCCACCACATAATGAGTGGTTGTGAGATGACAATGAAGAGAACCAGCATTAATTTTCTTTTTCTTCCATCATCCGAATTGTATGAATGATGAATGTCGAGTACAAAGTTCTTGATCGTCCGTAACTAAAAAAAATGAGTTGCTTAAATACTTATGATTCAACCCACCAAAAAGAAAACAAGAGCCATAGATGTGTAGGCAAGCGTTGAATAATAAATCGTTTTTCCCCCAATCATGAACATCAATAGACAAATGATCATCCTTAAATTTTTGCGTTGAGTTCAAAGAATGCTCAACTAACCCGAAGAATTTATATGTGCTGTAAGCGAGAGAATGCCAAAATGAAAGTGATTGGCTAATATTCAAAATATACCTAAAGAAAATGTACACAAATCACTACAAAAAACCAACTTTGAAACAAAAATAATGATATTCTCGATGATCACCCAAATAAAAGCATTACTCGTCAAAATTCCGAGCATTTCTGGGGTAAATCTAAAATTTTAAATATTCGCCCGTTAATTTCAATAGAACTACCGATCTTGTGTCCCCAATACAAATCCTGACACCAGCACATAGGTAAGGAATGACATTACGGGAATGTAAAGATCCGGTGCGTTGACGTCGTTTTTGGCTGGAACCGGCTCATCAGATCCACCATATTTTAAACTCCAGTCCTAAAAAGTATTCAATACATATCTGCATATCAAAACTTCTCCAAAAATACCATAATAGATTGACAAACTAACCGTGTGAAAGAAAGGAAACAGCAACAATCCTAACTTCTTCGCCACATACGAATTGTCAACAGCAAAGTAGTACTTCAATTGAAAGCCAGATAAATATTTGGAGATCTAAACTTTCACTTAGCTAACTTACATAACTAAGTCAACCTTTTCCTTTTGTTCGGCCGCAAACTGACCACCAATTTGTCGAGCTGCGTTCATCATCGGATCCGACATGAATTGTTGAGCGGCTTGAGGCAAATACATATCTGAATCAAAAACATCCAAAGCTGTTTTTGAGCAAAAGCCACAAAGACTTAACTGGGTCTAAACCCTAAATTCTAAACGACGATGCGCTACCTAGCCTAAACCACTTATTTGGAATTAAAAACTTACTAGATTCCCCATACTGTTGTCCACTGTATCCGTTATTGTATCCAGATTGTTGATCGTTTGAGTAGCCGGCCGTCTGCTGGCTATAGTAGTCTTGTTGTTGATTGCTAAAAACAAAACGTTAACCTTTTAAGGATAAGAAAAACAAAATGAAATTTTGATTTCATTTAGCTTTGAAAGAAAAGGATGGTATGCTAATGACATAAAATTTACCTGGGTCCGGTGTTTCGATGTTGTGGGTAGCTTTGTTGATTGTTCCATCCTTGCTGATCGTCCCAATTGCCCCAATCTTGAGACATCTGAAAAAAAGATAAAATCGGAAAGGAAACAAGAATAAAGAAGAAGAAAATACATAGCTTTAATATCTGGAAAATATGTCATTTGCGTTGTGCATTCGACGGCAAGTTTAAAAATGAAGAAATCAAGTACAAAACTTCAAACAGTGGGTGTTGAAGGCTGGCAAAATATTAAAACCTGACACAAGAGTTGTCGCAACTACGGTAGCAGGGGCATATTTTCTGGAGCAAAGCCGCCAAACGAGAGGGAGCGCATTTATTTCATTTGTGCAGCGGTTTCGAAAAAAGATGTTTGTTGACGCCAGTTCTTACAGTTCGGTAGTTTAACTACGACTCTACTATTTTATCTGCCAACTTATTTTTAAAAGTTTATTTCCGATAAGGGAGCGTTTTCGTTGTGCCAAAACGATTTTACCTAGCATAAGCAACAAGATACCGTTCAAACAATCATTCTTCCTTTCCTGAATCTTACTTTTTCAGTTTTAACTGCATGTTGATTTACATTATAAATATTAATCTGCATTTTTCCAGATAATGAAGCACGACGAGAATGAATACGTTTCCGAAGACGATGAGGACTATATTCCCGAGAAAGGGGACGACGACGAAGACGTTGATGAAGGATCGGGTGAAGATGAAGCTCCATTGGATCCACGAGACGTCATCAGTGATGGAGGGCGGGGTACCCGTCGCCGAGGAGGAAAGAAAAAGGAGAAACCAAAAAAAGTAGAAACGGTGAACGAGGAGGATTGCACGGCCGATTTTTTGGACGATCTCTTCCCGACGTTTTCGTATACGCCGAATGTTCCGACCTTGAAAACAACAGCAAATGAAACAAAAGAAGAGAAAGAAGATAAGAACGTCAACTTTGCTAGCACATCCACCAAAACTACCACTATTACCGAAGTTTTCGATTTCGCCGGCGACGAGGTGAAAATCGAACGACAAGTGACCGAAGAGGAGCTCAAGAAACACGAAGACAAAGAGAAGAAACTGCAAGACAAAGTACGACCGGTGAAACGATCGGGATTAGGCGATATGTTGACTGAGCTGACGAAGAAGAAAAAGATCTCGACTATTGACAAATCGATGCTTGACTGGAACTCATTCAAGACAGAAAATGATTTAGGAGAAGAATTGAAAACCTTTAACAAAGGAAAAGGTGGTTATTTGAAACGAATGGAATTTTTGCAAGAAGCGGACGCTCGTCAGTTTGAACAAGAGAAGGAAGTGCGGCATTCAAGGAAACTTTAATTCTCAAAGATTGGCATATTACGTAGGCCTGTAACAAATTAAATTAAGGACTTGACATATCAAAAATAAGATACATGTTTTTTGAAACAGATGCTCGAGAAATTTTCATCAAGTTTATCTCTCCGCTTTATACATATTGTTGCTAGGAAATTTTCGAATTTTTGTGATCTTGGATCTTGTCGTTTTTATTTTATTTTTAAGATCAAACAATAAATGGGTAATTATAGATGCCAACCTGCCCAACTCATCCAAATGCTCACCTCATCGAAGACCCGCGGGCCGGTGATGTGATTTGCCCCGAGTGTGGCCTCGTTGTCGGCGATAGGTAAGTTTTTTTATTATTTTTGGCAACTAAATTAGTTTACAACTGTTTATGCAATTCGCACCTTTGAAAAAAATTATGAAAGTGCTTCTGTTACGTTTTACTAGAGGCTTTAATTTTAAGAAGACAGTAGTAGTTTTTAAGCTCTGATTTAGACTTGTTGATGTCGGAACCGAATGGCGCTCTTTTTCGAATGAAAACAGCGGAAACGATCCATCGCGTGTTGGCGCTCCGGAAAACCCTCTTCTCTCCAACGGTGATCTATCTACTCATATCGCTGTCGGCTATGGTGCAAGTGATAGTGATCAAAGGTATACCTTATTGGTAGCAAAATTGAAAATTTAGAAAAGCGAAGATCAATTTTGAATTTCACAACAAACATCTTTAGTTTGGCCAACGCTCAGCGCAAAACGATGAACAATGCTGATCGGCAGATGAACGCTGCCATCGGAGTGATTCGAGATATGAGCGATCGAATACATCTTCCACGCAACATTCAGGACATCGCTGCCAAAATCTTCAAGGACATCCTCGACACTAAAGCACTTAAAGGAAAGAACAACGAGGCTCAAGCCGCTGCATGTCTCTACATCGCTTGTCGTAAAGAAGGAGTGCCGCGAACGTTTAAAGGTGCTGTTGACTTGGCTTGATTCAAAAATTTAAACTAAAATTTTCTTTTTTTTAGAAATCTGTGCCGTGTCACGTGTATCGAAAAAAGAGATTGGGCGATGCTTCAAAATGATCATTCGTGTAATGGAAACAAGCCTCGAGCAAATTACCTCGTCCGACTTCATGTCTCGCTTCTGTGGAAATCTTGGATTGCCAATGCCGATTCAGGTAGAGAAACTTCTATTCTCTATTGACTGACCAAACATATGATCAGGTTTGTGCTACTCGTATCGCGAAGATGGCTGTCGAGATGGATCTCGTGGCTGGAAGGAGTCCAATTTCGATTGCAGCCGCTGCAATTTATATGGCCGCACAAGCATCCAGTGAGAAACGAACAGCGAAAGGTATGATTAGAAAGACGTATATTTGTGAGAGAAACATTTCTTAGAAATTGGTGACATTGCTGGTGCAGCTGAAGTGACAGTCAAGCAGACCTACAAGTTGTTGCTACCAAAGGTGACGTTAAAAGAACTTAGACAAAGCATTCTAAAAGTTCAGGCAAGTGAGCTCTTTCCGCCTGATTTTAAATTCGTCACGCCCGTTGACCGACTTCCACTCAACGACCCTTGAAATTTTTTGGATAAGATTTATTGTCTTATTTTGCCTTTTTTTGTTGTTTGTCATGATTCAATGTTAAAAGTAATATTGTCATCCTGAAACGAATGTTATTTCCAAAGTCCATTGTTCTCTAGTTATATCGGGTATGAAAATAAATTGATATTATAAATTATATTGATGCCTTTTAATGTAAATTCTGAAAGGAATATTAAACCAAAAAACTTCATTTGGCCAGTGAGATCGATTAATTTATACAGTCGTGGGAAAACAGTATTAGCCGCTCATGACAGGAAAAGTTTGTTTTAATTTTTTCTTATATAGATTAACCATTTCGTTGTATCCTGTTGCCATCCTGTTTCTATCATGAACGGTCAATACTTTTTTCCACCACTGTAAAACTCAAGTCACATGTTTAATTTAGTAAATGTTGAGTGCTCGTCTCATTCCTGTGAGGATAGGTCAACGTTTCTGCTCGGCTACCGCACAACTAAGCTCCGAACTGAAGACGAAAATTGATGGAATAATCAAGGTGGGTTTTTGAGAGTGGATAATTTTAAATCTTTTGCTTGCGGGACTTTTAAATAAACTAAACATAACTTGTAGAAATATTCGAGAAATTGAGAAATATGTACTTGTTTAGCTTCGTTCCGCTAATTTCAAATTAATGTTCAAATTAGAAAGACCCGGTTGTCGTATTCATGAAGGGCACGCAAAAAGAGCCGATGTGCGGATTTAGTCGAAATGTGAAGCTCGTTCTGGATCATCATCAAGTCACATTTAAAGTGCGTTTGATTTTTTGGTCATCATCCTTCAATTGCTATTTGTGCAGTTCTACTAAGAAAAACATTAATTTGTAATCTTTAGGATTACAACGTTTTGGAGGACTCAGAGCTTCGTGAGGGAATCAAGAAGTACTCGGATTGGCCCACTATCCCACAGGTTAATTTTGAGTCTGTTTTTCTTGGCATTCATTTATTCAATGACTTGCTTAAAGTTAGTTTAACTATTTTAGGTTTATGTGAAAGGAGAATTTGTTGGTGGTGCGGATATCCTCATTCAGGTTTGAATCAACTCAATTTTTAAAAAATTTCGATTTAAAGATGCACAAAGATGGCGAGATCAGCGACTTCTTTGATGGAAAGCAAGTGCCAAACAAATATGGAAATCAGAAATTAACCTGAGATTTTATTATTTGCTCTTTGTTTTGTGATTGTTATTAGATAGTGTTTTTTGTTAGTTCTTTTCTTTTTCTTGATTTTTCTAGTTTATTTGCACATGAAGATTTTAAAATTTCAGAGATATTCGGTAATGAGCTCGGCATTGCAGCCAGATGAGGACTCGATGATGTCTTGTGAATCGGTAAGGCATTTTAAAAGAAATGTGTTTAACTGTTTTTAGCGATATTTTCATTTCAATAAGATGCATTTATTTTCAGATCGACAATATTCTTCCAATCGCTGACGCGACAGCCGTACTCCCTTCCGACAGTGAAGCGACAAATGATGGTAGTTTTATCGTAATTTAAATTAATTACATTAATTACTATCTACTTTTTTTGTTAGCTTTTTAGTTAGTCAGTACTGATTTCTATTATGAATGATTTAGCTCCGAGTGGCACTCTTGGAAAAGCATCTGCGTCAGTGTCGATCGACGCTCAACCAGAGACCACCAATGACAGCACGACTACTCAACCGGAAAAGAAATCACTTAATCGGCTTATCTCTGATGATGTCACTTACAGGGTTTGCTTTTTCTATTTACATGAAGATTGGTTAAATAGTTCCCGATGTTTCGATTTTAGTTTACCGAACCAAAGGATCTTATCGAATACGAGTGGCCTCCAAAAAGCGGTGAAAAATGGATGATTCAGGTGAAGAGTTCTTTTGTGGATGATTGTATCATTATTTAGGAGCAAATCAGCGAACTTCTGCAAATAACCGCTTTCAAACGGCGCTACCCGGATATCACAGCAAGACAAATTAGGAAAGAGGAGAAAGAATATCTCATCACCCAACATAAAGTCAACACTTTGCTCTCCGAGATGCGTGAGTTTAAGAACTTTATTTGTGTTTTGGAGCGTAATAACTTTTTTGTGTTTAGATATGCAAGCTATGACCGCCTTGAAAGCAAATGAAGTGCATAACTTGTTGTGCCGCGAAAAGCCGGATCTTTATGCGGTTGGTGACTAACTCTTATTATTGTTAGTTGTTGACTACCTTCTTAATTTCTAGGAATATCAACGTCTCATCAGCGAGAGAATGAAAGAGAAAATGGCCGAATTGCAGAAAGAAATGGATCGGGTTTGTAATTGATACAATAATTTTTACTTTGTTCTACCCTTAGGTTAAAAAAGACCCGAAGTTATTGGAGGAATTGCGAATGAAGTCAATCAAAAGTGCAAGCGAATTTAACAGCGATCTTCAACAGTACAACAAGGCCGAGAGGAATTGCTTTTGGGATCTTCAAACATCGGTAGGACTCTTCTTTAGGGTTAACTAATTGTGAGTATTATTTTAGATCATTCAATCATCATCCCGAAAATGGCGACGATTACCCCCAGTGATGACAAAGCCGAGTCCATATCCTGTTGCCCTGATTAATGGTCAATATCAGCATTACTACAAGAAGTAGGTTTATGACTTTTGAGTAAGTGCCTTTTGTGGATCGTAGGCAGATTACCTAGGTATCTAGGATGTTGAGTTGTTTGTATACGGCTCAAAAATTCGCCAAAATTTTATTTCGCATTATTATTTAGGTTCACAAGCGAAGAGCTGCGTCGTTTGCCACTCGAATCCGTCATGGATGGAACCGATCTTTTTCCAGTCTTTCGAGAGGCTAGCCCTCCACCAATCAACGTGAAGGTATTTTACTGTTTAAAACGGTTCGATAAACTAAAATGAAATCATTACCAGTATTTTGTCAGGAAGAAGAGTTATCTAAAACACCAAATGTTGAAAAGGTTTGCCTGTCTCACGTTTTGCATTAACCCGAATTTTAAGCCAATCCCTGTCTTAAAATTTACCTTTTAGTTAAAGCTCTATACTCTATCCACATTTTTGCTCACAAAAAGTTTCTATTACAATTATTATTGGGCCTCTTTGCTAATGTCACTGCCTATACTTTACTTTACCTTTGTTGTAAGCAAGAAATAGTCTCAACTCTTAAAGGGAATTATTTGATCACTAATAGTAAGTTAAGTTGAGAATATTTGCTTGTAGAATTTATACCAGTTTGACTAATAATTTCTTTTTTTAGGAAACGAGTTTTCAATATGGTGTCCCGCAAACAGTTTTGGCCGCAGCCACCGTAGGAGTTGGTGCAACTGGAACTCCACAAAGAAAAGAAGGAGGTAAAATTAATTTAATTAATTTTAAAGCAAGTAGACTGCGAACACTTAACGTCCAAATTTAGAAGTTAAGACGCGAATGGAAATTCCGACACCCAAACAGAGCGATCTTCGCAAATCGGTTGGCTTAGTTTTGTTTTTAGCAAGTTTCAAATGCTTTTAGAAATGCATCACATGCAGCTTACCACCAAAAACAGATATGGTTATGATCAGGTTTGTGATGTTTCTAAGGATATTAATTAACAGAAAGCTTCAAAACTTTCTGAAGATTATAGAGAGTTATTCACCCATAAACTTCCTTGTAGATGTTCGAAATGTCATTTGACCGTGCACGCCGATTGCGCGGAAATGAGTGAAGGGATGTCGTCGGTTGTACTCACTTATCCATGGCATTGTATGGAATGCAAGTTGTGCACCGTTTGCGATAAACCGGATGATGAGGTGAAAAGTTTTATCTGAAGTAAAATAAGCTGGCAGCCGTCATTACCGATGAAGCTTTATCGTAGTTAAGCATGTGCGAGTAAAAGTATGAAATTATCTGCATTGGTTATTAGCATGTTGCGGATAATGAGGCAACATGTAGTCCTTTAATAAACATCAGTTAGCATGACTCAATAATATTTTCTTTTTAGGAATCGTTGATGTTTTGTGATCGATGCGATCGTGGATATCATACGTATTGTGTTGGCCTCGAAGAGCCACCTAATGGTTGGTGATCTTTTTATGATAAATAAATTGCAACTACCTAGATAAGTGTGCTTGGTAGAAGCGTTTTGTTTAATATGTTTAATAAGTTATTAACAACTTGCTCTTTTTCAGGTAGTTGGATCTGCTCGCGTTTCTGTGAGGCCGAGAAGACTGCCACTCAAACAGGACGCTTACGCCGAAAAACAGTGGAAAATAAGTGAAGCTTTCTTTTTCTTGAATATCTTAAATTAATTTTTACATCTACGTAGGAATTGAGTCTTTTTCAAACTCGTAAACGATTTTAATGTTGTCGGTTGCTCCGAAATTTTCTCCCCGTTTATGGGTACTTTTACGTGGATCTCTGTAATTTATTTTCTTGGTCTTGATTATTTCCGTCATAAAACTGTTTAAAATCATGCTTTCAAATAAATTGGGACACGAACGTTTACAAAATACATGGAATATTGTTTTTTCTCCAATCATTTGATGCTTACGCGGTCCAAGCGTGTTGTTGATATAAACATTTTGGAGGGAAAGGGAAAACTCGCTTCTTCTTTCTAATGAACAAGGAAAGTGTGTCGATTGTTCGATTGCGTTGTCGGTGACCTGATTTTTATGTCGAGTCATTTCGCACCCACTCCCTCGCCCGTTAACCATTTTAAAAGGATTTTTCATTAAAAAACGAAGTTTTGTTTCTATTTCGAGTTCGAAAATGTTTACAAAAGTTCAATAGAGATTTAGGCTGAATGCTTTCATGATCGTTGGAACGAAATCTATTGTGGAGTCTACTTGTTAATATTTGAATGTCAACGTCGTCAATCTCATGGACAGCCGATGCAACGGCAAGATATGAGAGATTAGCTGCTGAATATTCAAAGGTAGGTAAATAAGATAGACTAACACTGAACAATGAGATCCAATTGCAAAAAAGTATACCCTTTTGCCTATCCAATCAAAGTTACTATCTTTCTTTTATTTTCTAATCATTTTCAGCTTCGCTCCAATGCTAATGTCTTGAAGAATGGAGTTTTAGAAGAGCGAGCAAAATCGCAAAAACTATCGGTAAAGGCAAAATTTTGAAATTAGATACACTAAAGTCTAATTATTGGTTTGAGAAGTATAAAATGGCGCCGACTTTCAAAAATTTTTCTGGAACGCATAAAAGCTCCATATAATCTATTGTTTGTATAATCAAAAACGTCTATCATTGTTCTACCAAATGGTTTTTGAGAGATTACAAAAAACTTTTTTTTTGTGGATTTTATGGGCTCCTAAATGCAACCAGTCAAAATCACAAGGAGTCCGATTCGTCGTTTGACTCGTTCCTTACACATAAACTTAACTTGATGTCAAAGCAAAAAAAGAATTAGAAGAAGTTATAGAAGTTTCTTTGAAAGTCAGCACCATTTCATACTCTCCAACCCAATAGTCCCATTTTTGAAGCGTAACAGTTACACATTTCAGGATTCTCTTCAAAACTCGGAAACCCAGCTGCGAAAAGCACAAGCAGAAAATGAAAGCCTATCTTTTCGAAATGAACAGGTCTGTAAAGCGTTTGGGGAAATTGACCAATCTACCGTAATAAGCCCTGAAGTGGGAGTAGGAATAAACGACTATTGCTGTAACAAAAAGGAGCTGCAATTTTAGCTAACGAAACGTGTACTCTCACTCCAAGAAGAACTCGACTCATCGAAGAGAAAAGATGGAAAGGTTGGAAAATTGAAGAAAACAGTTTAATTAAGGCTTTTTTGAGTCCAAAATATAACCATTTCCATTTCCCAATATCTATAGGAAGTTTAACTATTTTTAGAAAGAAAAGCCATCGAAAAGGGAGAACTTCTCGGCGGCAATGGAGGCCGATCTGAAGAATAAAGTCCTGTTATTGGAAGAAGAATTACAGAATAAAATGAACGAGAATATGAATTTGACTGAAAAGGTGTGTGTGCTCATTTAATAAAAGCAAAATAAATAGAAAGCTCATTCGATCATTATTTCAATACTTACACATGGATAAATAAATTCTTTCAGATAAATGAACTCGAGTTATTGCATTCGAAAGAGATTATGGAAATTTCGGAGAAGTTTGCTGCACAGATTAATCGATTGGAGGGGCAATTGGGTAAGTGAAAAGGGGGGAAAATGAAATCAATGAAATACGCTTTGCATTTTTAGAAGAAGCTAGACATCTGAATGTGGAAAACGAAAAGAAGTTGGCAAAAACAGCAGAAACGAGAGAGATCGAGACGGCTGTTGTAATACCATTCACACTTCATAATCAGGTGGATAGATAGGAATATTCAATCAACAGTTCAGTAGTTATATTTTTGATTAGCAACTCGAAATTTAGCTCAAAAACAACAACGATCCATTGCTGAAGATTGATCTCAATGCCCATGCCCCTCCTCGACCCGAAGCTTATAGATTGGTTTGAGCTTTGTCCATTCCAATACAAAAAGATCGACTTGTTTAGTGTTGTGAGAGTGGCCGTCTTTGTTCATCAGCCATCTCAACATTTCTTCATCTTTATTCAGAAAGGACTACTCTCTTTCCATATGATTCAAGTCTTGAACAATTACCACAAGAGATTCAACAGGTATTCCTGAAGTAACTCTGAAATTTCTAACAAGTTTCAAGTATTCATTCGATTAAACTTTCAACCGATCCTTTTCTAGCTTTCAACCAACCTCAGCGAAGCTTCAACAAAAGCCCACAATATGGCCATGTTTCTACAAGATTTACTCGAAAGAGAGCAATTTGATGTAAGCCTTGCTATTCTTACAAAGATCATTCAAATTTTCAGTTGGAGATTGAATTGATCTCATTTCTGAATCATTTCTCTCCATTTTGCGCTTCACTGAACGTGTTGAAGCCCGGCTTCTCAGCGCTTCTCAACGCGGAAACGCGCGGCACCTGGAGCACTAGTTTGTGAAATTTTTTAAAATGAATCATCCATGTGCTTTAAAATGTCGGAAATTTAATTTAAAAACCACTTTTCAGGCCATTTGGATCGTCTGAGTCACCAATTCACCGATCATGTCCAAAAGTTGACCGAGAAATTTGAGGATCTCTTACATGAACTCCAGAATCGAAGCTTTTCTGAGAATTTAGCCTCAAAATTGCATCAATTGGCAAATATAATAAAAGGCAAGACAAGAATTTTATAAAGAATTTCAGAAGATATTTCAGATCTAAAAGATTCATATTGTACCCGGTGGAGAGTCGAAAGTCAACTGCCAATAGCCACAAAAAAATTGAAGGTTTGTAGGGAAAAGCTTTTAGGAAATAAACATGAAACTTCATTATATTTATCTTTATTTAGTGTGTTGGTGGAGCTTTGACGAATTGTCTCAATCAGTTAAGCCTCGAAGCGGGAAGATTTGGAGCTCGATTCGAGAAAGCACTCTTGATTAAGGCTAAGGTATTATTCTAGCTCTATAGACCTATCTGAAGACACTTTTTAACAAACAATCCAGTCCGTTTAGGATGAAGAAAGTACTACAAGTACTGGTGTTTCACCGCTTCACAAAATTGTTGAAATCCCGGGAAATCCCTTTGATCAACCGACAACCTCAGCTACTGATGCTCAAGATGATGACATAGAAGATAGCGGATTAAAAGTTAATGAGGAAGTCAAAGAGGTTAGAAATTCAGTCTGAAACCAATTTATCCATTCATACAGATAAAAGCGTCCACATTGCCAGCAAAAAGTCCGAATCTCTCAGAAGAAACCAGCTCGTCGTTGATCACATTGGAAACGGCGGTAAGTCTAGTAGTAAAGAGATATTCTGAAAAAATTATTGACTTGATTACATTGTATACATGATTGTAGTTGGGTAATTTGAATTACAGTGTGAAAAACAACGCACACGAATCACCGAGTTGGAAACCGAGCGAGAGCAGTTATTGGTGGAAATTGCCTTATTGAAGAGAAAAGCTGAAAGGGCACAAAAGGAAAAAGATGAGAAAACGACAGAAAATACATCAAATCAAATGGAGTGCGTTTGAAACAGTTCTATCAGTTAATTGATTCTTCTAGAGCCGCGAATTCAAACGATGATCAAAACGAAGTGACTGTGGTGAAGCATTTCTATTCAGAGCGGTTATCTGAGACATTCACTCATTTACAAGTTGAAAGAGATCGGGCAAAACATTTGACTGCAGAGGTTGGTGGGGGAAATGAGATGATGACCAATAAAACGGATAACGATTCTCGAAATTTCAGTGTTCTTCATTGTTGAGACGGGCATCAGTGGCTGAGGATGAACGAAGATTATTGGAGGAGAGAATGAAGGCACTCAACAAGCAGAAACAACAAGTTGAGGTGAGTGTTTTGAGATTGGAAATTTTAAATCAATGCTAAGCGCAATATTTACTGGAAATTAGTACCTAAGGAATAGACGAAGTTTCAGGAAGAGCTTTCAACGATTCGCCGAGGTTACGAGGAACAAATGGGTGAATTGACCGCTCATGTAGCTGAATTGAATACAAAAATGGGACTGAATGGACAACAACAAGGAACAGATCGATCACATCAAAATGGATCCACAAATAGTACACCAAGAAGCAGTGTAAGTGGGGGTAATGATCGGGATAACAAAGGGGAATGAGAAGGAACATTGTCTCTGAATAAGAGAGTGCAAACAATGACTTTCTAAACTACCATAATCTAATTTTATTCAACTATAAGTACCGTACTCAATCATATACCTACCACACAACTTTCAGTTTGCTCGAAAGCTGCTCTTCCAAAAGTGAAAAATTTTCGTCATTTTATTGTATCCAATAATTTTCTCTCCTACTGGTGCTCTTTTTGGATTTTATGTCAAAAATTCATAATCATAGCATGTAATGATTTTGAAAATCTGTTAGTAACATGGTAATTTATGAATGCAAGGTTACGTTTACACTTTTGAACTTTTTCCATCCCGTGTCAACTGAATAACTTTCATTTTTATGAGAAAGTTCCCATAAATGGGGCCATTACGCAGATCAACACAGTAAATGAAGACTTCGTGTCGTTTTTCGCTTTGTTTGAAAGTTTTCCCAAGCTATTCGGCTCACAAAATTGAAAGCTATTCAGTTAAGTTTTTAAAAGCCTCACTATTTATTATTTCTTTTCTTTTCCTTGTTACTAGCAACCCCCTATCATTAGATATGGTTTTCGCGGCTCTGTGATAATAAAAACTCACTGTGTTATGTTTGCATTTTAAACGAGAAAACCGTTTTAACAGACGTTTGAGCTTAATTTATTGTGCACGAATGATAAATTTTATTTCAAGACATTGTCATTTGAACAAAAAGCGCCTAAGCATCGGCAACACGGTATTTTTGATTTTTGAACATTGAGCGGATCATTTATCTGTATTCTCAAGGTTTATTAAGAGTACTATAGATTTTCCGATTAAGATTTTAATTTTAGGGAATTCGAGATGAATCAAGAGGCACTGTTTTTCCGCCAACTGGATTCGCTCATCTACGGGTACTTGCAAAGGAGAAATGTGAGTTTGTAATCTTGTTATAGACAGCGTGTAAAGCTATACTTTTAGTACATAAAAACATTGGAGTGTCTAATTGGCGAGTCACCTCATCTCTCATCACTTACAGCACAAGCGATTCCCGGGAAAGTTTTCGTCAATATAAATGATGTACTGCACGACAAAACACTGGAACAAATCATTGAGGTGAGCTTGGATTGGCTTATAAGTTTGAACTTAAGTGTTGTATTTATACTTTAAACTGTTGACGTACTTAAAATTAATAAATTGGTCTGGGTAAGTAGACTTGAAATACATTATTTAAAGTTTGGTTTAGAACTTCTCGCAAACGTGGCGAAGTGACGTCTCGGAGGGATTGGTGGAATTGGTGAGAAGACTTGGAGAGATCTCGAAACAATTTACGGACTACACTCTAGCCGGACCTGGAAGATACGAGGTAGCCATTCATTTAAATAAATTAGTTTTATTCATTTAGAAAAACATTCAACGGCAATTGTATGCCCGCCGTGAGCCGACGACGATCACTCGAAATGCTAGCCACTACGAGAAAAAGTTCATTTGTCGTATTTTGCTTTTAACAATCATAATTTTTCAACAGTCAATCACCTTACAAGCAGTCGACACAGTTAAACGCAGTGAGATTAACTCCAGAATATTTTCCACCGCCTACAACTCAAAGGTGAATATTTATTTTTGAAAAAATCTAAGGGATGTTCATTAGTCTTGAAGATTTTTTAGTTCAGAATTTAGATTCTACGCTCAAATACCGCCAGAGGGTCATCCGGGAGGGCAACAAGTCGAACAACAACAACAACAACAGCCATTTCTTGATAGAAGGTTTATATGCTAATATATACCACTGATAATATGATCTTTTTAAAAATAAGAATTAACATTTAATCAAAAGCAGCATATTGTTGTTAAATTTTTATTTTTAGAGAGAAAACTTCGGCGGTCCCGATGGTGAAGAATATGATCACCGAAACGCTTCGATTAGCGCAAAATTTTCAAAAGCAGCAAAACGATCAATCAATGAATGGAACGGTAAGTCATTTATTTTTAGAAATTTTATTGCAATATGCTGAAGGTGTTTATTGTTTGGTCAAAGTTAAGATTTTAGGACTCTTTTGATGCGATTGACGATCAAACTTTGGAGCTTCTACACCAAGCGATGCCACATCTAGAAGAAAGAGTACGTAATAACGATATGTGTCATCGCCGATTTGCTTTGAAAAATTTTCGCTAGCTAATTTGCTATAGTCTTGAATTTCCGTGGTCTCAGAATGACGGACTTCCTTAAGTGATCCTGATATACCATAAGAAACTTGTAATCACCATCGAGAACAGATTGTAGATCAATAAGGTCGACTTAGCATCGTTCGTTCGGCTTTGTGACAATTCTCTTTGGGGTCCCTTTCTTCAACTTGCGCTCCGGGCATTGGAAGTAAGGCATTGGAGGCATTGGAAGAAATTGGAAGTAGATCCTAAAAATTGAAAAAAGCGAAAATTTTTCAAAGAAAATCGGCTACCCGATACGCTTTTATAGCAAACCGGCTACGACATATGTATAAATAATGGAACTTTTACAGCTCTTCGATTTTGATGAGATAGATTTTGGTGATCTCGAGCCATCATTCGAACAACAGACCATGATTGCAAATGTACGTACCCTTGATTTGGTTGGCTTATAAAACTATTTTCTTCAGAATCAACCAAATGAATCGTTCGATGTGCCAAGCAAAGATTTGAACATTCCAATAGATACCTTGCCCGAACAAGAAACGTCAGGAAGTCGATCAAATGAATTCCATGAAATGACATCAGTTCGGGTGAGATATAGTATTATATTATTGTTTATATTATCATAATCAAATCATTCATCTCATATCTTTCAACTATTAGCTCAAATATGTAGTAACGTAGTGTGTTATTTAGGGAATAAACTAATTGTCTGCATCAGTCCCTCCGCAGCACTTGATTTGGGTTATTATTTTAGGCACATCAGCCTAAGCTCGACAACAATGAGTCAACAATTGCTTCCTCTTCGAAGCCGGTCACCGTTTTACCTCAGAAAGCTAAGGTGATTCTTTTATCTCGAAGTAAGCTCATAAAATATATAAATACAAAAAGGTAGTTTTTTGAACGTTGTGCAACCTTTTCTTTTAGAGGATACCACCAAGTTTGTCGAATTCGACACGAAAACGTGCTCAGCCGAGGAAGGTTTATAAATTAAATTATTCTGAAGAGCTATAGAACCTAAAGTATTAAGCTTTCTTTGATTTAAAAATAGACATTCAATACATAATTCAATTGATTAATCACTAAAAAAGCTTTAAATCCAGCAAGCTATTGATGCGGAGCAAGAACTTCTTGCTGTGCCAGCCATTCAAGTTTACTCATCAAATGTGGCACCTGTGCCTGAAACGAGTTAGTTTATTTAAATTTTAGTTATTGAATATTGCGTGAACACAGACCTAAATCATTTTTAGCTATTTCCACGGTTCAATCAACACCTTTCACTCAGATTTATGGGCAGGTATGTTTTAAGCTTTGTCTTATGTTAAGTTTTGATTCTTATTAAACCACTTTTTGTTTTTAATTTTCATTTAGTTAGCCATGCCCAAAAGTGAAGAGGGAGAGGGCAGCACAGAGAGGTTTCCAAAAAAGAACGGTGCCAATTTGAATCTTCAGGTGAGTGAAATGAAAAATGCTTCTGATAGCAATGTTTGTTAAAATGTAATTCAGACTCTTCACGAGCCAAATGTGGGCTTCTCCTCATCACCGTCTAGGTAACTGTTGATCTGGCTTTATCTTTAATTTGTAAAAATTAAGATTTTCTCCTATCAACGACAGTTTCACGCAATCAGCACGTTCAGGCATAGAGACGACATACACATCTAAGGTATATTTCTTAGTATCCAGTCAAAAAAAGTCATAGAGTTGGTTCAAAACAGCCAGAAAAAAACTGCTTTTAACAACATATATTGTATTGCATTTTTAAGGTGGCATTGCCAGTAAGCGTGGAATCTCCATCGATCGGTGAACGGAAATCTGCTTATGTAAGCATTTACAAATAAAATTTAACCTGTGTAATTTCGTATATGCAATTGGACTAAATCGACCCTAAATAACCGAGCTTTGTTCTGTGTTTCTAGCATCTTTTTTGCTACCACTAATCTATCTCAATTTTGAGGATTCCCCAACTGATTCCGAGGAAGTAAGTCGAGAGGATGGAGAATTGGAAACATCACCGATCAAAAAGGCACCACCAAAGCGGGATGAGGAAAAGACCCCAAAACCTAAAAAGCCAAGCTCAGGTGAGAAAATGAAATTTGTTCTTATAAATGTGGTTTTTAGATTTGATGGAAGATTTGTTCGGCGATGTGAGTTCAAAGGAATATCAACGGGAAAGGGAAAGGAGTTCAACGAAAAGCGATCCAAAAAAAGATTCCCGAGTACAGTCAAATCGAAGCAATCGATTGGAGAACAAAGTAAATTTTTATTGAGCAATGTTGAGATCTAGTTCGGAGAGTGGTTTAAATTTAAAATGAAAGTATAGCAAAAGAAAAGTGTTGAGAGATAACAAAGTATACGGTCTCGTTTAGACAACCGAGCGTGAAACGAGGAAAGACGACGAAAAACGACAAGAAAAAAAGTAAGGGTTAGACATTTAAAAAACGTGGCTATAAAGCCATACTAACAATAAGTTGCCAAGATTTCCAAATAAAATTTTTATTTTAGATCACGTGATCATCGCTTGTATGACTCGAAAGACAAGGAAAGACTTGGGGGTGGATCGCGAATGAAAGATGAAGATCGAGGAGGACGAATAAAAGAAAAAAGAGAAAGCAAGGATTCGGATGAGAAACAAACAGCCACAACAATGAATCGAGAGGAAAAACGAAGGAAAGATGACGACGAACAACAATTTATGAAGAGAATGTTCGAACGAGAAAGGTATAAGGAAATTTATGAGCTCATTTATGTCTTCGGTCTTTAGGGAGCAAGAAAAACGCGACTCGGAACGAAGCCGACGAAATCCCGAAGCAGAGCGGCGGCGCGAAGAGGAAAGGAAACGACGAGAAGAGGAGTCAAGGTGCGCAATTAGATTTGAGATCGATGCACAGTTGGGTCTCGATAACGTATCACAAAAAGCTAAACTTGTATTATGCATTCTCAGGCGACGTGAAGAGGCAATGTCGCGAAAACAAGCAGAGACATTAAGGCGATCATCCAATACAACAACAAGCACACGTCAGCCACCACAAAACGAATCACGAACAGGCCAAAAATGGGTACGAAATTCTTGATAATAGAAACCGAGTTTTCGATTTGAATTTTTAGGCTGATAAAGAAAAAACGGCAGGAAACAGCGACTTAGTAAGAGGAAAAGCGTTAAAGGGTGAACCCGGTGTGCTGGAGAAAACAATAAAATTGATGGACAGGTAGGAGATTTCAAAGCTTGTATAACATGTTGAGTTCTACATAGTAAAAATAGTTTTTATTCTTCTTATTAATCCATCATGTTTTTAGAGAGACATCCAGTGCACGCAATGTGGAGCTTGGAAACGACAGTCACGATGATGGAAAACATGTGGAAAGAAGCGGACATCTGGAGAAATCGACCTCATCAACTACATCCACCTCGACTTCTTTAGCTAATCAAGCAGAACATCGAGAACGGTCAGCCAATCAACGAGAGAGAAACGATGACAACAATTGTAGCCCTCCTCGGACAGGTATATGTTTAACGATAGTAGTTAAGATTTGAGCGAAAGCTCACTAACCTGCTACAACTTTTTGGGCGTTAATGACTTTGAAACGTTTCAGAGAATCGTCGAGTCTCCGATCGCCACCTTGCAACATCGAATGGTGCACCGAGCCAAAACGAGAATTATCTCTTCAAAAGTACCATTGGCGGATATCGACGTATGTTTTTTGGAATAGCACCTTAAAATTTATGCTTTAGTTGGTTCCCGATTTGCGAGTATCACTTCTGGTACACGAGCACTTCGAGAAGCCGATCTGAATATGTCTATACAAACGGATGATCGGCCTTCAACTTCAGATCAATCACAAAAGACGATCGACCCATTAGAGCCCAGAGACCCCCGAATCACACAAACTAGCCGACTGAGTGTAAGTTAGACCATTTTCCTCTCTAAATTGCTCCAAATTCAGGAGTCTTCAAGTGACGCGGAGATTCCGGCGGATCCACGATTGAAAATTCTAAGCGCAAAGGTGACTTTATTGTAGCGAATGAGACAAGGTTAAATGCTTTCCTAAATCTCAGCTTTGAAAGAACTAATTGCAACATCTATCATTTATCTTGTGAAATTTTTTTTAGAGACCGTTAAATGAACCACACTCTCCTGTTGAAATCTCGCCGAAGCACGATGTAAAAGCGGCTTTTGATTTGGTTGGTTATTTTTAAAAAATAACTTTTCAAACTAGTCTAATTACAAACTTTATCCTTACATGTTTAGCCTTCATCACAACCACAAAAAAAGATTAAATTGGACCTTCATGCACTGATAGGTAAGGTGCATGCTAATAGTAAGGAAAAAGATTGATGTGATAAGTTTATTTACTCATTTGTTTTTTGTGTTATTTTCTATTGTATTATTCTAAGATTTCAAATGTTGAGATTATGCTTTTGTATAATCACTTATGTTGTTCTTTTGGGATTTTTTACGGGAATAAAACTTTTTGGTTGCTATATAAAAGTTTACGATACCTGATTACAATTCACATCTACGTTGTGCATAATTTTGAAATCCTTTACATGACAATTTTTGAGTCCAGTTTTGAATTGACAAAACGGAATCGTGAAGTCGAAAGTTATGGGAGTTATGTTGAGGAGTTGTGCGAGGGGAATCGCTGTGATACGACGCTTTTGCAGTGCAAATGATATACATGAGGAAAGGTAAGCAAAAGAGATAATTTTCTGCTGAATTGATTTGTACAAAAAAAGTTTTGGCGCGTTATGCTACCATAGCGCACCTCCTAAACATAATGACTTGTTTTAATAATGTGACAAAATATTTTTGTTGATCTAATTTGCTTATTTCATTCACCAACTTATCTATTGACTCATTATTCTCATTCAGATATACTGAATTGTTGCGCGAGAGTGGTCATTATCACAATGATGCCAGCACTTCAACGAATCAAGGACACAAAGTTTTGGTAAAAACTTTGGCGTTTCTGTAAAAATTTTTGTTTTGATTTGTTAAAAAAACATTTTTCGGATTTAGATTGTTCATCCCCACATCCGTTGGGGTCGACACTCGGCATCAAAATGGACGGATCCCCAGCTTCAACTCGAAGAGGCCATTGCTTTAGTTGGCACTCTTCCCACCATGAAAATTGCTGGGTAAATCTTATTTTATTTAACTATTTGTCAAGAGTATCCACATATCAAAACTATTAGATAATAGAATTTATATTTAGATCGACAATCGTCGGAACCGACTACCACACAAATCGACGACTTATTTGGGGAACAGGAAAATTGGAGGAACTACGATTGTTAAAGGTTGTTTATGATTTTTTTGAGCCTTTTGTAGATCTTGAGCTTTTGATTAACTTTAGAAACATTTTTGCATTATATTACAAATCATTAAAACTTTAGAAGCAATTTCGCGCCTCGGCTCTGATGGTTAACGTGGATATGTTGCAACCAAACCAACAGGTTTCTTTCTGATAGTAAGCTACTTAATGTTTTTTATTAATTTGTTTTCCATGAAATCAGATCATAGAGCAGGTTTTCATAAGTTCCATATAATCGTTTCCGTTTCAGGCTTCTCTTTTCGAGATGTTCGGCGTGCCCGTTTTTGATCGCTACAATATCGTTTTATCGATCTTCAAGCAATTCGCCACAACACTTGAAGCTAAACTTCAAATTCAACTAGCCGAGATTCCATACGTAAAGTCAGTTTCTCTGTCTTTCCTCAAATTTTTGATAGATTTAGCTTTTATAAATAACCGTATAGATAACTTTTGCCTTTTTAGACATCGTCTTCACTACATGTTCAACTCATCACATTCTGGTGGCTTGTCACCGCTGCAAATTCACAGTGAGACGTTTGGACCAAGAGGGTAATAATTTTAAAGAGATAAAAAACTACATATAAGAATTCAAGTAGAAAATTTTGTAGTAGTTTCAAGTAGTTTTGCAAGTTACTTACTTTAGTGCTGACAAATTTGAAGTGCTCCGACTTCGGGAACAAATGCTGCGGCGGAAACTCAAAGAAGCGAAAGAAGACGAGGAGAAAACAGCTGCCAAAAATGTATGTGGTCTTTGGAAGAAGTTTTGCATATTCAATTTTTTAGTCGTTCTAATCAAGGCTTTTTGTAGATAGCAGATGGCTCTCTGGTGGCCGTGGTTGGTTACACAAATGCAGGGAAAACGAGCTTGGTGAAAAGGTAAGCACAAAATGAAATTTGCTAAATTTTTATGAATGAATCGTTGATCATCTCTGATTTAGATTGACTGGAAGTGCGTCTTTGCAACCACTCGATCGTCTATTTGCAACTCTCGACACAACACGGCATGCGGCAAGGCTACCATCTGGTCGGAAGATTGTCTTGGCTGACACAATTGATGAGTTTTAAAAGTTTTACAAGATAAAAGAATAGAACCAATGGATAATTTATAAATCTTTTCTTAAAAGGCCAAACTAAAATTGCAGAAAGAATACTTATTATCTTGTTTGTTTTATCTTTGTTTTGAATTTATAGCGATTTTTGCAAAAAGGTATTCCGTTGCCGGGAATCGAACCCGGGCCTTATGGGTGAGAGCCATAAATCCTAACCACTAGACCACAACGGATAGTTGGGAGGCAGCAGGAGAATGCATTTCTTTTGAGGGATGCCGAAGAGAGATGGTGAAAGGTATAGAGTGGGAAAAGAAAACAGACTTTTCATGCCGAGTTCCGTTTTTCTTTTCCAGAAATATATTTTTTTTCCCGTTTTCCAGAAATATTTTGCTTTTAGACAACTGAACGTTAAAATTGAACTTTATAGTTAGATGGTAAACATTTTTTTACTGATTTGCTTTTAGGATTCCTCTCCGATTTGCCGATTCACCTGCTGGCCGCTTTTGAGGCAACATTGGGACATTTGAAGTTAGCGGTTTGTTTTGAGCTAATAAGAAAACTAAACTAGATTCAAAGAATGGTTTATCAAAGTAAAAACTTTCATTGTTGTTCTCATTTTTACATTTTAGGATGTGATTGTTCACCTACGAGACGTCTCTCATCCCGATTGGAAAGCTCAAAGTGAAGAGGTAAATTGGGTTTGGTTTTCATAAAAAGATACTTGCGACTCATGACCACAAGCCACATCTAAATTTAAAGTTTAGGTGATTTCAACTCTTAAGAAGGTCGGAGTTGGTGAAGACAAGATGGCTAATGTGATACACGTTGATAACAAGGTAAGTGCATTAAAACTTAATTAAAAAATTTTAGTTTTCTTATTGTAAGATTTAGGTTGACAAATTGAGGGGTGATTTTACAAGCGATCTCGATTCATCGTTGCAAATTTCATGCAAATCGGGTGAAGGAATCGACGGGTTAATTGGATGTATTGAGCGGGTAAACTTTATAATATTTTTAAATCAATCTGCCAGATGTGTATTTTCATCAAATCGTTATCAATTGTTTAGCAAGTGATCGCCTCAACCGGATGTCGTCTACGAAGGATTGCCCTCAAATTGGACTCACCCGGCATTCAATGGCTTTACCATGAGGGGCTGGTAATGAAGGTTTGTGGACTTATTTAAGATTTAAAAATGAGACAAGGGGTTTTTGTTTTCTCAAATTCTCTATCCTTCTATCAATTAATATTCAGGAACCTGAGTCATCAACTAACGATCGTCTCCTATTTGATGTGTTTATGACGGACGGAGAAATGAAAAGATTTCAGAAGAATTGCAATATTCGTAAGGCATGATTGTCTCTTTTAATGATTGTTTTGTTTGCTCTTACGGGTTTTGTTATTTTGTGTTCATTTTCAATATTTTTATTTTTACAACTTTTTGTTTGATAATAAATATTCATTGCGAGTTCAGTTTCTTGAACAGCTCTTTTTGGCATACGTTTCTCAAGTTTGATTTAGTTTGTGAAGCATCTGGGAAAACATGATAAAGCTGTACTGTCTAGGGAAATTATACTCTATTGCAGTGATATCAATTGTCCCAGGAGGGGACGGGAAAGGTTTTTGGTTAATTGATTAACTTGATATAAAGCACTTTATTCATCTACCTCAAAATTTCAGCTTGCTCACTTTCAAAAGTGCCTTCAAAATGCCGATCCTTTCACTCGATCTGAAGGCGAATCTCGTCAATTTGACGAATTTGCGACCGAGTGATCCAGAGAGTTTTCGATGGCATATCAAGGTAAACAAAGACGGATATTTCATAAACATTTACACTTAAAACAACGCGAACAATGTTATTTTCCAATTTATTCAGGTCCGATGCACAAATTGCGGTGAAGCGCCCGACTCGTGGCATTATATCGTCATCAATGTAGGTTACTATTACAAATTTAACACTTCATATGCACAATTCAGGAACGAATGGACATTCCTGGTTCAAGAGGAGAAGCGAATCTCGTCGAGAAATGCAAATTGTGCAGTCGAGTGAACACATTGAGTGAGTTAAAAGTCTAGAAAATTTGATGTTGAAAAAAGACTACATATTAACAGAATCCGAGTTATAACTATTGATTTTAGCTATTGTCGATGATTCGGTTGGATCATATTCTGCGGAGAAGAACGAGCAGTTTCAATCGATGATCAAATTTGACTGTCGAGGTCTCGAACCGTACGAGTTTGATCCAAGGGTAAGTCAGTCATTCGAGTTTAGAAAACAAGATAAGAGAGTTATTTACATTTATAGTGTATGACATTATTCAGATGGGTTGGCAAGCTGAGGGAGTTGAAAGTGAGACTCCATTTGAGGAGATCGATCTATCTGAAAAGGTGAGAATAGGGCAAGAAAGACAAGTCATTCTTAGCCGAAATTTATAACACCAACTGCACTAAGTTGTATTTTCAGTGATATAGAATTGTTTATTCAATGAACTTCATCCTCTCTAGGAATGGTCAGATTATGATGAACGAGTGAATGAAGCTGTCGAGATCAACGAGATCGACGTCAAGTTCAACTTTGTGCGTGGAAAATGATCTTCTTGTCAACAAATTACTTTGTGGATTTACATGTGCTTTTTGCTCTTAAATGAGTTTGATAAACTTTATTATGACAACTGAAAAGAATTTCAAGAGAATCACACAAATTCTACATCTTGAAAGTATGCAATTAAGCATCACATTCATGCAGATCAGATAAACATCAATTTAAATTTTCTTCGTTAATAGTTTGCTCTTTTTCCAATTTCTCAGTGGTAGCTTCATGACCGTGAGGGTCTCAAGGAACGGAAGGGGAAAAGGGATGGGATGGATGGGGGCAAAGGTATGCAAAGGTGGGTCCCTTTCTCTCTTCTCTTTTCTCAAAAGCTTCTCTCTTCATTTTTCAGTAAAGGGAATGGATGGGTCCACTCCCCTCTCGATAAATATTTGCATATCGGAGAGGTGAACGGGAGTGGACAGTGTTGAGGGAAAGAGGGCCAAAAGACCCAAAAGGGAGGGGGGAGTCCCACCAATTTCCCTCTTTTCCCCCCGAAAACCCTTCCTTCCACCCACGACTACTGGTGTTCCTTCGACGCTTCGGTATTTGCAAATTTTCTCTGTCTTTGCCTGCAATCTTTTTATTAACTAGCTTTTCTTGAAGCTGCTGGTCAAATTCTTATCCAAAATAGATCTTCGCTCACTGCAACATAGCTGAAATGAATCTTCTACCCTACTAACATGAACACCAAGTGTTCCTTTTTGCTCCAAACATCAGCAACATGTCCAGAAGCTTTCATCGCACCGTAAATTCTCTTCACTTGGCCTAATGTTGTCTTGTTAGTGTTTATCTGTGTCCTGATCTATGATGCTTTGTACAATGACAATGACAATGTTCACTATCAGTTTCTACAGACAACTAATTCAGCCTTGGTTAAGGTTTTTTGCCAGTTTGGAAAACAAAACCGGAAACCATGATCTAAGATTTCGGATGGTAAGCACTGTTTGTCGGTGTGATCTGAGAATCGTATGTGATGGAAATGAGAGTCCACTTGAAACCGGCGTGCTTGGAAGAGGAAAAGGGGATGATTTTCCCTAAAGTGGATCGTCCCCTTTCCTCCTGGCCGCTTCCCTCTCCTCCGGACAGTCCTTTTTTGGGGACCGCTCACTTCGATCGAATTGCACTCTCCAAAAGTCAATTTTCCGATTGATTCCGAGCCAATCAAGGAAAGATTTCAGTTTGACTTTGTTATTTCGTTAGAGATCATCTATCTCCGCGGTATTTACGGGTAAAGTCTAACTACTAAACCAATACTTGTACTATAACTGTAAATCTTCACCTAAACTTCTTGTCATTGATCTTCACTTACTTGTTGACACTTTAACCCTTATCCTTGTATTCAAGTAAACCTAAAGATCTCATGCACGAAGGGTTAGTACGTTTTTCACAAAGTTTGTTCTGTACTTGTTTATCTTTTTATTGGGGGTAGGCTAATTTCCGCCATTTCATTTGCGCAACTGGGTCGTTTGCGCAACTCGCCATAACTTTCTTCTAAGTAAGCCAATCTTTATGATTTTGGTTTGGTTTTGTTGCACTTATTGAGATCTACAAAATGAAACCAAAATCATAAAGATTAGCCCACTTAGAAAAAAAGTTATGGCGAGTTGCGCAAATGAAATGGTGGAAATTAGCCTACCCCTTTTATTGGCTTAAATGTTGGTGTTGATTGCTTTTGACAGTTACCTAAACTATTATAGATTAAAGTGAAATCCATAGTGATTTGTCGAATGAATCATTAGTTTTGAGTAAAAAATGGAGTTAAGAAAATTGGAGGTCCTTCAAACTTCAAACAGTTCGCCCCTTTTTCATATCCAAGGATGTGATATTTAGCTATAGTTCCCCGTTCATTTCCCAGATATGAAAGAGTACCAAGTAATTATCGGCTTATCCTCTGTCCGCTTTGAAAGAGAAAAGAGCAAGAGAGGGACACCATGGGCACCCATTCTTCCCCTCTCCCTTCTTCTCATCTATTGATATCCCTCTCCCATCTACAAACTGTTCATTTACCCATGTACCCATTTCTCTTCTATTCCCTCCTTTCTCATGAATCTGTTCATTTACCGCTTCTCTTTTCCCGTTCTTTCCCCCTTCTGAATCCCCTGGTTACTCTCTTTTATTTCAACCAATTCCCCAACAGATTAACACACTATTTCTAGGGTTATTTTGTTTTCGATATTGATTAGTTAAAGGGTTTTAAGAAAATGAATATCATCAGCGTGCGTGGGACAACATTATGCTCATCAGTAACCATTCAGTTCACCCCTGAAAGTCTACATTAACTCTTAATCATCTCGTGCCTCCCTTTTCATATCTCATTTTGTTCTTTTACCGATTCTCTGTGTTTATCGAGATTTTTTTACGGAGATCTTTTTTACGGAGATTTTTCGTAAACTTTTTCCACTTTCAGACTTGCCAATACAATGTCTCGTCCGCCGCCCAAAATACAGAATCTCGAGGCAGAACCGCGAAGACATGGAGGAGGAGGAGCACCAGGTGGAGGTGGGCAAATTTTGTTCAAAAACAACAACTTAGTTTTTAAACCCAGTGCTTACATAGTCATAGATATTATAGTAAAAAAAAAATTTCCCTTTTAAAGTCAATTAAACTTATCTGGTAATCTCCCTAATCAAGTGCTCTTACCATTCTCAAGTGTTTCCTCATTGGATCTTTACATGACAGGTAGAAGGGGGATTGTTATGTTCAGAAGGTTCGATATCGAAAAGGGAAAAAGGGAAATGTTTGAACTAACGACATATTGACTTACCTGGAGGGAATGGAATTGTTGAAAAGATGAGGTAAAGAAAGAGAAAAGAGGGGAAGACACAGCTGGTGGAGATGGGGGAGTCACACCAAAAGTAAACACAAACATCAGTCAGAATAGGTGGTTCTCTCCTCATAATACACAACCAATAACAACAACCATTTGAACAACCCAATTCATAAGCATAAGCTTTTTAACACTTCTGTTCGTTTTTTTTCTTTACAGAGCTTTACAGAAATATCTCAGACAGTAAACCTGTTTCCTATCTCGTGCACTAAATAATCTCCTTTCCAGGACCTCCACCCGCCTATCATCGACCTGAAAGTGAAACGGGCAGTGATTACTCGAGTGTCTCTCAGATGGGAAAAAGAAGAGCCTCCTGGTCGAATCTTGGTTAGTTTTTGTGAGCAAAATTTCAGCTGAAAGCAATTTCCAGTGGAATCTGACGAGAATCTGACAGCCGTTCGAGTGAATCAATATCCAAACGTCGTCAAGAGTGGATCATCGTTGATCGGAAGTATTGCAACGGTGGGATTCTTTTGACCTAAAGATTCAATTCAAGCACTTAAACATCGAGTTTCTAAAATGTTTCCTTTTCAGTCAACAGCTCCGGTCTCTCAGATACACTCCGGTCATCCCCTTCATCCTCAATCTCAATCTCAACCCCAATCTCAACCCCAATCAAATCCCCATCATCGTCCTCCATCACAGCTCACTCATTTCAGCAGTCACATGTTTGTCGTGGTGAGTTGATCACACAAAACTGATAGAGATGGGTGACAAATTTGATTTTAAATGTTAAATATTGGCATCAAAAAGTCCCTCGGATCTCCAAACTGATCACTTATCCATCGTTGTTCCGATGATCTTTTGATCGTGGAATTTGCCCGCATGTTTGCCTCTTTATCTCTTTATTTGCCTCTTCTTTTCTCCTTTTTTCTTTTCCGTTTCATTCATTATTTGTTTTTTCAATTCCATTCTCCCTGAAGACTTTTCGGAGGAATTTTCCCGTTTATCCTCTTCTTCTTTCCCACTTTTTTCAAGTCCTTCAACCTCGCTGGGAATCTTTGATGTCTGGGGAACCGTAACAAACATTTAACAGTACAGTAAATGCAGATAAAACACCTCTGTTACACCTATTAATGTAGTTAAACGGTACAAATCTGGTCCTAATGTCAATATTTACCTCTTCTCATATAATAGGATCTCTTTGACCTTTTCCCTTTGAAATGACTTCCTCCTGTCTCTTTCTTTTCCCTTTCTTTCCATTTCCCACAACATCCATTTTCCATTCTCAGATTGTTTGAATCAGAGTAAATATCGTGAAGAACAAAAGAGATTTCGTGATGGGAATTCTTTCTTGAGAGTCACGGGAATCTTCATGCGTTCTCAATGGTGATTTGAAGGGGATAAACACGTTTTTTATATTCATGTGTAATTTTGGATTCGAGTTGTTCTCGATGAAATCTGACAGAAGACACAAGCAATGAAATAAGGTAATGGTTGAACCTACAAACATTTTGCCCTCAAGGATCACACCTTTTCCAAACAGTCATCCAAGCACACAGATCGTTCACCCCATTCCGAACATCATCATCATTCCACCCCTTTTCCCTTCTCTCTTTTGTCACCTTTCACTTTAAATATTCAAATAAGATCTCGAAAAAAAACCTTCACCTAGCAACGTATCCAAGGATCATTTGGAATAAACAGAGACAAGAGAATTCTAGATTTTGAAACACTTCAACATTTCCAAAGCTCTCAATTGACCTGTAAAGGTCTAAAGTCATTTATTCTACCATAATCCCGAAGATGTTCATCCCTCTAAACAATGCCCACCGACAATTTTGGTCGTTATAGGATTGATGTGCCGTTGAAGATCAGAACTTTTGTAATAATGTTATAAGATTATTTAAAGGGTATTAATAATGAAGAAAAGTGATTAAGTTAAAAGATTGTAAAAAATGAAGATTCTAAAAGCTTAATTTTCAGCCGAAAGGAACCCTCGTCGATGCCGCTCCGGCTAGCTCATCGGATAGGTGAGTTAAAAAGAAAGGATTACGTGTCAAAAAAGCTTTCTTAGATTAAGCAATCTATTTGGGTGTCTAGAAAGTCTTTTTCCTTTTCGTATTTCCGTTTAAAAATCAATAAATTCACCAATTAACCTATGGTTTTCTCTAAATAAAAAGTGTTTATTGTTCAATTTCCCATCTTTTTAAGTCAATTTGGGTTCACTTTCAAGCAAATTCGAGAGTGAAAACGTGTTTTTCGTAAAAAATCTATAAAAAACCTCTACGGAGAAATTGGCTGAATCAATTTCTCTGATAATTTGGTTATATACCTAATTTTTTGTGCTCTACCTTTTATCTATTGACACAAAGATAGGTTTCCTTAGCTAAAGTGTCTAAACCGCATCATCGAGCCGTCGCCCTTTTTGACTACCTGACTTCGCCCCAAAAAAAAATCCAGACATAAGACATTTTTAACCCGTTTTAATGTTATTTTACAAAAAAATAATTGGACTTTCTAATGAAACGAACCCTAGTTCAATTGGTACATTTGTTGGTTTGAAATGGAAGAACGAAAAGTCCTTTCTGTACAGCGCAATAGACTCGATGAACCCAATTCACATTTCTCCTTTTCCCTGATTCAGATCTCGTGCTGTTCACCACGCCGGTTCATCAGCCGCTCCTTCAGTCGCCAATTCGGACGCGATTCTGGCGGATGCGAAGAAGAAAAAGCGAAATCGATTGCAAGAAATATTAAATTGGTAAGTGATGAGTTACACATTGAATTTTCAATTTTCTTAAGGTGTTCGAATCCTCGTCAAGGCCTTTGTGCTCTATGTCTTCTTCTCGTTTTGATTGTCGGAATTATTGCCGCTATCGTTATTCCATTGGCTTTACGAGCGCCAAAGGTTCGAGCGCCAAAGAATTCAAAAGTTTCATTTAAAGATGATAATGTTCAGAAAGTCTCACTTGCTTTTCAAGCTCCGGAAGCATTGCGTGGTGGATCTTCTGCTTCAACAACAATTCAAATGAATTCAGATGGGGATCAAGTGAGGTTGGGGAAATTAAAAGATAAAGAGTTTCTTCCACAATTATTTTAATGAACTTGAGCTAAAGATTGAAATCTTTTCAGATTCATGATCCGCGGTTCACCCCCATTGAAAGGCAATTTTCTCTCCGTTTACGATTTCAAGACGGTTCGTTTCAAAATAGGTTAAACCAAAATGTTTTTAGAATTTTATCGGTGTTGTCGATGAGAGTTTGAAAAATAATGGACGACAATTGTTTTGTTTTATTCTTCGTTTGGATCGAGGGAATATTCCGGATGAAGTTGATTTGAGGAAAGCTGCGCAAGAGACGAGAACGGTGAGGAGGGAAAGGGACGGGAAGGGGAGGGAAGGGAAGGGAAGGGAAGGGGAGGGAAGGGAAGGAAGGGAGGGAAAAGGAAGGGAGGGAAAGGAAGGGAAGAGGAGGGAAGGGGAGGGAAGGGAAGGGAAGGGACGAGGATTGCGCAGATCATTGAAAAACAATGTTCAATGGTGCTTAGTACTACTTTCGAATTCAAAAAAACAAAACAATTTCTTTACAGAAATCCCAGCAAACACAAGGATGGCAAGAGACATGGAGTTATCAACCACAACCATTGATCATGCAAAATCAAAGCCAATACTTTTCGGTTAGGAATTTTTGCAACATAAAAGGAACTTTTTGCTTATATGTTCTATGTTTTCTAAAAGCTAACCAGTTTAAAGTCCAAAAATGATAATATTTCAGCAACCAATCGATGAATGTAATGGGGCAAGATGGATGCAACTCGAGATGGCTTCAACCAATCAGAGAAGTAAGTTTCATTTGCTACAATTTACAAATATTCACAATTTATGTCTTAATTCTTAAAAATTTCAGCCCAACAATGCACTGATTGTCAGGGATTCTGTTTGCCTGAACTCGGTATTGAGAAGGATACTGTGAGGTGAGTGAAGGAGTAATGTTAAGGTAAAGTTAAAAATGAATCCGTTTACAGAGATGAATCGTATCTGAATGTTGTCCGCCTTGATTGCTTCCAATTATTTGTGCCCGAATGGCGACAATTCGCTCAAGCAAACAGCTTTGAACAGGTAAAGATTACAATGAAAGTTGCTTGTACTTTCCATTTACTGTAAGTAGGCCGAAAGTATTACGAAAGAAAGACTCAGAATACCTTTAGCTTTATTGAAGAATCTGAAAAACTATTCTGTACACTTGATAACACACTGTTTTTTTAGAATCAACGCGATTTCGAGCAGTATTACCGAGTGAGCAATGGAGGAAATCGAATCGGCAATGGAAATGGAAATGGACAAGCTGGGAAATGGATAAATGTGAACAATGGATATGCACAAAATGGTGAGTGATATAAAGGGGAGAAGTACAGCTAACTTGTGAATTCAAGCCATTAATGGTGGTGTGATGATGCCGAGTGGACAACTTGCAAATGGGCAACTTGCAAATGGACAACTCAATCCAAACAATCAACAACAACAGCAGCCTGGACAAACAGCTCAAGGAAATAATTTGCAAAATCTACAAGTGAGGATTGATCTGTGTACAAATCAGCTGTTCAATCAGCTCAAACAATCCAACAAACAAATTTGTTTCCAGGCAGCCGTTTTTGCCGGTTCACTTCCACAAAACAATCAACAACTCCAACAACAACAAGAATTGCAACAGTACATGAAAGAGAGAAATCCTGGATTGATCAATGGGTAAACTGTTTAAGAGTCAGGTGTACGTTAGAGAAATCCTTTAGTCAATTGGGTCCAATCGGTCCAACGACTGCTGTTGTTCATCCCGGAGCACCATCAATTGTACACAATCAACGTGAGTTGAAATATTTGTAAAAAAACATAACTTGTAAGTCTTATAGTACCATAAAAGGTCTATGTAGTCATTAAGTTGAATGAAATTTTAGAATGGCATCAGGGTGATGCACAACAACAATGGTTGAACACTCAATCGGCCTCCAATCCAGCGATGCCCCCAATTGGATGGAGTGGAATGGCAAATGGAAATGGAAGAAATAATAATAACAATGATGGACGATGGACTGGGAATGAAGCGCCTGTGGGAATTGGAGGCACATTGTGGGTTTTGAAAGGAGAAATGATGATAAAGATAGAAATCAAGTAATATCTCTTGCATTTCAGGAATCGTGCCATTCAACCCGTTCTCCAAGGTGCCCAATCCGGGATCCAATCGGCTGCAAACACTATTCAACAAGGTATGCATTACACGTTTCCTTTTATTGTGTTCATTTTTCTTTTTTAGGAGCTCAATCAGTGGGTGAGGCGGTTCAATCGGGTCTTCAACAAGTGCAAGGAGGAATTCAAAATTTACAAGGAAATGTGCAAGATGCCGGCAAATCAGCACAACAGATTATTCAAGAAGCACGACAAAGGCTACAGGTACGAGAAAAGAGGACTGATGGAAGAATTAGAAAGATCAGCAACAATAAATCTTGATTCGAGTTGTTTTCCCCTTAACTACTTCGATCTTTCAGCAGCAAAGCGCGAATGGAGTGAATGGAGTGAACCCACCAAGCGGTTATTTCCAACAAATGAATCCACGACAGGGTGGATATCCTGGATATGATAATGCGTATTTGAATGGAAATCAAATAGTAAGTGAAATGGGAAAGATGGAGATCGGGAAAAAGTATTAGAGCAAATCGTTTATCTCATTCAATTTCAGAATCAACAACAATCCGGCACAAATCTCGTGAATCCACAAAACTACAATGTTCAACCATTTTAAAATGAAATCTCCATCTAATTCCCCATATCTTTTATCATTTCCACTGTGATATCCATTGAAAAAAGTCTTTCTTCACCCATTTCTTCTATCTTTTTCACTCATTTTCTCTTATTTTCTTAAATTTTTCTACTTATTTTTGAGAGTTTTTTGAGTTCTATCAAAAATCATTAAACAGGTCTAGTCGTTGAGCTTTTTGACAAAAGAAAAAAAAAGAAAAATTCAATTTTTTGCAAAGAAATTTACCTCAGGAGATTTTTTGTGTAAAGGTGTGTCTTGTAAAGTTTTCTTTTCAGAATAAATAGTTTCAAATTAAATAAACAAACAAAAATACGATAGGAGAACTTCGGAGACACTCTGATGAATACAAAAGTCCAAACAAAACACAACTGTTAGCAAATCTATTAGGTTGGTCAATTGAAAACTGCGCGACTTTGAACCAAAATTTATTGAACATAAAACGATGAATTCATTCCAAATAATTTCCATTATTATTGACGACTTCTGCTCATTTTACAGGCAATTTGCGGATTCCTCTTTCGTAGTAGGATTTTGGTTTGTGTGTGAGACAAGTATGAGACTCAAAAAAAAAGGACTGGAGATGTCCCAGTTTGAGCACTTTCTTCAAAAGAAACCCATTTTGGTGTCAATGGAAAAGTTGTAGAGAATCAAAAATGAGGCTTATAGCCAAATTTCCAAAAAGATACACTTAGTAGTTTCGCTTAAAATGCAAGTTTTGTGAAAATTCGTAAATTTCGCATTTCTTGAAAACCAGTTTTTGAATCGTTCTGAAAATTTGGCTATAAGCCTCATTTTTGATTCTCTACAACTTTTCCATTGACACCAAAATGGGTTTCTTTTGAAGAAAGTGCTCAAACTGTCACATATGACATTAGCCCGCAGTTTTCAATTCACCAACCCAATATTATGTGTGAATTAAGCCCTGAAAAGTTTCTCTAGTATTGGGTTCCTGTTTTGTGTTCAATGTTCAATTTGGGCAGGAGATGGAAAGTGAATGGGGAAAGTGACCGCATGGAAGAAAGGATCAAAGGGGAATGGGGAATTCCAACTGATAACAGAAGAAGAATTCATCGGTCCTTCCAGGCAAATAAGTCCTTTTGACTTTAGTTTTTTTTTGAAAATTTTTGTAAATATCAATATAGAATGTTAAAAGGTTAAAGAGAAACAAAAAAAACAATTCAGGGTTTGCCTATTGAAGATGATCGACTTCTTGTTGCTGTCACTACTCGTTAGGTATGTCCTTACATTGGGATGATGACAAGATCTTTTTTATGATCTATTCACGATTTCCTTTTTCATTCATAACCGTAACCATTAAGTTCGTCCTTGGCACAAACTACTTCATTCAAAGTGGATCCAATCGGGAAACAATTTCTCCTTGATGGGAAACCATTTCGATACATATCTGGTAAAAGAATATAATAGAAGAAATCACAAATTTATTGAAAAGTAATCATCGATTCATAGGTGAAATTCACTATTTCCGTATTCATCCCGATCAATGGGAAGATCGTTTGAAAAGAGTGAGAGCACTTGGATTCAACGCCATTCAATATTATGTACCCTGGAATTTCCATCAGCCGGATAATGAACAAACGTGAGTTAAGAAAGGGAATTAAGGAATTAAGTCTTGTCTTAAGTCTTAAGAACTCTTCTGATTCTTAAATTTCTAGTGCGATCTTCGATGGTATTCGCAATTTCACGCGCTTCTCGGAGATCGCGATCAATTTGGGGATGTACTCTATTTTGAGGGTTGGACCGTACATTTGTGCGTGAGTTATTCACTTCAATTCGTAAGATAAAACGCTTATTTCAGTGAATGGGAAAACGGAGGACTTCCATGGTGGCTATTGAATAAAAGCAACGATATTGTGCTTCGATCGAGTGATCCACGATATCTCAATTCGGTTGCATTATGGTGAGGCTATGGGATACGGGGATACGGTAGTTTGATTGAAGTTTAGGTTCACGAAACTTCTCCCGATCATTCAGCCAATGATGCGACAGAATGGAGGGCCTGTTTTGATGGTAAAGAAAAGACACAAGACAAGCATTTTCATTGTTTAAACTTGAGATCCTTATTTTAGGTTCAAGTCGAGAACGAGTACGGCAGCTACTTTACATGTGACACTATCTATATGCAATGGTTGAGAGATTCATTGCTGAGAGGACTAGGCAGTGATACACAATTGTTCACAAGTAACCTTTGAATTTGCACAATATACACATTGTTTTTCAATCAGCCGATCCACCAGAGAATATCAAATGTGGAGTGGTTGACGGAGTGTATCCAACTGTCGATTTTGGACCATCAAAAGATCTCGAGAATGCATTTAAAGTTCAATTGAATTACACACAAGGGAAAGGTTTGGAAAAAGAGCAAAATAAAAGCTTTGAATGGTAGTTAATATTGGAAAATTGTAGGTCCATTGGTGAACTCGGAGTTCTATCCAGGATGGTTCTCGGTTTGGGGTGACAAAAAGAAACCAAATCTACCCACAACACAAGAGACTTTGGATTACGTGATGTAAGGAGACGTTTTGAGAAGATTTATATCATTTATAGCCATTTGTAAATATTCTAATTTCAGTGGAATGTACGAGAAGAATGCCTCATTCAGTGTGTACATGATTCACGGGGGAACGAATTTTGCCTTCTGGAATGGAGCTGAATACGCAGGACCGGTAGGTTTAACAAGGAGTCATTATAAAGAAAAGTATTTCACAAGTTTCGAAGCAGATTGCTTTTAGCTGATTTGCTGATTTTGCTAGAAAAGGGTAAAACTGTATAAGTTTGTTTTCAGTTAATTACTTCATATGATTATTTCGCACCGATCAGCGAATCTGGCGATATCATGCCCATTGCTTTGGCTATTAGGTAAATCTCTATCAAAACAGAACTCCCGATTTCTCATTTCTCATTTAGTCATTTTTCAAAAAAAATCTTTTTAGAAGTTACCTCAAAACTCAAAAGGATTGGCCCAATCAACCACAGAATATACCAGCAAATAATGCGTATGTTAAAAAAAGCTTTGAATGATTGACTTGCGAAAACGAAAGACTATGTTTCAGAAGAAAATCGTATGGATCGATTTCCCTTCAAAAAGTCTCTCAACTGAACGAATTCCCCTCAAATTGTCCCCAAAGTGATTCCCCACAATCATTCGAGAAACTCGGGCATGGTTTCGGATTTGTTGCTTACACAGCTGTATGTAAATTTGCTTTAAAAGTTTGATTTCGTATTCAAATTACCCTCTAGACTCTCCCTCAATGCAATGGTGGAAAATTGAACGCGCAGAGAGTGAGTGATCGAGGGGATGTCTTTGTCGATGGAAAATATATTGTAAGTATCTTACTGAGTATCGTTTCTATGAATTGACGAACATTTTTGAGGATACTCTTCAATTTTCCCACAGCACCATTCAAATCCCGACAACCAATTGTAAGAGTGGAGCAAAGTTGACGATTCTCGTTGAGAACACCGGGAGAATCAATTTCGAGACTGGAAATTATCCAAAGGTTAGCAAAAATTCTAGCTGATTCTAGCTGACTTTCAGGGTTTATTGTCTGATGTGAATATTGATGGAACGACGATAAATGGATGGATGAATTGTCCGATTCAAATGAGTGAACAGATCCAAGCAAGCGGCACAAATGAAACACCTGTGCCGAATGATGTCAGTGAGACAATTCTTTCCTTTTTAACGACTCGAAATCTAGCCCTCTCTGCAAGGAGTCTATTCGGGAACATTCCAAGTGGATACACCAATTGATACATGGATTGATGCAAGTAAATGGGGAAAGGGAATCCTTTTCATTAATGGACTCAATATGGGAAGATATTGGACCAAGGGACCACAGGTTGGTTCATCAAAAGATAGCAAAGAGAAATTGTGATGCAGTAGTAAAACTCTTTCTTCTTTCTAGTTAACCCTCTACGTGCCAGCTCCAGTATTGAAAGTTGGCACAAATACGCTGACAATCGTTGAATTGGATTCAAATTATGGTTGGTGATAATGGAAGTCAAAGAAATTTGCAAAGACAAATTTCACATGCTTTTAGTTTGCTCGTCGAACTGCAAAATTGATTCAGTTGATGCCCCGAAGTGGACTTGGTAGAAAAGAAAATGAAAGAATGACATTCTATTGACTTCAAAATAAACTTTTATTTGCATTTTCCCATCAATTCTTTTGCTTCTTTCTGATGATGGAAATCTTCATCGTCAATTGCTGTTTCGTGAAGACATTTCTCTACAAATTCGAGCGCCTTCACCTAGAAATTTGATTTGATACTTGCATTTGACAAATTTCACATGTTTCTGTATATTTGGATTGTTGATCCCCACCTTATCTTTCTTCACATGGTAACTCTTCGCAATGTACAACAAATTGTCCAACCAAGTTGGCTCTTTCTAAAAAAAAGCTTGAGTAAACAAAGTATTTCAAGAATTAGTTAGGTAAGCATTGTTGTTAGGATATCTTAAAGATATCTCAGAATCCCAGACAAGTTAAAGTCACCCGATAGACTTCGAGTAAATCTTCCAAAGCCTCATCAATTGTATGATCGGGAGCAACCATGAAAACAGCGTTGATTGCCTAGAAAGCTTTAGTTTTGAGAAGTTTTGGCTAAACTGCAATATATGGTTCGATTACCCAACTACTACTTACTTTTCTCTCAATCCAATTCATTTGCGACATCGAGAATTTGTATCGAGCACGCAAATGGAGAAGTCGAGTATCATCGGGGAGAAGCTCGGAAGCTGAATCGAGGTATTCCTGCAAGGATTTGCTGTACAATAGAAAAGTTTCTTGATTAAGTCTTGATTAAGTCTTCATCTTTGTTCTCACTTTGAAGAGTTTCCCCTGTCTGACTTTATCTGTCAATCCCACAAATTCCACCGATTTCCCAGTGACCATTGCGGCGAATTTAAGCAAATTCGGGTGATTGGGATGGGTGTGAACGGCTTGTTGAGCATGATTTCTACCTGGATCATGGTTTTGAGTTTACAAAATACTTACAAAAGTCCTGTAAGGGTCTAGTCTAGTCAGTGTTAGTCATAGTTTAATCTTTAAATTACCTTCGATTAAAATATTTTTCTTTTCGTTAAATGTTCCAGAAAAGAGAGCTTTCTGATGGCATGATTGAATGAATCTCCACAACAATTCCACATCAATTTCACCCTCGGAAACGATTTGCTGAAATTATGAGTAAAAATGATAACGATCCTGAATACCATTTTCAATTTTTCATAAACTTGATGAGAATTTCGTTTATCCGACAAAAGCTGATCAATCTCTTGAAAGTTCTAAAAGATTTTTAAACATTAATCGAATCCTTTCAATCTTACCATTTTCATTTTCTCTGAATAACAGTGAAATTCGATTGCCGACTAAATTTCAGAAACCTAATAGTCAAAGGAAACGAAAAACTGAATGGTTATCAATTCTTTATTTTCTCTTTGTGTCGCTAACTATGCGTGTTGTCTGTGTATTTTTTTTTCTTCCTTTCCCTCGATTTTCTTGATAAGACTTCTTTTTGACTTTTTTATTTTTTCCATAGTCTATCATGCATTCTTTTTATTGATTCATTTCAATTTCAAATTACCTGAATCAAAAATTTATTCATTGTTTTCAAAAAATCCCGTCAAATTGATGAATCAATCACAGAAAAACTCACAGATTCGGTTCGAAAAATGGAGAAAAACCATTTAAAAAAGGAAATTGCTAAAAGAGATCGAAATGAGCACAGAAAATGCAAAGGGGAAAAGCTAAAGATATGCAAAAATCGAAGAAATTTAGCTAAAAAAACGATAAATGCCACTGAATGAAGAAAAGGAATGAAAAAGTTCGCAGGGTGATTGAGGGTTCACATAAGAAAATAGACTTGAGTCAGAGATTTTTGAATCGTTCAAGTCGTTGTACAGCTAACCAGTCGTTCAATCAGTCGTTGTACAGCTTCGAATGAGCTCTTTTTGTCCGGATAATCTTGCCAAATTTCTCCTACAAATCAGATTCTTTTGTTCAATCGGATTTCGATCGATTGTTATATCGGTATTTTGGAGGATGTCTCCCGCTTCTGCCAATAGTTTTGAGCGATCTGGATTCGACATGAATACCTGAAAATTCGGATATTTGAATAGCTTCATTTCACTTCATTAAATAACTCTGATCAATTGTTACACTTACCTGTAAAACATTATCATCCGGTCCTTCAGCATCTTTCAATTCTTGTCCTTCAGCTGTTCTCCAACACACCCTCATCTCCGAGGTTCTGTAAAAGTTATTGTAAATATTTCAGCTACAGTAAAAAAAACCTTCGTTTTGCAATTGTCGTTTGATGAATGAGAACGCCTTCTTGGGTGGGGAAGTTGAGCATTGAATGATATGAAGTGGAGGGAGGGTCGAGGGTATCCTGGAATGGAGAGAGATTCAAATGAGACAAAGCTTGTAGATCAGTTCTGGACAGACAGACAGCCTTGCACAGATATGTACAGAAGTTCTGGTACTGATCTACATGTCTGTGTACTGATCTACAAGCTTTGTCTCATTTCAATCTCTCTCTCCCTTTCAGGTTCTGTAACAGAACTGACATTGTATTCTTGATCTTGTATTCATTAGGGGGATAATTTTTACCCATAAATTAGTATTCTTCAGACCTTTCCTTCATCTCCATCGATGAGACTTTCCACATGAAGAACTTCCCAATTTTTCGCTTTCCTCGGAAATGTGATCAATGCTCGAAAACTGTCCCAATCTGGTTCCAACGAGACACCCATGAAATAGATCTCGTTGTGACCCTTGAATTTACTTTTGAGCTGAAGTAAGTTTAGTTTTTTTTACCTTATAAAACCCTTTGATAAACATGACTCCAACAGAGGATTTGACGAAAATCGTTTTAATCGCTTGCATCACAAAAGATTCCACCTAAAATAGAAAAAAAATGGTCAAAGCTGCTTAGTAAATCATAGCAAATAATATGATGAATACCCCGGGTAAAAGATCTCTCGTTTGATCGGTATTGTAATATTCTAGAGCATAAGGCCGTTGATCTCCAATACATTCATAAATACTTCGATGTGTTTCCACTGTGACGATGCAGCCTGGAAAGGGTGTCCAGGCGTTAATCAAACAACAAACTTTATACCAATCAATCCACTTTTTGTCGTACAAATAGCTGTGAATTCATGTCCATCCTCTAAACATTCTTCTATCAAATATTCCTCATCGGGACGACCGCGAGAGAGACGAGTCTAAGAAATTTGAAAAATCAATAAGATAAGGTCCCTTTTACTCACCCTAATCCACATTTTAAGTTCATCTTCATTTCTCGCGATACTCATTGAATGGGGACAATTGCCAAGACTTTTACTTGGTTTGATGATCACTGGGAATCTTGAAATAACAGTAATAATTGAATGCACTCAATACAATTCCAAATTCAAGGATAATTCAATCCACTTACCTCCCCAAATGTGATTTCGCCACCTCAACCCATTGTTCGGGTTGTGGTTGACCGGTCAGGGAGCAATGTCTAAAATTTTAAACTATAATATTTATGAAAACTTATCTTTTTCCAAAACTATTCTACAGATGAATGTCTCTTGTTTTCTCACCTTACAGTAGTCAATCCACCCCTTCTCGTGACCGAACTCGTGTCTCGAATTCTCATCAATTGATCCAATTGATCGGGAGTGAAGCCCTCAAAGTATTTGCTTCTTCAAAATCACTCATTTTCTTTTATTTTTACCTCAATATCCATTTCGAATCGAATCTTCGCAATCGCCAATTGTAATCGTTTCTCAAAAGTCACCAATCGGCGTTGGGTTGAGGCGTAGACTGAACAAAGTTCTCGGACCTGAATGTTTTCTATTTCAGATGTTTTCTATTTCAGATGTTTTCTATTTTCAGAAGGAAAAAGCCTTGGTATACCTTATAGTTTTAGTTGATCAAAGTCAAAATCAAAGTCATAATCAAATTCAATAACCTTTTGAAAGAGCTGACAATGTTCGGCTTCTTTGATCGGTGGTTCGACCTGATAGTAGACGTCAACACTAAAATATTCGCATCAGTTTGATCGGTGAGACGAATTGCCTACTTCGTCTCATCATACAGTAGTCTGGGCGGTCCGACGACAAAAATGCGCAGATTGGGCGATTTTCTCAAAGCGGAAAGATCCAATCGATGTTTAGAGAGAACGATGATTATCGTGTAATTGAATGGAGGCATTCCCTGAAAGAAAAATAACCCTGAGAGGATAGGAAAAATGGTTTTTAGAATTAAAAGAGGCACAATTTGAATTCTAAACACCATTTTCTATTTTATAAAAATGATATCAGGAAAAACATAAAAGAAATCAACAAACAGTTATAAAAAAAGAGGTGAATAACTCTTGATTCATGCACAGTTTCCAAAAAAAAAACAAAAGTTCAAGAAAAATTGAGCAAACAAGATGAAATTTGAATAAAACTTTTCAATATCAAATCATGTACTAAATAAAAACAAGAAAAGTTGAACCTTTTTGAAGAAATGAACATGAAAATGGGTACTTATTCTTCTGCAATGAGGAAACAATTTCACCTGTTCATCGTCATTTCGTATAAAGTTAACAAAGAGAAATAAAAATATTTGATCAGAAAATTCTTGCAAATACTTCTAATCCTTTTGTCAATCTTTTTCAAATCAATGTTTTTTTGTCTTTTCTTTTCACGAAGTTTCCATGGACATTTTACTCGAAAATAATAAATTTTCTGTGAGGAATTTTCCGTTTTCTCCTCCAAAATCAGTCATCAAATCCCTTCCGAGGATTAATTTCCCATTTTTCTTTTTCAGACAAATGAATTTATTCAATTTTAAGCCAAGAAAATGATGTAACTCTAATCTACAAAAGATTAGAATATGAATAAACGAACCGGCGTCGAGATAAGTGTCTACCCCTCCTCAGAGACTTACTTGACCCCCCTCAGAGAATCTGAGTATGACGACTCTTCTCTTTTCCTCCATATCTCGACTTCTAAATGTCGAATCGACTTGTGGTTGGTCTTTAAATGTTCCTTATGAAATTCGGTTAGAGAAAACTATAAGTCATTTAATACACAATTGGATTGATGATTGAACGGGGTTTTACTTTGTCTTGGGAAGATCTGTTTTGAATCTGAAGAGTAAAAGACAACCCGGATCAGCTTTAGACTAGAATTAAACTGAAAAAGTATAGAATAAACATTTTTAGACTAGAAAAAGAGGAAATTGGCAGTTAGGCGGTTGTATCGTCGAAAAAAGAGGAGATGAGGGAAATGTTTTGTCGAGAGAAGAGGAGGAAAGGGGAAATCAGTGGAGAGGTTATGACATAAATCGCGAGTTTTTCAGAGTTGCACTGGGGGAAATGAATACAGAAATATGCAATGGAAAAGAAGAAAGAAAAGAAGAGAGATCGATCACAAATAATCCCCTTCAAGTGAATATCGATCAGATTCCGGGAAAAGAGGTGTTGTTTGAGTTGTTTGAGTAAAAAGACAATATTGATGGGAATATAATGAATCTTAATGATGTCTGGCTATCTTATCCTTACAAAATGGAATTCAAATCCTTAACTACACCCATTTCATCCTAATTTCCGCTCAACAATCACGCGAAAAAAGTTGTCTGGAGGAAATTGGAAATATTTTGAAAATGAGGAAATTATGGATGATTTAAGGGGGGAAAAAAGACTATTCTATTTTACAATTTCCCCTTTTTTGTTGATGATAGAAAGAGAAAAAGGAAATTTCTCATCCTCGCGATAATTGCATCAATATCTCACGGCAGCATTTTCGAGTGGGGAAAAATTGGAAATTTGCTGCAAAATTAGAATTGGATCTGTGAAGTTGAGAATAAAGGAATGAAAGAAATTTCATTGAGCCCAGAAAACAATAATCACCTAAAATTTTAATCAAGTGATTGGAGAGTTTTCACGGATTTTTAAATTTTTCAAAAGAAACGTGACAAATAACGGATTGAAGAGCGGCTTTTTTTGGTTTTTTCGTTTTGAGAGGAAAAAAGAAAGCTTTGGAATACATTTTTGATGAGTTTTTTGGTGAAAAAAGGCGAAAAGCGACACAAAGTGTGGGAAAATCTTTGAGCTGAGAGGGCATTTTGTGAAGCGATTCTATTTCTGAAAAATAGGGACTAGCAAAAGAAAGCAAATGAAGAAGTCCAAAAAGCTTGAATTTTGTGTGTTCTTTGTTATGGATAAACACACGACTGTTGGTGTACTGACTAAATTTTTGAAAGCATAAATCAAAGCTACTCATCCAAAATATAGAATTACCAAAAATATCATTGAAATTCGAAAACAAAGCAGCCGATTTGTTGAGTGGGAAACGAGTCCTGAATTTCAGCACATGGAATTTGTACTAGAACGAAAGGAAAAGGAAAAAAAGAGGGAGAACTGGACATTCATTGATGCAGGGAGTCACTGACAACCCGCATAGAAGAGAGAGAAGAGAAAGGGGAAAGGGGCGGTGGGGGAGAGACCACTGGGGGACTAGGGGGTCCTCCAACCCAATTAGTCCTCTCCCCGCCGATGTCCTCTCATTCTATTTCTTCTTCTTATTCCACTGATCTCTTTTTTTTCGTCTAACTCCACACCAAGCTTTTAGTGGGGTTTTAGCGTGGTATCCCTATGCAGACGCGTTCCAAACGCTTGTACCTACTATCTGGACTCTATTTTGACGACCGGAAAAAGCTAAAAAAGACATTGTTTTGGATTTTAATGGAGTATCTTTTTCTAGTTACAATGCAAAAGCTGTGATCGTTATGGTAGAGAACACAATGCAAAAAAGAATGTTTGATGTTAAATGAAGCTAGAAGGTTTAATTAATCGGAATTGTTTCAGAATGTGGAAACGAATTAAAATGAAAAAGAGATGAAGCAGAAAAGGAAAGAGGGGAAGTGGGAAGAGGGGAAGTGGGGAAGAGGGGAAGTGGGGAAGAGGGGAAGTGGGAGAGAGAGAACCGATTCGATGAAAGTTAGGAGAGAAGAGGGGATCCCCATAACTGAAATCCCCCGGGAATTCCCCTTCTCTCAATGTCTAGCTAAACATGCAAGAGATCGAAAAAAAGAGAAAAAGATATAGAAGAAGAGGAACATTTTCACGCATACATTACAGACAGTTATATGGTTTATATAGTTTTAAACAGTTAAACAGTTATATGGTTTTAAACGGGGTTCAACGAATGCAAATATTTTCATACGCATTAGTGAGATCTTTTGAAAGCAGAAGCACATCCTAACACTCCAAGAGTACAATGCAAATCAAGAAATGAAAAATTTATTTAGAAAGAGTTGAGATCAAAATTTTTTGATTTCATTTGAACTCTTCCATAAAAGGGTTTATTTTTGAGTTTGAAAATGGGCAAGAAAATTCTTTCGTTGATCTCCTTTAGATAAAATCTTTTCTTTTCCCGTTTTCCCAATTTTTCCGAAATGTACGTAGAAAGAGGATAAACCCTTTGTTTTTTTGCAGAGAGAATTAATCTCTATAGATTAGAAATATTAAAGAAAAGTGTGAAAATTCACACGGAGAACAAATGAAGACAGGGAAAATGAGAAAAGGGATGGGGGAAATGGCAAAAATTGCAAAAATTGCGGAGAGTTTACTGGGTAATGGTGCTTGTGAGATCAAGAAATGTGAACTGATCATCAACAACAGATAGCTTAGGAATTCGCATGTTCATTTACCCAATCCAGTTAAATTTTTGGGAGTGGGACAAATGCGACCTTTTTGTTGCGCACCCGGACATTTGCGCACCTTTTTTTCCGCACCTTACCCATTAGCCTACCTTTTTTCGCGTTTTAAAAAAGCTCTAAAAAGCTAATATTAACCAATTTCTATTCCAAAAGTTGTTTTTCTAGGTAATTCTAGGGCGTAGAATCGAAATTTTGACACATCAGAGCTTGTGGAAGCGAACGGACGGAGTTATACAAAGAGAAAAATCAACAATTTGAAATTTCTGTAATTTGACCTAGCCGTTTTGTCTATCAAATTGGTTCCACACGCTCTGTTATGTCAAAATTCGAATTCTACACCCTCAAATTACCTAGAAAAACAACTTTTGGAATAGAAATTGGTTAATATTAGCTTTTTAGAGCTTTTTTAAAACGCGAAAAAAGGTGCGCTAATGGGCAAGGTGCGGAAAAAAGGTGCGCAAAGGTCCGGGTGCGCAACAAAAAGGTCGCATTTGTCCCACTCCCAAATTTTTGAATGTCCCTTCCTTTTCTCAATTCAAAATGTAACCAGATTCCTTTGCCGTTCAAATATAAAATGAAAAGAAAAGAGAAGCCGACTTGGAAAATGGAAAATTGAGAAATCATCTCGAATTTCATATTTCCAAAAATATTGAACCAAGTTTTCATTCAGAATTTTCGTCTTCTTTGAACAATCAGAATCATTGTCGTTTTGTCTAGCACAAAATTTGAAAGCAATAAATTTCCATTGAATGAGTGAGACGGAAACTACAGTCAACTTTGTAATCTGTATATAAATCGATTCATTCAGCGACTCATCTCAACAAAAAACATCATCGAAACTCAAGAGGCATTCCCCCACCATTCCCTTTTTTTTGATTTTTCCATTCGACTGCCCAATTTTGCGATAATTCACCTCAAATCTGAACCAAAAAAAAACATCGATTTTTTCACTTTTATCTCAATCAAATTCTTTAAAATGAGAAATATTTCTTTTCGAATTTTCCTAAAGTTCAAATTGAAATCACCTTTTTTCTCCTTTCTTTTTCCCTTCTTGTCATTCATTCGGGCAATATTTGCTTTAGAAATTGTCGCTTTTCTTTTGTATTAGGTTGGTGCAAAAGAAATTTCGGTCGATATAAAATGTTCTTATTTTTTTAATCTAAAGAGCTTATTTGATGTTCTTTTGTGCATTTGTACTCTTGGATATTTACTTTATTTTCGCATTTTTTCAAAGTCAGAGCTTTCACTTTTTAATTGATTTTTGCTTTAGATCATGGTGGATCAAAAGTACGTTCTGCGCACGTGTCTTCTCTATGACTTCAAAATGGGCAAAAACGCTGCTGATTCACATCGTGGTCGCTGTTCCGCCTTTGGAGAACAGGTTATCACCGAAAGATCATGCCAGCTCTGGTTTGCCCAATTCCGAGATGGTAATGAATCCCTTGAAGACGAATCGCATGGACATCGTGCCACAGCCATCGACAACAATGAATTGAAGCTGATCCAATGCAAACAACACAAGAACTTGCCAAACATCTCCAATTCAACAATTGTACGCCATTTGGAAATAATTGGAAAGACAAATCGTAATGGACAATGGGTTCCACATCAATTGAGTGTTGAGAATCTGGGAGCACGCGTTCCGATCAGCCATATCTTGCTCCAGAAGTCGAAAAGAAGCCATTTTTTTGAGAATATCTTGACGATGGATGAGAAGTGGATTCACTTTGATAATACTTCTCGAAAAAGACAATGGCTGAGCAAAGGTCAAGCGCCAATTCCAACTCCAAAGCCGGATTATCATGGGCGCAAAGTGATGTTGTCTTGCTGGTGGAATATCAATGGACTTGTTCATTTTGAATTATTAGAGCCCGGAAAAACAGTCGATTCATCTTATTTTATTCAACAACTCAAGAAGGTTGACGAAATTTTGCGTGAAAAAGGCCTAAATCCCTCAACTATCAACTTTCTCCGTGATAATGCTCCAGCTCACACGGCAAAAACCTCTTGTAAGGAACTAGAGAAGCTAGGATGGAAGGTCTTACCACATGCGCCGTATAGTCCAGACTTAGCACCCTCCGATTTTCACCTTTTCAGATCGATGCAACATTCCCTTGAGAATTGCCAGTTTAAGAATGCAAAAGAAGTCGAAAATTGGGTGACCAACTACTTTGCATCACAGAATCAAGCGTTCTTTGAGAAGGGGATCCGCAATCTGTAGCAACGTTGGAGGGATGTCATAGATAATAATGGTGCTTATTGTTTTAAATAAATTGTTATCAAAAAAAATTTTGGATGACTTTAATGTTTGTAAAAAAACGAAATTTCATTTGCACCAACCTAGTATGTCTATCTTTTGATGTGTTCAAGAAATTTTTGATAAAAGTTATGAAAAATAATATAAGGGCTTTGTTCTCCTCTTCCCATTTCTCGCTCCAATCACCCTTTACCCCTTTTCATGTTTACTTGATGTTGATGCCGATTCATTGAACGATTCTTCCCTCATTTTTCAGTCGAAATTTTAAAATTCTATGCGCTTAGCGTGCGAATGACTTATTTTTTTGAGTAAAAACATTTTTGAAATTATCCACGGAGTTTTTTTTGAATAAATTTCCAATCTAAACGGGTTACCATGACAAAATTATAATAGATTTCCTAAAAAGTTCCGGTAATTTTTTTTGTTTTCGTAGATTTTCTGATTTTAATTCAGTTCAACACTCGATTTCCAGTTGTATTCTGCCATTTTGGAGTCACTTTTCAACAACAAGTGACTCATCGAAAATTGAGGGGCTAAATTAGGCAAAATTAGGCTAAATTTTCAATTCTTTGATCCCACTGATTCTTTTTAATTCTTTTGTGGGGGTGGAAAGGAGATTCTCGTTGAATTGACGAGAATAAACAATGATCCCTCCCCTGGCCTCACCTCCCCTCCTCCTCCCCCTCTTCCTCTTCCTCTTGATCCTCTTCCTCACACCCCCACAATTCTCCCATTTTCGGCTAATTTTTCATGAGACTCTTTATATAAATATACAAACAAATAAGATGTGCAAAAGAGCTTTTCAAACTTTTCACTATATGAAAAAAGCTGTAGGATGGGATGAAAGAGATGTCATCCTTATTCAATCTGTTCAAATATGGATATGGATGGAGTTAAAGTTTACATTCATTCGTTGAAAAAGACTCTAAACTTTCAGAAACTCAAACTTTATTCTCTTCTTTGCAAAAATGAAATTATAGTGAGTTGGAGAATTTAAAAAAAATCAAGTTTCATTTACTTCAAAGGTTGCTCTCATGACTCCATTTTGGTTCTGAAAAAGATTTTGCAATCCTAATGAGAATTAGGATTGCAAAATCTTGCAATCCTAATTCTTTTCAACTTTTATCATTTTTTAATCTTTTCCTTTCTTTGAATCCAGGGTTATTCAAGGGTTATTTGTGAAACAAACACCACAAAAACGAGGCAACTCTTTTTGACCGATGCGGAGACATTTTTCGGAAAAGTTCCCTTTTCTCCCATCAGTCGCTCTATTTTGTCAAGAACTTTGAATTGCTCGCTCTAGCTGAGATTTTTTCACTTTAACAAACGGTCGAGAAACATTTCGGCAATTCTCACTCCAACTTTAGATCATTCTCTAAAATCATTTCCAATACAGATAGCTAAACTTTCACCGCATTCCCTTATATTGAGAAACATCCTTTTAACATTTGTCAGTCGGATACAAATTGAATTCTTTATCTCAGAGCGTAAGGTTAAAGATTTGTTACATATTAGATTCGTCAAACTAGATTAAGACCCTGACCATCCGGATGAACTGCTAGCGAGCTCTGATGGTGATGGGGTGAATGGGGAGAACTGTCAAAATGCCATCGACGAAGAGGGAAAAGGAGTAGTGTGATGGGAAAAGAGTGACGATGATTTGGGGATAGGTGTAGAGGAAAGGGGTCCGGCCCGGTACTCCCAAAGGTCTCCGAGAGTGGGCCTTTCCCAGCCTCTCCCATGAAGTCTATGAACACCTTTACCCCTTTTCTATAGCGTGAATACGGCTGTTATTGATGATCAGGTCTTCATCTTGACCAAACATGGCGTCAAAGTACTAGTTTTGATTCGGTCACTCCTAAGTGCTGCAACGTTTGATACTTCTTCACAATTTTATCCATCTACCATTCATTTTGCTAGTTTTGTATAACTTGGGCTTAAAAATCTTTCTTAATTTGACTTGCAATTAGTTTTCTTCTTAGACAATTTCCTTTTTAGATGGTGCTATGGATATTCGGGGCGCTATTTTGTGGTAATTTCCTCTTGATTTCACTCTTTGCAACGGAGAATGTATATGACGAGTGAGTTTGATCAAAGATTTCTTCAACTATTAAAGTTCATAAGTTGAAGGAATTCAAGATTCATAACACTTAAAGAACTATTGATTTCAGGTACAAATTCGTTGAGATTACGGCTCGACACAAAAGAGATCTTCAGCTTCTCAGTCAATTGTATACAGAAGACAATGTTAGTTTATAAGAAATAATATTTGAAAAAGTTGAACTTCAACTTATTCTTCATCAATTTTTCTTTATATTTGATCTTAAACTTTAGTCTTAAAATCTTAAAGACATTCGACTGCCCAATATCTCTATATTCAGGTTGATTTTGTGCGAAAAGCTCGATCAATCGGACAGAAAGCTGTGATCTTTGCGAATCCATCAGATTTTTCAATTATCTCACAAAAACTACAAAATGCTGGAGCCAATTTTGAGAGTAAAGGTTAGAAAATCGAAATTTCTTGAAAGTTTATAACATTCAGATGTTTCCTTTGACACAAATGACCGTGAGAAGCGTTCAATTGCCACAGCTCCTCTTCAATATCAACAAAAGACAATGAAAACTGGGACAATGAGTAACTATACACTTGATGAATATCATGATCTTTCTGAAGTAAAATAGATTTGATCTTAAACCTTTTAATCCATTGTTTAGCAAATGGCTTTCATCGAATCAATTGCTCAAAGAAATCCGAGTTTTGTGAAAATGGGAACGATGGGGAAAAGCTTTCAGGGGAAATCGATTCAGTATTTGAAGGTGAAATGGGAAAAATCATACAGTATAGAGAGATCATACAGTATTCCTTTAAAATGCAATCTTTGTTTTCCAATCTTTGTTTTCCAATCCGATTCCCTATCTACCTACCCATCTACCTTTCAGATTGGTTACCCAATAAATCAAACAAAACCGATATTCTTCATTGATGCAGGCATTCATGCACGAGAATGGATTGCCCCAGCTGTGGCTCTTTGGATCACAAATGAGGTGAGGGATTCGATTCATCGCAATTATTCCACAAAATATTCAAAATCAAAGAAGCATTTGCTTTTCAGCTAACAAATTCAACGAAATACGCCTCTCTTCTTCGACAAATCGATATCATTATTGCGCCAAATTTGAATCCCGATGGATATACTCATACAAGAAAAGGATATAGGATGTGGAGGAAGAATTTGTTCGTTTTAAATTTGACTTTAAGAAAGACTTTATTATCTAAAATCTTTGCAGAACCCCTCAACCGAATCAATGCTTTGGGGTGGATTTGAATCGGAATTTCCCATTCTATTATGGATTCTCAGGAACCGAGTCAAACTCGTGCAGGTTTGGATGGATGGCATTTAGAAGTAGAGGCATATAGGCCATATAGGCCATGTTTAGAAGCATATAGGCCATTGAAAGTTGCATATTTGTATACATACAAGGAAGACATTTGTAGATTTTTATCTATAAAAAGTCATATTTTGTGTTTTAGCGAGATCTATACCCAAGGCTGCTTCGGATTTTCTGTGAGAAAATTGCAGAGAAAATATAGCTCTTTCTAATAGTAAAACCAATTTTTATAGCCCTTATAGCTCCAAATCTAAATCTGAAAACATCTCAATTTTGAAAGATTGATGATCTACGTAAATTACAGAAAATCCGTACAACGTGCAAAGACAAAAAGCCATATTCGTCTTTTAGCGAGATCTACAAGGGACCGAAGGCTGCTTCGGAACCCGAGACACAGGCACTCAAAAATTTCCTCGACAACAACAAACAACAAATAAAAGTAATTCTTGAAAACCTATCTAGATAATATATAGATGATATACAGTATCAAGGTAGAGTTAACTAACAAATTAGCTACTGAATTAGTTAACTAACAAATTCAGGCCTACATAACGCTGCACAGCTACGGTCAGAATTGGGTGTATCCATGGGGATACGCGGTGAAGACCTATCCACCAGATGTGCAAGATTTGGTGAGGATCATTTTAGATTTCAATTTACTTATCTTTTTGAGATTAAAATTCTTTTGATTATAAAGTTTCTTCGATTTAAATAACGAATTTCTCACAATCAGATCGATCTTGGGAATGCGGCTCAAAAGGCGATCGCACAAGTGAGGGGAACTCAATATAGTGTGGAGAATTCGGCTGATGGAATGTGTGAGTTGGATAAACAAATTGAAGCTCATTGCATGAATGGTGGGAATTGCAATCAAAAGTTTGATTCAGATCCGGCTGCTGGAGCATCGGATGATTACGCGAAGAGTTTAGGCATCAAATATGTTTACACTGTCGAATTGGCCCCATCTGAGGATGATTTGAGGTAAAGGAGTTTAAACGTTATTTAAAGAATTGTTTAGCAAAAGATTTGTCTATATATTTTCAGATTAAAGTATTTAATCATTTCTAGATACGATTTCAATCTGCCCGCGAATCAAATCCTTTCCACGTCAACCGAGGTTTTCCAAGGGATTTTGGTTGTCGCTCGGAAAGTCGCCCAGCAATACGCAAATTAAAACAAAAAAGTTTTCTTTTTTAAAATTTTGATTAATTTGAGTTACAGAATTAATTACATTTTCATTAGATTTTCGTTAAAATTCCATTTTGTAGCTTTAATTGACCGGGTTGGGTAATTGACCGAAAGCTCTTTCTCAGCTATTCTCAGCTTTTCCTCTTCTAGTCCAAAATACAAAATAACGGGTATAATTGATGATTTCTATATGGTGAAAATAAATTGTTAAATTTACAATTTACACGCAAAAATATCATGAAGATTTTTCTATTTCAATCACAGTCCAAAAATGATTTGAACAGAAGTTATCAGTAGCAAAAAAAAAGAATTTGGAAGCTTAAAAGCTGGCATGTTTTCTCAAAGGATCAATCGCCCAAATCGGCTTTAAATTTTTGGGGAATCTGCTTGCAATTCCAAATTCGAGTGGAAAGGCACACGTCGGGGAGGGCTACTGAATGGTGATAACAGGGGAAATCCCGAAAGAAGGGGGGAAAGAAGTGAGGGAAAGAAGGGAGGGAAAGAAGTGAAGGAAAGAAGTCAAATAAAACTAGCTAGTATTGCCGATTTACGGGGTGATTTATGAGCTTAAAACGGGTTTTATGACAAATTTTTTTTGATTGACAGTGTCTTTTTGGGATAGAAAGTTATTTGCTGGCTCATTATTGGTTTTTTTGTGTGTCTGAAAGTTGATCAACTCAACGGGTTTAATTCTTCTTTCTTAAAAAAATTCTTAAAAACATCTTACTTCTTGTACTTTTGTACAAGAAGTACGCAATTTACGCAACTTATTTTGCTTCTTTTTAACAATGTTATTTTGTTGAAACACTTCCAGAAAGATTAACTTTTTCACTTTTGGATAAAACTGGAGAAATCCCGAGGAATATCCCTTCAAGGCTTTATCGCCTTTGCCCTTGTTGCCATTTTAATTCTTGTCAACACTGGATTTCAAATTGCAGTAAGTATAAGAAGGGGAATTTAATTGCCAAAGCAATGAGACCCATACTAGAAAATTTTTCAGGACCATGTCTACCTTCGCGATAATCTGAAAAAATCGGATTCACCCTCAAATCCTTCCACTCAACCAAACAACCTCGAAACACCAACAACCGGATTCAACGGGTTGCCCAATGTGACATCAGCTCCACCAACAACCTGCCAACCACCACCATTACCGAAATGTGAAAATACATGCGAGTGAGTGCTTATAGGGGGGGGGGGGGGGGGGGCGCCGCCCCCCCCCCCACACCTTCCCTCCCCCCCCCCCCCCCCCCCCCCCCCCCCCCCTCCCCCCCCCCCAAAAAAAACACCCCCCCCCCCCCAAAAAACAAAAAAAAAAAATCCCAAAACCTTCCCCCCTTTATGTATAAAAAAAACAAAAAAAAAAAAAAAAAAAAAAAAAAAAAACCCAAACCCCCTTTAAAAATTTTACCACAAAAAAAAACCCCATATTTATAAAAAAAAAAAATAAAAAAAAAAAATAAAAAAAATAAAAAAAAAAATAAAAAAAAAAAAATAATTTTTTTTTAAATAATAATTTTTTTTTTTTTATATTTTTATTTTTTTTTTGGGGGGAGGAATTTTTTTTTTTTTTTTTTTAAATAATATTTTTATAAAAAATTAAAAAAAAATATTTAAAAAAAAAAAAAAAATTTTAAAAAAAAAGTTTTTTTATTTTTTTAAAATTTTTTTTTTTTTTCGGCGCCCACTTTTTTCCCCCAACCAATAGATCAAACCAAACTCAAACCCATTTCCAAACTTCTTTTCTCTCATTTTCAGATTCTATCTTTGTGAATCGATCCCCGATGGAATGAATCTCGATAAACCGAACAATTCCACCACTCAATGTTGGCTGAAATTACTCGGTGATTTGATTGGTAGCAAAGATTAAAACTTGACTTAGATTTGGCGAAGAATAATGTAAAGATCGGCTCTTACTATTGGACTTTGCTGAAAGAAGATGATAAGGATTTACCTGCTAATTTCTCCGATCCAAACAATTCGGCGCAAGATGTGAGTCATTTGTTGATGATTGTTAAGATTCAGAAAGTATTCGCTGACTTTACTAACAACTACCTTCACATTTTAGGGGAAAGACGTCTACGATGGGATCATTGCCACTGCAAAAAGGAACATTCAAGTGCAAATCGCACAAAATCTGGACCTGAGCCTGAGCTGTAAGAACTTTCGCAAGCATTAATTACTGACTAAAAGTTTCAAAGCTTTAAGTTTTAAAACTTTAACTTTGTAGCAACAATGACTTATGAGGCGACGGATATGGAGAAACTTTCATCAAATATCAAAGTTCGATCACTTGACTTCAGTAAACTGCTTGGAGCAGGTTTTTTGTTTGAAAAATTATGTTCTTGTAAGAATAATAATGACTTTACATCACAATCATTTAAGATTATTTAAAAATTTAATCATTTTCGGGATCATTCACACAAAGAGTTGGTCGATTGATAGCACACATTTTTATGTCGGATCGGCGAATTTCGATTGGAGATCGTTGAGACAAGTTTGTGGCAATATTACTGAAGATATAGAATATTACTGAAGTAGGCTAAAATACTGACCAACACACTGTACTAAAATTGTATAATTTTCTATCTACTTGAAACTGTTCAGGTCAAAGAGCTTGGAATCCTTGGTGTGAACTGTCCATGCATTGCACAAGATGTCGAGAAAATTCTCGACACTTATTGGGATCTTGGGCTACCTGATGCCAAGGTATACAAGATCTTCATTACCGATCTTCATTCCCGATCTTCATTACCGTCTCCTTTTCCAGGTTCCCACCACATGGCCCGAATCTCGTTGGGTTCCGGCTCGACACGGCAATCCCTATACTGTGCCCCAACCACAAACCGATCTTGATGTTTATATATCGGTAATGAGAGTGGCTAATATACAGAACTTCGATTGAAATCGCTGCAGTTCTAGCGATACTAACTTACTTCTAGCGATACTAGCGATAGTTCAACTTCTAGCGATACTAACTTACCTTAACGTACTTTCCTATTTTTAAGAGTGCTCCACCAGATTTCAATGCGTGTGGTCGCGAGAATGACATTGATGCGATGGTAAAGGTTGGAATTTTGGAAGAAAAAGCAAAACAGAAAAATATTAGGTTGGCTAAGAAAGTTCGTAGAAAGAGTTTGTACAATGATTTCTCAAGAAACAAGCCATCAATTCTTCCCAGATTTTTTGAGAAACGACTATATTTCAAAAAGTTTTTGGCAAAATAAATTAGAGTGGGCTTCAGGTAAAAAATAAGAGACTTCTTCAGCTGAAGTGACTTGGTCACTTTTTGAGTGACCAGCCTTTAGACAAGTTTTTAATGGGTTAATGGATAGGGAATGGGTCCCATTCAAAACCCAAAATCAAGTACTTAAAATAGAGAAAATTTGTGACTAAGGCAAATTTTATCTAATGCTTTTAACTTTTCAGAATCACCTATTTTAGCAAAAACCCAGTGCCAAGAAGGTGACACCAAAAAAAATTATTTTTTGAAATGCAGCTTCTCTGTAAAAAATTTTTGGTCAAAAATAGAGATTATAGAGCGTATTGCTCATTTATGCTAGCTTCACCTCATAAGAAATCGTTTTTCTGGTGCAAAAAGCTGGAAAATTGGTGCACTGTGAGCTGAATTTAAGCTGGAAAATAAGAATTTTTCAAAAATCTCGAAAATTTTCAGGGAAAGCTGCACTCATTTTTTTAGGAGTAATTTCTTGGAGTTTACTTGTAAATTATAGAACAAAATGTTCTTGAATTCGTGGATTCGTTTTTAAGAAATTCCAGTCAAATCTTTTTCCGAGAACTTTCTTTCCAACCTAATATATCCAACCTGTTTACTTTTTTTTTTGAGGTGATTGATGAATCGACGAGTTTCGTTCATTTGGCTGTCATGGACTACATTCCGGCTACGTTGTATTTGAAGTCAAACTAGTGAGATTTTGATGTAGAGGACACATAGAATTGTTTATTCTAAAGATTTGTATACAGATTATTTGCTAAAACAGCTTTCAGTTACTATTCGGCGTTGGATGACGCGATCAGAAGGGCAGCTTTTCGAGGGGTTAAAGTCAAGGTGAGTCGAGGGTCGATGAAGATCTTCTTGTAAAAGGTTCTCACAGCAGTCACAATTCTCAGTTTTAGTTCATGATGTCAAAATGGTCGCACACGTCGTTTCAATTTTTCGGCTATTTGCACTCAATGGCCTCGTTGAATGGATCATTGCCGTGTACATGGGCCGTGCAATGTAAGAGAGTTGATTTAGACTTCAATGCAAGCTACCTTTTGACTCATTGATTGCCTCAAAACTTTACCTAGCTTTACCTTTTTAGATAAAGTAATTGAATTTTCAGACACAACTTGCAAACCGGGCACGCAGGGAGAGATCGAAGTGAGAATCTTCGAGATTCCACCCGATGGAGATATCACGGACAAGGTTTATGCAAGAGTTCAACATAACAAGTATTTCGTCACCGAGAGCACTTTGTACATTGGTGAGAATGTTATTTTAAAATAAAGGCATTATTGTGAACTTCCAGGAACATCAAATTGGTCGGCTGATTATTGGTTGAATACGGCGGGGATTGGGGTCATTGTGAGAGCTGACAATGCACAGGAAACGGCGAAAATTGTCAGACAGGTGCGTGTTAATGTTGAAATTGATTCAACCTTTCTGAACCAAGTTACAGTTGTTCAGGTTTACTCTATTTTTCAGACTCAAGACGTGTTCATGCGAGATTGGGATTCCGAATATGCCACCGATATCTCTCACTACGATAATCGAGGCAATCGGATAGATCCAACAGCCACATTATAGACTCTTTTTCAATTGGATCTATTCGTCTGTGTATAAAAGTAGAAATTTAACGATAATATTACTTTGTTCTGCAATTAGCTCACTTCCAAACGGGGAAATCGAGGTGAAACATTGAAAAAAGTCCTTTGTTGAGAATGCTATATCGAAACGCGGAATTCAACTTCAGAAATTGTAGCCCCATGAATTCTTCTCGAGAATCAATTCTTTCAGATTGAGTGGGTTGAATTTGAATGGAAGCATTTGAGACAAATGAAAAAATTTAGATTTCTTGTGATGAATGAGATTAACAATAGCTCTAGTTTTGAAATCTGTCCTGGTTCCAACCAAAATTATCTAGCTACTGGCAAGACAATTAACAGCTTACCATTAATGAAAATGTCATGGGGAGAATCTTTTTGTAGAACATGAATGTCCGGGGAAAAAAGGGTGAAGCAATTTTGAATAGGATTTATATGATCTCAAACACATTTAACATATTCACGGATGGCACACCGGTGGACCGACTAGATTTCTCGATAACTCCTAAGAAAAAGCTAACAATAAACAACCACCTCTCCGAGAATAACAAAGATGCGTAATTTTGATGGTACGATAGTTAATCTAGTTGCGGATTGGGATCCTCCACGTATAAAAACCCCTAGGTACTGTAACCAAAACCACGCTAGACTGAAATGAGTGACTGAAATAAGACAAAATTCAAAGACGGAAAAAAGATATTTTTGGCTTGCTTAAACGCAAAATTTGCATTTAACATTTAGCTGAATATTTTTAAGCTTTGGTGAAAAAGATCACAAGAATTCAGATTCAGAATTGACATGTAAAGAGTAAATATAAAACTTTTTTTGATAGTTCTAGAATGCAGCTAATATTTTTGTACCAGCAAATCGAAAGTTGACTTTTGAGCGAAATTCATCAAAATCGGTCATCAAAAAGTGGTAAAATAAGGAAATGAAGAAGTCCCATTACATGCATAGCTTGGGGTTTTCATTTTCACGCTTTGGGTTTTCGACCATCACATGACCTGACTTATTCATGAAATTGTCAAAAAAATAATCTTTTTGCTATTGTGTGGCTCATTTTTTACACCACGATGTACTATGAAAAATCAACAGAAAAAATTTTTCATGGTGACAAAATTGAACACTTTTTTATGGGACACTTATTATGGTTTTTCGTTCTTATCTCTTCTTTCCCTCAAATTGGGAATTCTTTCTCAAATCGATTCTTATTTAATAATGAGATTCTCTATTTTATCCCTGCCAAAAGAACTCCAAAATATTGTTCATAATCATGCAAGAGATCAGCCAGCATTGATGAAAGTTAACACCGAAATTCGTCGATCGTTTCTTCAAAGCCAACTTTTACCAAAGCTTGTAAAAGAAATTGGCTTTGAGATTGTTTCATATTCGGAAAATGATACTGAATGTCTTCTGCTCGAAATCTCTCTTGAGCTGTTCTCTTCTGATTTCATTTCTCTTCGTTTTTTGGAAGATGGTGTACTTTTCGAGAAATCTCCTGAAAGCGACGACGACGACACACTTGGTTTTGCATTTTTTAAATGCTTACCCAATTCACAAAAATTGTCCCATCGTTTCCAGACGATTTTCCTTACACTTTTCCCAAAAATCAAGACTCAACGTCTTAGGATTGGACAATGGAAATATCCGGCGGAACAACGAACCCCATACCTAGATGATCTTTTACAAAAAAGCGAGAAAATGTGGAGAAATTTTTGCTTTGAAGAGCTAGCACTCGAGCTCGAGATGTCGACAATTCATCTTCTGGAGCTCATCTCTCAGTTCAACTTTCAAAAATTAGATTTGCATTTTGATCATGAAGTACTGCCCAATGAGATTCTTGGTCCAGTGGCAAGGGCACTCAAAAGCTTGGCATTGAAAAAAGAGTGCCGAGTGCTCACGTGGAAAGCTCCATTTGTGCATCTTGTTGATTTACTTCCAGAAATTCCCGACTCGATTCAGCTCATATTTCTGGTTGGCGAATACAAGGATGAACGAGAAATGGGGAACCGAAAAGGACTGGACTGGCTCGAGGACTTTCTCAAAATTTATGTCAAAAGGGAGACGATATTCATTTTTTACGGTTCTGATTCTTTTGACTGTTATGACGCGACGGAAGAGTCTTTTGACGAGACGGAGGAGTTTCCGTACGTGGCAAGAGGTTATTATAAGGATTTGAAAAGTGTCATTTGGAATACATCTCAAGAGATCGTGAAACTCAATGAGGGATCAAGATACGCACAAAGATTCGATTTCGGCTCGCGACTTTTCGACTCGCGACGTGCTTTCTCACCTTTTCACAGAAGCATCTCAAATTTTTTTTGCTATAAACAATCCTTGGCAGAATGTTTTGAAGAAAAATTCTTTTCTGGAAAAATTCAGCGAAGAACAAGAACGATTTCTGATCCCGATTCTCTTTCAGGCTACCCCAACTCGAGCCACTCTTGCATGTGTGATAAAGACGTGTAAACGCTGTGAAAAATCAGTTTTTCAAAAGTCTTAATAAGTTGTTTTGTTTGTATCCAAAAATTATAAGCAGCAAGCAAGCAAACTATAAGCTTTTCACCAGACTTTTAAAGAAAGACGAGCTTAAAAAACAAAAATTGTAGACAATAAAGAACTAAAGAGTTTTCTCAATGCAAACTGTAATGGAAATTTGTGGTTTAATATTTATTGTTTTCTTATCATAGCAATAAGGGTTTTTGTGATTGATCGATGCATTGTTCTCTGGAAGAAATTGAGTTATGCATAACCTTTTGTGATCATCAGCTTCGTCAATGTAGGTATCAGATAGCTAAACTCATTAATCTAATTCAAAGAAAAAAAAAATTAGTTATCACTTATTTATATCTGCCTATTTGTTCAAAACAAAGTAGACTAAAGGTTCATGCATTTTGCCAGCCAAGTGAAGCAAATTTGACTAGATACTCTCGTCAATTAGACCTAAGACATAATCTTGGTTCAAAATCTGGTTTTTTTTGAACAAAAATGTCTAACAAAGTTTTCAACGAAACTGTCTACAATTTTTTAGGATTTGAAAATCATATGGAGAATAAAAGGGACAAAAATCTGGCGCCATACATCAGTCACCAGCTCTAAAAAAACAAAAGGGGAGTTGAGCAAACAAGAAACCGGCTCTGGCGCCTTTTAACTTTAAAATTCTTGACTCTGCGTATCCCAGAGGTCAGTCGAAGTAGTAACAGAACTGTACTGTGTCAAGGAATTCCACCGGAAGTTTTCCGGAAACGCTGCACACGGCCTCTAGTCATCTGAAGCTAGTTTGTGTTAGCCAACCTGTAGATATCTTCAAAAGAAAAACTGAACACAAACTTTGCAGATTCTTTGGGCTGGTGACACTGCCAACTCCCACAAACAACTATTTTATATTGATTTGTCCGTCTTCTTCACTTACTGATAACACTTCTTTTAGTTCCCAAAAAGTTTCCCAAATCATCCGAAAATGTTAATACTTTTGGATTGTTTTGACAAAGATCTTCCCTATTTCTCATTTTTCACTCTACCAAATGAGCTAAAGAAATCTGTATTAGATTATGTGAAAATAAAAGAAAACTTGAAGCTTCTTCGTATCAATAAAAATCTTCGATCCACGATTCTTCATCGTGGACCATTTCCGAAAAATCTCGAAATGATTGATTTCAACCTGGGAACAGCTGAAATTCCTGGTTCCTTTTTCAGTACCATATCTTACTCTCAAAACCCTCGATGAAAATTCTACTTTTGAATTCAAATTTTGTGATGGAATTTTATATTTCCCTCGATGTGACCAACCAATCTACACAGAGTATCCATTTCTGTTGTTCAGGTTGATGCAACGTTGTCGTTGGTTAATCGTTGAGTTGCTCACCGATTACGGGAGATGGTTGACTCCATACATTTCAATATTTCTTCAAAAGCACCTTATGGAATCAAATTTTCTCTCGAAAAATGAACAAGTCCAACGTCTCACTCTACGCTCAAATATGGAGCATTCAAATATGAGAATCGCTTACAGAATTCTGCCCAAAGAAACTCATCTTTGTGAGATCGAATTGTCTCAAGATGAAAATATAGATTACGATGTATCAAAGAAAAATTTCAATTTCAGTGAATTCTTTAAATGTTCTTTACTTTATGCATGATGTGATTTGGGAGTCTGAGATTTGTCGAAATTTGAAGCCGAAAGCCTTAGCGATTGAATGGGACGAGAATCTGATGGATGACCCGAGAAGTCAGAAAGATTTCCTTTCAAATGGAGTTCGAGAAGAGACTGAAAATTCGTTTCTTTTACTTTATAGTATC